TCCAATACCCAGTAAAAGAGTTCACTTCTTTTGAATAGGAACATGGAACGACCACTGTTAAAGTACCCATGTTTCTGGAGTCCACTGGAGAACACGCTCCAGTGAGGCATTAAGAGAATTAGAACCTTGAATCCACTGGAGAACACTGTTGGGATGCGTAACTACAGGTATTTCCTCAGGATATACAGGTATATCCCGCAAGGCCTTTTCTCGCAGACGTGCAGTTCTCCAACTAGACCGGACAACCCACATTACATTGGTAGACTTGAACGTGCATGGCATGCGCCATGGAGGTGGCAGCTTGGGGCCTCCTTCTTGTTCTTCTTCTTGTCTTGTGCAATCCTCAGACCTATGCGTCCCGAATTTGCAGTATTTGCAGTTGGGCTTGTTGGTTGCATTGGATGAAGAGGAAGGAGTAGAGGAGGAGCCTCTTGAGGTGTCAGTCTGGGATTTTTCGTTCTTCTTCTTATGTAGTTGAGGGGAAGTAACATGGGCGGCGGATACACCTGACTGAGGCGCACTCGGGGTTTTCTCGTCAATTTGGGCAGCTATACAAGTAGCTGCTTGTTGAGAAAGACAAAGATTATCATCGTATTGTTCCTGGGCAGTCACCAAGGTGCTTAGATTCTTCCGCAGAGCTTGAAGGAAATCGGCGCAGAGCACGTATTCCGGGAGTCCAGGGAGTGGTCCAGCCAAAAGGTTGAACTGGGCAACGTGTTCGGTTGATCTTTGATGATTTATCGACTTGGGCTTCAATGCGCGCAGTCTATGAAGAACTTGCGGCAAATGAGTGCGGGGAATGAAGCGCACGAGCATCATGGAGCAGAGTCCGGTTTGAACGGGCAGTCCATATTCGTCGTGAATATCGTGCCATGAAATAATGGAAGGGCGGTCGGATTCACGAAGGCTTTTCCACCACTGGATAGCAGATCCAGTGAGTGCGTTGATGACGTAGTCTACGCATTCGGAAGGCACAATCATCTGATACTTCGTAATCACATCAAACGTGATCAATGAACACTTGTAGCTTGGCAACGTTGGGTTCTCCATTGTAGGTACCGAGTTTACTGAGTGTGCTATTAACGAAGACCTTGGATGGTGTTTTGCCGGCCGAAGGGGACGTTACGGGAGTAACTGGTCTCAGAGGTTCACTTTCTTGAGGAATTTCAGCGAAAGCATGGACTTGAGAAGGGGTTTGAGTGTACCGCTTCCGTTGTGGTGTCGGATAAACGTAGGGGACGGTGTACGCCGCAGCGCGCTGAGGAGGCGCATGGGGTGCCGGTGAACGAAGTCACATATGGCAAATTAGCCAGGATAGGGCTAGCCGAGTAATTGGAACGAGTGCTGAGTACCGGCGATTGGGTGAGCGGGTTTACTGAGGGGACGTCGTTGTGAAGCGAGGTTTCGGTAAAGGCAGGTGTATTAGATAATCGTCGGAGTGTCGGAAACGCAAGTATGTCGATTTATTGTTGAAAGTTTTGACGGTATTTGACGTTGTCGTATAAAGGTGAATTCATCTGTTCGTCGAGGATTCTGGGCGTGTGATTGTCGTTGAGATATTATCGATTTCATGCGCACTTCGAAGCGCACTACTACAGTGGGAGAGAGATTCTCTTCCCATTCCGCAATTTCATCGGCTGTGGGGTTTGCGGGAAGGCTCGGGATGCGGCGGAGGATGGAGCGCTCAGAGGATTGAGCGTCGTCCTCCTCGTGGTGATTTTCAGACGGCTCCTCGTCTCGGAATTCGGGGTGGGACGGCGTGTCATTGTCGTGCTGAGAGTCATTGTCATACTGAGAGTTGTTTTCGTCCATGGTGATGATGCCGCTGGCGCAAACACAGGTGTGGGTCTGTGTACTACCCCGGGGAAGAGAGCGAACGTGAGTTCAAGGGCTCCTTGTTTTGCGACCAAATGCGCTGGGTGAAAACCCACACCGGTTGCCTCTCGCAAGAGCGGCTTCCAGTAATCCCCTTTCCGTTTGCATAGACGGAAATCACCATGGAGACCAGATTGTAACGTACCTGTGTCGAGAACGATGAATTAGGTCAATGTTGATGCAGAATGAGAGTGCAATGTTGTGAACAGAATGCACTTAGCCCGTTTTTGTTCTAGGATCTGTGCACTTGAGTGAGAAAGAGATAAAGGAAAATGAAGCTAAGGGTTATCTGTTATTTATTCACGCGAGAAGCAAAATGGAGAGAGCTTACTAAGCAACCTCCGAACGGAGTCCATTTCAGGAATACGTAGAGACACGTGCACTGGGTGACCGTTTGACGCGTTATGTAAGGAAAGTGCGCGTACGCGAAAACGACCATTTTCAGTTCTTGACCGTTACCGTTCGGTCTCATACCTACTACATCTGATACGCCAATCCTTCGTTCCGGAGCTCAGATCGGCACCCAGTCCTTGTCTGAACGTGTTGTCCCCGCACACAGATGTAAGTTCGGGATCTTGGGTTCGTCTTGGCAGCGTTCGGATTTCTCACCCTGTTCAGAAAAGATGATGAAAGCGAAGGAATACGCACGAACCATCCTTCTCGGAGGCGTTCTCTTGGTGACCATCTCTGTACAATGCCTGCTCTGGACGGTGAAGTCCGGCCCCATCACCGAGTCTCGTAAGTGCCCTTGGTTACGTTTCCGCTAGGACGCCCTCGTCTCCGCTGTCCCCTTCTGAGATAACAACTGTTAGGCTTTCCGCAAAAATGCCTAGCTTGGGCAAGAGACGTCACCTTTTCAGGAAACCAAGTTCAGCAAATTTACGAAACTTTCGTGAAGAAGGATCCTGCGTACCATTCGAAACACCAAGCCTACACTGATCTGATCGATTCCCGTTTCAAAGGCCATTACGATCCCAAGGGTCGTGACGCTCCGAGGGTGTACATTCTCATCGACTTCATTGACTGGATTCAGAAGCACAACATTTCTTCAAAGAACGCCCTCTTTACGGATATCAACGATCCGGAGATCAACTTCTTACCCCACATACGCACAACTGCAATTCCTTACCAGTTTTCCTCAGGGCAAAACGATCTTCACCAACTAGCGCTCATTGACCGGACATACGATTTTGTTCTGTTCTCGCAGACGCTTGAGCACCTGTACAACCCGCTTCTGTCCCTACGGAACTTGTACGATCATATGGATATAGGTGGATACATGTTCACGAGTGTGCCCACGCTCAATGTTCTTCACATGTATCCGCATCATTTCCAGCATTTCACGCCTTCCGGGCTCGCTATGCTGTGTCGTAGCGCAGGATTTGAGATTGTCGAATTGGGGTATTGGGGAAACTTAGAGTACGCCCAGAAACTTTTGTCAACATACTCGTGGCCCGATATGTATGAAGTGCCACGGGACAGCGATGGACTGCATCCTGCCCAGACCTGGATATTGGCACGGAAGCCAGGGGTTTCTGAATGAACCCGGCCTACTATTCGGGACTGTATACGGGGTTGGACGTCGGGAGTTGTTGTCGGTATCGTTTGAAGTAAATGTATAAGGAGGAATCTTGGGAGGCCCATTACTCGCTGGAATAATTCCGCTTCAAAGGAAATATACTTCGCGAGATGGCGCCACACCCAATTACAGTCGAACTTCTGTCCATACATTCGACCTCCAATCGTTTATGCCGTGGCTGTTGAGTCACTTGTTTTGCTCGCCAGCCTTTCTCGAAGGGAGTACTTGATTACCAGCCATAGAACGAGGGCAGCATACGAAAAGACGAGGGCAGGAGGACGTGGGAAAAAGGCAACAAGGACCATGCAAGATTCGAATATCGAGCGGGTGAACTTCTATGAACCATTGTTAGAGTCCTCCGCGGAAGTCTTACTCTGTTGAAGTTGTTCACTGAAAATATACGGGTCGAAGCACGAAACAATAATATCAAGGTGTGGGACGCATATATACTTTGCAACAGTGAACTTCGAAAGCTGCCGGGTCTACTTCCAGTCGGTGTAAGATACAAACATCGACCGAGCCGCTAACAGGAGTGTCCTTGACTAGCTCACTATCGGGTATCGGAATAACAAAGGTGAATGAACGTTGAACTTTCCAGTTTCCTCAGTTCCGTCACATACCATTTCATGACACCCCACTTCCAGAGACGACGCTTGTCCGTTTATGCTCCATCACCATGTACCCGCTCAAACGAAGAATCCACGATCGATCGGACCATCGCCTGAATTCCTCGTTTCCGGTGTTGCCACCAGGATATCACATCTCTTTGAAGTGTTAACAACTTCTCAGGGCTGGCGGTGAGATTGTGAATAAGTTCCGGCAGTTCGCTCCAGTGCGCGACCGTAGGGATGGGATTCGGACCTAGTCCAATGCCTAAGAAATCCATATTTCGATCCGCTACGGACTGAACGATCGGAATAGAGCCCGCCTCAAGTGCCTCATACAACCGCAGCGACTCAGGATTATTTCCATGTGGTGCTAGGGTGAAAACGGATTCCACCAGTAGGTTTCGATACGTGATCACATGCAACGCCTGAGGGTCTGCCCACTGCTTGTCAGCCGATATGAAGCATGCTAATCCGCTTTGCTCCACTACAGTCAGCATCTCCTGTCTGTTTCCTCTCTTGCTGCCGATGAAGTTACAAAGATACTTTCGTGTATCCGCTCGAGGAAGCATGGAAGCAGGTATTGTGCCGAAGCCTGATTTCATTCCCAAAGGAAGGTAATGCACAGCCGGTCCCTGCTGGGAGATTTCACCATTGTAGTAGTTGCGGAAAATGTAGTCGGGACCAGCCGAATACCAATCCCGGTTTAGCGAAAATGTCTCGTCACCCATATGGAGGGCTCCAAAATTTACTATTCCTTCATTCCTCATGTCCAAAAACCAATCTGGTGTAGGCGGATCGAATAAGAGAACGGTCAGCGAATCGTTCATCTTGACGTTGCTTTCCAGATGGAGGTGCACGGGTCGATTCAGTCCAGCACATACGACCGAATAGATCCAATCAAGCTCGTAGATACGTCCTCCCGCTTCAATCGGGAGAGCATTCATCTGGAAAATCAGATGAAGAGCCCTTCTGCCGTTTTGTGCAGGTTCAGGGTTCTGGAGGAAGTCAGGAAATCCTGTCGCTGACAGTCTCGTGTTCGTCCCCGTCGTCATGGTTTTGGGAACCACGGAAACAATGACGCAAATCCCTAGCAGCGCCCCCACATAGGCGTAAAATCGCCGCGGGGCCGCAAGGCGAGTAGTTGCAAAGCCAAGCCATCCGTAGGAGTACGCTATGCGTCTGCGCATTCTGAATCGTAACAATTTCGTATGCTTTTGTTGATTGATTAACTGATTCAGCGAATGTATTGCATCCAGCTTGAATTTGAACAACTTACTTGGTAAAAGGCCGCTTTCCGTACGTTGATTGCCCAAAAACGGCCGGGCTGCCCAGAACATGTATGTACGATGGCGGGTGCGGGATGCCCGGTTACGCGTCTGCTCCCGTTTATGCTACCTACAACGCTACGCACGCGATGAGCCAACAATACAGTACGTGATCGACGCGTTTATGAAGCTCCATAGCCCTGCCAACTCACAACAGACCAGGTGGAGGTGGAGGAAAGAGGCCTTGAAACATCTTTAGCAAATCTGGCTTGATCTGTGATGGAGCGTGTCTGTGGCCTTTGGACTGTTGGCCTTGCTGGAACCGTTTGACGCGGCGAGGACTAGGCCAAGCGTAGCTGGATCCATGCGCAGCTGGAGTACGTTTGCCCTGACCGGTTCCGCTTGGCACAGGTACAGTATGTTTGGCATGAGTGAGCTTGCAGAGTAGGCAATGGAGCGTCGTCCTTGACCTCGTGTGAGGCGGAGTTACCCGCTGGGAACCCGCTGTCAACAATGAAAGTGCGCTTGTGCACATACTGGAACTGAACATGGTCACAGATGCACCGGATATGAAAAACAGGGTAGCTCATGCTCGTAGCCAGATTCGACCTGCACAGTTCCCATCTCCCTTCTCCTCCGCGACCTCTACCGTCCTACTTTTGCGCAAAGAAGCAGCAAATTCAACGTTGAATTCATGTGGTTTCATGCCCTCTGGCGGACAAGAGCTCTCATCCGTTCCAGATTGTTTATGGCCCACGCTAGCCGTGCACCCTTGCGAACCGGAGCCTCAGGTACGTTTGAGCGTGTCCGCGGTTGCTTATGTGTAACGGATCTGACAATTCCGTGGACTAGCAGGAAGTCATCTAACGCAGCGCAGTCCTTGACTCGCTCATGCGTTTCCCACGTCGTTTGTTCGGGTGGCCATCCAACCCATCCAACCACATAACGAGGCTTTCCATGAACCAACTTATGCCCGATAATCTTATAAACGTCATACTCTTCCTTGCCATTGACATTGGCAGGCCCAGGGTTTGAGTCTTCAACTGCGTCAATGCGTAACGGTCCGAAGATGGCATCGACATTCCCCAGCTTGACTTTTCGCCGGAAAACGTGAGTCCTGAATCGATCATAAGGATAAATACTTTTTCACGGTCGTCCATGTGATATTGTACGAATTTGCGAATATTAGGTTTCACTTGTGTCTCGTCTCGGTATCTTGGTCCTTTGATGCCGGTGTCATGGACATATATGCTGACGATGTCGGGATTGAGTGATTCAAATGCTTTGTCGACCACTCGTTGAAATTGAGATCAGTTCCTCCTTGAGGGAGTCGGGTAAGTCGATATAGTTCAAACGGCGTAAGCATGGCCATAAGATCTCTTGATTTGGGTTGTAGGGGTACTTGACCATATCCGGAATACATGTCGGCCATAGAAAAAATAGAGCGTCCAGCGAATTCCTCAGCGAAAACTTCTGCGATCGGCATGCATCCGGCCTCTCGTATTGTTACGCTGTTGAGCATCTGCACGTCTTGTACAAGTTGGTATGTTCCGTTCTTTTTAGGAACTAGGAACCAGGGTTTCCGGTAGGGTCCAAATGAGGGCTCAAGTAGTCCTGCATTGCGTTTTGTTCGAAGAAGGTCTGAAGCGATTTTCATCATTTGCGGAGGTAGTCGATGGGGTTTAACCTTCCAGGGAGTGTGCCGGATCGTGTGAATCTTTACAGGTTCCTCTATGTATGGCTTCAATGTTCCTCTCTACTGTCGACGAAAGTGAACGCCATGTCGTATTGCGAAAAATGTAGGCGTAGGCGAAGATCTCACACATGAAAGCGCCCCCAACTCGACTCTCAACCAACCGGAAGCTCTCACGACGCCTAAAACGCTGAAGAATCAACTGCAAAACAAGAAAACCAATTTCCGGTGGCCGCATACGCCAAACATTGAAGAAAAACCAGAGAAAAGATTAGCGATAGGACTGTATCAGCGTAGACATTGCGAATGGAAAGAGGAAAAACGACGTAGACCGCTGCAGGAAAAGAGAAAAAGCCCCCGACGTAGCTGATTCCTCCAGAGAGAAATAGTAGAGAGTTTGGACTTCGACAAAATCCCGTAGCCTAGAAAAATGTGTATAAAAACCCGACTGTTTTGCCCAGACTTTTGTACGATACGCAGAACACACCGACCTACAACAGAGCTGTTTCTACTTCTCTACTCCCAACGACTTCTAGCCGCTATTCGGGCCCAAGTGCAACGAACGCATCTTCGGCATACTCGGTATACCGTTCGATAAAAACAAGGACGTCTCCGGAGGCGTAGTTCAGGTACTTGGCTTCCTCCTGAACATACCGGCTATGACCATTTCCATTTCGGAGCGCAAGAGGACCACACTTGCCCAGGGAGCTAGCAACGCATGACCATGGGCACGAGTACACTCACCTCAGTTTGCTTGTCAACGTCGCAGCTGTAAAGAGAACCGTCGCTTGAGGTTGTGTCGAGAAGGTGACGTTGTGTGTGTGAAGATATACTGTATCGCCGCCCCAGGGCAGACCCCAAGGCTTGAAGGAGTCCAAGGCGCGCACGAGAATGTGTGTTATTCAGCAGCCTCGATTTGATTGCGGGTTAGCCCTTCCAGGGCCGAGACGTCAGCACGGCTTACATGAACTCCGCACGTTTGGAAAACGTACAGTACGCCAAGCGACGGGCCATGTCAGAATACCTTTGTCGGGAAGTATATAAGCGTTCCTCCAGTACCAGTACTACGCCGACGGGCACTTAGGTATTAAGAACGAATCTCAACGAAATTCGCGATACGAGGATGGGAGCCCTTTCGTCTTTTTCGCGTGTTGCTCGACCGTCCCACTTCAGAATAGGTGCTGCGGCTTTCTTCATTATTTTCGTACTTCTGGTCTTGAAGTACCACGCCAATTATGCCACCGCTCCTGCATCCGTGGCACAAACGACGCGAACAGCACCCCAAGAATACTCGAAAAAGATCTTCGCACCTGTCCAAGATTCGACTGCCCATCCATCGTCGGCGGCGGTATCGGTGTTTCCGGGGAAAGTCCATCTCATTGCCACGGCAACAACGACGGGAGAAGGCTTCTGCCGGCTATTGAAATCCGCCCTCGCGAATGACTGGAATATGACGGCCCTGTATTACGGCGCGGACAAGTCTGGCAAGCTTATCAAAGTAGAGGCAGTCTACGATTTCCTGAAGCTTTCGAATCTGGCCGACGATGACGTTATTGTGATGGTCGACGGATTCGATGTGCATGTGCACCGCGGACCCGAGAGCGTTCTGCAGAGTTTCCTGGAGTTCGACTCGCCCATTGTGTATAGTGCCGAAAAGACGTGCTGGCCGTACATCTATCCTCCATGGGGTGTGCAACAGATGGACAAGTGCCAAGTGGTTCCAAACTCTACTTTGTCCGCGGACGTTTACGGTCCTGAGACGGACAGCATTCCACCTCAGATCGACAATGCTGGGGATCCTACAACTCGTCCTCGTTGGCTGAATTCGGGCATGCTGATGGGTCGGGTATCCGCACTACGCATCCTCTACGAGGATATGATGGCGGAAGTGAGAGGAGGCACATCGTGGTCGGGTGGAAACTACTTAGACGACCAAGCCCTGGCATTCGAGCGACACTTAAATGGTACCTTCGGGATCACGCTCGACTACCCGGCCTCGATCTTCATGAACCTTGACAAGAGTGAAGGCGACATCACATGGGTCTTGAATGACGCTCGCCGCCCGCGAGAAAGGGCTGCTTTGGTGAACCGAATCTCGGGTACCTCTCCGGCATTTTTCCATTACAACGGCCAGGGGAAAGGTCTTCAGCACGTCTTCTGGCCAAAACTTTGGTTTCAACAAGCCCGGTCGACGTATAAATTATCCGAAACCGATGGCTTCACAGTAGCTACACCAGATGGAAGATGGGTGTCGTTTCAGGAGGCGTGCGATGGACAAATTTGAGATTTCACAATACTTTTGCATAGCGGTTGAAGATGCTTTTCGTATATCAAATAAACTTTCAGGTCGGAAAAAAATGTCTCGAGATATGAAATAATTGTGAGAGTTTAGTATCATAAAACGGTTCCAGTGAAAGTAAACCCCTGAAGGGACCGGCGACGACAAGTCATACGAACAGATAGCATTCGAAACCGTAGCATGAAGAGTCCCATGTGGTCCACTTTCCTATCAGCTAGCTAATTCAGTAAAAGATTCTGCGGAAGATATTGGCCGAGCAGATGCGTTACCTAAGCATTGCTGCTCTACCTCGTCTTTTTCTAATCGAAGAATTCTCATGCTATATTGTTAAGGACGACGGGTCAATCCCATAAGCATATCTGTGAAAATGGATTGCAATGCGCTACACGCACTTAAGTCAGTGTCCGCCCGACGCGCCTCTCTGCCACGTGAAACGGTCATTGCAATAATCCAATCCGAAGGAATAGGTCGTGATGTGGGCTTCCTGCACCAGTGGAGCCAGTGGAGAACACGCTCTAACGCACTCATAAAAAAAAAAATAAGGAGAACGCGTTCTGACAAGGGGACTCCGCGTTCCCGAACGCGTGGTTCCGCCACTGCGCCGTAACATCATCCTGCCTCAACCTGCCTCGCGTGTGCTGTATCCAAACCTCCAAATTCACACTACCTCCCTATATAGAGCTCTATACAGCCTAGAACACACAAATTCTCTGCCCTCAAACTCTCTCCAACCCCGCCTACTTCTCTTCGCATTTGTCCTCACGGCGACATGCGCGATTTGCTCTCTTCGCCGCTAGGGAAATTGAGGACACCCCGGATGAGAATTGGTCTCCTGCTGGTACTTTCCGCTTTCGTCACAGGGCTACTGCTGCTCGCTTCCCAGCGGTGTCCATCATCGAGTTCATTTGAAGGTCGGGTGGGTAGTGATGTTGTAAAGAGGTAGGATCTCATTTCTATGGTTAACTGTTCTCTCTGCGCCTGTGAGCGCTTGCTCACGTACCGTTTTCCAGTTGCCACGAAAACGGGCGGGCCAGCTTCGAGCAGCATGCGGAAGCTTCCACACGAGTTCAAGCCCAGTCAGAGTCTGATACGGTAGCCCACCTAGACGCAAAGGCCCCTTTCCACGAGAACGTTGCAGTCCAAAAGATCCCGCGCATCTTCCATCAAATGTGGATTGGGGATACTACAGAGATGCCAAAAGGCCCCCTCAGATCGTGCAAGCGCATTCACAACGACTCCAGCGGCTGGAAATATATCCTATGGCAGCCACACACCCTGCTGAGTTTCTTCCACTCAGGAGACCTCGATCCGCAGTTCACCGATTTCGTCAAAAATAAGCTCCGGCTGCTCGAATACAATCTGACGTGTTCGGATCGCAAAAGCCTACTGCGTGCAGCCGACGTGTGGCGGCTTGTTGTCTTACATCACTACGGTGGCGTCTACGTTGACGGAGACGGCCAATGCATCCGCTCATTCACTGACCTAGTCGAGAATGACAACGAGGGCCGTGAGTGCTTCATCGGCTACGAATCCAGCACGTACCGAGGAACGTTGCGCGCGAACGGCATTATGGGTTGCGTTCCCGAATCTGTCACCATTCAATATACCCTGGACGCAATTCACGCCAATGACGCACTGCGGGTCCCTGGTGAGGCCTGGGAGCTCACAGGCCCGAAACTCCTTACGATCACAGGTGAAACTCTGGAAAATGAGCTGCCGTGGCGTCGGCTGCGGACGGAACACGGACAAAGGCTAGGCTACAAAGTTTACCCGTCAAGCACGTTCCTACCGGTCCATTACACCGACAAGCAGAACGGGATGACGCCCGAAGAAGGTTTGCAGCGAGCGAAAGATCTCGGAAGTTATATGGTGCACTTATGGGGAAGCACCTTGGACGCTTACAAGGCCGAGGATGGCGATGTCAGGAATCCGAGCCGTCTTTCTGATGGGCACAAGACGACTGGGAAAGCCAGTGCTCCCGAGGCAGTCCTCATTCATTAACTTGGCAACTCTTTTATTGTCGATTGGGGAAAGCGGCAATCTGAATTGGTGAGTTGGGATGTCGATATTGAGCTGTACAAATGGGGAAGTCCTCAGCAGAAGGGGCAGCAGCATCTATGAAATCTTGCACATGGGCGAGGGTACGGGCGGCGTCGTTTGGGATATCTCATAAATGTCTTGTATTTGTTATTGTATCTTCCTACTTCTATACAATCCGGTACTCAGGCTCGCCCCCCCGAGCGCTCGCTGATACATTACCTAAGGCTTCAAGCCTCATTGGAGCCAGGGTGATGGCCTGAATTTTGCCGACGAATTTGGTGACCTGTCTTGCAGGTGGCCATGCGCGGCAACTGGTTTGACGGAGGAGCTGGGTCATTGCGCGGACTTTGTGTTGGGGAAGGCGCATCATTTTGAGTGGAGATCCCAATCCTAACCGACGTAGCGAGTCGTCTGTGACGGGGTGAGGTCGGATTTGGCCCACTTGAAGACACAGCCGAGGAGCTGCATTAACCGCTACGTGAACAACATCCCCTCAAGACAATGGAGCTGCGTTGTCGCGATGTTGAGGAAGTCGAGGAAGTCGTCCACCCACACGAGGATGGCGTCGCCGTTGTAGCGTATTATAGTCAGAATGGCTTTCATCCAAAGGATGGCCTAAGGGCAACTCTGATCCCAAAATTGTTCTTGAGCGTAGTAAATGCGGTGCGGAAGACGAAATCGTACAAGCATCGCCGCTTCGACGGCCAGCGGTAAAGCTTCACCAAGGACCGACGAGCTCATTTTAATCAAGGCGACTCGAACGTTGGTGGCAGGCCGCTTACACTGAGCACACCGAAATTAGTCGAAGCTGCTTTAGTAAATGGTGGTCTGGCTGATAGCACCACCCAGAGACGAGCTGAAACTTCCAAAGACTGAGCGGCCGCCGTCACATTGATATCGTGCTTGTGGGCAAAAGTGTCCTGCCGGGTAGAAAGTTTATATAGTCCTCTTTATTTGGCCAACCTCTCACTACGGGTTTTACAAAATCGCACTATACAACGTCTTGCACGCATGCATGCATGCGAGGTACGTGAAAGCGTAACAGCTATTTGTAGAACTTCTCTTCAAGGACAGCCATTGATTCCTCCGGGACGTAATGAAAGGATACAGGCGTCTCCATATCGCGCATCGCCGCTTCAGCCACTCCTTGACCTTCGGTAAAGTACTGGTAGTTGTGCCAGAAAAAGCTGGGATGTTCTATGGGCCATACTTTGAGCTTGTTTACAAGTGCCTCGCCCAAGGCGACATCACTGACTTGCTGATCCAAGCAATAATCCAGAACGGGTCCGTAGAGTTTCTGCAGCAACGTGCTTGATAGCAAGTACCCAGCACCTCCGGAAAGAAACCATGGCCACTGATTGCGCCACACGTATCCTACTCCAATATCTGCCGTGGGCTTGAACATGGCAGCTATTTCGGTCGCTCGTTCCACCTGCAGAAAGGTGTCATCGTCTGCGACCATCACATAATCGATTGCATCCAAATAGCATTCGATGATGTATTGAAATCCCAAGAACCACCTTTTCTGCGCAGCGATCCATGCGTCTGGATACCCTGCCGGCTTCCCTTGAGGTTGTAGAGGCCCATCGTACTTGAGCCCGATCGTCCGATATTCTGGGTCATGAACGTCGCTTATGAACACGAGATTTGCTGGATATTTCCCCCATGACTGTTCCCGCCCGGTGACGCGTGTCACGGTATGCCGACCCGGTTACCACCATGAACAGGATCCGCTGGGTCGCCGCCTGCGTGGTTGCAATCTTTGCCTTCTGTGACTCGGTGTAATTGAACATGTACGATGGATGCTGTGTGAGCTTGGAGAGCGGGATACATGTCCCAAAGCGGGACTGCCCCGGCGGGAATGTTGTACCAAGGCTTGACGAAAGTAACCCGCTTTTCGCTTCCGTTTGCGGCGGCGAATGCGCGACCGGGCAGTGGGGTAGGACTCGCTTGACCCACGCTTCCGGCCGTGCATATATGAACAGTAGAATGATTGCGACCAGGGTTAAGACCAGAAAAGAGCGCCGGCGGCTGATAGGAGTGCGTGTTACGGCCATGGCGGTCGGGTAGGATGGTCGAAGAGGGTTTCCGGGCGTTATTCGGTGTGGCTTTGATAGCTGGGTCACCCGCATATACAGGCCCAGAGAAGTAAACTAGATATAGAGATATCAAGCTTTGGACAGAGCGAGCGCGAGGCAGGTTGTTACTGAGGATTTGTTGATGGGCGCCTGAAGAAAAGGGAGTTCGACCATGGTCGTCCCGTCAGATTTGGCGGTTAACACAGACTAACTCTTTAACACACTCGGATTACATAATCGGAATACGCGCGTAGTTCACGCGACGAGGCTAGAATCACAAAAAAACGCGTCTTTAGCACCAGGACAGTACTACTGCACTTGGCAGGGCCAAACCATTCCATCGATTACATAATCGCGAATAAGTACGCAGTTCTCGCGACGAGGCCAGCAAACGCGTGCTCCCAACCCACGCATTTACTCTTGCCTAGTACTAGGATTCCCTACGATCTACGATCTCGCAATTCTTAGACTCCTCAACCAACACTCTGTTCACCTCGCAACATGATCGCCAAGCGACCTAAATTCCTGCGGCCTTTTCCCACTCGCTGGCTGAGGACGAGCGCTGCTGTGTTGTTACTGTGCGTTATCTTTGTCATCTTCGCTCTAAAAACTCCGGGATATGTATTTCGCAGAAAGACTATCCCGGGGGGCAACGTTGAATTTCACCGGGCCGTTCGACAAGCGGTCGGTGTGTACGAAGACCTTGATGAGAGGGCCAAGGCGTTCAACGTTCCGCCACGTTCGTTGGCGGAATCAAAGGATCTTTTGTCGAACACAGTCGTTGTAGCTTCGACCAATATGGGCTTTATTGACTTCGCGTTCAACTGGGCTTGCATGGCAAAGAAGCTACAGCCGTACAAGTTCATAATTGTCAGTCAGGATCCGGAATCGAATGTATACCTGAAATCGAATACGCTCCTATCCACTTTCGATGGCGCCGCAATTGGAGTTGATTCCACTGCCGCTCAGTCGGCATGGCGCTCTCCGGCTTACAATCATATCGTCAAGATGAAAGTTCTCATTGTACGGCAGATACTCGAAATGGGTTATCATGTCTTGTTCTCGGACGTAGATATCGTATGGCTCGATGATCCGTTGAAATATTTCGTCGGGGACGTCGACTGGGAGTTCGAACCGAACGAGCTTGGTGATGACTTCCAACCAGGCAACACTGCCAATACCGGCTTTTACTGGATCAAGAGCAGTAAAAAAACCATTGACCTCATGAAGACCGTCGAAGTGGAGGCTGCGAAAGTTCCAGACTTGGATGATCAGACAGTTTGGTCAATCCTGTTAAATGACTTCTGGCAAAACGGAACGTATGTGTACGTACCGGCAGCAGAGAAGAGCGCACAGGTTGGTAGCACATGAACATAAAATGCATCGCGCCATTTGTTTCCGACCTCGTCATTCATTTTGTTTTTCAGGATTACCTGCTGAAGCTCAACCGTAACGATGATCCGCTCACTTTTCGGCAGCTCAATTCCGTGCAGTTTCCGCCAGGGAATAAATACTTTGGGAAGCCCCGCGACGAATGGGAAGCGGAGTCCGCTCGAACCGGCCTAACAGCTGTTTTTGGACATATTACGTTCGTGATAGGCCACGATATCAAGATGCAGGCGCTGAAGGACAATGGGATGTGGTCGGTGAAGGATGGGGCCCTGGAAGAGGCAAAGGCATGGGTGGAAAATCGGAAGCAAAAGCTTGGAGATCGCTGGACAGAAATTGAGCAATTGAACCAAAATCGGGAGGAAGGTTTATTCTGCATGAAGCAAGGTCACTGAGGGCTGAGTATTGTAGTGATCAAAAATCATGCCTGAACGTGAGATGAAAACAGTGTTGCAATACATGAGTGTTCTTCGTTGTTCTTTTTCGCCGCCGTCATGCCTTTCCTTCATTGCCCGAGGCCGTTTCTGGGGCGTGAATGGCAAATATTCCCTCTGTAGCGTTGTTTCCGTCAACTACTTGCCTCAGAAGAGGTATCTATGCCGGGTAAATTGCCGCCCTGATGAAATATGGATAATCAAGACTTGCCGACCTATGCATTGGTCATAGTAGTTGCGGGTGTATATTCATTTATCAAAAAGCAATCTTGGGAATAAATCACTGTGTAGCAGCCAATTTCTTCGCAAAGTATTTAATCGTTTCCTGAAGCCCGTCCTGCAACAGGTAGCGGGGTTGCCATCCGACCTCCTTTCGAGCCCGTGTGATATCCGGCTGACGACGTTGCGGGTCATCCACCACCGCCGGAAGGCATCGGATCCCGACTTTCGTGTTAATGTTCTCTCGAATCATATCCCCAAGTTGCTTAACAGTGTATTCGTGGGGATTGCCCAGGTTGATGGGGTCCACGCAGTTGCCGCCCATGACAGCTATCAGCCCGGCGACAAGGTCAGGGACGTATTGAAAGCTTCGCGTCTGACTCCCATCTCCGTAGATGGTAATGTTGGTTCCGCGCAACGCCTGGATGATGAAGTTCGAAACAACTCGCCCGTCGTCGGGGTCCATACGCGGCCCGAATGTGTTGAAAATCCTAACCACGCGGACATCAACGTTCTGCGATCCAGCGAAAGCGTAGGTAAGGGTCTCCGCAATGCGTTTGCCCTCGTCGTAGCATGCACGTGGACCAATCTGAAAATGAACCTCAATCAGCATCAGTAACTAGGCTTCAGTCCAAGCAATCACTCTTCTCAGGTAGCCGTACCGGATTGACGTTCCCTGAAAACGGGAAGATGTCAGACATGTCAACCCCAAATGAAGTTTACGTGTGCTTACGTACCCCAATACGTCTCTTTCTGAGGATGCTCCAAAGGATCTCCATACACCTCTGCGGAGGATGACGAAAAAGTAAGACTTTACTGATTTATAACATACGGTGCAAACATTATCTACCTGACGTAGATGCTAGAAGAAACCGCGCTCCCGTATCTTTTGCAAGCTTTAGCATATTCATGGTGCCTGTGGTACATGTATTGATTGTAAAGACGGGGTCGCGCTGATAGTGAGGCGGAGAGGCTGGGCAGGCCAGGTGGAAAATTTCGTCGACGTCGGCGATGAACGGCACTACAGAATGAAAGCAGTTTGAGCAACGGGAGCAGGAAGATGAGGAAGATGTACATCTCTTCGTTAGGAAAGCGCTTCTATGCCATGTTCCTTACGTGCAACGTCGTGGTCTACCAGCTGAAAATCCTTATACCCTTCCCAATGTGCAAGATTTTCCCGATTGCCGGTCACAAAATTGTCGAGGGCTATGACAGAATGCCCCATCAATAGTAATGCGTCAACCAAGTGCGAGCCAACGAAGCCGGCGCCACCAGTAACAAGGATACGTTTCGCCTTGCCAGGGGGCAGCTGCCGTATGTTAGGACGTAAGATTGCGATTGGGTCCGCTGCAGGAGGGAATGCGGAGAGCAGGTTGTAGACAGATTTTGCGAAGTCGGAAGAGTACTGTGAGTTGCTGATCGGTAGGACTTCTTCTCGGGACAGAATGTCTAACGACGGTTTGGATAGGACTGCCGAGGCGTTGAGCATGGCTGCGTGGCAATAGTTCGATGTCGAGTTCCCACGGAACGTTTTGACCTTGGGATGTCTATGGGAGTCTCTGGCAGGAGGATCGTAACGATGCCATGCTCTTTAACAGAGTCGTTTCCATCATGCGACAAAAAAATGCACACCGTGTTGACCCGGTCCGGGCGCCATTGGGGAGGGTTGAACGTGTTTTGGTAAATGCCAATGCATAGCCGCTCCGCTTACCTAAGACGTGTTCTGACCGTCAGTCCGGCGCGTATGCCGTATGAAGAATAGGGCATCGAATGCCACCCTTGACTCTACCTCTGCAACACCCTCTCCGCCAAACTCGACTTGAACTGATCAGCAACACAACTAAGCATTTTCCACGCAGGAGGCACTATTCACAGTTGGCAAAATGCTGCGTGTAGACAGGGAACCTTCATTGAATATCGCTTGTGTCGGCGCCGGATATGTCGGCAAGTAGTCAATGAGTTGTATTTTGTTGATTAAACTCTGCACCGGCACTCATTGCTCCTTTCATCCGTCTCTCCCGTTTTTCTTGATGTGTTGCAGGGGGCCCAACCTGCGCTGTAATAGCGCACAAGTGCGCCCACCACAGAGTTACAGTGGTTGATATTAGCGAAGAACGGATCGCAGCCTGGAACTCTGACGAGCTACCTATCTACGAAGCTGGACTCTCTGACATCGTGAAAGAGTGTAAAGGGCGGAACCTGTTCTTCTCCACTGATGTTGACGGGGCAATCAACGAGGCAGATATCATTTTCCTCGCTGTGAACACTCCCACAAAAGCAAACGGTGTTGGGGCAGGGTTCGCTTCTGATTTGACGTAGGTTTGAGCTGACACGCGCCGCCTTATTGTGAAATTTGAACCATCTTTCTCGCGAGCGTGATTTGATGGAAACTCACGCCCTCCTGTCGCTGTCCGATCCGTCCTTTCCACCAGTTATCTAGAAGCCGCTGTTAGACGAGTCGTCAAAGTTGCCAGGCGATCGAAAATCCTTGTGGAAAAGTCAACTGTTCCGTGCCGGACAGCCGAGAGCATTGCCCAGGTTGCGGCGGCCAACGCTCGACCAGGGGTCCATTTTCAAGTTCTCTCCAACCCCGAGTTCCTCGCGGAAGGGACAGCCATTCACGATCTTCTTCACCCTGATCGCATTCTGATTGGATGCATGCCTACCGAGGATGGTCTAAAGGCGCAAGAACTCTTGACCAATATCTATGCCAAATGGATTCCCCGGAAGAAAATTATCGGAATGCACCTGTGGTCGTCCGAATTGGCTAAGCTGGTAAGAAGATGTGGGCTTGTGTGAAACTGTGTTGTGATTGGAAGCATTTGGCACCTGACCTGAGACTTCTTTTTGGCAGGCTGCCAACGCTTTGCTCGCTCAGCGGGTCTCGAGCATCAACGCCATCAGCGCCATCTGCGAAGCCGTAGGCGCCGACGTTGGCGAAGTCGCCACTGCCTGTGGACAGGATTCCCGCATTGGACCTCACTTCTTGACTGCTAGTGTTGGCTTTGGAGGAAGCTGTTTTCGCAAGGACATTCTGAATCTCGTATACCTCAGTAACGCTTTGAAGTTGCCCCAAGTTGCGAAATACTGGGAGCAGGTACGTCCAGATGGGGCCCGGTTTCTTAAGCCGCGTGGTGACGAGCAGAACTGGAGAACGACGATAATGTGGAGGAGACTGACCCTGTTTCAATCAAATTGTTGCTCAGGTTAATTTAATGAACGAGTATCAACAGCATCGGTTTTCGAAGCGAATCTTGGCCGCCCTCTTCAACACTATCTCGGACAAACATATTGCTGTTCTCGGGTTCGCGTTCAAGAAGGGCACTAGTGATAGCCGGGAATCTCCAGCTATTAATGTGGTGTCAGATTTACTCTCGGAAGGCGCGAATATACGAATTCACGACTGCAAGGTGCCCAGCAAGCAAATCTTCCGAGACCTTGCTTGCTCTCTCGCAAATGGGCGCGGATCAGTTGGTAAGACGGCTGCCGGTGGCTTCTAGATATGAAACTGACCAATCGGGCTCACGGCTTTGTTAAACTCGTTACGTCACGTAGAAGTCTGTGAAACTCCATACCAGGCAGCCATGAATGCACATGCCCTGGTTATCTTAACGGATTGGGCCGATTACCAAACACTCGACTACAAAGCTATCTACTGCAGCATGAGCAAACCTGCGTACCTCTTCGACGGCCGTTCGATAGTTGACGAACAGGAAGTTCGACAAATCGGTTTCGATGTGCACATCATTGGAAGGGCGCGTGAACGGTCTTTACCCAGGCTGTACCAGAACGTACTTGCTGATTCGCGAGCAGTCGTGTGAATATACTATGCCCCGCGATATTCACAAACTGCTCTCAAGATCTGATCAGTATATCATCTTTGTAACTTGGACGTGAGAAGAGCAGAAGGGCCTTTGCACCATACCCAGAGCTTCTCCAGCACCTTTCTCTTTTCCACATGGTCTCTTGGGGATTAGTTGCAACGCACCTAGCCGCTCTGCTTCACTACACATGTAACCCAGGTTGTTCAATAGAAAATCATCGCATCCTCTGATGAAGCGTAATTATCGCCTTGAGGTTCGCCCATGGCAAGATGTTGAAGGAAGCAGGGAAAAGCGGATTGCCGGAGCTGGGAATGGGTAATGGGTTGCTCAGAGTGGCGCGCTAGCACAGAACGTTGTACATTGCTTATCTAATCGATCTGACATCCACCCGGCTGAGAAAATGGTCGCACACTCGCCTGACTGGTTGGGTCAGAGCTTGAGAGGCGAGTCGCGCTTACGTAACACGTGTTTTTCGGGTCCCCGCCGGGTACACGTCGACCTCTCTCATCCCAGTGGACTGCCTTACAGACATTAGTGAACCAAAACTCTCGCCGCCTCTCAACAACTTTCGAAGCCATCGCTCCACTCTCGAGACATTCATTGGCCGCATCATGGTCGTAGCTAATCAGTTGGACCGCCATGGTCCCGCGGTATACATCTGGTACGCTTTGTCCCTCATAGGGCGGTGGGTCCTGCCGCTATGCATGCAAGGCTCACGTGGGGTCGATTTTGCCTCGTTAACAGCACCTGGATTTCTTTCTCAACCTGCGTGATCCTATTCAACAAGTACATTTTTACATCTCTGGATTTCAGTGAGTTGACAGCCCTGTTCGATTCTCTTTGAACGACGGCACTCATGTCATCAGTACTGACCTGGATTTGATAGAGTTTCCTATTTTCCTTACTTTCTGGCATCTAGTGTTTGCCAGTATTGCCACAAGATGTCTTCGCAAATGGACACATCTATTAGACGATGTAGACGAAATCCAAATGACCCCTTCCCTCTATTGTCGAGGGATCGTCCCCATCGCAGTAGTATTCTGTGCCGCTCTCGTTACCTCAAATTACGCGTATCTCTACATCTCGGTTGCTTTCATTCAAATGCTCAAGGTTGGTACCCGTGTACAAAAAGTTAGCCTCCTGGCGGGCTTCTTTCTAAAACGAGTTTTGCAGTCACTCACGCCGGTGATGGTTTTGGCTCTCGACTGGTCCATGAATGGCAACACAGTCGATAGGAAAACCTTACTCTATGTGTTTATCATCATGGCTGGAACCGTCATCGCTTCCTATGGCGAGTTGGAATTTGTCCTTTTGGGTGTCATACTACAACTCACGGCGGTCGCCGCCGAAGCATTGCGGTTGTTGTTAGTGGAAAAATTGCTCAATACCGCTATGAAAAAGAAAATGAATCCGCTGTCCAGCTTGTATTACTTTGCTCCGGTAAGCTGAATGCAAGGTCTACGAAGAGATGTACCGCACCCCCCCAATAGCGAGTACCGACTCTCACCAATCATTTCGTTTCGTTCTACCGCAAACAGATATGCGCTCTACTGAACGGCATCGCATGTTATTTCTATGAAGGGTCTTCATTGACGATGGTAGCAATCCACAATGTTGGACTGCATATATTGTTTCTCAACGGACTTGCGGCATTTGGGCTCAACGTGGCGGTCGTATTTTTGGTAAGCAACACGGAACACCGCTTTAAGCCGTTCGTCACTTGGCCCTGTTTTTCTGAATGTTCCTCAACAGATTGGCAACGCTTCGGCTCTTATCCTTTGCGTATCGGGGGTTGTGAAGGACGTCATCATCGTCCTCTTATCCACCTTTCTGTGGAGCAAAACTTTAACAGCGATTGAGATTTCCGGATACTCCTTCGCCCTCCTGGGCGTTCTCCTGTTCAAGTCCAGGACTATGGCGCCTGAGAGGACAGTGCGCGAGTGGGGCCAAAAAGCGAAGGAGATGCTTGCAAGTTGGCGAGGACTGGAAATGGAGGAAAAACATTTGATGGACGTTAGGGTTTAGGACCGGTTCAACTGCCAGAGGATGGGAATTCATGTATGAAGAGTTGATACCCATGAGTACATTGTGTAGGTTCGACCTCATCGCGCAAATAAACACCTATAAATGAAATTACCATGAAAACTAGACGTGGTGGCATTTATTTGTAACAGCACGGTGATTTGCGAGCAAGTTCATATATTAAGGTTCAATTTCAATTCAAAGGCCTGTTGTGAGAGCGCCATAAAGTCCGGTTTGGCATCGCAAATGTATATAGACTATATGCCAATGCACCCCAATAAAAGGATGTCCTCTTGACAAGCGCCGACTCGTTTGCCGAGGCATGGAGGAGAAAGTGGATATTCGCCCGATATACGGTTTTCTGGTCTTGCTGACAACGGTCAAATGTGTAGTCTGCTTCGATTTCAATTTGAGTATGACAGAGAGGGCTGAACGAAACCGACATTACGTACCCCTTGGGTGGAGCAAAAGTCAACCAGGGTTGGTGGGGCAGGGAAATACCACCATTTACACAGCCAAATGTATTTTGCAGCAGGAAGACCGGTTGAAAGCCATATCCCTGGTCCGTGACCTGCAGAGCATCTTCTGGATAAATTCCCGCGACTCGCCAACCAGCGAACATCTTCGGCAGGCGAAGGGGACCGTAGATCCGATGTGCATTCCACTCCAATTTGTCGTGGCAGCATGGGAATCCGACGAATGCGAACCCGCCTGGCACGACCACAGTCAGCATCCTGGCCATCGTTTGTAAATCCCCAATAGGATTGAGAATGTCCCCATATCGGCCTAAACCATCGTGTTCTAGAGACGAATAGGTGAAGACGAAATCGTATTTCGGGATGGTTTCCTTCAATATTCCGGAGACGAATTCTTTCGGTGTAAAAGTGTCGATATTGGGATGATCCGTTTTGATTTCGCCGAACTCCAGCGTGCTGATGTGGCGGGCTCCATACTCAAGCAGGAGTGCTTCAAGCCACGGGTTCTCGGACCCGATCACTAGACCTCGTTTCCCTCGAATCAAATGGCTTTGTGCGTCCATTGCTGCGTACACGTGTTCCATAACATAGTTGAACTTTGGTTTTCTTTCCCTAACTTCTCGCCTGTACTCATCGATCATTTGTTCGGTCCATTCCGATACGAGTGCGGATCCGCCCAAATACGCCTACGATGTGATTGTTGGTGAATTGCCCAAATTGGTAAGGACAGAGTCCGTCAAGGAAAAGGCCAACCTGGTCGAAGAAAAACTCAGACTCTGGTATCCTCCTATCAAGGGTGAATTGGTTGCGAAGAACAGCGGGGATCTCCTTTGGCGCGGGCCCGTAACGTGCTGGGGTCGACAGGAGTTACATATTTAGCTCTTCCTAGCAGTGAATGGGTGCGGATAATGAATCTCAACTCACCTGCATCTGGTCTCAGCCAGGCCTCTAGAAGCGGAAATTCCGGATGAAGTAAAGGCTGCAGACTTTTGGCAGATTCATGGAGATTCGCAGGCAGCCACTGACATTCCCGGTTTTCAGACGTAATGCTGTCGCTGGGAGGGTGTGTTGTTGAGATCCACTGCGGCATTGACTGATGAAACGAACCAGCAAACGCCTTGAACATGAAGAAAGTCGCCGCTACAGACACGAATAGGGGCAGGCTGGCGCGCAAGGAAGGAGCGGATACGTAGGCACGCATGATGGCTCTCCGATTCAGTTGGAGGCAGGATATGCGACGAGGGGGGGTGGGGTGGAACCTGCCTGCCTTTTATGCTCGGGAAAGTATGCGGTCTTGCCGAGGAACGCGTGTCACGTAATCAAATTACGGGTCTTACGCATTAGTTTGCGGATGCAACCCGACCCTTTCTGACCGGGCCTTCACCGTTCTGAAGACTGAATCTATTTTAAAAAAAGTCCTCACGGGGGCGCCAATCAGCCTTCGTTCTCGTCATTCGTCAAGTCTTCATCGCCACATCACAGTTGAAGACGGTCTTCTCTATACTGCACAGTATATCTACATCTGAGCTTGCAAAATGGCCGCCGCGAAGGCAACCCTTACAACTGAAGAAATATGTATGCTTACGGACAGAGTTAACATCTACGCCTTCAGCTCAGATCGACAGGATCAAGCTGTGCAGACCTGAGCTCAGCGCAGGATGTAACCGCTTTCCAAGGGCGATGGCAGCAACTCCCACCGCGGGGAGGAAATCCGACCATATGCAAACCGGGCGTACAGTACGCACCAGTTCGGCACTCTACGGCTTATCTTAGCCATTGCAGCCTCGCACGATCTCAAGTTCAATGGGGACCCTTGCATCTCGCTGTAGCAGGGGAACAGATATACTATTGTGAAGAGAAAGAGTCTCTAAGAGACTCTAAAGACAAGAAGATCACCGCGCTACAAAGCCACACTAGGAAGTACACTTGGGGAATGGGGAATAGCCCCCGACGAGACCGCAACATTACAAGGAATCATTCTGAATACCAATTAAGTCCATCATACCATCAATGCCACCGCCCTGAGTTATAAATGCTTCGTCCTCCTCTGACGGTAAAAGCCGGTGAGGAATAGGAACGAAGAGTGAATAGCCTAGTTGCCGGAGAGACTTGATATAGTCGAGGGGATCTTTGTTGTTTCGCCGTAAAAGTATGACGTTGATCTCTGTGGCGATGACTGTCGGGGGCATTTCGCGGAACATTTCAGAACCTCCCTCGATGAGATCCGGTTCATGCCCTTCCACGTCTATCTTCAGAAACCCCTGCACGTTTGAAGGAGAGGCAAGGTCAGGGCAGCCAAAGCGCAATTCAACCGGGTGCTATACATACGATTTGCCGCCGATTGAACTTTTCCTTCCACATGGTATCCATAGTCGTCACTTCAATCCGTTCTTTATTGTCGCAGACTGTGCTCACAGTCATTCCCCCCATGTTTCCCGTTCCATGTTCGGGAGATGTTTCCATGCAAAACGACCCAGTGTCGACCTTTGCACCGAAAGCATACTTGTATACCATGAGATTCGTAAGCTCATTTAGCTCGCCGGAGCAAAGGAGCTTTTCACGGGTAGTCTTCGTAGGTTCGAATGCGTGAACTTCGAAGCCTAATTTTGCGAACACCTAAACCGAATGAGATAAGTTCAGTGGAAGTCCACTTCGACGATTTTCCTTTCGACGGTGTCGTTTTACCAAGGCATGCACGCCAACATTGGCCCCAGCATCCACATACAGCCCTTTCCGATCCCAGAGGCCAGCAGTCTTGACGGCATCTAAGTAAGCCCGTTGTAGTTTATCCTCATAAAGTCGGTTTTCGTTCCAAACTATATCTCCGATGATATCGTTTTCGTAAACCATAATCTATAGGAGAGGGCTAAGGACGAATCCATCGACTACATCACAGAACACTGCGATAATACCTTTACTCGCAATTCTCGGCCGAGACTAGAGTCCACTTCTTTAGCCTTGATCGGCATACTTAAGCGACTCCATACACAGCTATCCTCCGCGTTTTCTTTCGGACGGGCATAGACGCCGAAGCGTTGCAGCGCGTTCGTCATCGTCGAGGCCCCTGATCCATAATGAAACATTATGTATGCCACTAGTATAGCACCAAGGAGGAGAACTGCAACCACGTTGGCCTTTCGGCGCGGGAGCGACACGAAAGTCATGATAGTGTTCGTTTGAAATGGGATGGTAGTGATATCGACAAAAATATGTCTACGGCAAACACCTCGCAGAGTATTTATAAAGGGTAAATGGTTAGGCCGGCATCTCGCAGAGCACTCATGAAGAAAATTTCGGGCCATCTCCCACACAGGACCCAGGCATTACTTTGCTCGGCGTGGGCCTACTGTGTAGTTGGCCCGATCGGGACGCACGCAGAGGGGGCGGGCAACATTCCATTCTCGCCCCCTCCCGCGTTGACGCGTAATGCCCATCCTCCCAAACAATAGCAACGCGTTTTTGAAGAGGGGAAACCACGCGTTTTGTCCTCTTCCATTTGGTCAAACGAACCTTGCTTGGAAAATATCTTCACGTTGCCGCCGCCTAGGTGGAGCGCAGCCCAAATACCGGTCGGCCAGGAAGTTGCTTGCCCGTCGTCGTCTTCCCTCCGCTGACCCAACCAAGGCACCATACGATGCGTGTGAAGAGCCGTATCTCTGCGAGTCAGCTTCGCCTTGCCTTTTGTGCACTTGCTGGCTCGCTGATGTCTTTCGTGCTCCTGGCCACATATTCACCGTATATTGGTAAGGCATCTTTGCGTGTGTTCGTGACAAGACCAATCAATCCTCACTGCTGCGACATCGCTCCACAATAGTGCGGAACTCCACAGTGGGCACCGTTTTCACCAGCAGTGGAACAGCCACCTCGGGGTCGATATTCTCCGGAGCTCGAGTGCGCAACTTTCGTGATACGCGCCCCGTCCGATTGCTAGGCCCGGCCAGCCACAAGGACTTGGAAACGGTTCTCGCCAGCGGAGCGCCAGTAAATTGTCGTCTTTGGGCAGTAGTAACTACCATCTTTACTCCGTCAGAGGCGGTAAAGCGAACAGCAGGCCTACTTCCCGGATGGTGCATGGTGGTCGTAGCCGATCGTAAAGGCCCGAAAGGCTATGCTATCGATGAAGCTCCCGCCAACATCTTCTACCTTACCACCGCATATCAGGAAAAGTGGGCCGCTTTGTCTCCTTTTGTCGACTCGCTTCCTTGGAACCATTTCGGGCGAAAGAATGTTGGATACTTGTGGGCAATCACGCATGGCGCGCAGCAGGTGTGGGATTTCGACGATGACAATGAGCTTGTAGGAGACGGCATCGTCTTTCCGAACGACAGTACACGAATTTTCAGCTTGCCCAATTTCGCAGCGGAAGCGCTCAATCCCTACCCGATTATGGGTGCCCCAACCGCCTGGCCTCGCGGATTCCCTTTGGAGCAAATAAAGAACGGTTCGACAATCCCCACGAGTGACGAAGGCTTATTGGGAAGCTGGGACGCACAGAAAATAGGAGTAATTCAATCGCTTGCCAACCACGATCCCGATGTGGATGCCATCTACCGACTCACAAGACCATTGCCTTTGTACTTTGAGAGGCCATCGCCAAATGAAATTCTGCTCATTCCCCGCAATACTTTGACTCCGTATAACGCTCAAGCTACCCTCCATCTTCACTCAGCGTTATGGGCGCTTCTACTGCCTATCACAGTTCATGGCCGTGTTTCTGATATTTGGCGTGGCTACGCGATGCAGGTGAGTACTTCCCGGATCTTCCATTTCCTGGATCGCAGAGTACTAATTCTTGATGAGTCTCCAGCGTCTTTTATGGGATGCGGGACTTCACGTGGCCTTCTCAGGTCCCTGGGTAAGGCAAGAACGTAATCCTCACTCATGGCTTGCAGACCTACAGGCCGAGACGGATCTCTTCGCCAAAAGTGGGAAACTCGTCGAATTTCTCCAATCATGGAAGGGTACGGGAGAAACCCTTCCGGAAAGGATTGAACAGCTTTTCATTGAGCTCTACGAACGCTCTTACATTGAACTTGATGATGTTCATTTGGCGCAACGATGGGTTGCCGAGCTAGCCTTCGCCGGCTACATTTTTCCACCGATCGTGCGGAAACTGACCCTAGCTGTTCGTACTTTTGGCGGTGACATTGGAAGGCTCAATGATGGGTAAGCTTTTGGCCCTGAATTCCCCAGTTCTCTTGCTATGGGTTTATTAATTGTGAAGCGTTAGGCTGCTTCCGACAATGGAGATGTTTGTCGATAGGGCTGCGATCGAGGTGAAATTAGTCTTTGACGATGAAAATGAACGAGATCACAACGTCGGCGACTGCCTTTCCGCCAGCTACTCTATTGGATACGAAGGCCTTCCCGCAAATCATGAAATGATGTTCACGGGCAAGGCATGGGGAGGCGTACGCAATCCGGGCTACGATCGGCAACAATGGGCAACCTTCCATTTGGATCGGTTTACGGATAGTGATTATATTGGAGTGATAGACTCGGACGGCAGTCTTTTCTCCTTCCTGCACCCGGAATCAGGAGTCTTCGACGCTGATGGACGAGTCATTTGTAAATCCACCGCAAAACGAACTGGTTTGTGGCCGGGTGATGCGGGTGCCCTCCATATGGACGAGGAAGCCCTCGGAGATTTTATGTATCCGAACCGAATGCCAATCTGGTACCGGCGAGAAACATTTCAGAATGCGCGAAACTATATTGCTACCATCTGGAACATGACCTTTGACCAAGCTTTCGCTGAGATCGCAACGAAACGGTATTCGCAGTTTAATATAATGACGAATTATGCGCTTAAGTACGAGAGCCGCTATTACAAGCTTGTGAAGGGGGATGACCCTGTCGGAGCCGTGAGTATCGGGTGTAACGGAGGATTTTGCACAACGAAGGATATTCAAGTAGGCTGCTGCCGGACATTCGGGGTGGCCTGTACGGACGCTATCACGAATGACCACGAACATATGTTGCGCTGGTTTGAGACTGAGGATGAACCACCGGTGGCATTCCTCAATAATCATGGAATCGTGGATACATATTACGAGCAAGTGCACGAATATATTCGAGCACTTCCTAATGAAACAGTGGGCCACATGAGAGATCACTGCATGGAACACCTGGCAGGCCGTTCGACTCGGAAATGCGAAACCTAGCCTCGTGCAAGAGGTCAGTCGCAACAGCTGAAAGTAATGAGAGCATTACTATCGCTAATCGTCTCGAAAAATGAATCTAGAAGCCCTATGCGAATCGTATACAAGGACAAGCGTGACAATCATGGGTGCAAACCGTATACGAAGGGAACGCAACGATAATCTCATTGCTGGCTTGAACCCTGGCTGGATAATCTCATTACTGGTTATGAGCCAGTATTCTACCAGGGAATCAACCAGTAATGAGATTGAAACCTGGCTTGAAAGATTATTTCCAAGGCTGGCCATCCCAAAGGAACATCAAACACAAAGCAATGTGTTTCTATGTATTATCAATACACAAATGTAATGCTTTCAGGGAGTAATGTTCCCAATCGTAAACATCTTGACACCTACGCATTTGAACTTCTCCGGTCATGCTTGAGGCTGTGGTGGCATCGAGTTCGCCACAACATGTGCACAGTCAGTGCCAATGGCGCTCACGGGGTTAACGAAAAAGAGTCAGTACAGTATGCTTCTGGATATCGCGCATCCGGGCTGTGCCAGAGCACCTTACCAGTCCTTGAGCGCCACAATACCATGGCACATGTTGTTAGCACCAGCTTAACACCGGCGTATCTCGCCGGGTCAAGATACGCCGGATCAGTCAACACCGCACACCGGCAACGACGGAACCTTATCTCAAAGGCAGAAAACATATAGTCTTAACAGAATGTGGCAGGAGGAGTTTGTCCATACATCTAATGCGCATGTTTAAAGAGAACCTACTGATCGTCTAGTGGTATTGTGTTCTCCCCATATGGAATTGGGGAAGAAGAGGGTGAGGTTGATTGTTACATGTTCTGGTCTATCCATCTATCATCCGACTGACCCTTACACGCCCAACACCTTCCTAATAGCAGGGAAGTTGGGGGTTCCCCAGCCAGTGACAGCATCCCAGCCCTTGCCGGCGGGGAACCCATCCGTGTTACAGCCGAGGGATGTACCATTGGTAACGTCGTTGAACGCCTTGTGTCCCGACTTGTACAGCCAGGGGTTCAAGAAACCCAAAGGCTTCTTGCCAGCCGCAAGTAAAGCGTCATTGACCAGCGCAAAGATGGCAGCAGCCGCGGGGGTAGCAGCACTGGTACCGTCCAAGCGGACAACCGTGCCGTTCCAGACGGTGAGGTAGCTCTGACCTTGAGCGGCGATGTCGGGGTAGGCGCGGCCGTGCTTGTTGTACAGACCCTTGTACTTGGACTTGAGGGCCTTAACATAAGGGGAGACTGCGTTCTTCTGGTACTCAGGGCGATTGAAGTAGTTGCTGAAACCTCCCCCGGAGCTGAATCCGTTCCTCTCGTCGTAGGCAACGACCTCGGGGGCAAAGTTCTTCGTGGCTCCGACGGAGGTCCCATAGGGGCAGGAGCTGGGGAACTCGGGCAAGAAGGTCTTCCTGCGTGTGCCGTCGTTCGAAATGCAGGTGTCGTCACCGCCGACTCCGGAGTCGCCGCTAGCAAAGAACATGGAGACACCGCGGGCGCCGAGCTGGGCGAAGGTATTACAGACCCTCTTGGCGTACGAGAGTGGAACGGTCTGTTCATCGTCGTCGTAGGAGGTGGAGATCACCTGGGGAAGATCCTTCTGGGCGAGCACGTACTGCAACCAGTCGAGGTAGGGCTCATTGGTGTTGGTGGGAGTGTTGGTGTCGTTCTTCCATGGTGGAGAACCACCGACGTTGTAGGCGGTGAGAGGGACGGGGTATGTGATGCCGAGGATCGTCTCCGAGTCAAGGTTTCCCTCAAGGTCCGCGCCGGCGTCCAATGCCTCAGGGCCTTCCTGGCCTTGGTGGTCAGTTCCGTTTTTGATGATCACCGTCTAGGAGGAGAGAAGAGAGGGTCAGTTTTGCGTGCTCTGCAACATTGGCACTATGTTTTGGGTCCTACCTTAAATGTGTCTGCTGCCCGGACCGCTTCGGGACGGGATATCTGAAGGAACCGGCGAGTGTCGCTACGGTTGTTGGATTCACCAAGGTAGTTGACCAAGGCAACCTTGCTAACGCCAGGCACCTGGGGTTTGTAGTTGAGGGTCCCGTAGAGGGTACGGAGACACAACGAGGTAACCAGGGTGGCATTGCAGTTCTGAACAACGGCATCCCGACCAGGAAGGAGACCGACACTCTGAATATGGGCGTGTTCTTTTGTGAAAGTTTCCACGACCTTCACGGGCTTTCTGCGGGTAGCGGGGCGGAAGAAGGAGTTGGTGGGGGAGATCATGTCGATGTGGTCGACGAGGTGTTGAGGGAGGGACCAGCTCGGCGTACGGACGACGACGGTGCCATCTTCGTGCATGTAGATGTGGTACTCGGTCTGGAGCATGCGCTCGGCGGTGGTGACGGGCAGCTCAACGCTGATCCAGTCCTTCGCGTGGGAGTAGCCGAGCTTATCGGCGGAGATGTCGTGGGAAGCCAACCAGTCGTGGACGTCCTTCGACGCGCCGGTCGAGGGCTGAACAAGCTGATGGACTTCCGTTTGAGTCAAGTGCTGGCCATAGCGCGGATGTTCCGGGTCGGAGACTGGATGACAAGAGAAATCGTCAGCCTTCAAAAACAAACACCTGATTCTGCGAGAATCTAAGCCGAACATACCCTCGTACAAGTGACGCTCAAGCTCATCAAAGTTGCTCTGCTTCAACGCAATGTCGAACTTCAAAACAAGGTCGGAGGGTGCACGAGTAACCTGAGTCCACTTGGCAGGCACGGGGTGGGTCTCCTTCACCGTGTAAGACTGGGCATGGGAGACCGGAGAGGCCGAGACCGAGGCTGCCGTGAGCACCGCGAGCGCGATTGATCCTGTGAAGCGCATGGTGGAACTGGGGAGGATTCGGTGATGAGCATGAAGAGCAAAACTGGGGCAACAACGACATCGCTTGGCTTATATACCTCGGAGAACGTAGACCTATTAAAGCTTCACAGACACTCGCTCAGATAATCAGATCGGGAACTTCCATCCGCTTATTGCGGATTGCGAACACTGCGATCATGATCCATGCAGGGTGCGTATGTACCACCCACAACACCGGACACCTCGCGGTCAGTACGGTTGCGGCTTTCGGTAAGCACAAAAATGCCTTGCCGCAACGTCTCATTCAAGTTCATCCAACGTATTCCGTTGCGGATCGAGCTGCAAGTCTCAGCTGCCAATCGATGAGACCGGCGAGGTCGGGCAAAGAACGGTAGTGTCGCCCATCACCTTTAGCCCAACGCCTGAACACAGTGCACGGCGTATGCTGTTCGCCCGGGCGTTCCCGATCTTCCTATCGATGTTCTCGAGTTTTTGCGCACATATTAGACATGACGCTAACCTCAGTAATTCGGACCGTCACCAGTGACCACCCCAAACAGACTATTCGATAATTTCGATGAACCATTTTCCGACATCCGATACGATGATCCGAATTCCCGGGCCGGAAGGAATCCAAATATGCGAAAGTTCCACACCAAATTTGATTCCATAGTTGGTGATGAACGGCAATCTATTGGCGTTTGTGGATCCTTCCATTTGGCGCTCTTACGGCGCGGCGCATCCATGGTACATACAGTACATTCCGCCGGAATTCATTTCCTACCGTTACCCGCTCAGACCGCTGTCAAGTTCTATCGACAGGCATGGTCATTTGAGGCGCGAAAGAGCAGAACGACGCGCTTCCACCTTTGGTACTGCAAGATAGTGATGAAGGAAAAGCGCTTCACGTAATATTCTTGGCTTCAAATCACCTCCATATCCTTGCATAGCAGCCTGAAGGGAGGTATTATAACTCACCTATTGCTTGGCGACCCACATGCCGGCGGTCCAACGAAAAGAACCAGACTGCTCTAGGATGGCCCTCGGCGGTTCTGATAACCCCTAGACGCTGCTGGGAGGGCTGCCGGCCTGTCGTCACTTTCTGAGAATGTTATGTAAAGTGTTTCGTGAGTACATATTCATGGAGCTCGAGTGGCGGCAAGGCGCAAGATGAAGGAGCGCCTGGTGGTCCCATACCCGAGTAGGAGAGGGTGTTCCGACAGACCATTGAGCTTGAAGTAAATGAAGCTAACAGCATAGCTGATTTACACCCAATTGGAGTACCGGAAGCATGCAGTACATGTAGCATTTGCAGACAGGACTTATCAAAAGATGCAATAACCAAATCGGAGGGGCACTTCGCTTGATCGTGTCCAACGCGGCTGTGTCTGAAGCCTTGAGAAACGCCTACGTATTGTGATGTCCGCACATCCCACAGTGCAATTGCATGGGTTGAAAGATCTGTCTACATTCATCGCGAAATAGGAACGCTAGTTTTAGTACTGCCGTCTTCCCCACTAGCTACAGATGTATCATGATTTGATGCTTGCTTTGCGGAACTATCAAAGGCTCCCAGTGATATTGGAAAAGGTCCACTTGCTGCAGAACCGCAGCCCCATCACCGCTGCATATCTTCTTCAGCATCGGCAAACTGATCTTCTTGCGCCGATTCCCGCGGTTGCTGCTGTTGTTGTTGTTCTTGAGCCTGCTGCGAAAACGGGTTTGGTCCAGCAAACACCGAGCTGAGGTGATCCAGCGCCGCTTGTTGCAGGTCATTGAGCTCTTGTGCCGATTCAGGCGTCGTGTACCAATCGTTTGAATCTTCCTCGTCGGCGTCTTGGTCGTCCCCTACTTCTGTTGGGTCCGGGTGGAGGGCTGCGCAGGAGGAGATGGCTTGGTATAGTGCGTCCACTGGAATGACAGATCACGAGTAAGCAACTGTGGCTTTCGGTATAAGTTAACATAATAGCCGCAACTTACGTCCAGTAACATCATCCGGAACTAGCCTAAATTCAGGTGTGGAGTCCTCTTCCACCTTCTCGTCATCCTCTTCATCCTCTTCCTCCGCTCTTGCGCTTGGATTGGTAACATTGCCATTGGCATCCCTCTGAGATTCGATCACGGCAGTGGGTAAAGAGTGAGTTTTGACGGTTGCCGAGTCAAGTTGTGCGTATATGTGGGGGATGTTGACGCCAGTGACATCGTCGCCGTGTCGAGAGACGGCATGGATGCCTATTGATGGGTAGTCGATGGCTATGCAGATAGATGTCGACGGGTTGAAGAAGACAATTTGTCTGCAATAGGTGTAGGAGGCGTTTCAGTTTGAGTCCGGGGATACCAACACGTACGAAAGGACGCCGTTTTGTCCGTCGCCTTAGTCAATTCATCAAGCTTGCTAGTCCTTAATGTTATGCAATTCCCGCAATCAGGGCAAGCATGCCCCATGCTTGGTTTTATCCAGCAAACCTTTACGCCCTGACCGTCTCTCCACATCTCCCGGGATAACTAGGTCTCCTGTTCCCACTCCAGCCTGCCGACTGCAACCACCATCCATCCGCTGCTCCCACTCACGTTTCAGCAATGTATAGTTCACCCTTCCCAGGCACGACGCCTGTGGCCAACGCGGGTGTAAACAGTAAGGTCACATTCTGTTGCATGTGGCGAACGCGGGGCAGCAAGGCGGGCTGCTGAGTGGCGGAGACAGCGTCAACCATATCACAGCTCGGCTGCAGCTGTTGCTGCTCGTATGCTTGCCATGTTTGAGTTGGCGAGATCAGTTCGGGAAGAGTGGATGAAATATGGATGGGCATTTTGCGTTGAGGTTCGAACTAAGTTGGAGAGCGTCTAGAGTAGTGGACTTCGGCCTGCTGCTGCGAACGGGGCAGAGCTGTGATTGGATGTGGCGCAGGTGGCGCAGAGCACTTACATAATGCGCTGCCTCCGTCTTCGACAGTTGACCATCGACACATCCGCGTTCCGGACAGCTGAATCCTGAGGGGATCCTGTAAGTCAGTCTTAAACGGTTCTGGTGCGGTGGGTACATTTCGGGAATTGGCGCCCTGAATCCCCCATATCATCATCCGCCTTCCTTACCTTGCAATGTATTATGAATGGGAGCCGGCCAAGGCGTGAACGAAATGCACATCCGCAAATATGAAAGTGCAGCTCTATACACACCCTCATCACCCGACGCTACCACCTACCACAGCTCAGATCTCTCAAACATGGCTTTGCCACACGGGAACGTGTGGTCTTCGATGCCAATACACTCCTGACTAACATGGGCGCATTTATTCGATGAGTGGGAGTGGACACGAAGGGAAGCCGGGCTTAACCTTTTAGGTCTGCACTCAGCAGTCTCCATGATTCCCCGCGTAAGGAGTGAAGGAATTCGACCGCTAAGAGCACGGAGGGAGAAAAATAGCGAACAGAGCACCAAAGCGTAGCATACAGGGAAGACAAACAATGCAAGAGAGTTTAACGGCCAAGTCTTAAGTAGCTACTTCTCCGGTTCACGATAAACTACATCACATGCAGTCACACTACATAGGTGCGGGTTTGTGCTGTCGCCTTGCAAACGCGTCTACCGCAAAGCGTTTGAAGCGACGCAAGGCGACTGCGTCTCGAGCAAGTTGTCGCACCATCATGTCCATAGCATCTCCTGGTTGTGACGGCCCATCGTGCCAGATGAAGTGCCTGCGCACTCGCAACATAGCTTCTTGCATCTCTTTTATTCTTGACTGTGGGATCTTAGCCAGCTCGTCCACAAAGTTATAGCCGGGTTCGAAGATCTTGGATTCAGGGATGAAAATCGCTACCGACTCCCAGTCCACGAAATCCTCGTATGGGAGGATGCACAGGTCACAGATCATCACCTGAGGGAGAGTCCGAGGCGGTTTGAGAATGTTGAGTCAGTGTTGGTAACCCGATAAGATAAGATCGCATCTCCCTGCTGAGAGATGCCCTCAAATTACCGGAATTGTCCCCCCCATCAATAATGAGAACGATCGGCGTGCTGTCCTGATGTCTCCGGCGGTGCTCGGTCCGAAAACGCCACGATCGTTGACCGCTGGTACATCGGAAATTTTTCTGCGTTCGGTCATGAGCACTGCCAGCGTGTCATTGTGCCTCGCGTTCCTATCAGCCATTTGATCTAGAACAGCTTGCCGTATGCTGATAACGATTCCGTCAATATAATAGATCATACCAGCACGTAGAGGAGACTGGTACACTCACGCTGCTGCATTCGCAGGAATTGTCCCGATCCACACAGCGAGTTTATCATGGTTGGAAATGTGCTCTTTTACTTCTGCTTCCCCCATATTGGCGAATCGTGGATCCGGGTATCTGATGAGAACAAATGAGAAGGATAGTCCAAAGCATATTGTTCCCTCGTGAACGGCGCCATGAGAGAGTCTTACGATATAATAATGCTGTTTCGTTCTCGTCGAAATACTTCTCCATCCAACAGTCTCTCGTCTGTTCCCGTCAAGCCCACAGGAAGACTCCAGATTTCGGGCGTAATGTAGTTTATGTTGGGCATGAGGCTGCGCAGATTTGCCAAAGCGCCCTCCCCCTGAGAGAATCGAGGTTTTCAATTGACGAGAACTTCAGATACACATACAAACTGTTCACATACCAACGCGTAATGATCGTGCCCTTTGAAAATCTCTGCCTCCGGTTGCTGTGCTACCCATTTGAATACTTTGCAGTACGGTGTAAATTTCCAATCCACACGAGGGCGTTCAGCAGAAGAGCAACTTACCCTTGTCGCTGTGATCGGAAGGGCCCCACATATTAGACCCTATGCCCTTTATGAGAAATTACCGCTGAGGCATGAGCTCCTGCGCTTCCGAATTATCAATGATGGCATGCTCACCAATACTGGGACCACAAAAGCATCTGCCTCGCTTCTCTTACTCGTGTGGCAAGGATGCAGTTTCAGATACTTCCAGATGTACACCTCTGCCGAATGATGGGATTCACTGCCGGACGGTTGAGTGTAACGCGTATGCAACGGCTTTTCTTAACGGAAAGCTCCTGGAAAACTCACCCATCATTTGGATCCAAGTACGGCGGGTTGCGGTCCAAGACAGGTTGATAGAGTTCCATTGGTACGTCATAAACATGGAAGCGGAACCCACGCCTGTAGCCGTTCGACGTTATCTCATCGCCGAGACACTCGAACTCCTCAAAGGGACGTGTATCTGCTGCTTTGTCGGTCCTGTTGAAGTGGTCGGCTACGGATCCGGGAAGGATACGAAGCAACTTCTCCGGGCGTTGCGCGAATAGCGTAAGGAGTAAGGTGAAGAACACCGTCATGATTGTGAACCCCCCTATAACTGGCAAATACCCCTTGAGGGACGCCGCACACCTACAAAGCCGACTCATTGTCAAACCGCTTTGGGGAAACGTTTGTAGTTGATCAACCGTCGACTAGAAGTGAGTGAGCGGAAGGAAGGAAGAGAGGCGATCGCAGTGACGTAGGATATATTCAAAGGAGCTCCCGATGGAATTGAGCACGCGAACATCTCCCCCAGCAGTGTGCTGGATGATGACTGCGGATTGAACGCGCTCGTTGCTCGATTTACGCGTAATGACTTGCTCTACTCGCGCGCTTGACCTTCCCAGGCCAAAGGCTCCATCCTTGAGCAAAGCGATGTCCAACCGCGAGAACCCGCAGAAGTACTCTGTCCTGCCGCCGGATCGCGACCACAGGGATTCTGAATCTGGAGATGGGAGAGTCATCAGGGAAACGCAAGAAGAGCGGGCCTTGAGCCGCGTGCCGGCCGCGGTGTTTGTGTGGTACGTTCTATAAAGGACAGTCCTCTGGACGCGGTGGAGTGAACAAATGGGTCTCTTTGCCCCTTAGCTTTTGGGTGGCATGCTCAAGCGGCCTGATTTTGTATAATAAATCCGTCTTGCAAGTTTTCCGTAAGTTGAAGGATGGAAAGGCTGGCATTGAGAAAAGTGTAGGCATTGATTGATGTGTAACCCAAGCTAAGCATATTCTCGCAATCCACTCTGCAGCGTTTCCGATGTTTTTGACGACATTCCACTTGGCCTTCGCAACATGTGCCACCCAGATCCTATACCGAACGACAAACATGCTGCAAGGAGTTGATCATACCCCTATGTCGCCGGCGATCTATGTCAAAGCGGTCTTGCCAATAGGCTTGTCCTTCTCGATCAGCTTGATCCTGTGCAACTCCGCGTACATGTACCTATCTGTAGCTTTCATTCAAATGATCAAGGTAGGCCAATACTTTTTGTACGAAGGAATACCACGGGAATCTTCCGCTATTGCCAACTGTCTTACAAAACCTATATCCGAATCCCAGTCAAGCACGTCCGTAATGGTCTTGGTCATTTCGTGGATTCTGGGCGTCTCCAAGCCAAACAGAGCGGTGCTCTTGCCGGTGCTTGTTATCGTTTCCGGCGTTTTCATTGCGTCCCTCGGGGAGTTGGCCTTTTCTTGGATAGGCATCTTTATTCAATTTGGGGGCACGTTCACTGAAGCGGTACGCTTGGTGCTGATGCAACAACTGCTCAGCAGTTACGACATGAACCCTTTGACATCCCTTTACTACTTTGCGCCGGTAAGAAACTCAACAGGATTGTAGCCTAAGTTTCGGGCACTTTGAAACAACATCATCTTCCTTCTTTTAGATTTGCGCAGTCATGAATGGGGTGGCCTTTTATATTTTTGAGTATCCAACCTTGACATCCAAGTATTTTGCCGCCGTCGGAGCAGTTAACTTGGTAGCCAACGGTTACGTGGCGTTTGCACTGAACATATCGCTCGTATTGCTGGTAAGTTGGGCTGGCTTAAAACCTCCGTATCAGGGAAGAAGTACTGAAGTATTCGCTTCACGTCTCGCACACCCACGCATGCACGCAGATTGGAAAAACATCCTCATTGGTGGTCTGCTTGTCTGGGGTCGGCAAGGACATGATACTCGTTGTCGTGTCCTCCATCATTTGGAGCACTCCTTTTACAATGCTCCAACTCTATGGTTACTCGTTAGCCCTTGGCGGTCTGGTGTGGTACAAGGAGCCTCAAGTCTTCGTGCACTGCCTAAGTGTATTACCGCGCTTTTCCGCCTCGCATAGTGCGCCGAGAAGGTTGGGACGACAGTCGAAGTCGGATGCAGAACTTGACGAAGTGCCGTTGGCGAGGAGAAGCACGCAATTGAATGACGACGAAGTGTGAACCGATGTCAATCTGAAGTGTGCTGATGATATGGCCTTTTCGTCAAAGAAGTCTCATTTTTTGAATATGGGGAGGAATGGGGAGGATGGGAAAGGCTAATAACTACTGTGTACATATATGCGTATTCCCAGGCTGCCCCTACTGACATGGTCCCCTATACTGAATGAATTCTTTCAAAACCGCCTTGGTGGACTCCGCCAGCTTTTTTATGCTCTGTTGTTGCATCTTCAAAACAAACAGTCCTGCCGAATGCTCTTGGTTCCCTAATCGGCGGTGGATTTTGCTTTGGGTCTGGCCAGGGCTGCCTTGCGCTGTGACACCCAGGTCTGCCTCCGAAATGCAAATCTCCCGACAGACAGCCAAATAGTCGCTAATGTCCCCAGTCTCCTGTGCAAGGTTTGCGATATTTATGGCAAGTCGCAGATTCCGACGACTCACTTCGGCTACCAATTTGTCGGCTTCTTTCACCGTCAGGAGGAATGTCATTCCGCCATAGACCATCCCCGGTTCTACACACACAGTGACTCCACAACGCTCCCCAAACTCTGCGATCTCGCGGAATATGGCCACGGTAGTCGGGTAATCCCAGCCCAGTTCGTAATTGTGTGTTGTTGGTGGTGCGGCACCCGACTCCTTCCGATTCGATAGAACTATCTGTTTGGCACCGAGCCAACGAGCTAGCAGGCAAGCTGACTGTGCCAGCTCGATAAAGTGCTCCTGCTGCTCGTTTGGTTCCAGAAGGTTCAATGGGTCATTCAACGCGAGAATGGAATGGAGACTGACTATTGAGAATCCCTTCGTCGCCAGATCCTGCGCGTAGTGTTCGGCAGATACTTCGTCTATTTCCAGCCAATTTGGCCAAATTCGTGTTGGGTCGATCGACAGCTTCGAAACGCCGAAAGCCGATAGTATATGGAGTGCAATCACATCCTGACCCGGCAACCAACACGAGTTGCTCACGGCTAGAGTCGATGCAAGTTTTCGACGCAAGTGCCGCTTCAAGTCGCTCAATGTATCGTTCTTGGGGATCAAGTAAGGCTTGTCCATTCCCCACAAAGCCGCATGCGCAGTCTGCAACTGGGATGGGAACAACTCCTCTGCGGGCCCGTGGCGAGGAGCGCTTCGATGCACATGGTTTTCATTGCGACTCCAGAGGGTTTCTGCAATATCCTCTAGGAGTATCGGTTCCGGTGCCAGGTTGATAGTCTTGAGACCCGCAGCGCTGGCTATCTCGAGATCCGGCCATAAGCGTGCCATCGGGTAGAATTGGTACAATCTGGAAGGTTGCTGCTCCGTGACGACTTCACTCGTGATAAGCGTCAGTGCCGCATCCAGATCTCCGCCATAAAGGTTGGGTACTCTTGCAATGAGGCTGCAGGGAAACTGCTTCCTCACAAATGCCTCTATGAGCAAGCTACCTGATGACGCACTTCCCTCTTTGAGAGGAAGGAAGTCATCGGTAACGAGCTGCTCTGGCGGCTCCCCTTGCACCTCGTTGCCGTCCTTCATAGATGTAACAAGGAAAAATCTGTTGCAATTAACGTATCGAAGGTGAGATTTCAAAGTCTCGGCATAGTACCGCTCTTGCTCTTGCGGATCATCTGCCTGATGCTCTGTTTCCTCGTGAGCGATGCGTCGATGGCGGGGATGCACGAAGCCATCGGGAAGGATGCATAATATCGTATCGAAAGAGCATCCGACGATATCAGCAAGATGGGACACGTCGAACTTCTCCGCGAAGTCATCACCGAACACTTTCCCCCATGCGGTCCGCTGGCGAGACCTGGTCACTATCAACGCTTTCCCTTTCAGTTGAGATGAGGAGCTTAGCTGTCCGCGCTGCGGCCGCGTGCGTTCTTTGAGCCACTGCATCACCATGTTCTCGGCGTGGAAAACGCCAGTAATCTTCCCTCCGAACAGACAAATTGTGCGTGCAGTATGGTGTTCCACACATTCACGGTTCGCAGAGCTGCTTTTTAGCTTGGTTTTGCACGAGACAAAGTGCCCAGCGTAGTGGTAGTCCTCGCTAAATCCCTGTATAAAGTGCTGCGCCTGTTCTTCAAAGAGCGGTCGGAGTTTTTGCGCGTCCTCCTCGGTAAACGTTTTCATGAGAGCCTCAGCGTCGGCCGCCTTTTCAAAGCGCCCCAGTGGTGTGTGTGGCACGCTTGTTAGAGTATACAAAAGCTGACCGTCTTCGCCGCGGTACTCGAAAAGAGAGATGAAATCGCCATCGATGATAGTATAGCTCGCCGGTCGTGTATGGTGGTGCGTCGATCGGTAGAGCAATGTGAGGCAAGGCTCAAAGTAGCAGGGAATGCGCTGACTGGATGTCATATGATTATACGTGCAGTCTATGGTGAAGTCGAATTGCTGCCCGTTAACCAAGACGCCGGATTCTCTCTCCTCAAAGCTAGTTACGGCAGTGTTGAACTTGACGCTTGAACCAAGTAAGCTGGTGAAGTACTCTTGGCATCGAACTGGCAGGAAGTTTTGTTCAAAACATCGAAGGACACCCTGCACATTCCTCAGATTGTAGTCGCCATTGTTTACGAGCTCAAAAGCTAAGCCACTATGATTGGGAGCAAGGTGAGGGAAAGATTAGAACGGGGAGAAAAAGCGTTCATGGTCGCTTGTATCTATCGATAAGACGGACGCACCTGGCTCGCATGATTTGGGTTGTAGTTCCCAAATCCAAGATGCTGTCGTTTGCGACGCCGTACAGGTTCTCGTGTATATAACTTGTCAGGTGCGGATATGTCTCACGCATTAATCGAAATCCCTTCAAAGTCTCGCTTCGCGTGTTTGCCGAGCGCGCATAGTGGAAGCCTTGATGAAGCCGAAACTGGTTCCAACGTGATGCTTCCATGAATAACTTGGCATTCCGCTCGAAGAGTGTCACTTCATATCCTTGTTCTAGCAGCACCTTTGTGAGGTGGCACCCATACCAGCCACCCCCAACAATGGCGATGGATAACTTCCGTGCATGTCGGGAAGCTAGTTCTTGCCGAGACAACAGTCTCTCCAAGGGTACCACTGGAGGCGACTGAGATCTCGCGATTAGGGAGCTGTTTGGGCTGTTATTTGCTCCCTTGGTTTGATCTGACACTATCTCTGTAATCTTCTTCAGCGCTGGCCCTTGGTTCGGGTGCTTCAGGCCTATGACCTTTGGAGGATCGCGCATGTTGATTGTGGTGAATCTATGTCGAATGTCTGAAAGGGAGTCCGCTACGTTCCTCTTCTAAGGCTGCCGTCTTGCTTTGGCCACGTCTTGACAGTGAACCAGCCTGGAGCGCTGGCTTCGGTCGCTATGGATCTGAGAACTTTGTCTCCGTCAGAATCACCGCTACGAAGCTGGTGATATTTGCTCGCACACCTCTCCCTTCTGTGCGCCACCGTATGAGGATTGATACGCTTAACTTATAGCGGACTTTCTTGATCAAGCTTAACTCTCACCCGACCGTACTATGCTCAAAGAGTGCCACCAACCTCATCTATACATACGCGGTTTTACGTGATCTTGATGCTTACGTGATACGCGTGAACGCGGCATTCGGGACTGAGTGCGCACGCGATAAAAACCGCTCCGCAAGGATCTCCTCCAACGAACCCTAATACGTTAGCCAGAAACTCCCATTGCAAACGGTTTTGTCGAATCTTTGGCCGTTGACCGCACATTGTGATTTAGTTCTGCTCTGGTGAAGCGAGTGGAAAGAGCTCCCCGCACTCTATTTTGCCACGATTTCGAGTTATTAGGCAACTTTTGCGTTTACGAAATCCACGTTTCATTCAACCGTGCCCCGTCCTCCGATACCCAGAAGGTGTTCACTGCTCCCAGTCAGTGCGTTTCAAAACAGTATACCTCCGCGACACCGATGTGAATAGATATGCAGTCTTCTACGGACTTAAAGACCAAAGTATATATCTTTCACAAGGTGGACTGCGGTTTTCACACGCTGAATATTGTCTTCACCGTTTTTCATCTCGACACTCAACTTGATGGGGCGGTCCCAGATGGTTCTCTTCAGAAGCGTCGCAAAAGCTGCATGGTCACATTGGGGTCTGCTGAAGTCCTCCAGGTATGGTTCGCTAATGTGGACATGGAAGATTATATCTTTCGCCTCTTGAAGGACCGAGAATATGTCGTCCTTTGCCAAAGTCATGCAAGCTAGATCGACGTGAAGCAGAAAGCCCGGATGCCCGACTCTGCGGACGGCGGCCGCGGCTTGCACAGCATTGTAAAGATAGTCGCAACCGTATTGAGGGGGGTTCGCCTCGAGACAGATGACGACGCCTCTCGACTCGGCGTACATGGCTAAAGCGGACCAGATTTCATCGCCCAACTTATGGCACTCGTCTTCAGTCTTGCCCTGCCTCAGACGGTTTTTCGGAGCTCCAACAACGATAGCAGCGGGGCGAGTTCGCTTATGACTTTCGGAAGCGTTCTGATGAATGGTACTACAGAGTTCGATGACGAATTTCATGTGATCGAGAAAGGCGGTCCGCTGCTCGTCGTTTCCTAGGAGCAGGCACGCAGGGCGATCAAAGAGAACCGCCTGAAATGAAGGAACTGAAAATCCTTTCTCTTTCAAGAGGCGGCCAAACTCGGCTGCACGGCCGTCCGCCAGGGCGTTGTGACATTCAGGCCACGAGTTCCAAATCTTTGTAGGAGCAATCTCCAATTGGCGAACGCCCGACTCGCTGAGAAACCGAAGAACCGAATTGCTCTCGGCTTCATCTGTCCATGACCACGCGATGTTCGAGATGACAAACTTTTCGGCAAGGATGTGATGCTTCACAAATTTTTGGATCATGTCAATCGACTGGGATGCGGAGTAGATGTAATTGGGCACAGTAGACCCAAAGTAGGTTGCATTCTTGGTCTGGATGCGGTATACAATCCCCGGAGCGCTTTCGCCCACCTGCGGCACCTTGCCCAGCACCTAGAGTGTGTGTACATATGTGTGTGAACAGTCTTTAGCATATGCGCGCTGAGCCTAGAAGGCAAGGGCCCCACTGATGCCATCAAGTGGGAAATCCAGTCCCCTCACCTCGGGGGTCACTGCCTGGGTTTCTTCCAAAACCCTCAAGATGTCATGCGTCCAGATTGGCTCCGGGAAAAGGTTAACCAATGTCAAGTTGACTGCCAAAGCTGTTTTGATGTCGTCCTCCAATCTTGTCAGGTCATACCACTGAAAGCAACTGTTGCGCTTGATAGCTTCGGGATTATTATTGTTCAAAAGATCGTACAAGTAGTTCTTCTTCAGGTGGGGCCCGTGAAGAGCAGGCAGGCGTACTATCAGGAGATGGGGGAAAAGCTCCGCCATCCACTGCTCAAACATATATCGATGCTTTCCGTAGGGGTGATGAGTCTGAATGCTGGTGGAGAGGTCGGTCTGCTCGTCTTGATCGTCCTTTGCCAGGTTGTATACGTCGATGGTAGATATAAGGACGAAGACTTTGGCTTGAACGGTTGAAAGAACTTCGCGAAGCTGCGAGAGGGTGGCAAGATCTTGTTGAGGATTCTGGTTGATCTTCCACTTTTCCGCGGGGCAGGCTGCAAAGTAGATCTCGTCATAGGACTTGCCACAAAGGGACTTGATGTTCTTAGAGTTGTAAGTGTCGGTGAAGGTGCGCTGCTCGAGGAGGTTGCTTCCGACGAGACCGGTGTACCCCACCAAAGCGGAAAGTTTAGTCTGGCTAGCTGCCATGTTGAATGCCGTCAGGGTATATATGCGACGATACTGACTCGGAAGTGTTGGTTAAAGGGAGCTAGCTGCTCATCAGCGTAGAAACGGTTGGCCATCCTAGTCCAGATCCTAGTCGTGGGGCTCGCGTGTTGCGCAGCGGAATGTTACGTAAGCGCGCGGGTGGCGCATGTCGCGCAGCCTTTCCCTTATGTAGTGAAGTTTTTTCTTTCTTGAGAACTGACCCCGTCGAAGGGACCAACCCCCGCACTACAGTACTTCATATGTTCGCGGGGGTCGTGATAAGGCGCCAGGTTGACCTCTCCACCCACTCCCGGTACGTATTAGCGGCAGTTGATCAGGACAATGTGAACATCCTGTTGATTTATGGTCTTTGATTTTTCAATCAGCTGGGTGCATGGTCCGTTGAAATGCCTTTTTCAATCGATCTTGGCCGTTTCGGAGTAAGGGAGGCCGTCTCTCAATGACCATTAGCGTTTTCGATCTTGTGTGTGAGTTTGGGTTGCTGCTGCATACGCATCTTAACGCACCTTCATAAACGCTCACTGCGACTTTAATTCGTTGTCGCAGCTCAAAATGGCGAAAACCATCTCGCCCCGTCCGGCCTTCTCCGCAAAAGCAAGAAATCATTCGCGGCAACCGCCCTCGCGTCCTCATCGGACGCAAGCAATCAGAGCTCGCAATAACCTTTCCCGCCGCGGCACCTCTTTCGTGGAGGCCGCCACAGCCCACCACTTGACGGTCTACAGTAGGCTGCCAGATATCTCGTTACGACGGGTTGGTGATGTGTCCTTGCTCTCGTAACCTCTCGTAACCAGATATTTGGCAGCCTACTGTACAGTAAGGCTACCGCGCTACCGCGTCGCCATCGCCGCGACCGCCATTCCGTTGGAACAGATTCATTTGGCCTAAGTTGTTCGCTTGGGGCTGGGATCTGCGGCTCCGCGGCTGCCTTCATCTCTTCCATTAACTTACTCGGATTCCTCTCCAGTTACAGTGGACATGGCAAGGAAAATCTTCTTCTCGCCTTTGTGATGCGGTCAAAATCATCCTTCCGATTGCAGCGATCGCCTTCTTCCCGCATCAAACCCCTCACCCTTCTCAGCTCATCACCATTTCCCTGGGATTGGGCTGCTTTGGGACAGAAGCTGCGGCCCAGCCAGCTTTGGATCACCTTGGGGCTGAACGCAGGTAAGCTATCCTCATTTATGGTCGGATATGAATGTGACTTGGGTGGTATCAGGGTTATATAATCTCCTTCATGAACTAATCGTATCTTTTTTTATATCCTTATTACCAGCTGGTTGGGTCGTAGCTTGTGCGTAGACCTCTAGCACACGACCCTTGAGCTCGCCACAGGTTCCTTCATCGGTCCACCCTCAGGGCAAACGGGAACCGGAACGGCCGTGCTTGTCGTCACATCGGCATCAGCAATGCTGTGGCAGCTGCCGCTATCGCTGTCCCTTGCGCTCACCTTGCCCCGAATCACCACCATCTGCGCACACTCAAATTACCGCCAACGATGTACTCCCTTCGCTGTCGAGCAGCCCGCTGCAGTTGGGGGATAGTTTGAGGGAGGTTCTGGAGGGAGATATGCTTGAGGGAGGAGATGAGTACTCGTCATTCGTTTTTGACGTGGGACTGTGGGATTCCGGGGTAGTTAGGGCGGGCCTCGCTGCGGGACATGATGGAGATTGCAGTGCGACCTCACGAGATTAAGTCAGTGGCGGTTACTGACTGTACGAGTAACGCAGGCGTGGGGGTTGGGATTCTCGATGGGGCTGTTTTGGGAGTGGTTTCCAACTCCACATTCGTTCGTCGAACCCTGAAACCACTCCTCACCATCGCGGGTACGGTCGGGCCGCCGATCCTCCTCTCGTTCGCCGCCAACGGCAAAATCGAAAATCAAACCCGCTGACTCGATCTGCACGAAGCTGGCCTCGGCACAAGCGACGAGAAGTCGCGATGCACACGTTCGCACCCACACCGCCATTCCTCCGCTGCCCGCCCGCCCCTTGGTTTTTGTCCTCGCGCCTCCCCCCCCCCCCCCCCCCCCCTTTGGCTGCGCCCCGGCCCCAAGTGGGATGCCCTCGCGGCCCTCCTCCATCCCCTCCGCCGAGAAATCGCCCATCGAGCTGGGGCAGGACTTCGTGCATCTCCACGGAATTGGAGATAGGCTCATATCGACCAAAATGCCGAAATCAAGCAAATCCGCCGACTCCCGCTTTACGCGCCTCTCCTCCGCTCAGGCGAAGAGGAACCGGAATGCCCGGGCCCGGGCCCAATCCGCCATCCGCGACGCTGTTGCCGCTGCTCCAACGAGGAGTTGCCCATCGACCTGGCGCAGAACTTCGCGCATCTCCACGGAACTGGAGGTTGGCTCATATCGACCAAAATGCCAAAATCAAACAAATCCGCAGACTCGCGGTTTACGCCTCTCTCCTCCGCTCAGGCGAAGCGGAACCGGAACGCCCGGGCCCGGGCCCAATCCGCCATCCGCGACGCTGTCGCCGCTGCCGCCGCCCCCATCTCCGCCGGTCCCGCCCTCGCTCCCCCCACCACCACCACCACCTCCTCCTCCTCCTCCACCACCACCACCACCACCACCCACAGTGTCGCTGCCGCCGCTGAGGCCAGCTCCTCCGCCCCCGCCGTCGCCGCCCCGGACCTGTCCACCATCCCGGGCATCGACGCCTGGGCCGAGCAGAGGAGCCGCCTCGGCCGAGCAGAGGAGCGCAAATCCCGCGACGCTGTCCGCCGTCGCCGCCACCGTCTCCACCGGTCGTGCCGCAGTCGCCCTCGCTGCCCCCACCATCACCACCACCACCAAACACCCACAGTTCCGCTGCGGCCGCCGAGGCCAGCTCCTCCCTTCGCTGGTTTGTCCACTGGTTGAGGTAGGTAAGCCATCCGTAAGGAGTTCGCGGTGGTGGGCTGCCGAATAGCGAATATCCGTATTCATGAACGTCCTTCGCGTTTTCTTAGGAGACTCGTGGACGGGCCTCCTGCCGTCGTTACCGCCCGCACCGTGTTGGCAAAGGCCGAGCAGCTTGAAAAGGAGAAGCAGAAGACTGTGCGTATGCAACAAGGACTTCCAGCCAGTACGTACCTAGCGACTTCGAGCAAATTCACGTCAGAAATGCAACCCCTCTTACAAAGACATTGAGGTAGGCAAATCCGCAAGATATACTGCTGTGGGCATTACACTGCGGCGGAGGAAGCTCTCACAAGTCATGGCTCCTCCCATGATTGTGATAAGGATAGGGGCTGCCGGGCGTCAAGAGACTGTATTACATGTAACTCTTGGTAATACAATCTCTTGAGAAATCGCCATTGGGAAATGGAATGGCCGTCGTTGTACATCGGGGTCCTTATGTTTACAGTACCCGGTGCATCCGGCTAGGGCGCATCGTGCACGAATCATTTTTAACGGTTTGGTGGGCACCCGCTACAAAAGCCACCCTACTCGGTTGTGGCTGGATTTCTGATGCAGTATGAGACCAGCCGCGTTCGTTCATGGTTCCTGTCGCCTGGTTGCCACCAAACCTTCCTTTCCGGTGACCTTTATTCGCCGAGCTCCTTTCTTCCAATCATCCAATAACCTCTAATCTGGTTGATGGCTCTCCAACAGTTTCCCCCATCACCTACACAGAATGACATCCATGCAGCTCCATATTCCCGACGCAGAGTGTACAAACATGTCGGCCGTTCACGGGATTCATCTGGACGTCATCTTCACGTTAATATATCCAAGCAGACTTGGGAAAGTGCCCTCGCCCTGCACACCGTCCCCACGACAGATACCTTGACATGACCAACCAAACTGGAATCTATCCCCAACGCACAATGGAATGGAACGCTCATCACACATGAATTCTTCCAGCGCTTCTGGATCAGAACAATGTATATAGCTGTTTCCGGCCATATGCCTAGTACCTTCCCGAGAGAACCAGCCAGCCGATTTCTTGCGGATCTACTCGCACGCCTGCGCCATAAAACGTCACCATCGGCAGGCCATGTCCAATACTCATGCCACTCGTGCCATATACTACTGTAATATCCACCTCTGGCTCGCGGGGCGCGATCCGGAGGCACGTCGGAAGATTTCCCTGGGCCCAGGGAGCTATCAACGCGCGACCATGGGCACGAGGACCTGCAATTTATCCTCCTGACGGCAAGAGAAGGCCTTGAGGCCTGTCGTTCGGTCTTTGGGTCCACGCTGAAAGAATTCGGGCCAAGCTGGAAGACCTCATTGAGAGATGGACATAGGACGTGCACGCAGTTCCGTCCGTCGCGTCTTTCCTTCCGCCGACTTCCGACCAGATTCTCAAGCTCATCGTCGCCGTCGTTGCCAGACGTCCTGCACCCGCTTTGCACACACCAGGGCTTGACCCAAATAGGCGTCCAGCACTGGATGGATTTGTTACATTGAGCAGACGTCTGAGCGCTCAAGGCTGGTCAATGGCCAAGACGGGGCATTCTTACGATGCGCAAATTATATATTGAAAGGATGTATATTACAGGATCGCAAGCCTTTGACAATATTATGGCAGATGGGAGTAGTTTTCGACGAAGAAGTACAAGTTAGTGCTAACCCCTCTGGATTCCCTCTCGAAAGAGTTATGTGGGCTTGGGACCACCGTCGGCTCATTAATTAGCCGATTGTAATTGGACAATCGCCTAACTTATTTGAAGAACAGCGAAAAAAGCAAATGCACGTACCTCTAACCCCAACCGGCCATCACGACCAAGGAACGATGCGACGGGATGTCCAACCCGCTGCGAAGGGTCTAGATTTCTCTTAACCAGCGACCACATTGCCCTGCTCTTGTTCCTTCCAGAGCACCGAAGCCCGACCCAACGTGGTCAACTCCAAGGGTACTAATGGATAGCCGGAAGCGGTGAAGAAAAGTGAGAGGGAGTGCGGATGAGGGTGTTCTTTTATACTCCTGCGCTGCCTGCTTGCCTCGCGCGTTCGCTGAGCTTTCGCTGAGCTTCGCACGCTCGTTTGCCCCTGGGCCTGGGCCCGAGAAGGGATGCAAACTCAGCCCTCGGGCCCGCCCCTGTGAGAGCATGGCCATGCTGATTCCACAAGTACAGTATGGGGTGAGGCGTATCTAAATGAGATTGATTGATTGCCCCACACCGTTCACATATCGCTAGTCGGATGGATGAGAGCAGGACGGAAGCAGTCTATATATCGATACAGTATATATATGCGAAGCTGGAAGTGTGGAGATCACACCCTTCAGAAACCTGCCGATCGCCAAGGAACACCGCCGCATGGATGACAGCGGATGACGCGTGTTTCGGTGAGTTTGGGTTGCGCCCTTTCTTGAACATTCGGCAGCGAGAAACATGCCCCAATGACCCACCAATGACCCCTTTAAAGAACTGAGGATGACACAGAATATGGATAAACACCGTTGTTTACAGCCTGGCTACGCATGCTGCATCCATCTCGCAGAGCTTGCGAACCGACCCGATTTGGAACAATGTCGAGAATGTGTGCATCCGCCGAGCAGCGTGTTGGGTCTGTCTAGCCCGTACCTGGCCTTTCATGGTGACGGCGGTTGCTGCCAGCGACGAGGAAATGGGGTCTCGACGGACAAGCTGCGGACAAGCACTTGATCATGAGGAGTTTTTTTTCATCCATTGCGACCATTGCGTTGTAACTGAAGATGGGCGGCGATCCCATCCTCTGCCGACAGCACGGTCCACGGAAGCGAATGTGAACGGCATCGCTTGCCTCTATCAGCGGCGTCCGCATCCGTTCCGCGGCGTGAGCAGCGTTCCACCCCGTATCTGCCCCGCATCCGCCGTATCGACCCCGTATCCAAGAAACGCCGGGTGATGTCGTCTTAGCCATCATGATTCCGAGTAACTTATTTGTGATGTGATATAAGACCGGCAACTTCTATGGCGATGGCACGCGCGGAGCTCGGCCGTTTGACGTCTCTTTCTCAGTGCCAGAGTTGGGGAAACGTTAGACGGTTGTGCGGAGGAAAGAATAAATGTACAGTACTAGCGCATAACATGAGTTCCTCAATGCCAGTCAAAAAGTAGAAATCACACTGCAGACACGGAAAGCCGCCGTCGCCGAACCATCCATGCCGATCTCCAACGTCCTCCCCGCCACTGCGACATTGCTCTTTCAAAGAGGAAGTTTCCTGCCTCCGTCAACACCCTGAGCCGTAGATTTCTCTGATTTCATTGAAGCTTAGAAGATTCCAGGACCCGAGATTGCCATCCGCATCTACAAGCCTCTCCACAATACGGTTTCAACCCCAGTCGACTAGGACACAGGTGCATCACCTGGGATGAATCCCAGTCCACATCCAACACCCTCGCGATGAAGCCCATCTTGTTGAAAAATGTATCTAGTACATCAACAACGACCAAGACGACCCACACCAGACCATTGCTGCCGTCACTCGCTCACAATGCCCAACCACATCCGCCGAGAGAATTGGATAGAGAAAACCGATAATGAGAAACGCGGAATATACAAGTCGACTTCTCGGTTGATGCCTCCAAGTCGGCAGATCCGGAGCGATGTCGCGGATCTCGGATTTAACCAACATGCGGGGCGGATCCAGAAAACCAGGAACGCTAGCTGATGGTGTCTCCTCTCGAGTTCTGCCTTTCTACTGCAGAGGACATCGATGATCGGGGGCTCGATATGACCATTTGGGTTTGCTACAACCCACACCGCATTGGGTTCCCATAAGCTGTTCGGCGTGTAGGACGGGGACCGAAAACCCATGCTGGACAATGTGCTCCCGATTCGATTGGCGGACGGGAACGACTACATCATGATCGACGTGTTCCCGGACCTGCTCCTGCACGCTCCCAACGCATGTGTCCGATATGACCCTTCCCCCGGCCGGCGGGCATCATACAGGGATAGTCGTGTTTGAGTGTGCCTTATCCAGCTTCGGTGGCAGTCTCAAGTGGTTTCCAGGTTCTCTGTTGTGACAGCCATCTATATAATCTCTGATGCATGATCCATCGAGAAAGGGTGAAAAGATCTGGTTCGCAGAACGGTTCCTTGCAACGCCCCCCCGGCCTGCCTCAGAGGCGGGGATCCCTCTTCCAAGCAGTGCATCTGACTGTTTAGCCTTCATCTCCCTTAGTCCAGCACTCGCAACCCATTCTCCGCGCCTGCTAAGACCCTCCTGTTTCCCTTCATCCTACTGCCCCAACGACCCAAACTCCGCTGGACCCACTTGTCGGTGTCATCCATCCCAACAGACCTCCCGTGCACGGTTACGGCAACGACCTGAGTGGTGTCGATGAATCTGGCAAGGGACAACAGAGTGTGATGGACCCCCCCGACGACCAGGCGAACGAACACGGTCGTGAGACGCCTGAGGAAGAATGGAATGGAGGGGTCAGGCTAACTTTTTTAGATCTAGAGTTTGGGCGGGTTGTTGTTTTCGTGAGCACGCTGTCCGAATGCGTCAGATCACCCCGAATTTGATCCAGCGTTGGCTCGTTCCACTGTACAGTACAGGCACATATCTTCCCGCCCGCACAAAACAAACCATCCCGACATGCCCCCCAACCCCCCACCAGCGCTGACAGCCACGTCCAACATCCCTGGAAAAAAAAAAGAACCAATGTTACAACACGTCCCCACGACGCAGCCGTGGACGGACACGGGTTCGCGTTTCCGCACCGGTAAGTCGGTTCGGGACGCACAGACGCCGAGAGGCATACACACTGGATATCATCGTTGGGCGGTGGATGGGAGACGCGGGGGGGGGGGGGGGGGGGGGGTGAATGATTGCGTTGTGGAAGCGGTTTTTTCCCCTGTTTCTGAGGCCCAGAAATCAGAATTCCATCTCAATATTGACGTTGAGGCAATTGCTCGCAATGTATGATATCATTAGTATTTGTCTGAAATAAGAAACACATCGAGTTCGGGGGGAAGTTTAACTCTACCACGCACAGCGTCAGTGTCTATCAAGCTACTCTAAGCGAGGTGTTGTAATCAAAGTGTCTAAGGAAAACGAATGTCAGGGGTATTGTGTCGTATCAGATTCCATAGAATGAAAGTATCTACACTCCTCTACTGTCCATCTTTCAAGCTCCCATCCGTAGCCGCACACTCAAACTTGGCATCCAGAGTCGGCACCTTCATGTAGGGTGACTTGGTATCACCTGTTTAGTAAAGGAACAGAGGGGGAATGAGAAATGCCGCACGACAAACCGAATAAGATGCAAACTCGAGTACTGAAATCCCATCCGGTAGTAGTCGCATCCTCAGCTCAACATGAGAACAGGGAAACTTACCGAGACATTCCGCAACCGTGACCCACTTGTACTTGTTTTTATAGTTCTGGATGAACCAAGGCGTGAGGGTCGTGACGGTAGTCTTGACAACGCTGTGGTTAAGTACGATGGTCGCGCCCTTCGCCATATCGTTTGTGAGGTATTGCTTAGACTGCTCGACAGAGGCGCCGTTGGCGTCCTCGGAGGATGAGTCCCAGTTGATGACGTGGTAGCCGAGGTTCGACAATTGAGCCACAGCCGCCGGGTTAGTCGATCCAAACGGCGGGCGCATGTACGTAGGCGCCATGCCGAGGATCTTCATAAACGCGTCGTCGTTGCGTCGCATCTGGTAGTTGAGCTGGTCGTGGGAGATGGTGGCGATGTCCGGGTGGGCCCAGGTGTGAGATGCGATCTGGTGGCCTGCGGCGAGGATGTTCTTGAGATCCGCGGCGTAGTCAAAGAGGCAGCCGTAGTTGTTGCCGTTGACGAAGAAGGTAGCTTTCATGCCGGCGTTCGCGAGCTCGGAGAGGAGCTGCGCGTCGTAGTCGTAGGGGCCGTCGTCGAAAGTGAGGGCGGCTTTGCCCGGCACGGTGCACTTGGTGATGATCTTGCCGTTGGGGATGGGGACGCGGGAAGGGGCAGGGTTGGATGTTGCGGTGGTCTTGGTGGTAGTCTTGGTCGCGGAGGTTGTGGTAGGCTTGGTGGGGGTGGTTGTGGTTCCCGAGAGGCAAGGGAGACCGCCCCAGCCGGCTTGACAGCCAGCACCGCAATATTCGGCAGTGGACCCACAGAACCCATATTGGGAGCAGCAGTTGCCATTGTCGCAGACAGTACCCGCAGCGGGACCACAAATGCCGTCGGTAGAGGTAGGGCGGGCGGTAGCAGAGGTCGTGGTCGTTGTCGTTGTCGGACGGACGGTAGTAGGGGGAATGGTCGGACGAGTAGTAGAGGTGCTTGTCGGACGAACGGTAGTAGGAGTGGTCGTCACAGGCGGGTTGGCACCGCAGGTACCAAAAGCAATCTGGCATCCAGCACCACAGTGTTTGGCTTCCTTTCCACACCAGCCTCCACTGCTACAACACCATCCGGACCAGCTGTTCCCGAAAACATAATGATCAATACATGTAACGAAGGTTTTGTGGTACGCGAGGGAATGTTGTGTAGTTACCATGCGGTTCCAAACGCACTTCCACAGCGTCCATCAGTAGTGACTGGAGGCTTGGTCGGAGTGTTGGTAGGGGTAGGAGTGACGGTAGGCTTTGTGGTCGTGGGGGTCACGGCTATCAATGAAGGCAATGTCAGAATCAAGCAAACGAACGAAAGATGCACTTGCGCCTAAAATCAACTCTCGACCGTCAAACTCACCATTGCACTTTCCAAACCCAGCCTGACAACCAGCTCCACATTGCGCATCCGTCTTGCCACACCATCCGTTCTGGCCGCAGCACCTTCAAATTCAAAGAAAACCCATCCCATCAATCAAACAACCCCAACACATTGTTCCAAAAAAAAATGTAAGAAGAACCCACCAATCCGGCGCCCAACACACAAGCCCGCCGTTAGCAGGTCCGCACTTCCCGTCCGTGGTCACAGGGCCACCGGGGGCAGGAGCAGGCGCGGCGTGGCTGAGACCGACGAGCGTGATGGTGAAGGCGGCCGCGCGGACCAGGTACTTTAGGGAGGACATTGTTTTTCTTGGATGGGGTGGGGGTGAGGAAGACCTGTGGATGGGAGGTGGGATGTGAGAGGGAGGGTTTAGAGGGCAATCGTTGACGAGCGTGTGCGTTGCCGCTGGATTTCCCACGGGTTATGTTTGCGTCCACATAGTGTGCCTTTTCCGACGAGGCCAAAGTCGCCCCCTTTCCCACAGCCGTCCGGTGCGGCCGTTCCACTCCACTCCCCACTCGCACGCCACTGTGGGGTATGCAACAACTCACCTGGAATTGAGGGTTCTGGGTGATCCTTGATGGGCGACGAGGCTTCTTGATGAGAGCGTCCTTTTATCTCTCTCTCTCCCTCGCTCCCTCTCTCCCTCTCTCCCTCTTGTCCCCACCCACCGCTCGCACAAGCCGCTTTCTCTGCGCGTCCCGAATAATCTCACATATTGACCACCAAGCCCACCCGCGTGCAAGTGTAGAATTTGAGAGTGGGGAAAACCGACCGTCGATAAAATGTTGTGCAGCTGACACAGACGGTTGGCGTTATGTGACTTATGTCGCGTACATCGCGCCCGACTTCCTGGTAGCGTCAACTGGGGTGAATTGGAGCATTTGTGGCTTCTGCCCCAGATGTGCCCCAGATTCGGGAATGGCCACAACCGATTGTGGGGGGCAGATCAATTCTTCCCCGACGTCGAAAACAGTCAAGCAGTGGGACGCAACGCTCTGTGGGCGATATGTAGTATCGAGCTATAAGGAAGGACGCTTCGGAGATGTCGAAAACACCCGCTTCATGGAGGGTGTGAGGCTCACCTAACATGCATGCAGGGTCCGCCGAAAGATCGAACATTTATTCACGTCCGACAGCGAAATGAGGAGGGGGTCGGGACTCTGGACGCGACGTCTTCACCACATCTTCCAAGGCGGATTCCCCCCAATGCGTGCGATTATTATGGTTATCTGGGAGCCGCTAGATTGCCCTGACTTGGAACCTTCCAACCCTTGGGCGAAGCTAACGTGGTATCTCAAGAAAGGACAATTGTACAGTACCAGCGGTGGGAGCGTTGCCGCGTCACTGGAAAACTGCTGGATAGAACACGTTCCGGCGGGTTAAGTCCACGAAGGAGGATATTCTTGAATCTTCGCCAGAGCTGCTCTCGTATCATGACGATGAGTTTCGATTTCGCATCATCGATTGTGATTGTAAGCACGCCGACTTTTTCTGACCTCTGAAATATTTGGCGAGTGAGACACTCCGCCCTCAACACAACGCACAGAGTCTGTACAGTACGTCAAGCACGGATTAATCAAACAAATGGATTTGAGAGATACCGAAGAACGCCCCGAAGTGCATAAATGAAAAATCGGCATTCATCGAAAAAAGTTGGATGCAGTGTTGAGCAATGGGCATTAGAGCGAGATATGTGCACGTTCTCTCATGACGTCCCAGCAAAGCCGCCAGATATATCCGTCACCACGCTTCCGAAGAAAGCTCCATGTGGCCACTGAGCAAAACAAGCGCAGAGAATGGCTTCGCGAGAAGACTGAAATGTCGTAATTAAACAATTAAATGTCTTGCTTCCCGCGCTCTGATAAACGCGTGACAAATGAGGATTACCTAAGGCGAGAATCCGCTTCCTCGCCCATCCTGCCCCACTCAGTTCCTCCCCACTCCTAACGGAAAGACTAAGCGACCTATGAGATCTCACAGGCCTGGGGCGGTCCTTCGCAGCCGGTGTCTTTAGAGAAAGCGCTCTGATTGGCTGGAGTGGGCGGTTGCTTACCATGAAACAACGAGCGATTTTCTTCCCTCCCTCCCTCTCCAGAACCACTCTCGCCCGTGGGAAAAAAGAGCGATCGGTGACTGGCGGATGGGAAGAATAATAGATTGTGCTGATTGATGATGAGGAGAACGAGCGACTCCCCAGGGTCCTTCTAATTGGGGTTACATGCCTTTGACTAACTACCCCCACCCACCACTACTCCCTACTAACTACTCGTCACAACTGGTCAGTGTGGTCCTTGTCGGAGCGTCGCCTGTCGCCCAAAAGAGAGAGAGAGAGAAAGAGGGGAGGGAAAAAAGTCACACTCGCACAACTTCACACTCCACTCCACTCCAAACCTGTGCGCTGTCGATTCTTTACGCGAGAGAAAGCCCCGCTCACCCACCCACTCACTCACCCCCTCCAACAACCCACACATACCATACCCCAGACACCCACAGCTGTCGAATACTCCCTGCCCGCTGTCCAACAACCCGAAACAAAACCCCACCGGCCGGCCCTCACCCCCGCCCACAAAGTCTTTACAGTCCGGAAAGTCACCCGCGACACCAAGAACCTATTTATATACCACAAGCGTTCCCTCCGCCCCGCCGAACTCTTTTTTCTTCAGCTCTTTCCCTTGGATGGAAAAAGAAAGTGGCGCGTAGCCGATGGATGATGCGACTTGTGTGTGAATCGACAGCCCTGCCTCTAGTATACCACCACCTTTGAGGCGATATTCCTTCTTCGTTGTCGACCCGATATCCTTTTCCGATATCCCCTTATTTTTGCGCACGAACAACGCCAGACGAAACGATAGGCCAGCTATATCCCGCATACACAGTGAAGAGCGGTGCGGTGGGATTAACGCTCAGAGACACACCATACCATCCGTTGAGTGAGGAGCTGCACGCCACGAAAGCAGCGCACGGCAAACCGTTACCCCCCCCCCCCCCCCCCCCCCCCCCCCCATTCCCAACCCCCGCCCACGGGGCTTCGATATCCCACGACCCAACCATGTCCCACCCACCCCCAGGGCCCACCACCTCGGCCCCGTCCTCCATATCGCCCGCCAACAACCCCGGCCACACCATCATCCTCTCCTTCCCGTACGCCCTCACCCACTACACCTCGCACACCCCGACCTCCGAGATCCTCCCGCAAATCATCACAAAAGTACAAGCCCTCTGCGAGAGTGTCGCGCAGGAGACCGGGTGTGTCGTCACGTTCACGAGTCCGGAGGTCGGGGGGTATAGATCCCAGCGGGATGGGCGAGACAAGGGGGCACAGGAAGGGGGGCAGATGCCGTTCGAGGTGTTGATGAGTGTGACGGTGATGGGCCCGCCGGCGATGGCGGGGAGGGCAAGGAGGGGGATGTTGAGGGGGATCCCGACGCAGGTATGTACACCGTCGCGAGCGACCGAACGAGAGGGATAGCGGAGCGAGGGCACTGTCATACGCAGCGCGAGCAGCCGTTGGATCGCTTTGGAACGCTTCCGCGAGCGAAGCGAGCATCCGCCCATCAACACTACTACGTCGAGATCGTTCATCACCCCCAACCTCACCTTGACTCACCCCCACCTCTCTCCCCCCCAGAGCATGCTAATCATCCGCGCGCCGCACCCTTTCCTCCTTTCCACGACCTCGGAGATGCAACCGCACGTGCGGCACCGTCTGGACGCCATCATGAGCAGCACCCGGACGCACATCACCTGCGTCGGGCGGAGTAGCAACAACACCACCGAGGACCGCGGGGGGATGAGCAAAGTGACCGTGGTGGCCGAGTCCCCGTGGGAGACGATGGATCTGGAGGTCGTGGGCCGCGCCGAGGATCTGGAGATGGCCAAGATGGAGGTGTTGGTGTATTTGGATCAGTTGGTGGGTTGGCGAACATATTCTCGATTTCGGTTACATCATCGGAGTTGGAAAAAAAAAAGATGGACTTTGGACTAACGACCCAACGTTGATGATTGATTATTCACAGGCCGGCCTGCACATCGAAGCCCTAACCCTCCTCCCCACCCTGCACCCGCTGCTCGCGGGCCGCAACAACAAACAGATCGAACTGCTCATGCACGAGCACCAGACCAACATCTACCTCCCGACGCCGTTCGTGGGCGAGACGTGTAGCGTGGAGACGCAGGCGCAGGTGAATGCGTATGCGCGCACGGTGTGGGTGACGGGGACCGTGCAGGGGGTGACGAGGACGGTGGAGGAGGTTGTGGGTGTCGCGGGGATGCGGGTGAGTTCCCAAAAAAAAAAAAATCTCACAATCCATTCATGATGATATGATACAAGGTACTGATGATCTGGTTGAATTTTTTGCCCCCCGCCCACAGTCAAAACACCTGCAAACACATACGCTCCCCACCATCTCCCGCAAACTCGACTGGCTCCTCCTCTCCCGCACGCCCGCCCTCCTCTCCATCATGTCCGACAACGCCACCCACATCGCCCTCCCCGCGCTCGGGTCCACAGGCACCTCCGCCTCGCTGGTCGTCACCGCCGGCGACCGCGTGTACCTCGACCGCACCTGCCGCGCGGTGATGTACCTGCTGTGCGAGTTCTACATCGCCGGGATCCAACTGACCTCCAACCCGGTGCCCGCGAACGCCAAGCCCAGCCACCCGCTCGTGAACGCGTTGAGCATGCTACCGCTGCAGACGCACTCGGAGGTGGTGCTGGCGTCCCCGTACATGGAGATCTACGGGCTGAACCCGTTCGTCAAGTCCGCGTTCCTGGCGCTCGCTGGGCACCCCGCCATCCTCCCGTTGATCCGGGACACAAAGTTCCAGGTCGAGCTCGCGATGGAGCATAAGGATTTCATCAACGGGAAGAAGAACGGCAAGATCAACAAGATCACAAAGACATCCGGGTGTCGCGTGTCCTTCCAGGAGAACTTCAACGAGTGGAACATGCTCATCGATCTGTGTAACTCCACGCCGGGGAGATGCGTCGAGGGGTTGGGCATGCTGGAAGACGAGCTGCCGGCCGAGATCAGTTTCCACGTCCCCGAAGCGTTCCACAAGCGGATCATCGGGGTCGGGGGCAAGAACATCCAGCGGATCATGAAGAAATGGGCCGTGTACGTCAAGTTCTCGAACGCGGAGGAGTATGCGCAACTCGGCGGGTACTTCAAGAACATGGATAACGTGATTGCGCGCACGCCGGCGAAGAACAGCGCGAATTTGGGGCATGCCAAGGCGAGCATCATGGAATTGACGGGGGAGATGAGTAAGCCGACTTTGACGGTTGCGCTTAGCATACCCCGGCAATTGCATCGGTTTGTTGTGGGGCCGCGGGCGGTGTATTTGAACGATATAACGCAGAGCACGGGGGCCGAGTTGGCGTTTCCGAGAAGGGAGAGTGGCGCGGACGAGGTGGAGGTTGTCGGGACGGAGAGTGCGGTGATTAGCGCGAGTAATCGGTTGAGGGATTTGGTACCCGGGGTGCAGTTTTTCATTGTGCCGGGCGGCCAGGCGGCGTTTTATGCGGTTACGATGCAGCCGGATGTTTCGGCGTTGGCCGCGCAGTTGTTGCATGAGCTCGGGGTGGAGATGTATGTGTATCACCCGCCGCCGCCGTCGGCGGAGAATAACCCACAACAGCAACAGCAGCAGCAATCGTCGCCGACGAACAACGAAGGTAGCGTCGATTGCACGTTCATGCTCTATTTCCACCGGCACCATACCCCCCCGACAAGCCTCGACGCCGCCAAGGGTCTGATCACCGAGTACCTGACCACCCGCGGCGTGCCTCTGCAACAACACGTCCCGAAACAGGGTATGGGCGGCCGCACCGGGAGCTACGCCAACCTCCAACACCGGAGCTACGACTCCTTCCAGCATTTCCCCTCCAAGCTCGTCGTCGGGGTCAGCAGCGCGCCCCAGGGAGAAGCAAGCGACGCGGCGGCGGCAGCGTTTGCCAATTTCTACCCCCCGCCGCCGCACGGGATGCACCCGGGCGGGATCGCCAACAGCAAGATGGCGCAGTCGACACCCGATTTGCGACACTTGTTTGAGGATGCCGGGCCGTCCTCTTCGCCGGGGCGGATGAGCACCCTCAATGCTCCGCAGCATTTACTGAGGCGCAGCAAGAGCGGGTTACCGAACCCGGCTGACGCGCGGGATATGCTCTCGGTAACGCTCGAAGCGACGTCCATTACACCTCAACAACAACAGAACCCGGGCGCATGGCCGGTCCACTTCGCGCGGCGGCAGGGTTTGATGTCGATCGATACCGCCAACACGGGCGCGAACGAGGATAATGATTCGGGGATGGATGATCCGGCCAAGAACGCCGAGTTGCTTAAAGGGTTCGCGGGGATGCTGAGCCCCATCGACGCGCCTGAACGTGGGAGCAGTGGCAGCAGCCACACGGGCGGGGAGCACCAGTTCCATCATGGGCTCAAACTGAGTCGGAGTATGGGGATGTTGGATGATCGGGGCGGGAATAACAACGCGCAACCGTCCCGCGGGTCGTCGAATTTAGTCCCCGAGATATCAGCCAGCGACCCGCCGCCGTCGTTCACGGCGCAGACGATTGAGACGTTGTTTAGCATGGAGCGGGCTCACCCGAAAGCGTTCGCGCAGACGGAGTTCCTGTTGAGCAGTCTGGAGCTGGAGAACCATTTGGCGATATTTATTGAGCAGGAAGTGGATTTCCCCACTATCTTGCTGTTGGGGGACGGGGACTTGAAGGAGCTGGGCGTGCGCGCGTTTGGGACGCGGAAACGGATTTTGGGCGCGATCAGGCAGTGCAAGGATTGGCGGGATGCGCATTTGGGCAGCGTTGGCAACGTCGGGGGATCGCAGCAGCAGCAGCAGCAACAACAACGGTCGCATCCCCAGCAGCATGCGCAACAGCATCATCAACATCAACACGAGCAGCACGGCCGCATGCCGTATCTGATACCCGGCGAATACCACTCCTATTCCGCACGGGCGTCCGTATCGGGCGCCGGCGTCACCGGCGGCTACCACCCACACGCGCACCCACACCCCGTCGTTCAACGCTCGAGCGTCGGCAGCCGCCCGCAATCGCAGCAGTCGTCCCATTCGTCGAATTCGTATCAGGACCACGAGCAGTCGAGTAATGCGTTCCAGGGACACCCCTTGGCTGGCCAGGGTGGTCCCCCGCGGAAGGGGTTTGGTGATGGCCGCAGTGCTGGTGAGTACTGAGAAGGCTTGCTTGCTTGCGCCTGCCCCCCTTTGTATATAGTAGACGTTTCTCCTTTTTTGGGTCGGGGTCGGGGTGGGATCTTAGCGTATTTGTGTTGGACCGTCTGTTTCTTCCCCCTTCTTCTTTATTTCTTCCTTTCTTGGCGACCTATTTTCTCGTTTTTGTGATTGGGTCTCCCAACAATCATCCCAACCTTTTTATCTTTCTTCTTTTCCTTCTTCTTTGCTATTGCGTAGCGTGATGAGGTTGTCGAAAGCGAGGTCTAACGAGACTCTGACCGCACCCCCTCCGCCCTCCCCTCCCTCCCCTTCAGGCCACTACATCTACGCGCCTGGCTCTGACGGATCGACTTTGGGATTCTCACCACAACAAGCCGGGAAGCAGTCGCCGACGACGGGGGGTCGGCAACAGACGGGCGAACGCGATGGGACGCTCGTGAGCATGGCGCATACGCATCCGCATTTGGGGGGTCTCGCCAAGCGAGCCATGATATCTTCGAATTCGAATGCGGCGGCGATGCTTGATCGGCCACGGACGGCGCCCAATTCGGTCGATCCTAAGAAGCCATGAACCCAGTTCTCGCTCCTCGCGCACCGATTTCCTCTCTCAAGTTCCGCGTCCCGCGTTCGGAAGACATTCAAGGCTGATTCCTGCGATAGTGATTATTTGGATGTGCTTCCGCGTTCTTTTTTGGGGTTCCCTTTTTGGAGCTTTTGGGACTGTCGTTTGGTAGATCTTACAAGTTACCCGCACTGAGTTTGGACACTGTCCTCCCCGTGGCATTTACGTGCTGTTGCCGCTTGTCTGAAGCGCATTCCTAGAGATTTTCAGTTCAGTACACATTGCATACCAATACATTTCTGACATCCACACAATGGGGCCTTACTAGACTGGAGAGTCGTCTTCAGGAGGGGTATCCGCAGAAGGAGATTGAAAAGATAGCTGTCATGCATCCTCTCGCTCCGATGTGATGTTCGCGATTGAGAATACCCATCGCAGCCCTCCCTAGCCGACTCCGAGTATTCGACGGCGTGGGAAGACGATGGTTCCCATCTTGTCCAAGATCCCATCCATCCGTAAGACATGATCCGAGACTGATATCCCCGAATCGACAGAGTGTATGCCGAACCCCGTGCGTCCTGCTTCCGGGTTCTTGGTTTCAAGTCCATATCGGGTATTGGCTCTCGCGAAGCCCCAATCCCTAGTTCGTTTCCTGCTCCGAGATTGCCTCATCAGCCACATGAGGCAAGGAAAATGCTCGACTTACCCTGACTCTGAGGTCCCCTCCCTTTGTTGCCTTGCAACGCTTCACCTCACTATTCCACTCACTCACTCCCTGCCACTGCCACGCAGTGAGATGAGCAGACGGTACTGTATTTGCAGGCCTTGTTATAATATATCTGTCCCCTTCCCACTTCCACGAGTCCTTTCCTAAGTCCAGTCCCCATGTCCAGGAGGGCAGGGGGCCGATGTGGCAATAGGAAGAGCGATACAAAACGCACAAGTGAGCGGCCCCCCGTGAAGTCGCCCTGTGTCGCGTCGCGTGGGGTCCTTCCTATCGCGGCAACCGCCGGCGACGGAGCGAACAACGGCATAGTGGAATCGTTCAAAGAAGGTTCTATCCATCCATCCATCCATCCCCACTAGATCCAACATGGAGGTGCTGTCGAGGAACCCTTACGGTAAGGCTTCCATCCATCCGTCCATCACTACGTCCATCGACAGCAAGTCCCATCCATCCGGCGTCGATTGAGGGTCAGCGGTCAGGAGGTCGACATTGCGAAACGAAGGGCGAGCACTACGCGAAATCACGAGGGAACATGCATCTGGTTGGAGAGACTGTGATCCTGGAGTAGACAGAGGTCAACGGTGGGGAATTATGGAGTGCTGCGATGCTCTGAGGGTGGGAAAGAAGGAGCAGCCGAGTGCTTGCGCGGAACAGTGGGAGTCGATTGCGGCACCGAGGATTGCATCTGGATTGGAGGGAATGACTGTGATCTCGACCCAAAACACACCTCAACATGGGGCCGACGCTAAAGACACCTCCTCCCTCCCTCTACAGACCTCCTGGACGACGAGGGTGGCGACGCCCCCGTCGCAAAGGCTTCGCCTGCCAAAAAGGACGACAAGAAGGCTGCTCCCGCTGCGGCCAAGAAGGACGCTGCTCCCAAGAAGCAGACTGAGAGGGCTCCTCGCAACGAGTACCCCCGTCGTGGTGGAGCTGCTGGCGCTCCCCGTGGTGGTGCTGATGGTGAGTCTCAGAATCCGTGGAGATCATGGGAATTGCTGGATGTTGGGAGAGTGATCGAGGCCGAGCGAAGTCGTTGACAAAGGCGGGCGGAGGCATGACAAAGTTGAGGAAGGGAAGGCCGAGGTAATTGCATCGAGCGACTTTCAGCGAAGTGACGGGCAGGCATCATGAGCGATGGTGAACGTGGGAAAAATGGGCCATTCGTCGAACGAAGCGAGGTGATTGCATTAAGCGACCGCCTGTTAAACTGCGCCTACGAGCGGCGAGAGCTCTCGGAAACGCAACGAGCTATGGAAGTTGTGGGATTCTTGCGAACCATTTAGCCCTGGTGGATCGTCTCCTCGAAGTAGCATTGGGTTGTCCGGCTATTTGCATTTCGGATTCACACACATCGGAAGGAACGCCTCGTCACTCATTTTCTCTCTTTCTTCTTCTCCATAGTTGCTCGCCCGCCTCGTCAGAACCGCGACGGCGGTGACTTTGAGACTCCCCGTGAACAGCGCGTCGCCGATGGTGAACGCCGTGAGCGCGGTGGATTCCGTGGTGGTCGTGGAGGCCGGGGCGGCAGCCGTGGTGGCTTCCGTGGTCGCGAATTCGACCGTCACTCTGGATCCGGACGCACCGATGGTGTCAAGAAGGAAGTTGCCGGTGCTGGCTCTTGGGGAAACCCCTTGACCGCCGAGGAGGAGGCTAAGGTCGATGTCGAGCCCGTCGAAGGGTGCGTTCGCATTGAAGCAGATTTCGGTTTGTTTCGCCTCATTACGAATCTCTAAACTGGTACCCCTCTCGATAGTGCCGAGAAGAAGGAAGGTGCCGAGACGCCGGTTGAGGAGGAGACACCCAGGGAGCCCGAACCCGAAGAGTCGTACAAGACGCTCGAGCAATTCCTTGCCGAGAGGACCAAGCCCGCCACCGAGGCCAAGGTGAGGAAGGCCAACGAAGGTGCGGACGATGCTCAATGGAAGAACGCCGTCCCTCTCAAGAAGGAGGAGGATGAGGAGTTGTTCGCCGATCTCCTCAAGGTAAGAAAGATTCTCAAATTCGATTCACTCAGAATCTGCAAACTAACGCCAATATTTCTACAGGTGAAGAAGGCCAAAGCCGCCGCCGCCAAGGAAAAGGCACAAAAGACCTTTGTCAACATCGACCAGCGTTTCGCCGACGAAGGCCGCAACACCTTCAGCCCCCGCGGCGGCCGTGGCGGAAACCGTGGCGGCGAGTTCCGCGGTGGACGCGGTGGAAGTGACAGGAATGGTGGTGCTGGCGGCCGCGGTGGCCGTGGCGGTCGTCAGTCCGGTGCCGGTTCGTCCGTGAGCATCGAGGACCAGAACGCCTTCCCATCCCTCAAGTAAATTTAGCACCCTCACCACAAAGAGGAACCGGTTTATATATCGAACAATCACCCCCGCACTCTTTATCACCTTTATCACCTCCCACGTGTGCGCGAGCATCCCAAAATATAGGGTCTTTGAGAACCATCCATCAGACTCTTTTTGTGAAATTCGCACCACCCCACACACACCACCCCGGGAACAACCCCCTTTGCATCGAGTCGTATCTTATCTACCCTCTCGGCAATGAAAAGAAAACAAATATAGGGAAATCACCAGACTTTGAAAGTTTCGAGCTGAGAAGGGTGGGCCTACTCTTCTCATTGTTCGTGAACTCGGGCCCATATTCAACCTTCGGGGAACAAAACACTATGCCACGAAATGTGACTTGTGCGTTGTGTGTATATTTGCGATGCATACGCAGGCGGGAGATGCATGATGAAAGAGGGTCACATAAATCGGTCCAAATGCTTCTAAATACACGTTCTCGTCCACATCACACCGCACCCACCCCACCACTCGGCCCCACCTCAACACTTAACCTCGGCGCCCCTGCGACTTGTTCTCCTCCCAAATCCTCCTCACTCCCCGCAGCCGTTGTCAGCGCGTCGTAGTCGACGGACGAAGACGTCGTTTCGTGCAGGGAGTGCGGGCGCGACGGGTGTGCGTCTTCCCCAGCGTCGTTATCCTCATCCCGTGCATTCCCCGCCAAATCCGTCGCCGACCCCATCTCGGCATCACTCCTCCCTCGCAGTTCGTGTATCCCACTTCCACTTTGCTCGGGTTGCTCGCGGGGCACTTCAAACAGCAGCCTCGCGAACCGGATCAGGACCTCGACGACGGCGTTCTTGGCGGCCGACTCGGCAAAGTCCAGCTGCGTCTCGGCGTGCGGCGGGCGGAGCAGGGAGGGCCCGAACACGACGCCGAGGTTGGTTGTGTTCATGAGGTTTTCCGGGGCGTGGAGTTGGATTCTGCAAATGAAAAATGAGTGGGAGTGAAGTGGACCCCCGTGACCACTGCCCCTGTGTGTGTGGCGTGCATCCCCCCGTCCAGCGCCATGACCGCACGCCCCCACTCTCCTTTGAACTCACCGATGCAGATGCAGGATCAAATACGCCAAAGTGCTCAGATGCGCCGGCGGCAGCTTCTTCAACAGCTCGATGAACGCCTTGAGCCGCTCCTCATCATCTTCCGTCCGTTCTAATCAAAGGCCGCAAAAATGAAGGGGGTCAACCGCTCTCTTCTATATCCTCCCTCCCCCCCCCCCCCCCAATACTTACTAACAACCCCAACCCACTCCCCATACAACCCGGCCCCAAGCAACGGTTCCGGCAACTCGCGGAAATACTGTTTCAGCGCGCTCGTCACCGCCGCGATATCCACCTCACTGTCCTCAGCCGAGTCGGGGGATGAGAGGATGGTGTAGTCCCCGCGATCCAGGCACGCGATGATCTTGTTGGTTTGCGTCAACGGGCCGGACTTGCGGTAGATTCCTTCGTAGGTCATGCCTGGGGGATTTTATGCACAGTGAGTGACAGTCCCCTGAACGTCGTGTGAAGGAAGGGGGGGAGATGTGTTTGGTTGTTTGTTGGGCTGTTTTTTTTACCTCGCATCTCAACGGCGGCGATACACTCCCCCACCACGCGCGGCACCACCCCGCCCTCGGCCTCGACTGTGCGTGTGAGGGCGACGCCAAACACCTTGCCTTCGCCCGCCGTCGGCGTCGAGCCGTCTACAGATCATATGGATGTCGCACTGTGTCAGACCAAATGGGGAGAACGAAGCGGTCAGGGACGAGGTGCGATCACGGGACGTACCGGCGTGGGTATCCCCCCCGCTCCCCGCGGGACAGTGCTGGATGATACTCGGCACGCATTTCTGGTGGCAGTGATATCCGCATCCTCCAAAACGAAGGAGAAAGTCAGCAATTCATCCCCCCCAGCGAATAGACAACCCGTAACACCCACACCCCCCCATGATGCCGTCAAAAAAGAAAAAACTCACTCTCACACCGCAACTCCTTCCCCCAAAGCTTCTCATCACACAGATCGCATTTCCGCGGACTCCGATACGCATGGGTTCGGAACGCATGCGGTCCACCGCCTGCTCCGCTGGGGTACGTGAACGATCCGCCTGTAGGTCGTGAGAGATCGACATCTAAAAAAAACACGCACCATCCGTCATCAGCATCACAGTGATCTCCTACCGGGTTTAGAAGAACGCAAGCATTTCTTTTGTACGTACCGCTCTTCGAACTGGCTTTCTTAGCCCCCAACTTGAACATCGCCGACCCGGGGAACCCGTATCCGCCGGGGCTACTCGAACTGGCGGGGGGTGAATCAAGGTGGTCGGTGCTCCCCAAGGTGCCGCTGGCCGACAGCGGCTTGTTGGTGCTACTGCTGCTGCTGCTGCCTCCCGCCTGCGGCATCGCTTTCTTCAACTTGGTCGTCGTAGCCTTCAAGTTCGTTTTCCATTCCTTTGTCCATTTGTCTTTCTTGTGCTGCTGCTGTTGTTGGGTATGCGGGGTGATTGTGGGGGTGGGCTCCCCGGACGCCGACCGCTGCATCATCCCCCCCGCCGGCGCCGCAGCGGGGGGGTAATACGCCGCGTGGGAGAGGATATCCACACTCCCCTTCCTGGGTCCTCTCGGCCGAGCAATCCGTGGGGGTGGGAGGGGTGCCGCCTTGACCGGCGCCCCCATCATCCCGACCCGATCCGCACCCTCCGCACCCTCCTCCACCGTCTTTCTCAACTCCTCCATCTCCGGGAACGCCGCCGCCGCATTCGGAGAAAAGAGAGAGGCGTGGGACTCGACTTTATCGAGCATCTCGGCCGAGTCGATCAGTTCGCCCGTGATGCGGGTTTGGCGGGCGGTGAGGACGGTGTTTTCTTCGGTTAGGTGGGAGATACCGTCGGTGAGATGTTCGCGGGTGGATTCGAGGGTGGCGATGTCGGAGCGGAGGTGTGCGCGGTCGGCGTGCAGGGTGGAGAGGGTGTTGGTGAAGCGGGTGTGGAGGGCTTGTAGTTCGCGGGTTAGGTCGTCGCTGTTCAACCCACAAGAATGTGTTCGTTCAGTCCCGAGTGAATGTGGGAGGTTATGATTTTTGACGGTGGGTTTGTACTTACGCATCCCCCCCACCCCCCGCCGACGCCTTCGCCGCGTGTTTTTCAAACACTAACCGTCCCACGTCCATCTCCAACTCATCCCTCCTCCTCCCCTCCTCCTCAATCGCCACCCTCAAACTCTCCCTCTCCCTCCGCATCCCCTCAATCTGCGTGTTTAACGCCTCCAATGTCTCCTCCGCGCGCTCGCGGGCGGCGTCAGCACGGGCCATGTTGTCCAACTGCTCCTGCAATTTCGCGACGGTGGATTCGAGTTGTTGGCGTTTGAGTACTTCGGCGGTGTGGAGGGATTGGAGTGTGTGGAACTCTTCGACGGCTTTGCGGGAGGTTGTCTACCATATACACCGCGTGGTGAGTAAGCGAGAGTGTGGTAGAATGTGAGGATATGGGGATAGGTATCACACCTTGATGTAATCTAGTGTGGTCTCACAAGCAGATAACTGCCTACTCCGTTCCTCCAGCTCATGTTCTAGCTGCATCACGTACTCGTTTGAGCTGATTCCTGGTTGTTCGGTTAGTGCCGACACGTAGGAGTTGTTCGATGGGTCTAATTCCGAGAGAACGGGGGGTAAGAACCCCAAGTAACCGCGCAGCGCCCACCGAATGTACGCAAAGTAAGTGATACCCGCTCTTCCTCACCTCTCTTCAACCCCTGTCCAGCATTCGCAGTCGCAGTCGCATTATTCGACGCTATTGCAGGCGCGGCTTTATCGGGCAGGGTCTGAACTGCATCCTTCACTCGGGGCGACGCCACCGACTGCACCGAGCTTCGTGCGCTCGCCCTCGTTTCAGTGTGACACGACGGACATAGGAGTCTCTACATGGGCGAAGATGGGCTGCACTGTTTAAGGCATGCCTTCCCCCAGAAGATCGAGTATTCTCTCGCGTGAAGTTGGAGGTGGATGCTCACCCCATTGATGTGGAAGAAGCGCAAGTCCTGAATTGGGCGCGCGCATGAGGAGCAGTTGAAGCAGTGCGTGTGGTATGTGTCGTTGCCGGTTGTTATCGCTTCTTCCAAGATGGGGTTGCCGCATCCTTTGCATTTGTACGAGCAGTTTACACATATCGCCTGTGCGAGTGAAGGGAGGGAAAACGGGTCAACCATCGGTGTCAATGTCTCATGCGTGCAATGAGCGATGATGGGTGATGGATGGGCGATAGTTGCAGCAATGCGCTGCTCGCTCCGCCCGCGACGAGGATGTTGGGCTGCGGTGGACAGCTTCGCTGAGGCTCGCTAAGAGCCGTGATTAGGGATATTGCGCCTGTGGCGCAAAGGAACTCGCTCCCGTGCCTGCGGCAGAGTCCTCAAGCACCGTCCTCGCGGCCGCTCGAATTTCCAAGCATCCTTGCGCCTCCCAGCGCTCTCTTTCTCCTCGCTATCGCCCGGGCCCCTCCCCCCCTCTCGCACCCATACCTTCCCGTCCTCGCCGACGAGCACGACACTATTCTCATAGTCGATGGGTGTCCTACAGTTATTACAGTTGAAACACCCGGAGTGAAAGTAAGCGTCACTGAAATTGATCAAGTTCCCTCCGTCGGCGTCTGTTATTAGTTTGTTGCAGCCTGCACAGTGTTGTTGGGGTTCGTTGGGGGTGTTGTTGTTTGGGGGTATGCCTTGCGAGTCGGCCATTCTTGCGTAAGGGAGTGACAAGCGAGGGAGCAAAGGGGAGTGAGTGAGTGGAGGGGCTCCTGGAGCTCAGCTCTGCGCAAGGGGCGTAGGTTCTTGGGGGGTTGTTTGTGACTGCGATGGGAGCCACGATGGGAGGGGGGTTTTGCGGCGGGCGGGCGGCGTGGAGGGGGCGAGGGGAGAGGCCAAGCGAGCCGAATGGAAACTGTGAGCGCGCCGTGTTTAAACGCGCAAGCATCGTGTGTGAAAACTGATATCCAACCGTGTGGTGTGTGTGAGATATCGAGCGGACGCGTGATGGACGCTCTCTGATAGTAATAGACTATTCTCATCTCCGCGTGACGGCGGTGGTGGTTTGAGATGTTCTCTTGTATCTCTCTCCACACAAAAAGACACAAAAACATGGTTGGAAAAACGCACTCCAGACAAGAACCAAAAAACCCAACACACGGCGGTCCCCCGGAAAAAAAAACCACTCACAACCCCCTCCTCGTCCCCCCCGCCTGCCTCAAACTCCCCACGCCCACCCCCGCCGCGCCCCCCATCTTCCCCCCAACCACCAAGCTCCCCCCATTGACGCCCCCACCCAGCGACCCAGCAATGCCCTCATGCGCCTGATAGCTGAACCCCACAAACTGACTCTGCACGTCCTCGCCCAGATGCGCGCTCCCTTCAACCAGCGAATCCTGCGGGATCTCAGAGGTGAACTCTTCGTCAAAGTTGGACGTGTCCGTTGCGGAGAGGACGTTGGGCCGGAAGGGCGGCGGGATCTTGCGCGCTAGGAGGCGGGACCAGTTGGTTTCGGAGAAGAAGGGGTGCCGTTTGATGGCGTCCGCGCCCGTGGTGCCGAGGCGGCGCGTGGGGTCGCGATCGAGGAGCTGTAAGTCGGGGGACGGCGAATGCGGTTAGGTGGGTGTGATGAAGAGGTTCGTCGGTTGATTAAAGCCAACGCTCGCACCGGTGACCGTACCTGGCTTAACAGATCCCTGGCGACGGGACTCACATCATCGGGAAACACCAACTCCTGGCCCAAGATCTTCTTATACATCTCGTTCGTATTCTCGTCGTAGAACGGGGGCAGGCCAGTGATCATCTCGTACAGCAGGATCCCGATTGTCCACCAATCCACCACTTTCGTGTATCCTTGCCCCAGCAGAAGCTCGGGCGCGAGGTACTCGGGCGTGCCGCAGAACGTGTTGGTCTTGTTTCCGTCTTTCATGTTCAATTTGCAGAGTCCAAAGTCGCACAGCGCGATATGGCCGGTGAAGTCGAGGAGGATGTTTTCGGGCTTTAGGTCTCTGGAGGTCATCAGAGGGGGGAGTGAGTGAGGTGAAGTAAGACGTGTTTTGCATGGTCAGGAGGGTGGGGGGGTGAGGGCAGAAACACACACCTGTAGATGATGTTATACCCATGCAAACACTCCAACGCACACAACAACTCGGCAACATAAAACCTCGCCCTATCCTCCGTAAACCTCCCCTCCTTCTGCAAATGATGAAACAGCTCGCCCCCATTCACAAACGCCAAGACCAAATACAATTTATCCGGCGTCTGGAATGAGAACTTCAAGGGGACAATGAACGGATGGTTCAATTTCGCCAGCACGGTGCGTTCGGCGAGCGTGTGCGCCACCTCGGCCCGCTCGACAATGTGCGATTTGCGAAGGATCTTCATGGCGTAGATGCGGTTCGTGTCGCGTTTGCGCACCTGCATGACTTTGCCGAAGGAGCCTTTGCCAATGACTTTGAGGAGCTCAAAGTCGTCGATTGTTAGGGATTTGTTTTGCTGGGGGGACAAAATCATGAGGGGTTCACCGGAAATGTGAGATTTGAGTAGTGTGATACGCGGTTACTTACCACCTGCTTCTTGAAATGGAACTGCAGATGCAGCTCCCCGGCAACCGTCGGCGCGCCCTCTCCGTCGCTCTGCAAGGGGTACCACTGGTCCTGCAGTTTTCCGTCGATCAACAGCGGTTTGACACGTACGCTGCCAAGGAGAACGTCCTGCCCTTGCGTTGTACCCCGTTGCAGCACCGAAATGGTCACTTCGGCTTCGCGCGATACGTCGCTGTCAAATAAAAGTGAAGGAATGCGTGAGTGGGTGTGTCCATCGTCCATCGTGCCATCCATCCTCCGTGACGGAGAGCCGATCGTCAGCGAATGGTCGCTGGAGAGCAGCTCGCCGGTGCTCGCTGGGAATAAGTGACGGGAATCTTGCGCCTTTAGCGCAATGTACACCTGACTGGCGTCCGTCCTCGCAAGCGCTCCATACTACAATGGGCTCGCTTGCGCTCGCACTCTCTCTCGCCCGCGTACGCATTTGCGAAGGTCGCGCTCGCAACCGCACAAACTCCCATCCCAAAATCAATCGCGGGGGTACCTACAAATTCGCGCGATGACCCCAAACCACGGTCCTACTCCCGGGATTCCCCTCCTTCGCCGGCACCATGATCTCATTCTTATCAAAATCAATCACACAATACGGCAATCTCGTGATATCCGCTCCCACGCCCGTCCCAATCTGCACCGCCGCGCCGCCATTGGGATACACCAGATTCCTGGCCTCCACAATCCGAATCAGCAGTAAACCCGACCCGCCGAGTTGCGAGGATGCCGGGTGGGAGATGGCCCCGGCGCCGGTCGGGGGTGTGGATGTGCCGGAGGTGATGTTGGGCGCGGGAGAGGGCGCGGAGGGCGGTGGAGGAGCCGCGGCGGGCTCTGTGGACTTTTTGCCTTTGAACATGGTTTGAGGCGATTGAGGGAGATTGCTGGTGCGTGTTGGCGAAGTGCCTTGGTTTCTCGAGTCCGCTATCTACCGTGCTGTGTCGAAGGTTGTCCTTTGTTGCAATCGAAACAATGCGAAACGCTGTTCTTCAACTTTCTATATCGCGGAAGATGGCCGGCACTGGGAAGGGCTGCACTTCGACAAATCGTTCGCAATTCCATTCAAGCGACAGCCTCCTCGCCGATATGGTTTTTCGATGCTTTCGAAGCATATTGTTGTCGTTTACGTATCGGTTGTGAAATTCCTTCTATTCCGTGACTATATTTGGGATGCTGGCGAGACACGTAACTTTAACTCTGAGATGCCGAGGGATGACTAATCCTGCAGTTGGTTTGGCCAAGGATGGCACATCTTTGATGCAGGTCTCACTGACGCCGACTTCGTCCTTGTTGCTAGTGGAGAGTTGCGGATATCCCGTTGCGGAAAACCCGGCCCAAAGTCAACAAAATGGTTAAAGGTCAACACCCACGTCGTCTTGTTACCCACGCCCATTTGACAGTAACCGTCATTTTCCATCGGTGAATGATCATCTTTCACGTATGCAAGTTCCCATGGTTGCAAGGAGAACGTACAAACATACAGTACACCAGAAATTCTGTGAAACTAGGAGATCACACGGAAGCCGACACAAGGGGAAAATCGTCTATCCAGCTACTTCCCACAGCACGGCAATCTGGGATGAGGGTGGGAGGGGGAGTTGCCGCCGCCGGGGTCTTCTTCCGAGCACAGCGGCGGCTGTTGTAACCCCTTCACGTACTGCCCTCATGAAGACCCCAGAGTGTGATTCCTTGGGAGCCCCTGCTTGCCGTTTGTGCGATTTTGTCTGCACACGAGTGGAATCGGTGCAGAGAGGTACTTTTTGCTCAAAGACAGTTGTCCAAGCTACTCAGTGCCCCTTCCAGGCACAACAGTAGATCTATGGGAATTGGACGCGGATAGATGTGGGTGCGGAGAGCAACCTCGGGAAGGGTGCGATCAACATTTCCCATATTCTTGTGTCTGAGGACAAATGCTCCACGGATATTCGGTTCTTTTTGGCGGTGTGTGAGCTTTAGAAACTTGCTGCGTTTGCGATGGCTACTCCGCAATCGCTTCCCCCCTCCATCCAGGGGATTCCAGGCGATGTACGCGTACACTCCCTCAGAGATCTTCTCGGTGTTTCTTATCCCCCCAGAACACAGAATCAGGCCACAGAGAAGAGTGGGACGATGTGTGGGCCGGTTTTTTGGATGTATTTGACAGAGGGTAAAGAGGAAAGGTACAGTGGTGTGCGATTCTAAGTGTGGGGATGATGATTCAAATGAAGCCGATCTGTAGAACACAACGAGAGGAGAGTCTAGTGTTAGTTCAATCGTGTCCGCACACGGTCAATCACACCATCTCCTCACATACACACAGCCCCCCTCGCTCAAACGCGCGCTCGTCCCTCCACACCGCCCGCACATACCTTGTTAGCAACGTCCAACGCATCGACATCCGCACTCAGCCTAACATAAGCCTTCTTCTTCCCATCCGGCCTAATCAGCGTATTCACACTCGCCGCCTCAACATCATATAACCGCTTCACTGCGTCCCGAATCTGCCTCTTGTTCGCCCTCACATCGCAGATGAACACCAGCGTGTTGTTGTCCTCGATCTTCTTCATGGCCGACTCGGTGTTGAGCGGGAACTGCACGACCTTGTAGGCATCGAGCGTGGGAACGCGCGGGACGGAGCGGCGGGGGTACTTCGGCGACCGGGGGAGACGGAGGGTTTTGGGACGGTAGAAGTGGGTTTTTGTGCGGATTTTGTGGGTGTGTTTGCCGTTGGTTCCTTTCAGGGCGGCCTTTTTGGCCGTGGTGGCTTTGGCCGTGGCCGCGGTCGTGGTGGCTATTGGGGAAGAAAGTGGTGAGATGATGGAAATGGAAAATCGGAGGTGGTGGGTTGACCATCGGCTGCCGCACATATGGTAATTCCCATATCTGAAAGGATCGCATCTCCGCCCGCTCAAATTCCGCCTCAGCTCTCCCAGCTCTCCAAATGGTCCAAACGACGAGGTTCCTGTCTTCGCCAACCCAGATTCCCACAGTCGAGTCGTGCGATTGCTAATTCCTACTTTCGACCCGCCACTATTCACAACCTGATCTGCTCCTCCCCGACTCTCCGCTCGAAACTCCTTCCCCACAGTCCTGCCGATCCAGCCCCCACCCCGTCGCATGTCGTCCTGCCACCCATTCCGGCCCCTCTTGTCGACTTCCCAAAAACGAGCAGCGATTCCCTCTGCAGGGCCGTGTCCCCAAAAATTTGACCGCCAACAGCGGGTGACAGCTACGTACTCTTAGCCTTGGGAGCCATTGTTGTGTTGCGCTTCCTGTGTCCTGTGAAGGGTGTTAGTGTAATTGCCTCCTCCGGTTTGGCTGAGCAGAGATTGAGGGTGTGGTTTAGCAGCGGACGAAAAGAAACGATCGGTCACGTGACGATCAAGAATGGGCAGGGAAAAGGCAAAAAGAGAGGTAATTGGGGCTCGGCCGGGAATCGAACCCGGGACCACCCGCACCCTAAGCGGGTATTATGCCACTAAACCACCGAGCCTTGGATGTTTTTGAGTCGGAGTATACTGCCCACCAACCATAACCTAATCTAGATCACCTGTCGCTCGTCTCACTTGAAATGAGACCGTTGCGGGAGCTTTCTGGGAGCTTGACATGTTCGACATCTGTGCCTTGCTTTCCCACCAACTCGTCTGGGAACAACTTTCGGTGGGAAGACAACCCCACTCGGCACTCTCAGTTACTATCAGCTACCACGACATAGAGCCCGGGAATTTCCGACACCGGTGCGACTTCCTCACGCCATCGACGCTTCCTCCATCTCCTTCGAGAAGTGAGGCAGAGAACCTTGATTGCGGGCATAGATCAACTCGAACCCATAGAGAGCCGGGACGTAAGTATGGGAGATGTCGAGAGTTTTTCAGGACGGGTATCCGCGGGATATGAGGGACAGGATGTCGGGGAATTGTTGATCTGACGTTTCGGGTCTGTACAATCGCGTGCGTTGCCCTAAGCGAGATTCTGCTGCCTGGTGTGAGAGAAGGAGAAAGGTCCATAGACTGTCTTGGCAAGATTGTGGTGTGTTGTCAGGCTTTTGAAGGCATATACGGAGCGTAGGCCATGAAGGACGGGTGAAGGGCTTTCCACATAATGTACGTATAAACTTGTTTTGTTGTTCTCCCGTTCGTCTATACTCCCCCATGCACTCCCTTCACCTCTCTGCCTGCCTTTTTGTCTGCTTTGCACACTGTTTTGTCAACTCCTCATTCACCCATGTGTAACGGTATATCTATTTTTCTCTTTGTGCAATAGTGCTTTCATCAGAAGACTTCTGAATCAAACTGTCTACCCATGGACGAATGCTGCTGCTCAAGGAATGGAGCGGACAATTGTGATAGGGTTGGGATGCAGAGAGTTGTGGAGGTCGGGGTGGCGAATTAGGGCCGCCAGGGGAGGCATCCGAATGTGGGGCAAGGAAACCCGTGCTGTATTATCATGGCACTTACCCCGTCTTCGTTCCGCCCACAGAAACTGAAATCCATACTGGACTGTTTTTACGTGGTAACATACCAAGCATATTGCCTATTCCGGAGATCTTTTCGGTGAACCAGGAAACATGGCGGACGATGAGTTCGATCTGTACGGCGACGACCATTATGATGCCAGCTCGGTACGTTAATAATGTTATGTGTCGGCCATCGCAGGGCGAGGATCATCGGAGATCATCCCGGTCCAAAGCAACATGAGTGTTTCAAGCTGAAGGCTTCCCGTTCTCATGCACATCCCGTAATAGAACGATTTGCTATACGACGACCTCCTAGCATCCACCAACGTCAAGCGAGAGACAAATGGCGGCGGGATCGGAGATGGTGGCAGGGATCAGAAAATGGACTTTTTGACGAATGACGAGGATGATGTGCTGAGTTTTGGGATGAACGGTGAGTTTCCGCGCGATGAAGTCCCTTGATACGACCATTGGACGGAAAACTGAAACCGTGATATATCGTCTCAGCTGAACAGGAGGACGCGCAAGCAGCGGCAGCAGCGGCGGCTGCAAACTCCTCACATAAGCAAGAGTTTAAAACCGAGCATGGAGATGGAGGTGATGTTCCGACACCAACCGGCGGGAATCTGGACCATGGGCCGAGACGTGACAGTACTGTGTCCATGGGCCCAGGGAGCGCTGGTATCATAGTTGGGGATTTGACCTGGGTGAGTTGAGTTGCATTGTTCGCAGTATGGAGCATCTCGTACTCATATAGATGGATTCTTTGGAAAAGTGGACGAGCGACGACGACCTCCGCACCGTCGCAGAAGACGCTGGCGTCGGCGACAAGCTCATCGCGCACGAAACGACCTTCCAGGAACACAAGATCAATGGCAAATCGCGAGGATCTGCGTACATGGCGTTCACGACTGAGGAGGCGGCATTGGCGGCCAAGCAGCTGTTGGAGATGATGTACGTGCCGGGCTCCCCTTTCTCATGTGTTCGTCCCCGCAAACCTGTACGTTTCGTCGAAGTCCGCTGATCCCCTCCACGTTCAACAGCGAAATCCACGGCAAAAAACCCACAGTCCAACTAGCCGACCCGACGTCCCACCGGCGCAACCCCTTCCGCACTTTCCCCAAAGACCCCAAAAGCACCACCCACCCCAGCACAATGCGCAACAATAACAACTCCATCAACGCCACCGCAAACCCGTTACTAGGACCCCAACCCCCGCTCCCCCCACTTCCCGTCGTCGGCGGCGTCGGACCGATGCGCAATAGCGTGATGCGGACGGGACAGGCTAGGGCTGCGCCGTATACCAAGTCTCGGCCTGGTGAGTCTCGCATCACTCCTATGCCATCACAACCCAACCCTACTTATACGTTTATGTGATTCTCTCCCCCAGTAGGAATGCCCCTCAACTTCCCCCCCAATCCCATGGGAAACCCCTCAGGCGGCGGCGGCACCCTCCCAACCCTCCCACCAAACGGATTCCCACGGCCACCATTCATTCCTCCGCAAATGGACTGGCAGCAGGAAGACTTCTACGGTGGTGGTGGGCGAGGGGGGCCGATGTATGGTGGTGGTGGGATGGGTGGGGGAGGTGGACCGGGGGGTATGGGAGGCGTGGGGAGGATGGGGATGGGGATGGGTGGGGGAGGGGGTGGAGGCTACCCGCCACAGCAGCCGAGGGGGTATCCTCCAGGGCCGGGGGCCCGGGGTTGGCGTTGAGTGAAGGAGTTTTGCGCGCCATTGCCGAGAAGCCATTCATTCTCGCGCACTTGCACGCTGGAAGGGCATCTCTCTACCGAACGCGCCTACCCACCACCCTCTTGGGTGTGATATACACGTAGACCCTGAGTCAATCCCGACCTCCCCCTTTTTCCCACCTTGGTGTATTTGTATTCATGTGTCGTTTGTCTTCTATGTACATATACCTTTTCTCCCCCCTCCACCTCGTACTGGATAGTGTACGTATGTGGGCGGAAATCATCTGTGCGGAGAAAGGAGTTAGAGTACTTCGATTGTAAACGACGTATATCTAACTCTGGTTGAATGCGTATACACATGGGAGAGGTAGTCTATCTACATGGACGGGAATACGCTTTTGACGCTATGAGAAACTGTCGCTGTACACCTTTTGATTTGTGAGAGCGCAAGCTATGGCACTACATGCAAGACGCCGGTAGGGTCTTGGCCGGGGAGCTGGGGAGGACCCGTCCCTCTCCCACTAACATAGTCCATGATCGTCTCCTCTCCCCCAAATCCACCGCTCACACAAGCACCTGCACAAACTTCCCCGCCGCCCTCGCCGCCTCAGCCACCACCTCCTCCGCGTCCTCATCCTCGCTCTTCACACTCAAAGTCAAAACGCCTCCTCCCCCATACCCCTCCAAAGCCTCCGTGAACTCCCTCGCCAGCACGCCCAGATCAATCACGGGCACGTCAAACTCATAGAACAGGAACCTGTTCTCCCGCGGGGCGTGCCATTCGGGAAACGCGGGCGGATTGTCCCCCCAATTACACTGCAACTCGACAACGGAGGGCGGGAGGGTGCGGATGAATGTGTACAGCGCCGGCACGTCGCGCGGTTGGAGCAGATACACTTTCGTCAGCGGGGACGTGGCGGGCAGGTACGCCACCGCGTCGGTGTCGGCGCACTGGAGGATGGACAGTTTGGGCAGCGGGGGGAACGTGATATGCGCGGGAAAGTAGCCGCCGCGGATGGCGAGGACGTCGGTTGTGGGTCCCAATGTGTACAGGATGGTTTGCAGGGCGTAGGCGTTGAAGCCAACCCATTGGGTGTAGGTTGGGGGCGTGTCGGTGTCTGCGGGGGTGTGGGAGCCCAGATCGATGGAGAGGGTGCGGGAGGGGGCGTTCCATAGGGAGGACCAGACGAGTTGTTCGGTGTCGTCGTCATGGATGCGGCAGCGGAGGTAGGATAACGTACATGATGTCAATACACTGGCCATGGCCGTCGCGGCCTCCGTCAAGGGGGAGTTGACACGCCATCGGAGGTGGAACTCGACGTGTTTGACGAGTTTGAGGCGGAAGGGGTCGCATCTGAACGCGGCGTTGAATTGGGCGGCTTGGGCGGGGTCCCGGAGGATGATTTGGGTGGAGTAGAGCTCGGTGCCCATGAAGGCATGGTAGGCTTGGCAGGCGCGGAGGAGGCGGCCGCGAGTTTGCTGAGGGCAGCGGCGGAAGATGTGGAGGACGAGCTCGAGGGGGAGGTGGGGGTTGGTTAGTGGGGTCAGTGGGGAGTCGAGAGTCATCTGGAGAGTGCAGGGGAGGTAGGAGAGGTGGGGAGATGTGGGAGGATGATATGTACTGGACTCTACTGTACAGCGGACGCTGTGGGGAGAGACAGAAAAAAAGGTGAGTGTCGAAGCGGAGGAAAACTGCTATGCCTTCACCTCGAGCCGGGCGAACAGTAGGCCGGGGGGCAGACGGTGGAAGGCAACCCTGCGTACCTAATGATAATGCGCCGTATCGTTCGACAAGTGTCCCAATCATATCCGGGGCGTTTTCTCGGCGACCCTCTCCTTCTCGGGGCGTTCGCCGTTGAGTTGAGTTGGGTTGAGTAACTTGAGTTGGGATGAGATCTCGCGCAACAAGTAACCGCGTACAAGGTCTCGCGTACAACCGCGTACAACTGTCACATTCCAACAAGAAACTTCGATCATTCAGAGAATCAGAGGAGAGTACTAGCACATTCACATCAGAGGAGAGAACTGGCTTCAGGTGATGCGCTTCAAACCAGATTATCCTTCCGCATTGGTATGTACACCTCCGGAGCCTTTCTGCTCCGTCCAGAAGAACCCGTACGTATGTACGTGTATATAGACCTATGTAGCACTCCCTATCCTCCATATCTATACCGACGCGGTAAGCCGTTTTCGGGAAACACGTTCACGATGTTCTGAAGGGTGATCACTAGATACGGGGCACGGACTCGTGGATGTGTGATGACGGTCGCCTATACGAGATCAAGTGAGAAACAAGGTAGAAGACAGCGACAAGAACACAACAACCCCGCAAAAGTACTCACATCCCGAATCTCCAAAACATCGCCAACACCCACACCCATCTTCACCACCGCTTTCTCGTCATCTTCTCCGTCAGCGGCTCGCATCCTCGTCTTCATCACCCCTGCATGCATCGCAGCGTCGACGACCACGCCTTTTCCGTCTTGCAGCTGCACGGCGATGTCGACGTCGGTTATGCGTAGGGATGTGAGGGTTGCGATGAGGTGGGGGATTCGGGAGGGTGGGGATGTGGTTGTGGCGCGGTGTGCGGTGAATGAGGGTGGGAGATGAGGTATGGCGGTTGGAATGTGGGCTGTAGGACATGTTAGATTGGGGTTTTGAATATGTGAGCATGTGCGCGGAGACGGACCTGCCATGTTCGTCCACGCGATTGAGGATGTTATGTAAGGGTGTACTTGTCGGGCAGCGGCGGATTCAAATGCAGCATCTTGATTTCTGTGGGGATTGTCGGTGGGTAGACCGTCGAGATGAATTTTTGTCGTGCGCGGTACAGGTTTCGGCATCAACACGGATGTGCTGCCTTGCATGAGCGCTGCGGCTTCTGCCGGTGACTGTGAAGCGGAAGACGGCCTTAGTAGACCACTCCTCATTGAACGCGAGTGTACGACGGCCTTTTATCGAATACACTCACCAACCGCTCCAACGCACCCGCAGGCCCAGGCACCGCTCTCGACCATCCTCGGCCCTCTGCCATCTCTTCATCGTCCCACTCCCGGCCACCAATCCCAAATCCATGGCGGTGGGAACCACTCGCAGTCTGCACAATCCCAACTCCATGCATCAGAATATCCCTCCCAAACTCATGCCGGCCGTCACCACGGCCCCAGGGCACATCCCCTCCTCCGTACACCAGAGCATCATACCCCAACTCAATCGCACCCGGAGGCGAAAACGAGAACAAATCCTCATCGACAAACTCAAACTCGGCCTCCTGCAATTTGTGTGTCGTGGGTTGACCGTGCGCGACTGTTTCGGATGTAGTAACACCATCGGAGTTGCATGCATAAGGAAAATGGCTTTGCACGCCTGCCAACGAAACCTCTCTATCTACATGCAAAGTGTCCGGTACGTCCAAACCGCCGTACACTGCCCGGGTCCATTCCGCGCTCATATGTTTTTTCGCGGGTGCGAGCACAGCAGCACCGCCAAAGGCCGCCGTGTCCCGTTTTCCCAGCAGCTTTCTAGGCGCTGTTTGCTGAGCCGCCGTTGTTGAGGGCTCAGCGGTTGATCCATGCTCGTTTGCGATCGTTGGGCTTTGCTGGCGGCCGTCTGGCTGCGGGTTCACCTGGTGCGGGACGGTTGGCTTTACAGTGACTGGGTGGGTACGTGCGAGAGAGTTGGCTACACTAACGGAAGAGTGTAATTCAAAGTCCAGGAGTTTGTCGGTGCCTTCGTCGGCGTCCCATGTGAAGCCGTCGTCTGCGTCCATGCTGAGAATGGAAACACAGGGTAGTGGTAATCTAGTGCGAGAGCACGGATGAAGGAATGGGAGACTGTGGTTGCAGGGCGAAAAGATTACTGGCGAGGATGGGGAAGAACATACAAGAGCACAGCAACCGCCAGCACAGCGAAGAAGACTGACAGGAAATCGACAGCGCGTCCGACTGCATCCCGCTCCCTCAAGTGCATCCAAAAGTGCGTCCAAACGCCCGGGTGGGATCGACGCGACCCGTGATGGTTTCTGTGGGAGGTGAACACCTTGCCATTCAAGTTCGTCGGAGTCTTGGCCCATGCTTTCAGCAGACTTCAGCACACTCTGCTCGTGGGGAAGCAAAGATGCCAAGAAGACCCAGTTCTTCCCCACTCTTCCCCACAGCGGGGCGGGGGCCGTGGACGTGGCGAGTGTGGCCTTCTTGATGCCAGAGGGACGCTATAAAGGAAGGCCCGCAGACTTCACGGACGGAAGGAAGGATACTACACCACATACATACAATCCACACTCAAGCACCCAACGGGGAAACAGCCAGCCATGACCCAAGACGCCGCCTTCTTCTCGGCCGTCCTCACCAAGCCTCTCAGCGCAATCCCCTACACAGCCCACACCCTTCTCACGCAACTCACCGGCGGCAAGCGGCACATCATCCAAGGCGCCGACAAGCTCTTTGACATCCAACTATTTGCGTCCCTCAACCGCTGCACTCTCACCCCGCACCCCAACATCCACAACCAATCCTCCTTCTCATGGGAGCCGCGCACCACCGACGATTCCGACGTGCGCGCCCTCCGCGCACGCGCGTTTGGCCATGGCGGGATCGACTCCATCGATGTAGCCACGGGCAATGCGGCCGAAACGCTCAAGGAGACCATCCTTGCGGGGTGGTACGATGTGCAGTGGGAGGGGAATGAGGTGGAGGTGGTGGTGATGCGGGTGCCGAAGGAATATTGCGAGATGCTGATATATTTTGTGGCGGCGGAGACAAAGAAGATTGGGGAGCGGTTTGTGGTTGCAGTCGAGAGCGCGGCGGCGGAGTTGGGGGAGCGGGTGTGGGTATTTGAGAAGGGGTTTTGGGAGGCTAGTTCTGGTGAGTGTGCCGAGCGGGATCGAGCGCGATCTGGGCGATGACCGTTTACTGACGTATCCTTCCTAAACAGCACTGTACAAGGCTGTCAAGGGCGTTACTTTCGATACCCTCATTTCGACTGAGAACAAAGCTAGAGCCATCAAAGAGGATCTTGAACGATTCTTTGACTCGCGGGAGCTATATCTCGAATACGGGCTGCCCTGGAAACGCGGCTTCCTTCTCTCTGGGCCACCTGGCAATGGGTAAGCTGAAGCCGCTCCGCCATCGGGCATCGAAGAATCGAACATCCCTAACCCGCCCACTCCCTCCCAATCACAGAAAAACCCACATCATCAAATCCCTCATCAACCACTTCACCTCGACGCACCCCACCATCTCCATTCTCTACGTCAAATCCTTCAAAGCCGAGCGCCTCCCAGACGAATACGCCATCTCCGCCGTCTTCAAGCGCGCCCGCAGCAACCCGTGCCTGCTCATCCTCGAAGACCTCGACACCCTCATCACCGACGCCAACCGCGCGTTCTTCCTGAACGAGATGGATGGCTTGAACACTAATGCGGGCGTGGTTGTGCTCGCTACTACGAATTACCCGGAACGTCTGGACCCGGCGATTAGGGACCGCCCGAGTCGGTTTGACCGGAGGTATGAGTTTGGGCTGCCCACCGCGGGAGAGAGGGAGATGTATGTGCAAATGTGGGGACGGACAAAGGCAAAGAAGGGCGTCTGTATCACCGATGAACTGGCGAGGGAGATTGCGGCGGACGACGTCACGGGTGGGTTTTCGTTTGCGTACTTGAAGGAGTTGTTGGTGTCGTCTGTTATGCGCTGGGTGCAGGGACAGGTTCAGGACGGTGGTCATGGTGGGAAGGACTTTGGGACTGTTTTGAGGGATGAGGCAGCGGTTCTGAAGACGTATATTAGGGAGATGCAGGCTAAGAAGGAGACGGGGAAGGGTGAGAAGGAGGATGGGAAAGTGAATGGGGTAGTGCATAAGTAGAACTTTGCGATTATATGTAGGTATGTATGCAACGTTGGTTGTCCTTTGATCATCAGTATACTATATTCAGCGTAAGAATGAGCAGCAAGTTATCCTTGTGCGGCAGAGCGACCGGAGTTTTGGCAGCGGCATTTGCGGCGGCAGGAGCTTGGATCACAACTCCTCCCATGATGCAATTGTCTGGCGAGGCCTTTCCCGAAGGAATCAGTGGAAAGTTCTAGGTAGTGGCCAAGTTTACACTCAACAAAAGTCTTACTGTCCACAAGCTCGTCCACATTGAAATAGACTTGACCCTCTTGCTTGAGCGGCAAAAGATTCGTCAAAATAGAAGGGATATGATGATCCTAAAATGCCGTCCGATCTTGTTTTCTGAGAATGTGCCCCATTTGGTCGAGGTCAAAGATGATCTGGTTCAGGCGAACTTCCCCTTACTCCACACCATGGCCGCCAATCACCAATTCCTCTCCGTCAATTTCACGACTGATCTCGTGAAATCTGTCAGTGTCGCTGATGCAAACCACTACTGACCTTCAAAATGGACATGCGAGCTCTGGAGAGGAAGGTGGACCGCGGCTTTGCCACTGTGAACACCCAACTCGCCGCTATGAACGTCACTCCTGCCATGGTGATGCAGCAACTGGCGGCCTTGGCGCCGACTGCCGCACTGCCTGCTGCACCGCCCGCTCCCGTCGCCTCGTCTTTTAGTCGTCGCCTTTTAGTCGAGATCAGATTGAGGCCCAGCCGGCAACTCCTTTTGGGTGTCCCAAAAAGGGGAGGACAGCCAATCCATATGTACAGTGCGCTGGGTTATGGGTTTGATGGTGGCGGTGTCCGTTGTTATCAGCTGGCCTGGCCGGCCTTGGGTGCGTACGTCAATTCATATGTGCAGGGCGCTGGGATATGCGTTTGACAAGTGCGGTGTCCGTCGGGTGCGGGATCTGGTCCGTTCTGGACCAAGATTTTCTGACGGTTTACATCGCGAAGCGTGAATGTAGGGCCGGGATCCAGAACGTACTCAAGACTGCCGTCCGTCATCAGCTCGGGATAGATTCTGCTAAAGGGGCAGAAGTTGGGGTCGGAGAGGGCGACGTGGATGACCACCGCCTTCAGATCATCGGCGGTGATCCAGGCAGTGGTAGACAAAATTCGGTTCAGCTCGAAGATGGCTCCTGCGCCGCCGACCACGGTGTCCTTGTGCGCCCCGGCGTAGCCGTGCGGCTGATACTCAGCCACCATCGCTGTACAGTACTTCCGATCTTGAAGCATTACAAAAGCACCATCTGAGCGGCTAGAGCCCCCCCAAGCATCCTCACAGAACCGGTGCGGCAGCTCCCGCTGGTAGACCAACGATGGAGCTCTCCCACTCTCAGTTGCGGACACCCAAAGCAGTTCCTCCCACAAGAGCTTGCTGTTTGATTCCTGGCGGTCGAGGACACTCTGGCAGAGTTCCTCTCCACCACGCCTACCAACTTTCCGATTGTTCTGTCGCTGATGGATGGTGTTGGCTGCAGCCAAAAGAGTTTCCAGAAAATGTTGCGTTGGGGCAAAATATCAATGGCTCCGCTGGCACGGGATTGGATCAAGGGGTGCTCTTTGATGGCGCTTGCCGAGACTGAGATATGGCCAAGTTGATGGACTTGGGCTTTGCTACGCAAGCCACTGGCGGCGTGGGAGACCACCTGGGCGCGTTGGGCATCCTGGATGGCCGCGTTGACGAGCTGGTCTAACCTCGTAATCTTGGCAGCGGTATTCACGATCATTGCCCGTACATTTGCCGATATATCCAGCCTACTTGGGCGTCCGACACATCCATCGTCTCAAACATAGCCCTCCAGCTGTCGATTTCCGGTGGAGACGGGCCGCATGATAGCTCCTTGCTCGCATCCGTGTCGGCGGTCAAATCTTCAAACGAGCTGCGCCCGCTAGTCCTTCCACCTCTTCAATCAAGCATATTCTTCCGAGCTCTGCAATCGTCGCTACTGGGTGCTCTCCACGCCTTCAACATTTGGACCATCATAAGAAGCCTCGGAGAGCACCCAGTAGCGAAGATTGCAGAGAGCGCTACGGCGTCTGAAGGAGGGGGTGGTGCGGGCCGCGCCGGCGGTCGAGGTCTGCGCCGACGGAGATGCGTTCTTTTGTCATCCCTCCTAAAGGTATCACAGGAGGGGTTAGTATATCGAAGTAGTGAAAGGTCGTGGAGGGAGGTGGGGAGATCTGTATGTTACGTACCAGATTCCCGCCAAGGGACCGAGTCCTTTGCCTTTCCAGAACTGCTGCCGAACTGGCAGGATAAAGTGCGAGTGGGTTGGCGAAAGGATAGTGCAGGTACCAAACTGCTAGGACGCTGGGAACTAGAGTGCGAGTGGCCGAAAAGAGGACGGTGCAAGTGGTGAAGGATAAACCCAGATTCTTTTCGCCATCTGGGATGTCGCTCTCAATAAAATTTGGGTAATGATTTTTCGGATGTTGGCGAGTTGGGAAACCTTGCAGAAACGCCTTCGGTGCTTCCCCACAAACGTGTCCGATTCGAGACGCGCTGTCGATTTCCTGTCGTTTCGAAAGAGAAATGCCGCTGATTCGACAGCGCGAATTGAAACCTCGGCAAGCGGACTGCAAAGAACTTTCTTTCGGGGGAATGGAGTCTGAGCAAGGTTTCTAGACTCTCCTGTCTCTGATAAATCTTTCTGACGAGCAACACAAACCGACATACACCATTGCGCCGCTCTTTCGTTCTTGCCAAGCAGGGGGAACCTTCAACTGGAAGCTCAACCCGTCGTCCACATATCCGTCGTCCCCCTCTGGCCCCCTTTCGGCTTCGCTACAACGCTTTTCAGCGGTTCTTTCGAGTCTCGGTATGAGTTGGTTTGCTCGCTGGTATGCCAGTGCGCGCACTTCATCCGATCATTCACACACTTCCCCTTCTCATTCAACCCACTCTTCGCAGCAGCCAATACATCACCGCCGGCAAAGCGTCTCCCGTCATGTTGCAGGGCGCGGACAGAAGCGATGACATGCAGTGGAGCGAGAGGAGCGGCGAATCTCCTCAACGTCGTGAAGAGGCCGGCGAAGCTTTCCTTCTTAACAAGATGGATATTTCAGCGCTGTTGCAGCGCGTTAAACGCTATAAGCCGCTACCGCGCACTGAAAACCACAACTTGAACTGGGAGGATGTGTGCAAGGATTATCGCAAATTTTTGGTACTCAAGCTTCTCCACCATGATACCGATGCATTGCTCTTCATGCCACCTGAGCACGTGGGGTTCGTTTGGGATTCGCACATTGCCGACACCAAAGCATACAAGGTAGAGATGGGCAGGGTTCCCTTAACGGTTCTATTAGCTCATCAATCCTCCATTATAGATCGCCATGGATACCATTGGCATCTTCTTCAACCACAATCCTGATTGCGTAGAAGAATCGGACGAGTACCAAACACGCTACAAGACAGCGGTCTGGGCTTACGAGAATCACTTCAACTGCAAACCTCCTGCCACCATCTGGCCGCAGCCGCGCACAACAACGACCACCACCTCGTTGGCAGCTTCCCAGAATCGAGATCAGTCCAGCCCCGCGGCGCGCCACGGGAACAAGAGCGGCTCTGGATTCGTCCTCAGCTCGAACGATCGCACAGAAGGACCGGTGATGATTCTCATCGATACGGCAACTAAAGCTCTGGCCATCCAAGTGTCCGTGCGAGAGCATCTCAGCGATGTAAAACGCCGTGTGCAGGATGTCACGGGAATCCCGGTGAGCGTACAGTACTTTATCTACAAAAACAACCTCTTGCATGCGGATCAAACGCTCGAGGAAGTTGACATTCTAATTGGAAGCACTTTCCATTTGTTGACGAGGCTGCATAAAGAACGACTTCAGGTTCGTTGCTCTTAGTTTTGCGCGCCCATCTCCCCGCTTCTGATGGACTCGATAGCCCTTTTCAAATAAGGTGGAGGGGTTGACAAAGTCATTTTTCGACCTCAAGATCTAGCACACGGTTCGGGCATGTTTTCAGCAGAGTTCTTATCAGCCCTACACTTGTAGTCAGTCCTCTTAGAAAAACATGAAAACGGGCCCGCTTGTAGTTATAGTTATCCCAAGTTAGCGTCCCCTTCCAGCAATGAATCCCCGGCGTGGGGAGTCTTGTAGCGGCGTGCGCATATCACCCCTATCTTTTTTCTTTTTGCATTACTCCGCGTATATGTAGCTAGCCGCTTCTGCAAAAAAACATTCTGCGCGGCATGAATGAAAAGGATTCGCAGCGAACCCATCTCTTGCCCTGTGGTTGCCTCACTGTTGCGTCAAGCCTGAAAGCCGGCCTCGAGCGTGATACGCAAACCCGTCGGCTTTCACGGGCACCGAAAACAACGAAAATCAGCTGCTCTGGGAAGGTTTCTCGTTTTGAAACGTCTCCAGAACGATCTGAACGCAAGCGTTTTCTCGCCTTCCTCGCTTGTGGACGCAGTGTGGCAGAGTCACATCTTGGACACTAGAGGGTACGCATTCTGTCATTCTTTTCACTGTGGATGACGGGATGACGTGTTAAACTGATAGCCTTATACACCAGGTACGCTGCCGTGGTGGACGCCATTGGCGTGTTCATTCACCACGATCCAGACGGCGGGCACGATAAGACCAAGCGTCAAGCTCGTCACAGTGAGACGCTCTCCGCCTACGAAACGGATTCGGTGTTCCCCCGGACACCATTTGGCCACCTCAGGGCAGCGGATTGTTGAGGCCACCTCTCCGCAATGACCGGACGATTCATGAGAAGAGCGAGCATTCTGACTCCGACGGACGGTTTTTGTGAAAGACCTGTGTGGAAGGACTGCACCTGTACAAGTTTCGCAGTCCAGTGAGCTCGATTTAAAACTGGCCATTCTCAAGCAACGAGGGTTCCGCCACATATGCAAACGCTATCGTGCACTGGGATATTGCTACAGGAGGACGCGCGGTCCCTCGCACGCTACAAGCTTACACTTTTGTATTCGGTGATTGATCTGCGCGGGTGCTGACTACGCAAGACGGAAAGGTCACATCTCGCAGGCGCGCTCACTCATGGAGACACCACTTTCCAAAGCGATTCAACGACTCAACGATTGACCGGCTCCAGTGCCTTCAACTTCCTTGCCTTTGATGTCTCGCTGGAAGATCGGGTAACTGCCTTCGGTGACTCCAACACCATCGCACTTCGAGATCGCTGCTGACGTGAACCGGCACTGGCCACTTGGCCCCTCACTGCTTTCGCAAAGTTCGCTATCCTCGGCGTAAGTTTTCATCTTAGTCCTACCCACACGTTAGTTTTAGCGCATTTTCTCATTTCATGGCATCGTCATAGTTTAGTACCACAAACTCCTAGTCCCGGCGGATGTGCCCGATACAGGTTTTCCTTCAGGACCGGGTGTCCGACGTTATGAAGATTATTCCGGAGCGTTTCTGATTTGACCCAGTCGTACACAGGCCTATCCAGTCAAACTCGCTGCCGGTCTCAAAAATGAGAGTCGCCCTTCACTCGTCGGTAGTTTAGCAAACGTTCTCGCGTAGTTGGGTCTGGTCCACAAAAAGCAATGTGCGGTACTCTACTACTGTTTTCGATGCAGTGAAAAAACACCAGTGTTTTCTTTAGCCCACATCAGTTCCTGTGTCTCTTTTCTTGATGCTGGCGGCGCGAAGTTTCCACACATCGAACGTGTCATGCCACAAAGACAGAAAGCTTCTTCCATGACCAAACACGTAAGAAAATCGTCTGTCGGGGCATCCTACCTCTGCAACCGCACGATGGCGGCTAACTTCAAATTTACCGCCGACCGTCGAATCTTCCTCATCAAGTGCAGCTTGTTCTAGCAAGCTTCTCTAAAGCCTCAGCTCGTTCCACTTCCGGCAGCACAAGTTGGTGGCCGTGACCTGTCAATCCTGTCACTCGTTCAAAAATCGACAGCGCGTTCCCCTTTCCTCCTGCTGCAACTACAAGCCATCTTTATGACGCGAAAGCTAGGTGAGTCTTGGCTTCAAAAAATCCTCCAAGCCCATCCTAATCTCGCTCAGAATCCAACCTCAGTCAGCAGCAACCAGCAGGTCCCATACCTGACGAGCCTCGAAGGATGTCACGCCGAACCGATACATCCATGCCGGCAACAAAGACCGGCACCAAGTAAAGCGTGAAGTAGGGGACGACGAGGACTGGCTCTTGACCTTCTTCGTGAAGGCAGAAAAATGGATACATCCGCATTAAGGATTAGTCTGATGCACGCTTAGTACGAGCGAGACATCGTTGACTCCCAAACGGGCAGCGGTGCTGAGACGGACAGCGACTCGGAAACGGAGAGCGACACCGAACTGCGTTGGGATGCCATTCTGTTCGAGTACCGCCGCCCGACCGAGCGTACATAAACCGATCTTTGCTGCCAAGGTCTTGGAAAACCATCACACGCTCTTTGATTGCGGAATCGGAAACGAAAGCACCGTATGCTGGGTACATTAACTAACAGGGTGCTGAGTAGTTGACATCACCCATCCCCAACGCTTGTGCGCCATTCTTCACAACGAGAAATCTATAAAAGCACCGATTCCGTTGCACTTGTCATCATACGGGCATTAGAAAGGCTTGCAGAACCCTTTATGCGTTGCCTTTCGGCAAAAGAGGTCTCGCGTGTTCGTGTCTCCCGAAGTCCGTAGTGTAGCTGTTTATTCTCCATCGCCCTTACATTTCTTTCAAGTTCTCCAGTCCATCCTCGTCGTAAAAACTTCAAGCGATGGGAGAATACGATAACAGTTTCCTTCCGCTGTGATAAAAGTCCGGTCTGGCTGTGGTTATATCACCGTGTGTCACTCATGTCACCCTCCTGGCTTGCCTACGATCCCTCCTGACAACTCAGAAACCGGCTTTTTTTCCCGGGACTCCGGTCATGAGATGCACGCGCAGCCGTGAGGGGACTGGGCTCTGAAACCTCCCACAGACCCCAGACAAACTCGTCCCAAACGCATCTCTCCTCTTTTCTCTCTCTCACCCACTCCCCAGAACTCCTCAAACGAACGCGAAGCCCAAGCCCAACCTTCACCCGCATACATCCCAAACAAAGTTTCCAAGAACCGCCGACTCCTGCGTATCAACCCCCCACAAAATGGCTCCTCAAACTCCTCAAATGACCTCCGCCGGCAAGCAGACCGAGCCCGACAATACGAAAGGCCGCCTCTTCGTGCAAAACCTCCACTCCAAGAAGTTTGCGGTCGACCTTTCTCTCCGCGACAAAGTGAGGGACGTCAAGGCTCAGATCCGCCACCACTGGGGACTCGCTGAACACACGCAGGCGGTCATTTTTGCCGGGAAGCAAATGACCGAGGATGATCGCATGTTGTTTGAGTATGGGCTTGAGTTTGGGAGCATTATGTACTTGGTTTGTCCGCTTCCTGGAGGAGTTTGAGATGTATGTGTTCGTCGTCGTACCGCTCACATTCTTGGCCTGTACGCTGACGATCATCTCTGTCCGTTCAATGTAGATGGGGAACAAAGCCTCTTTGCAGGAAACACAGCAAAAAGCATGCTCTAGCTATTCGCAATCTCCTACTATTCTGATATCCACATTATCTTTTTGGCGTCGTTGTACCATATTCGCGGCGTGCCCATCTCTGTGTTTTTTGGGCAATCGGGCATATCCCGTCATTGCGTCTACCTCATAGCTCAAAAGAAGTTATAGGAAGCATCCCCCTTTCCTTTCCTCGTATCAGCGGGATCAAATCGTTGCTATTATTGTATCTTACAAAGTGCATGAATGTAAAGAATATATCAACGATATGTCGAAGAGCTCGAACCAGAACCCAAAAAGGTGCTGGATGTGAGCCGGTTATGAGGCATTCGTCGAAGACAGCGAGTTGGGCGATTATGGGGATACACCAGCGACGCTGCATCTTCTGGCACGCCTGCATCACAGCGGCAAGGCGAGGAAAGAAGGATATGCGACCATACATGGCGCCCAGTCTCCTTCATTGGATCTAGTGCCGGAACGAGCTTTGCCCCTGTAAGAAGCGGTTTTGGCCAACTTCCGCAGAGGTGCTTGCTGTTTGATCAGTATGAAACGTCTCTTGTGTGGGTGGTAATCCACGCACTGAATTTGACAATAATTTGACAGCGTTATCGTAGATTCCGGCACGCTGTCAAATTCAGGTCTTCCCATGCTTTGCCTGGCATGGACAAATTCAGGTATAATCACGGGAAATGAAATGACATGGACAAAGAAAGAATTAGAATGGGATGGAGACATCCTTGCTGGGAATGACTCGGACATGACAGGACTTGGCTTGCCACGCGAGCGTAGGGTGGGATGACAAAGCTGTTGTCGCTCTGCTCCAGGTGACCTTCGACTGTGCTTCAACCATTCCGTGCCGACCCTATAGTAGCTTTGGTGCACCAGAAGAGGCTGATGCTGTCATGCGAGGAAAGGTTGAGAGACGAAAACGAAGACTGGCGTTGGAGTGCTCGTTCGCGACCAACCTTGTCACGTGGTATTGAGGTCTGGCTTTCCTGTCTTCGAAATTCATTCTTTCCCGAATTGGGAACATCGACAATGGACCATTCAGGATGGTATAGGCGAATACGGCAGGCTAAGATGGTTTTATGCTTTACTTACTCTCTGTTGGAAGGAGTTGTGTTCCCTCTCGTCTTCGACCAGATAAAATGGCAAATGAGGAACGTCCAATCTGCAAGATGGGAGGGCGAAGCAGGGAAGAAAGTGGGCAGCCATCTCCAGAAAACTGCCGTGGGAGGCAGACAGCGTTTGTTGAGGCAGTTGAATCCCAGTAAGTCGTTGGATACCTTCCAGATCCATTTTCGGGATGAAGGCGAAGTGGTCCAGAATGGACCGCCTGATGTTGGCTCTTGGGTCATGGCCTACGTGAGAACTTTGCAGGGATATGCCTACGGACAGCTGATGTTCCCTTCCGTAACCCCATCGGCTCAACGCTTGATGGCGGCCACCGCAGTCCCTCGCTCCCACGACCCATCAGATCAATAACAACCGACAAACACTCACAATCCAAAACGTAGATTTCAATCCGCTTCTTTCTATTCACCATCGAATCACGAAAGGGGGGAAATAAAGAAACACCCATATAGGGAAAACGCGACAAAAAAGGTGATGTACAAGAGACGCCAGGTGCCTACCCCGCACGGTGAGTTCAAGGGCGTGGCGTGGCCGTCTATAACAAGGGCACGCAAACCCATCTTTCCCTTCCTCTCCCATTCTGAGAATTCGCTACAACATCAAGGAGGTCTTCAAAATTGATATGGAACGATACTGTGCAAGACGAGGGCGATTGGGTGTGGGATGTTGTGATGACGTGTAATGTTCTGGATGTTAGCCGGTGGGAGGATCCTCGCTTCAAGCGAGAAGGTATCGGGCTGCCGAGATTGCATGCGGGGAGGATGTGGTGATATGATATGCGTATGCTTCAGGAGGATGCTGAGATTTGCTTAACCGGACTTTTTGCGGAACGAGCATCCCTCTGTTAAAAACACACAAGAAGTTCGTGAGTTTGAGTTCCATATCCCGTTGTCGCATAAAATCTCCGCTCCGCAGCTTTTCGTCCGATACATACCAGTCAATCTTGCCTTTCCTCCCGTAGGCTGGCACAGAACAGTCGCGCAGCTCCCGCAAAGGACGACGGTTTGAGCGTGGCTGAACACGGTCGTGATGTTAAAGCAGCCCGGGCATTTCACATCCATGAAGTAAGAGTTGGGGCTCTGTACGAGACGTTTCAGCTTGTGGCGACGGGCCTCGGACGCGGCGCTGGGGTTAAGAAGGTCGACGGCGAGCTATAGAAAAAACATGAGAGATGGGAACGTTAGTTATTCGCGTCAGAGAGTGCGTGCGAGTATGTTGACACCAGGGAGGTAGCAAGTCGCTCATTGCGCCCCTGGATGCTCAAGATCACATGGCGGGATCAACGACGGGAACAAATGCCCCAAAAAGTACGGTGTACTGCAGCATGAAGTGCGCGTGGCGCATAGTCACTAGAGCAATAGTGTACTTTTGTTCCAACCATTTACGGTCATATTCCTACGTGCCCGTAGCGTAGATTCTATAGAGCGCCTATGTACTAGGTACGAACGATTGCGAAATTGCGGGATGCATTCGAACGCGGAATGACCGGCCAGCAATCGAGCATAGGTCTTGTACGATCGGGCGAATCGCTTCCCCAGTCTACGCATGTGGTCGATATCCCCTCCGGAACTCAATGCACCGTCGACCCACATTCCCGCGCCATGCGGAGTGTCCACCTCAATCCCGCCAGTTGAGTCGAAATTCGGCACGGATACTTACAGTCATGTTTGTTCGTTCCTAGATTCGTTGGATGGAGGTTGCGTTGGTGTGTTGTGCTGTGTGCCTGACGATGCGATGTGCAGGTTTGAATAGGATGGATGGACGGATGGATGGATGGATGGATGGACGGACGACCTTTTCAACGTCGAGCTTGTCCTCCAAAGTCGCCGTGGGAAAGTTTCCAGCTTGCACAGCCACCCACGCTAGCCATTACATATCGCTATGCTATGTTGCTTATTTGGGATTATATTATTTCAAATCGCGCCATGGAATCCAGATGTTCCGGAAACGCGGCGAGTGGAGCCGGCAGCTTGGTAGTTCAACATTTTTGGAAACCCATTTCGATGGCGAGTGAAATTGGGCGACGACACTCGTCGGTATGGAAGAGCTGCATGCCACTTGTGCCAAGAGAAGTTGCCGTGCCTTTATATGTATGAGGAGTCTGCGACGAGAGAGTTGATGCATGCCTGGTGAAGAAAATCTCCTTGGAAAGGATCTCCATGTGGTATCCTTTCGAAGCTTGAGGCTCATACCTCTGTGGTCTGTGGTTCTTCGGGAAAAGAACAAAGCAAGGGAAAAACAACTTCCAGCATTCTCGTCGTTGGCGAAAGTCATGACCTTGTATGGTCTAGGCATCTTCACTCTTTGCGCGCCAGGCGGAACACCCTACACCACAATGTTAAGTGGACTGACATCCTTCACCTATCCTCACATCCGTCGTTTCGACCAATTGAATGCTCGAACGCTATACTATGATGATACATCATGCTAAGATGGCTGAGAAGTGCCTCGAGGCGGTCGGCTCTGAAGCGACCGAAAAGGCAGCATGCAGTCAATCCACGTATTGACAGGATGTCGGTGACTCATCACTCACCGCGCTGTCGATTTTGCGATGGTGGGAAATCTCCGCTTTCCGATCACAAGAGCTCAGAAACGACACAAAAATCGTGGAGGCTGCAACGCCAAATTCCAAGTTCGAGAAGCTTGCGAATGCCAATGATGCACGCCCAGCTATGGCTGATGAAGGTCAGAAAAGTCTTGATGGTAGGCTATACGATATTTCGCTGTGCGGCTGAAGGCAAATGTCCCGAGTTGAAGTTCGGCAGACACCGGAATAAGCGAGAAACGAGCAAAGCTGATGTCCTGCCTGTAATCTCTGCCGCCAGAGCGCTAAATCCGTAGCTGACAAACCCCGCTCGAAAGTTTATAAGTATTGAAAGCAAAACTCCGAAATCCAAAGAAACCGTTCAAGTCCACTCCGCCTCGCCCCAACTTCTGTGTGCGGACACTTAATCGGAAACACAGCGTTACGCCTATCCTATTTTGACATTCCCACCCTTGAGGTCCACCCCACTATTGTGCCAACAGGGTTCCATCTCCACCTTCCATGTCCCACCCCCGTAAAACTCTTCCAAAAAAGCCGTCACGCGATTGCGCAACTCCATTCTCCCCCGCGCACCCCTAGAACCCAGATCCTCTTACGCTTATCCCCACCCTCCACCTATTCTATATCCACTCCCAATGCGGTACGGCAATGGAAGGAATGGAATGATGTCAGAAGAAAACCTCCGGGGAGGGTTATTCGTTCTGCGAACCCCGACCGAAGTGAACAAGGAGTCTGGGCGGAGACGGAATTGGCGTGGCATCGACAGTGGGAGAAGAAAAGCTTATTTTTGCGATTTGAGACTTTGGGACGGTTTCTGTGTTTTGAGATTTCTGTCTTCTGCGCTTTTCCGTTTGCGATTTCGGTGGTGCTTGGGTTTCCTTCTTATTTCAGTGATTCTTGCTGTCGCGCGAAGGTTCTGAAGACACTGTTTGGGTGAGACAACGACAGACGAAAAGGGCGGACCAGCGCACAGAGGCTCTCGTAGTGTTCCGAATCGCTTCCCCGACCAGTCTGTGCGTTACTACGAGGTACGTCGGATGGACTGAGAGGCCTGACGAGGGACGACGACCTTGGGCAACTCTGTGGATGCACAAGGGAATGGGCGAAGATGACAGGGATCGAACCACCCCAGCGGCGGGAATACAGCCCCACATCCCCACACGATATTCTTGGCACTAAAACCGCAAGCTCTCTATTTTCTGCAGGCTTCACAGGGCTCAGTTATCTTTACAGTCCGGTAACCACTCCCGTCGCATGATATACCCCACACTTCTTCCCTGCCCCGCGTCGGTACGCTTGCATCCCCACCGATCGGAACAACTCTACAATCTGCATCTCAAGTTCTCATAACGCCCAGCATCCCATCCACTACCCCGAACACCCGCACAAACATGTCCCACACCTACGCCTCCACCTCCCGCACCTCCAGCGCCTCCACCCGCCCCTCCCCATACCCGAGCTCATCCCCCCTCTCCATCCCCAACTGGCGAGCCACAAGCATCAACACCAACACCAACACCGACCCGTCCACGACCGCAACCGACACGAATACCCCGGGGTCAGTGTTGACGACACTCAGCGCAATGGCAGCTCGACGCGCGAGTAACTATCTCCCGCGGTCGTTCTCTAATCGGGGAACGGGGACAGGGAGTGCGGCAGCAGCGGGTGATGCAGCACAAGGACCGGAAAGAACGCGGAGCTTGAGGGCCATGTTGGCGGACGCGAGGGCGGAGTTGGCGAGTAGGGAGAGGGGGAGGGGGTTGCTGCCGCCGCAGCCGAGCGCGCAGACGGAGCGAGTATGGCAAGCGCCGCCCACTCAACAGCAGCAGCAGCAGCAACAGCAGCCAGCTCCGTTCGCGCGGTACCTGAACCAGCAACACAGCGCCTCGCTCGCCCAGCCTCCGTCCACAGCGACGCCGTCGACCACCGCCACCCCTCGCCATCTGCAACACCAGCACCAGCACCAACCGTACCTGTTCTCCAACACCCCGGCGTCCACGGCGCATGCGCCAAACCCTTCCTCGACTACCCAGACATCGCCCGCTTCGACTACACATCTCCCGACCCGCACATCCGGAACCAACACCAGCACGAATACATCAGTGAACGTGAACGTGAATGTGAATGTGAATGGGACTGGGAGCGTGAACGTAAACACGGCAACCCACCACCACCCGCATTTCCGCAGCAAGCGCGTGTGCACGCTGACCTGCAGGCATTGCACGAACGAGGTGTGCTCGAGGGGGATGAAGGCCATTCTATTGGGGGATTTGAGGGTACGTTCGTTCCCATCCCAAACCCCACTTTCCTTCTTCTCGTTTCGTAGGTTCCCTAACCGATCTTCCGATACCTCCCCCCGCACAGGTCGAGCTCTTTTCAACCGACTCGCCACCATCAAAGTAAGCTTTTTCGTAACATACCGCCGCCGTTATTCCCGGCAGTGTCGGAATTTTAATTGTTTTTTTGTTTCTCGCATCAGGGTTCAGTTGGTCGAACTGGACTACATGACCCGCAACTGCAGATGCCGGATCCGTGATGTCGCTTGTCTAGGCTGGTACGTCGTGCTATTCCCCCTTTGCCCGTTCCCCTCCCTCTCACCCTCCTTCTATTCTAACCCTCTCCCCCCCCCCCCCTCTCCCCTCTCTCCACCACACAGCGGCAACGTCATAGGCTACCACGTAACACAACCCTGCGACCGCTGCCTCGAATCCTGCAACAACGGTCATTTCTGGATGTTCCTCTCCGAGGGCGTGACGAGCACGGATCGGATGGACCTGTCCGGGACGAAGCACCTGGTGTGGGCGCAGCTGCCGGTTGTTGAGATGGATGCCGGGGGGGCGGGAGCGAGGGAGAGTGTTGGGGAGGAGGTTGTTTGTCGTTGATGGGTGGGGATTGGAAGGGGTGGGGTGATGGGAACACTTTGGCTTTGGGGGGGGGGGGGGGGGGGGGGGCAAAATAGGCGCGTCTGATACACACATTTTCACCCTTCTCGCTCATGTCGCTTTTCTTTCTTGTAACGTAAAAGACGGGCCCGTAAACGGCTGCGACGAACAAAGGACACCCGTAACAGAGCGACTCGTGGCATGTGCGCAATCCTGGTCTTGTTTCGAAAATGCGATCCACAGCAGATGTGGCATATTTCTCTTACGCTTTCGAAAAGCACTTAAAATATCTGATCAACGACTGCTGATGCCGAGTCCGCAAATGTCTCCATCTCAGATCGACAGGGAAGGTAGAAGCGGAGGTAGTGCAGCTGTGTTTCGAAGTTCGTATATACCAAAATGTTGCGCTACCCCCACGTCTACCTTGCTGTCTCATAGCGACCCTCTCCGAAGCCCGCTCGCTCGCCCGCTCGTTCACGCGATCGCCTAGCCATATGCTGGCCGCTTTAGCCTCCCGTCCCGTTCTTTAATCCTTCCTCCGTTACACCGACTTCCCGGCACTTTCCTCAGCAGCTGGCGACATATCAAACACCACTACCGCGGCCGGAAAGTGTTCCCTAACTTGACGGTTATATCGTCTTTAAGGGCTAGCAAGTCCTCATGAACGGCGAGGAAGGAGATGTTGGTGTTGTCGCGGGTTCGCCGAGCGGTTCCGCGCGCGGTAAAGTGCGTTGTTGCGTCGGAGGTGTCGATGTCGATAGCGATTTGGATGAACATGGCTCTTTCCACTTCGTCGTGTGCGTGCTTGAAAGAGAGAAGAATATGGAGACCTTGTGTGCATGGAGCTGCGTGTATCCTCACCACGAGTGAACGATAAAGGAAAGAGGGCAAGTCCGCTCCATTGGCCAAAAATCGACCAAGAAAAGAAACCGTTGGGGCTCGGCCGGGAATCGAACCCGGGACCACCCGCACCCTAAGCGGGTATTATGCCACTAAACCACCGAGCCTTGGATGCTTCGGCTAACAACTTTTACGTATACAATCGTAACGCGTGTGTCAGCGACTTCGGACACGAAACGCGTCGGCGACGACCTCCAATGGACCAGCATCGCGATTCGCCACCGATGCCTGCCTTCAGAAAACGCATTCGGTAACCAGTTTCTGCGGCGTCCCTGAATGCGAAGCCGCCATATCGCGTTCACGTTGACTGGACAATCGTGAGCAGGATTCGTTGTCTCGAAGCATTCACTTGACCGGCGGCGTGCGCTGGCCTTGTCAGCGTTTCGGAGGTTTGAAGCCTATCCTTTCTCGAATCGTTACTATCCTCAGGGAGGGGGGTCAAATGACGCGTTCAGAGGAAAGGGCCGTCGCGAGCGTACGAACGAATGCTCCGATATGGCCGATATTGCGGTTCCAAAAGCTCAGAGAGAACCGCCGCCTTCGGCGCAGACACTCGGGTCAGTTTCCCGGTATCTGCTTCTCAGAGGCGTGCGCGAAATCGGGGTTCACTCGAGGATTTTCATTGCTATAGGAAACCCTCCTTGGGAAGCAAAAGTCTTTGCAGACTTGGTAGCAACGGGATCCTTGGCTTAACATCTGTCCCTGTCCTTTGAAGCCTTGACCTTCGAACGTGGGTGCGGAGATTCTTGCGACGCGTTCCCCTTCCCCCAACCTTCTTTCAACCTTCTGTCGTTCTTTGCGACGCACAGCAGCCCAGACAATCGAGGCCTGAACCATTCCCCCATAGTAGCAGTGCCCACTCCCAACAGTGCATCCCTCGGACTCCAGCACCGAAATGCCCTCCAACCCCACACCCTCTGCATCCGCCGCCAACCCACCTCCTCCTTCAACCACACCCCGCTTCAACCAGTGGCACAACACATTCCCACCCATCAGACCCACCGCCAAGACCCGAGCGTCCAAACGACCGCGCGACCGAGATGATGCGCCCTCGCAGGAGACACGGGCTGGAAAATCTATCGCGAGGAGGGTTGCGGATAATGGGGTGATGAATTGGGATGCGTGGGATATGGATGCGTGGAAGGGGATGAACGCCGGGTTTGATATTGATAACGAGAGAACAGATGAACAGGTCCGTCCCACCATCCGCCCGCTTTGCCGACATCCCAAACGGGAACTGAATATAAGACTGGGGCATAGGAAGCACCAGAGACGGACACGACAATGGTCATGCCATCGAACCCCATCACGCAGGACAGAAGCAATTGGCTCGTCCCGCAGGTGGTGAAGATCGGGGCGGTCGTGGCTGCGAGTCAGATTACGGTTTGTTCTCGCTTTTTGATCTCGCATACCGCCGGGCGTCTTATTTTGTTTTTTGTGGAATTGTTGGGTAGTGCGTGTATGGTGAGTGGGGATATCGCTAGAGATGGAGACGACTGGGGGTACATGGGCTGAACGGTATGTTTTTTGCATGCACAGGCCGGATCGTATCCATCGGAAAAATCTTCCATTGCAAACCGAAAGGTAACGCACACACCCGGCATCATACATGTCGCAAACATCCAATTCCCCACCTATAGGAACAGACCCCTCGCCCGTCCTGCACACATTCATCGTAAAAGACGACGTAAGTTCAGCACCGTTCGCATTTTAAAAGTTCAGGGCAACAACTGGACCCTCACAAGTTCGTCATGCAAAAAGACCGGGTTAGCCCTCGTGAAATGCTACGCGAGCACTCCAGAACGCGAGCAGGAACTGGCGGGTATCTCTGTACGTTACCCCATGATTACCCATAACATAAACCCACAAACCTCATACCTCCCCTATACAGCTTAACGCAGTCGTCAAAGGTAACGTGCCCTCACTGCTCTCATACCCTCATCACCAGCATGTCATATATCCTCCCCAACAGTCCAAGCCTCCCAAACCTACCACACCCACCGGTCCCCATCCTCCTTCACTCCGGGGCCCACATATGTATCCCAGCAACAGCGACGACACACGCACACCCAACCACAGATAGAATTCAGGATAACCAAAAAGGACCCCTCGGCGATGTTTGAGCGGGTTGGGGAGGGGATCGTCAATGTTGGTGCCGCTGTGGGTACTGGGGGTGGGAGGAGGGTATCCGTGAAGGATATTTGTTTGGGCGATGGGGGAGAGGGTGGGGGCGATATCGTATTGCTGGGTTTGGTCGTGAAGGTACCTCTTGACCTCTCAGTTGTTTCTTGGAATGACTCCACTCAGCTACTAATCTGAACGCATGGACATAGATACGCCCACCCGCTGAAGATATGGGTCATGATCGACCGGTGAAATTGGAGAATAGGAATGGGAATGGGGAACTTGGGAGACGACCGTGGGTGGTCACGATGGCGGACGAGACGGGGTCTGTTGAGTTTTGCTTGTACGTGATTTCCGCCCCTTTGCATGTTTCTCGGTGTCTTCGCATTTGGTATTGGCCCGGCCCGTTCCCTCTTCATTGTATCTCTTCTGTTTTTCTGCAGATGGGATGACCGCTGGTGTCGCGACTGGATACCCTCGTCAACCGTCCTTTCGATCAGCGTACGTCCTGCACAATCCCCCTTCCATTTACCGTGTCCAGCACCCCACGACGAATTGACGCTCGCCAATAATACGACAGAATCCAAAACGAACAACCTTTCGCGGCCTAATACAACTAACACCCTCGGCGACGACCATTGTGGATGTGCTTGAGGGGGTGTGTGATGCGAGCGAGGTAAGGTGGTGTTTGTCGCACGCGGCGCATCCTTCGGACCTATACAATGGAAGGGTGATATATTTTTTTTTTACCAGTCGCTGAAAGCCGCGTTGGCGTTCGTCGAGGGGTGTGACGTGCTGGAGGAGGATGGGGAGGATGTTGTGTGAATGACGCTGAGATGCTGTGATACTTATGAATGGGAGGGGACAGGATGGGCTCCCTATTATTCGGAGTAACCTATTTGGGATTGTCGGAACGGCGTATCCGTCGTGCCCTTCTCGTCCCGCCCGCAAGTTCACTTTGTATATACATTCATGAATCCCCGATGTAACTCTTGTTTGGATGGGAATATGAAGCCGACGGCATCGTTGGTACTTTGAGTTTGCGGGCCCCCCTTTTTTTGGACGTATTCCTAACGACAGGGGTTCAGCAGCCCTTGTTTTGTGGTGCGATTGCGACGGCGACTGGCATTTGATGTGCGGAAAAAGGTCCGAGATGTCCGGAAACTTCGACGCGTCACGAACGCGTTTTCCTGTTTCTTGAGTTTCTGGGCACGCGTTACTATCCAGCTTTCCAATGCCCCTTAGTGAACGAACGAACGCGTTGTGTCCTCCATTCGGACAACGCGTGAGATGGAACGACATGTGAACATGAGCTGCATGTCCGAACAGCCGCGTCACGTGACTGCTAGCTTCGATGGGGGTTGGGCATGACATCACGGAAGGGGGGCGAGCACCAGCGCACGTCATTCTCTGACAACTTGCAACTTTCACATGCGATAGGGCGCTCTGTGTGAGAATGCGAGATGCGCAACCTCCAGGAATTAATGTCAATGCGACGGCCGGAATGAATGAATGCGGGGACTCCCTCTGTTTCCTCACTCCAGATCCACACAAAGAACTCGAGGACTTCCTCCCTCCCCCCCCCTCCGCCGCCAGCCAACCGCTCAGAAAAACTACCCCGAAAATGTCAACAACACACCAACCCCCACCAACAGAGGAGGAGGTCCCCAAAACAGCCTCACCACCACTCTCCCCATCCTCCCCAACCGACAAGCATGCCACCAGCACACCCACCGCCGATACCGCCAACACGTCGCTCACTGCTGACGAAAAGTTGCCCGAGAAACAGAACACAGCGAGTTTGTTGATGCCGCCCAGTCCGAGATCAGTCGTCCCGCCGACCCATTATGTCCCGCCGGCGGTTGAGGGCGATACGCTTAGTGTTGGTGAGAGGTGGGTAGTGATGGGAGGAGGGTGTGGGAGCGAGGAAGAACTGGGAGGAGGAGAAGGAGGAGGAGGAATGGTGCTTGGATTGAGAAACGCGAGTGAAGACTAGATAGGAATGCGGGCGTTCGCGAGTTCTAAGCTGCGAGCGAAGCGAGCCTTGGTTTGCGATGAAAGCCTGAGCGAAGCGAGTTCTGCGCCACAGACGCAGTACCTTGTGAGCGATAGCGAACAATAGTTGTTTCCTTATGTCTTCGCACCCAACATACTTGTCGGGGGCGGATTGAGCACGCTGTTTGTTGTCATGCATCAACCGACCAACACATCAACCAGAAAAACAACCATCGCGCTGATCAATTCACCCCATTCATTCATTCACTCACTCCATCTCCCTCCCTCTCTCTCCAAACAGCGCAGCAACAACAATCCAACCCCGCCCCTACCCCACCCGCAAAATCCGCCGCCCATCCCAAACCAACTCCATCTGCTCCGAAGTCTCCCGCCTCTCCTACATAACTCTCCCAGGGTCCGTCATCGGCGACGACGGTTTCGCCCCCGGCGTGCTGTTCGAGTACTTCAAGGGCGAGTTCACCGGTCTTCCCGATTTCAATACCCTGCAAGCACATTCGGCCGGCGTGATGAAGAGTATTGCGGTGGATGGGGAGACTGAGAGGGAGGTGTTTGATCACGGGTTGAAGAGGGCGAGGCCGACCGAAGGTATGTACGGGGATGGATGGCATTTGCTGCGATCTCGCCGATGATGTGTTTTTTCTCACATCGGATTCATTTTTCAGTGGGAAACTTTGCGGTGCGGTACACGGCCCAAGTGAAGATCCCACACGCGGGTCCATGGACATTCTACCTCGCCTCAAACGACGGGTTAGTTCTCGTCTCACACAGGGCCCATTTTCTCGTTCTTCATCTCTCACACCCATTTCTATTCCCAAAACGCCATCAACAGAGCAGCCCTCTACATCTCAGGCAAAAAAGTGATCGAGAACGACGGCTCGCACTATGTAACCGAGAAAGAAGGATCGATCAAGATCCCCGCACCGGGTTACTACACCTTCAGCGTGTGGTATTTCCACAAGAACGGGAAAATGATGGAGGGTGTGCGGACCGGCGCGTACCTGACACTATCCTACTACTTTGCCGGGTCCGGATGGCTCCCCTTCCCCACCGACCGTGTATCCAAACAAGTCATCCCGGACTCCGCTTACGTGCATAACCCGGCCGACGAGCGTGTTGTGAGGATATTGGATGCTAGTCGGGCTTTGGTATGATGATCTCTCTGTCTCCGGTGATGGCGGGGATACTGTCTTCTCCCCGTTGCTGTTTTTGTGCGGTGTTTGAGCTGATTTGCGTATTTGCGTATTTTCGTTTTTTTTTTTTCCAAGACCTGGGACTTACCCGACGCGACGGAAGACGCCGAAACCACCATCGCGAACCTCGAAAAGGACCTGCGGGATATCTCCGACCGCCTCATCACACTCCAAACGGCCCTGGAGCACTCCCGCCGGCACACCGCGACCCTTGTCCGCGCGCTCGCTACCCAACGACTGTTCCGCCCAACCGAGCAAATCCTCGCGGACTTGGACACGAGACAGGGGGAGGATGAGTGGGAACTGTTGCATGCGCGGCAGAAAGAGTTTGTGGAACAGCATGTGGGGGATGTGGCGAGATTGAAGACGGGGTACTTTTTTGCGTTGGGCGTGCATTATAAGCTGCAGAAGGGGTGTTTTGGGTTCAGTATACAGGTATGAAGCGGGGCGCGCGACCAGTGAAGCCCTTCGAAGCTTGTCGTTGTTTGAGGTTCTGATTTAGTGTATTTTTTATGTTTTTTTTTGTTCAGGATGCGTTTGAACAATGCACGGCGAAGAATGTGGGCGTGCAGGATTGGCCCGGGTTTTTGAGGGGGGCTATGAGGAGTCCCGGGGATGATACCACGAGTCCTGGGGGTGTCAAGAGCCCCGGGGTCAAGTCGCCCAGGGTGGAGGTGACTGCTGATGTGGATTGAGTGTTGGATGGCGGGTGCCGAATTCCTCTGGAAAGGGGGATACGTGCCCTGTCTTCGTACAAGTGTATTCAGCACACGGGGGCAAACCGGCACCATTGGGGATTCATTTTTCATTTCACATACACACGCGCCGCTTTTGTCGAAACACCTACCTGCCACCACCCCCCCCCGGTCGAGGTTGTCTTACTACGATTCCACACACCCGACATTTTTTCACCGAAACTCTTGAACAGAAAAAACTAACCACCCCGCCTCCCTCCGCGCTAAGTTTTGCCCCCCCCTGCCTTCCCGAACTCCCACCCATCGCAACGTGCACACCTACGGGACCGCAACGAGGGTTGTTCGCCCCTGTAACCCGAGTCGTCCCGGCCAATGCAGGAAATATAGTTTGGAGGGATATTCCATTTCCTCCCGTCAGGTCGACGTAGCACTTCTGTTTTTTTTTGTCTTGTGCGGGACATATACCATCTGCATTGCCTTGGGATATTTTTTCCTTCGTTGTGGGATTCAAGAGTTTGCGGGAGGGTTGATAGCACATCAGGGAAAGTCTGAGGGAAATGCATCCGCAGTGCGCTTTGATGAGATGAGCGTATGGTTTCCTAAGCAGCTTGTGTGCCAACACCCATAGTGGACACCGGCCGCCAACGCTCGGCCCCCCGTGCCAACTCAGGCCATGGGGCAGTCGGAGTTCACAAAGGTAAAACGTGCAGCCCTCGCCTCCAATGCGCTCGTCTCCAGCAGCTTCCGGTGTCCGCACAGCTTTCCGAACATCCCATGAGGCGGTGGTGAGTGATGGGATACCGGGCAAGAGCGGGCGGGAAATGGGTGGGTCGGTGGGCGTGTGGATGTGGGCGGGTGTTTGGAGCGGTGGGGAAAGGTGGGGGGGAAAGCTGCGAGGATGACGGGAACCAGTACTGACCGGACGGATACGATCCCGCTATGCCTCCGCCCGCCGAGTTGCACCCGTGATGAACGACCCGAAGGATTCCGCACCCCGGCCGAAAAGAATCGCACCCATCCCCTTTTGTCCCGAGTCCCTCGATTGTTCGCTGAAAACAAAGGACTGTTCAATCGACGACCCCCCCGATTGTACGAAAAAAAAAAAGTGAGGCCCGCATTGTTTGGTTTGGGAGAAGGATAGGTTTTGCATTCCTTCGGGCCTGGGTTTGTGGATTGTTTGAAAAAAAAAAAAGGTTGCAATCCGCATTCTTCCTTCGTCGCTGATTGTTTTCAGTAAGGCTCTCAGTTGCCTGTCTGGCGAACGCGTCCCCAAACGCGTTACGTACAGTACCTACTATGTACTGTACAGTACACGAGCCGCGCCCGCTTGCGCCAAACGGTGATGCGAGCCGGGCATCGAGCGTTGTGGTGTTCTTGAGTTTGAGTAATTCTCTGGGAGATGAGAGCACATGGTAAGTTCAAGGTCTCAATGGTTCGAAATGGAAACGGTCAAATCGGGCAGCCTTTTCGCCACCCACCGGGTCACTACAGGCCACGAACAAGAGGGTTTCATTTCCTAGGGCTCGCGGTTAGTTGTGCAAACTGGGCTTTTGATGATACGTTATGACGATAGCGCTGTGGTCTTGGGAGTCTCACTTTGCCACCCAGACCGATGATGTGTAATGGACTGGATGGTGGACTTTGGCTGACCACGGCTTTCAACGCCCGCCGGGCTCTGCAGAGGGTCACCTTTCCTTGCGGTGTGAGCACTTCCGCGGCATATGCGACTTATATGGAACATGCGTTCGCTCCGAAACAACTGCCTCCGTCCAACTGCTAAGTAAGAAGTCAGGAAAGTGTCGCCGAGTAACTCGGCCCAGTAGATCGGCAGTTGTGACTATCTCGCCGGACGTCATCCACGGAGCTCTACTCGCCCACGAAATGGTCTAGATTCAACAGCCTCCTTATTGGCTATCGACTGTCGCGTAAGGAAGGCGGATTGGCGATGAGCGCGGGGCCAGAATATCGCCGCGTGCTATGGGATCCGGTTCAGCGCAATGGGAGCCCACACCGAAGAAGGAGCAGCAGCGCGAGTGTTGTAGCCGTCGCAGGCCGATCTCTCCGGTTGGGGCAACGCGAGGATATTTGCATGCCCTTTATACATGAGCCGAATTTGTCGTTCCATCGCACATCTACGCGCATATCATCCCGGGGAAGAGGAGGTCGGCTAAGCACAGCGCGAAGGGCTGACGCACGATGCAAGTACTCTTCTCCTGCAGGCAGCAGAGGCGTTGGAGAAGGTATCACCGCGAAGAGCGCATCCACTCTCGGCGCAATGCCCTGGGAAACGGCAGGAGAGAGTGCAGCGATACCCATCTCCCAATCAGACAGGTCCTGGTCAATCTTTGTTCCCCGGATTGTTCGGAAAAAAAAGGCCGACTTGGTGATATATTATCCTTTGTCTCCGCATTCTTGCATTCTTGCATTCTGCCTTTGTCTCGATTGTTTGCAAGGAAAAAAAGAAATGAGATGAATCATGAGATTTGATTGTGTCCGTTCTCGCTCCGTTTGCTTAGGAGAGCCCTTTTGTTATTGTGCATTCTTGAAAAAAAAAAATCACGCCCCTTGCCTGTTGTCGCATTCTTTTTCGACTCCAAACCATTGTTGCATGTTTGGTTGTTGGCCGGGTCCGGAAAAGGTTCAGAGGAAAACGCGTTACACAAGTAGATAACGTGTCCCACAAAACGTCTTTAGATTACGACCGCACAATTAGAGACAGAAATATCCAAAGGCTCGGTGGTTTAGTGGCATAATACCCGCTTAGGGTGCGGGTGGTCCCGGGTTCGATTCCCGGCCGAGCCCCAATTACGTTTCTTTTTGTTTTATCAGTTTCCAATGTTTCTGAGCTCACGCGAATTGACAGCTGTCGAATCTTTTTGAGACGACGAGGTGGAGGAGGAAATGGCGCTTAGGAACAAGAAGCGAAACGGGCCGAAGAGATGTCAGGAACAACTAGCGGGCGGGTTTCGTTTTCTTCAGCCCGTTTAGGCCTTACGTCGTTCAAGCGTATTGTCGTTTGGAATCAAGCCAGGCTGGGAAAAGAAGACGGGATTTAACCTCAACTTTAAGCTTATAGCCGGACGGCGGCGTCAAAGGAGGGCGGAATCTTTGAAAGTGAATGTGTGCGGGCGGAGGCATGGCTTTTTGATACTTTTGGATGCAGAGTAGCTCCAAGCGGGGTCGATTTCGTGGCAAGACGCAGAGTAGGAAGAAACTCCCGCTGTGGGGGCAACGTACCTAGGAACCTCGGATTAGAGTTAGATAGGCGAGAGAGAGCATCCACATCTGCGTTATTGCGATACCAGTGGTGAAAACTGAAAACCCCCATCGACCCAACGGACCTTCACCCGCGAAGCGTGACCCAATATCCCGCATCTCATCAGTGCTACCCCCAAATCAGAAAACCAAAACCGGTGCGCCCCACACCCCAAATATGCCGCACCCCAAATCCCCCACAACGTGGTCCAGCGACGTCCCCGCTTACACCATGCCCCTCAAAGGCTCGACCGAGTCCCTCGCCGACACGCTGGACGACGCGTTGCGGGCCGCAAACGGTGAGGACCCTGTCTCCTCCCCCACCGACGACGACGAGGACACCGCGCCCCATCACCCCACCAACAGCGTATTGCGCCCGGTATCAAGCGCGCACCACAGGAGTGTGGGAACTCTCACGCGGGGAGATGAAGCGCGGCGGGGTCCGGGGAGTGTCGGAATCCTGATCCACAGCGATGCAGGGAGAGCGAGCCTCGTCGGGGTCGCGCGTGGCGGGGGGTCAGAGGTGTACCGGAAGCCCTTGCACGCCGGCGACGCGCACAGCAAGAGCCTGGACAAGATGACGAGCCAGCTCGGGGACGCGCTGTCCAAGTCCGAGCGGAACCTGTTTGCGAGCACGGGATACCTCGCGCAGGCCAAGCTGGCGGCGATGAGCGGGGGAGGGTATCAGCGGGATGCGAGGGAGGAGGCGGCGGCGGGGGAGGTGCCGGCGAAGAGCGGGCGGAAGGGGGGGAGGGGTGGGAATACCACTACGACCACCGCACAGCAGAATAATATGAGCAGTAACACGGGGCTGCCGCTTTCGAACCTCACGCCCAGGCAGCAGCGGCAGGAGACGGAGAAACTGACGCTGCCTGATATTGTGCCGGCGGCGCGCGGGGCGCGGCCGGATTTCGCGATGGTGGGCGCTGCGGCGGTCAAGGCGGCGCAGGCGGCGATCGCGAAGGGGGAGGAGAGGCGGAGGAGGGGGGAGGGTGGCGGTGGTGGGGAGCTGGTGAGGGCGGGGCGGGGAGCGTCGTCGACGGCGAGAGAGGAGGGCGAGGGGGCGTTGACAGCGAGAGCGAAGGTTGGTGCCTCTGATTTTCGTTCAGTTCTAGATGGCCCGTCTCCTTCTCTGGGGCGTGGGAACTCATGCCCTATTCTTGCCCTCATGCCTCCCAATAGTCAATAACAACCCTGACAACCCGCCTAAACGACCCCTCCCACTTCCCCGCGTCCTACAAGCAACGCACGGAAGCGCAGCGCGAGCGGCGGGAGAACGTCGCGCGCGCACAGGCTGCAAATGAAGCGCTGGCTGACCGGTCGCGGCGGAGATGTGATGCTGGGGGGAGTAGCGATGATGTGAGAAGTGGGAGCAAGAGGGGGTCGAGTGACGATGTGCTTGTTGGGGGGGCGGAGGTTTTGTCCAAGGTTTGTTTGGGTTGGTGAAGGGGGATGTGGTGTTTGATCGAGGAGGGAATGGTATGATTTGACTGAATCGGGACGTGCTATTGACATCGTTCTTGCCATCGCAATGGGGCAGAAAGCGGAGGAGGTCGTACGCCGCTTGACGGATCCCAAGTAAGCTTCTTACCTCCAACATTACCCGCGCATAAGCTCAAGCTGACCCCCCGCGCGCCGATCTTTTCCTTTTCAAGAAACTACACAGGCACACAGCTACGGCGCTCGCAACCGGACCTTTCTGGGGCAGGGGGAGGAGGTATGTGTAGGGGTTTCGCATTTTGTACGTTCGTTCATCGGATGCGGCGGGGGGTCGGGGGGGTGGGGGGGAGAGAGGGATGAGATGGAACACGACAGGAAAGGACAAGGGAGACGGGGGGTAGTCGCCAAGCTCACTCCTATATACCCCGTTTACTCCTCCTCCGTCTCCAACATCCTCCCACGACCACTGGCCAACACCCCCCCTCCTTCTCTCGTTCCCCCAACAACCAGACGCCACGTCCGCCCACACATCCCCGCGCTCGTCGCTCACACTCCACGACACGACCAACATTCCAAAACATCGGCCGGCGGGCAGGCCGCGGATCGAGGTATGTAGGGGTGTCATGGGTCATCTCGATTTTACAGCAGCCTGATAATGTGGGTGTTGTTGGTGCAGTTTTTCAACACGTTCCTGAAACCAGGCGTCATGCCGCCTTCGGCGTCGTTGCCGAAGTTGTCTACGGGAGGGTGATGGTCAGATCGACCTTACTTCCAACTCCCAACCGGACTCCGGCCCTGCACGACTGCACGACTGCACCCCCCGCCCTCGCCTTTTCGCTCAACTCTCCTGCCTCCTCACCCCCCTGTCCTTTCCCCCTCTCCCCGTCCCATGAAACCACTGTACATATCATCTTCTACTCCATGATATCTCCGCCTTACGATTGAACCCAACGCAAACAAAAAAGTGATCGCGTCACACACGCGTAAATAGGGATTGACTAGAAGTGGGTAACTCGTGCTAAATGTGAGTAACTCGGGTTAGGGTTAGACTAGTTAGACAGCTGCCGAGCGGAGCGGGTAGACCCTGATTGTAGGAGGCCGGGTATGGCCGACTCACCGAAGGCAAAGGGGTTAGGTTTGTTAATCAAATGGTTCACTTTGGCTGTAAAAAAGTCTTATTCTGGAGGTGAGCTACCCACATTTAGCACGAGTTACCCATTTCTAGTCACGCCCGCGTAAATAGAGAGGATTCCGTAAGCGGACACTGGACTGGACGCGTTTGTTTGTCCGAACGCCTGAGGGAGAGGGAGCAAGAGAGGAGGCTGGAGTAGGGAGGGGCGAGGGAGCGGGGGGTTCCAATGCAAAAGGGGAATACCGGCATGCCCTCGTGTCCTAACACCATCGGGCACTGGCAGCGACGTCAACGACAAAAACAGAAACCGGGGGTGGGTGGGACTCCAAAGAATAACACGGGTCCTTTGGCGCAACACTGTATTCGCGTCTCCGAGTCCCATTTTCACACATGCACAGAAACGAAGAGCGAGATGCACAGAAACGAAGAGCGAGAAGGAAGAAAAAAAATTGTGCGAATTTCTATCCAAACAAATCCTAAGATACACTTCCACATACACTATATACAGGCCGTTCCCTATCTCACGAAGTCGGGGGCTTCGAATTCATATCCACCACCCCCACAGCGCCCTCGCAGCCAAAAAGCCGGCCGTCAGCGTCGCGAGCAGGGCAAGGAAATCGGTGGCGCGCGGGCGGGGTTTGATTATATGTTGGCGGTGGTCGCGTAGCTTGGGTTGTTGTGACGTGTGCGTGGGTGTGAGACCGGCCGAGGTTGTGTGGTCCGGAGAGGCGGCGGTGTGAGAAGAGGCGGCGGCATTCGCATTCGTCGTCGGCTCGTCAACATCGTCCCCGCCAAACCGCCCATCCCGATAAAACGCGCTCATGAGCCTATCCTTCCTCAAGAACCTCTTCCGTAGCCATTCGCCGAACCGTTTCGCCTGTTCCTCCTCCTCCACCTCCGTAATCTCCCCGTCTGCCTTTTCAAACCCCGGTAACCCGGCTACCCTAACCCTCTCCACATGCACATGCACCCTTTCCGGCCCCCTGGCCTCAAAGAACACCCGACTCAAACTATAAACCTCATACGGCGTCTGACTCGCTGTCAACCCTTCATACCCAATCGTCACATCATAAAGATACTCACATCCGGGCTGCAGATTGCGTAAGCAGAAGAACAAACCGGTGGATTTGGGGATCAAAACGTGTTGCGGGTCGTCAGGTAGATCCATCTTTTTGGCGTACGCGCGCGATTTGGATTTCGTATCGTCGGTGATGACGGTTCCCTCCGGGAAGATGACGAGCCAGAGTGGGAGGGCGTCGCGGGAGGCGCGGTGGAGGATGGTGGAGAGGGTGGATTTGTCGAGGGACCATTTGCGTGCGAGGAAGATGAATTCGAAAAATTGCATGCCCCATCCTAAAAATAGAGGAGGGAGGGTGTGTGAGTGGGGCGGGTGGTCTTTAACGACGATATCCTGATCTGAAGTGGGTGGTGGGATGAACAACAATACCCTGCTCGCTCCGCTCGCGAACCTTACCAAAGACGGGAAAATACTTCAAGCTCTTCTTCAAGATGATCTTCAAGGACCCATGAGCCCCACAACTCCAAGCGACAATCCAAAGCCACCACCAATCCGAATAGATCTGATGATTCGCCATGATGACCTTCATCTCGGGAATCGCGCCACCCCTCTCCTCACTCAGTGCCTCCCACTCGCCCGTGACAACAATCTCCACCCTCCCCGTAAAAACCCAGGTCAGGAGCACGATCAATTCCCCAAAAAGTTTCTGAGTCCACTGCATATACTGTCGATAGACTCTTCGCGAGATGGGATGAAGGATGAGACCCGGGAACTGGAGGAGGTTGATTGAAGCGGAGGCGGAGTCCATGAGGAGGACGAAGGAAAAGGTGCGGAGGTAGTAAGTTGCGTAGGAGGCGAGGAAGGAGGGGAGGGTGCGGAGGGTGAGGGGGTCGTGTTGTTGATGGAGGGCGGAAGTTGAGGTTGGGGTTGGGAGAGATTCGGGAAAGGCTGTGGAGTTCTTCAGGGGGTGGGTGGTTTCGGTGGTCGTGTGAACGTCGTCGTTTGCGTTGGATGAGAGGGAGTGGGAGTGGGAGTGGGCGTTGGGATAGGAGTTTGGAGGAGGGGCGTCGTCGCCGCCTGCGGTTGTCGGATCTCCTCTTGCGGTGTTGTCTCTGCGCGACATAGTATGTGTGGTGGCGGTGGCGGGCAGGGAGAGGGAGTGCAGGGAGGGGAGGTCGCTCAGTGAGTGAATGAGTGAATGGGTGAGTGAGTGCGCTGTCCGTTGCCAATGCCCGGTCGTTTGCTGGTTGGTCTGTTGGGGGGGATGAGGAAGTTCCCAGCGCCAGTTGTGCGAGACGGAGACAGACAGTTGTTGGGGGAGGGAGCGACTGTCAGAATCCAACTGGCATGCGCAGAGGGAGCTACTATATCCACTCCCCCTTGCCCTTCATCACACAAGGCATATGCTTGCTCCCTCACTTCATATTCATGCTCCGTTCGCTTATTCCGCCTCGTACCCATGCGCACGGATAGGTACTACGCCACTTGCACTTGGTTTATTGAGATATGGGAGAGGATACAGATTGGAAACGTCATTTCTACAACTAGGACTGACTATGCGTTTGGAAGCTACCTTGTTCGAAGTGATGCGCGACTACGATTTTGTCGATGGTGCTTCTCATCCCTGCGTCCATGGCGGAGACTATGCTGCGATATCGGCCTGCGTGAGACCTACGTAGTTTCCCTTTCCGTTCTTTCTTGCTTGTTGCGTTGCTTTCTTCGTTTCCCTTTCTTGCTTTGCTTTCCAATAAAAATGACTCGCTGCACTACGGGAGACTTGCACCATCACACTTCTCGCAACCCCTTGCTCTCTTCTGTCAACCGCTTGTACAGTATATACAGGAAGCTTTCGCTCCCCCAAAAGGGAATATGGAGAAGAGGAGGGGAAGGGAAGAAAAGTGAATATCCTGTCAGTCGATGAGTCGCGCGATCCTGTCAAAAGAACACTCTTCTCCCGCGTCTCCCCCCCTTGCGACTCGGCCTACAGCACTCCTACTGAGGCCAACGTCTCATTTAAGTGGAGTCACTCCAAATCGTGGGAACCCGGTCATATCCGTCACATGCGTCAGCCAAAAAAATGTGGAGGAGTCGCCGCGCCGCAAAATGCTGGACGGAGGCTTCGAAGGTGGGACTATAAAAAGGACGTGTGATGCTGTAAACGACGGGGACCAGGACGCCCCGATATCGAGAGATACTCAGGGAGAGCAAGACAATAGAACATGACGGTCGACCACACCCCGCAGCCCAAGTGCCGGATATCCAAGACGTACCAGGGCTACGTAGCCCGTATCGTCTTCCCCGAGCCATCCACATCCTCCCTCACCAACGCCCCACGAAAAGATGCAACAAAACCCACCCTCCTCCCAAGCCCCATCCTCATCATCGACACCTCCCTCTCCATGTCCCACCACGCCGCCCGCCTCATTCGTCAGATCCTCTCCACAACATTAACCCGACTGGGCTACCCATCCACCACGGACGTGCACATCCTCACCTTCGAAACCACCACACACCACTCGCTCCTCCTCCTGTTCTCCCTCCCAACCTTCCCACATTTCGGCCAAGGCAGCACCTACATGGCCCACGTTGCTCGTGCCCATCCTCACCGCCGCCGAAAAAAACACCAGTTCGAGTTATATGATACTTACGGTGAGCGATGGGGATGTATTCGACCAGGAGCGCACACTGCACAATGCAGGTGCGCTGGTCGAGGTGCGGGATCCGTTCGCACGCGGTGGGGTTCATCACGTTTCGAGATGGGCTGCCGGACACGAGGGCGTTGAGCAGTTTGCTGCAGTTGGATAATTCGGGGGGGGGGGGGGGGGGGGGGAGCGAGGTGAGTGTGCGGGATATGATGTGCGGGTGGGAGGATGAGAGGATCGTTCGGGAGATTGTCCAGGCGGTTGGAGGCGCAAGAGGGGTTGGGATGGGTGTGCTTGTTGTGGAGGGGGCGAGGGTGCGGAGGTGGCCGTGGGAGGCTGTTGGGGACGCGGAGTGTATGGTGAAGCCGGAGGGCGAGGAGGTTGTGTGGTTGGATGCGGTACCCACGAGGATGACCGTCGGGGGTGTGGAAGTAGCGGTGGAGGTTGCGGATTCCGTCATGGACCGCGCGGGGTACGAGATGGCGTTGGGAAGACAGATCGAGGCGTTCCTGCAGCGTGCGCGGGTGTTGAAGGTCGTCGACACCGAGGCGTCCCAGCAGCAGCTGCAGAAGATGTTGGCCTATTTCGACGAGTTGGACCGGGCGTGGTTCGCCAGCGAAGAGAAAATGGCTGCCGAGAAGGAGAGTGAGAGGGGTGAGCAGCAGGTGAAGGAGCCATTAACCCCCCTGGCGACCCGCTCGCAACGTCTCCGCCGCCTGCTCACCAAGACCATCGGCAACCGCCTCGCATCCGTCGTCAACGACACTCGCGTGGGTGCCATGAACGCGGCCCAGCAAGCCGACTACCTACGCACCGTCAGCGTCACCAAGACCACAAAGGGGCTCGCCAAACGTGGCGCTACTTCCTCATCGTCCTCCTCCACATCAACAACCGCATTCGACTTTGACACCATCGCCCGCGCGGAAGTCCGCGCCATGCACGCCCACATCGCCTCCCTATCCTCCATCGACGACTCCCACCACGCCGTCTCCTTCTACTCCCGCGCAACCACCCTCGACGGCATCCGCACCGTCGCCTCCCTCGCCGACGCCCCCGAATGCCTCGACACAGCCACCACCCCGCAGATCCTCGAACTCTTCAACATCGTCGGCGTCCCCTGCGCCGCGCCCGTGGGGGACTACCCGGACCCAATGACCTACCGCATCCACGAGATATTCCCCGTGTGCATGGTCAGTCTTGCCGACGTACTGACCTACAATTTGGAGTCCGGCGGCGAGGACCTACCTGACACCCGCGACGAGCAAAAGAATCGATAACGTCGTCCCGGTGTACGAGGACGCGCGGATCGTCGCGTTTCTTCGGAACCATGCCCCGACGCTGTGCTCGTATCTCGCCAGCGTCGGCATGCGGCGGATGGGTCGTCGACGTGCCCAAGACAGGGGCATCTACCCTGCTCGGCGGAGTGTGGAAGCTGCTGGAGACCCCGGGCGGCAGCGGCGGGGGGGAGACGTCCTCGGTGGTTGCACGGCTGTTCCTGGACATGGTCGCCCAACTCCCCGCGTGCGTCGGCCCCGCGTTCGCACATACCCTCCCGCTGCTCACCCACCCCAACACCGACGCGCGCGTGGCGTACCATACGCTGCATAACGGGGCCACCCACATGCTGGTCGCGCTGCTCCACGGGATCCGGGAGGGGGTCCCGTTCGACATGGCCAAGATGCTGCGCGCGCTGTACGCCTTCGAGGTGTGGCAGGCTGTCCGCAAACGGTACCGCCACACAGAGGGGCGAGGCCGAGCGGATGGTCCACCGGTACTGGGGGCGTCGACTTTGCCCACGTGGAGGATCCCGCTGACCCCCGCTGTTTGACACCCGACACGCCCGCCCGACGACATCGTGGTGGAGGCGACGACGTGGCCGACGGCGGTTTCGCAGCGGTTTGTGAGCGAGATGTGCCGCCCGGTGCCCGTACTGTACGTCGACGTGACGACCTACGTCCCCGCCTTATTCGCCATCGCCGTCTCCCCAACGCTCTCCACCCAAGATCGCGGCGTTCAAACACCTGCCCACGCCATTGGACGACACCCACAAGACGCGCGCGCTGGGGGTCAGCGATCTGCACACGTTCAGGGAGACGATGCTGCTGCAGGCCCTCGTGTACACGACCAAGAAGAGCCGGGTGGACGAACCCACCCATCTCCCCATCCTCGCGGACCCGGGGCACGAGGCCGAGCCCACCGCGCTCGCACACACGACGTTACGGCGCGTCTACCTCCGGCGATACAAGCTCGATCTGCAGGCCAAAGCCGCCGCGGAGGACATAGTGCTGATGCGGGAACGGGCCGCGGCGGTGATGGACCCACCCACGATGGATGACTTTGTGCGTGTGGTGTCGCAGGGTGTGGCACGAGGCCCGCGACGGTGTGTGCTGGGCAGCGCGAGTTGGGGGCATCGTGTATGCATCGCTCTTCCCAAGCACGCCCACGCGGCCGGTGATGTGCCCACGCGCAGAAACTGGAGTGGTTCATCACCGGTGGGGCTGGCGTAGGAGCGGCGGAGACAACGACGACGACGACGACGACGACGACAACAACAGCAAAATGGAACAGGGGCAACATGCTCACCCCCTTCCGCCGCAAACTCTGGTATGCGATCTTCGAGACCCTGGAGGGTGGCGAGCAAGTTTGGAGGTATGTGAGGAAGATGCAGCGGCGGGAGAGGGTGCATCGGTATCGGGGCCTGCAGACCGTCAGCGGTGATGGGGAGGAGAGCGACATTGGGAAGCGGAATCGACACGGCCATGGGAATGATTTGCCGAGCTATTGGGCGATGGGGTTTGCGACGATGGAGGTGATGAAGGCGCGCGTGGATGCGGCGGCGTGGGAGGCGTATCGGAGGGAGCATTGGAGGTGTTGTGGGTTTGTTGGGGGGGAGTTTATTGGATAGTTGATGGCTTTCGTTGTAGTATAGAGCTGGATTATGTAGTGCATTCCCTTCGCCTTTCGTAAGAATATGAGAAGAACATGGGGTTTCTCCAACATCGAAGGAGAGTGGGGGGAGAGTTCCCTATTCCAATGTATGCGGCTAAAAGCGTATGTCTTGTTTGTTGTTTGAGAGGGATTCCGGGCATTAGAGCATGCACATACATAGGCTCCATATCAGGCACATTCCATATGTGGCACTCTGTGAGAGGTGACGGAGAACCAGAGGGAACAGAACGACAAATACGACGTTCGATTTCCTGAGAGCAGAGAGAAAACAAAGAGCCGAGCACCTCCTTCAGAAACATAATTTACGACTCAACGAGAGCGGCCTCTCAGAGTGATTCTTGAATACATCCCCCTTGCTACATGCTATGCTATATACACCCTAACTCCTCCAAATCATCCCACCCCCATCTCAGCCCCCCTCAAACCCCCTTCACCAACGTCCCCATCATCACGCCATGAATCTGACTACACGCATCGACACACACCTCCAACGCCCTGACCGTATTCGCCGTCGTCGTCTCCCCGCTCTGAATCACATGCGTCACCTCGTTCAGCGACGGCATGTACGAAAGTACCAGTGAGCCCGCCGTGTGCGGTTCTTCGGCGTCCGTGGGGTCCAGCAACACCGTTGTATCCACATATGCCTATCATACAAAACATGAATCAATTGAGGTATGCGAAAACGGAGAGGTATGGTTCTTTTCTGACGTACAGCAGCACACGCAGCAACGGCATCCAGCATCTCGATCCCAGCATCGGCCAGCGCGAGGGAGGCGCAGGTGATGGCGGCGGCGAGACAGGCTGCCGAGCCGTCGGATTCGAGGACTTGGACGAAGATGTCGATGGAGGATTTGGGGAGGAGGTCGAGACGGACGGCGGGGGAGAGGGCTTGGTCGAGGATGAGGGAGTATTCGCGTTCTTGGGCGTCCTATTCGCAACCATGATTGTGAGTAGGGGTGGGGGGATGGACATGCGGTATGATACATGTACGGAACCTTCATAAACCCCTTCCGCTTCCCCAACGCAAACGGCGAGAACTTGAAGTCGCAGTTCAGCGCGCCTTGGGTTGATACCTTGCTTTTGGAAGTTTGCCGGGGCCCGTATCTACATGGATTCCCATATTGACCCTCGTCAGCCGCCGTTCTTTCGATGGCACCCACCGATAGTACTACTTTGAGTCCCGCACTCACACTCCACAAGCAACCTTCAACTTCCCCGCCTCCAAATACGCACTCCCGTTCGCTTGTTTGCCGATCCCCGTCTTCATAACTGTGCGAAATAAAAGGTCCGATCAGCACCCCGCCACAACCCATCACCCAAGCATTCCAACCCTTCACTCAACGCCAGCCCCCAGCCCACTTCCACTCCTCCCCGCCCCGCTCTCATTCACGCAGTCAACTCACAAACAGGCCGTATCCGGTCCCCATTCCGCCCGTCCTTCCTCCGCTCCGGGTCAAACACCACCGCCGTTTCGGCATTTGCGAGTAAGGGTACGACGGATTTTTCGGGGCCCTGTTTTAGGGAGGAGAAGGTGAGGGGAGCATGAGTTTGTGAGATGGTTGTGGGAAGGGGGAGTGTGGTAGGTGTGATTTCTTTGGTGATCGATGCGGGCATGGGAATGAGTGATGGTAGGTCTTTGACGGCCAAGACCGTTTTACAAGGCGGGCTGGAAGTGACCTAAGCTGGGGATCAGTGAGGGACGGACACTATGGTAGCGTACCTGGACTCTCTTCCTGTCTGCCATTCTGTGCTCGTGTGTGTGGTGTTGCTGTCCCAAAAGGCCTTCCGACTTCAAGTGTGGAGTCTATTAGACGTCGCCCCCTAGTCCCCTCGCAGCCCTCGCGCGTTTCCTTTTTCTCGCGGGGGCCCTGCGGGATCAAGCACTCCGCTCTACTATTGTACTTTCTGCACATCCTCCATCCCCCAATCTCATTCCACCCACCCATATATATACACACACCCGGCCCGTTCCTTCCCATCCATGCCGGTCTGTTTTACAATCTCCCCAAATGTATCCAGTGAATCCGGTCTCCCATAATCCGGCGGTCCCTACGACCCAATGCCTCCCATATCGCATGATTAGCCATTGCCTCCTTCCACTATTCTCTCATCGCAACCCATACGCTCCGCTGCGTTCCCGCGTGCATCCAAAAAAAAATGCGTGCCTTCGAACCCGGCACCTCCCTCCCCGATGCCCCATTCCCATACGCAACCCTCACCCCACTTCTCCCACCGGCACAAAACAAAACCCCTCGCACGTCCCCCATCTACGAAACAAGGGCAGCAGCCCTCGGTGCCACCGCGACGCCCGTCTCCAGTTTCGTCACCCATCTATCAATCAACCTACACAGGAAGAAGCCAACCCCCCATCAGCCTCGTTCGTGCCAGTCGGATGATAAAGATGACGATGCAGACGTACCGCAGATTCCGCCACGTAGGCCGGTAGATATTCGCAATCAGCCCGCCGACGAAGGGGATCAGGCCTAGGGCGCCGCCGAGGACCATGTCTGGGGTAACAGAGAGAAAGTGTTATGACTTTTGAGGGACGAAAACGGGGGGGAAGGTGTGACGACGGGACTTACTGAACATCATCTTCGGCACGACGTCCGGGGGCAAGTTTGGGACTTGGGTTGCTAATACGAGTGGGTAGAACTAGCGAAAAAAAAAAGCACATATCAACAAACAAGGAGACGGGAGATGGGTGAACTATGATTTAGTTTTTTACGCACGGCAACAGTAGCGGTGATAGCGGCCCCGACGAAGGGCACGAGGCCGATGAGCGTGCTTAGCCCGATGCGCACGCGGATGTAGGGGATGCGGAAGATGGTCTCGAGGTAGCGCACGGGGACTTTGTAGAGGTTTAGACGGTAGCGGACTTGCTGTGGGGGATGAGAGTATATTTTAGCTCCATTGGGGGTTGGCGGCGATTTGATGCGAGGATCCATGTTGCGGTGACGGCTGATGCAGCCATACGGTTGTGCTGCCCTCAACAGTTTCTCATTCAGCCCAATCGGGCTCGCCCCCGACTTCCAATCTTCACACCCTCTTCTACATTTCTCGAAACCCACCTCCAAACTTAACGGCGTAAAAACCCCCCTCAACACCCCCATCACAACCCTCACACCCCCTGCATACACCTTCCGCACGAGCCCGAGGGTGTATGCGATGAAGCGGTAGACGCGGCCGGTGGTGTAGATCACGCCGTGGCGGGGTTGTTGTTGGGAGATGACGGCGGCGGAGGAGGAGGCGGTGAGGGAGGGGCCGGTGCAGTAAAGGGGGCGGTGGAGGAGGAACATGCTGTTGTGTGAGTGGCGGGGGTTGGCGTGAGATGGGGGTTTGGGATGCGTGTGAAGACGGAGCGCCCTTCTCGCCCTTTCGGTCTCCTTTGGGAACTGCCAGCAACTGGCGGAGGTCTCGGAACAGCTGCAGGGCAACATCCCCCCAGACCCATCCCCATCTGCCGCCCTCCACAGTCATCCCCCGTCCAGACCACAAGCAGCTTCTCTCAAGTGGCCCATCGTCAACAAAATACTCCCCAACACAAACAGACGCAGCAACACTCCCCAACGCGCCCAAGATCATCTCACATCCCACTCAGGAACACATCCCCAATCGCCATCCCCATAATGTCACTCCTGCCCCGCCTCACCCGTGCCTCGCCGAGGGGTTCATATCCATGCAGCAGGGTGAGTAAAGGGTCGCATATCCCCGCACGACTCCGCCCTCGCCTTCATAACCAACGGTCGGGGCCGTTTCACACCCCGTCGCTAACCCTCCTCCCTTTTTGTTTCCTTCCGATAGACTTTCTCAACCACGCCCCATACATCATCCCCCCCCTCATCCCCACGTAAAATCTCCCCTCTTTCACCTCCCCTCCAACCCCGTCTAAAAACCCCCGTCTCCCCCCAGCAACCCCGACCCTCAACCGCATAACGCTGCACGCCCGCCTCGGCGCCGACGCAACCCTCCACCCGCCGCCCACACCCACCTCCACGCACCACCGGATCACCTTCCCCCTCGGTTTGCGCCAGAGTCGCAGGGACAAGCACACGGGGGAATGGCAAACGGATCTAAAGTGGTGTAACGTCGCTGTTATCGCGCGGGTCGGGAGGAATGGAGCTCAGTGGGGGGAGTTGCGGAAGGGGTGCGTTGACTGTCTATGCTTCAATGGGAAGGGGGGTGGATGTGTACGTCCGATCGGGGGGCCTGACGCATTCTGGGTGGGGGGTTGTGTTTTCTTTTATAGGGCGTATGCGCTCGTGGAAGGCAAGATCAGCTACTACATCACGAACGACGGGGTGATGAAGACCGAGATCAAGTGTTGGGGAGGTAAGAAAACAAACAAAAAGCCCGGACAGCCACATCGCCCCTGTATCACCCCCCCCCCCCCCCCCCTTTTGCTGTTTGTGATTTTTCTATTGTTTGGCTGATACTTACGGGCATGTTTTTTTTCCCCCCGGTTTAGATGATGTGAGGGTGACGCGCCGCGCGGAGGAGACGACGTGGCGGCCGAGGGTGGAGGAGGGTGGGGAGGGAACGGGCGGGTAGCGTGACGGAGGAGAGGTTGGGGCCGTCGGATGGGGGGCCGTCGGGGGACGAAGCATCCAGCTGCGGATAGCTGAGAAGCATGCGATGTAGAGAGGTGCGGATTCTGCGAAGGGGTATCCGCAGAATGTGCGACTGGTGGGAAATCCACACCACCATACATGCGTACATACGTTGTGGGAAGGGAGAGAATGATGTGCTGAATGCACCCGGGATATGTATGTATGGGTATGGGTGTACAGGAAGATTGGGGGGATATACAGTACGTCGAAGTGGACCCACCGGCTGCGTATGGAAAGCTATGAGGAGACAGCGGTGCGTGCATGTGCGGTTTTTGATGGTGGGAGTGTTTTGCATATACATCGGTGGAGTGTACTGTAATGACATCGGCGGGGTGTCCGCATACACCCGCTGCGTACCACCAAAGTCGCCACACCACAGGCACGAACACAATAACTTCATCGAATCACTCGCATGTACTATTAAATAAGGAAAAAAAGGAGGTCCATATATACAACACAAGAAGTGGGAGGAGTAGGCGGGTTAAAACTTGTATGTAACAGTCTCGCGGGGGAGGGGGGGGGGGGGGGGGGGCAGCGGCCGGCCGTGCCAGATGGTGTGTGCGGAGAGGGGGGGTATGTGCGATGTAGTAGGAGTAGTAGTCTACCGTCCGAATAAGTGATCAGTGGGTCTTATCGACAGCCTGCCCCGAATGCGCGACACCGACATCCCTCCGCGTCGTCGCATTCTCATGCATCTTTTCCGACTTTGCGCGCAGTTTGATGTAGACGAGCCACGCCGCCACGGCGACCCAGTACAGGCAGTACGCCGACACGCTCCCCTCGGTGCCGACATTATTCCACCCCACGATGGCCTTGAAGATCGTCCACCCTTTCTCCTTGGGCTTACAGCAGTCGAGGTACCACACCGCGTGGTTGATGTTCACCAGGATCGCGTCGCCCTCGTCGCCGCTTCCGGAGGGGAACCAGAGGGATTTTTGGAAGGCGTTGATTTCAAACAGCAGCACGCCGTTGGCGAAGAGACCGGCGGCGATGATCAGCAGGAGCATGGTGGAGGCGAGGAAGAAGTAGTGGAGGCTCATGCGGTTCCCGCCGACGTAGATGGAGTAGCCGACCAGGCCGCCGGTGAGGATACCTGTGATGGCAGCCAGGGGGAGGGCGCGCCATTCCTCGTTGAACCCGATCCCGCCCATGAAGATGACGGCCTCGATGCCTTCGCGGAGGATGGTGATGAAGGGGATGAAGAAGAGGGCGTACTTTTCGCGGGTGATTTGGGAGAGGAAGGTGAGTTTGAGCGCGCGTTTTTCGTTCGATGTGGGGGTGACCGGGCGGGCGGTGAGTTCGGTGGGCAGGGTGGTGGTGGTGGACGAAGAGTCGACGCGGAGTTCGTCGTGGTGGGTACCCTCGACGTCGGAGTAGGCGGGGAGGTGGGAGCCGGGGAGGGTGGATTTCGGGGCGACGTTCGTGTGCCCGACGAGCTTCCGGCGCCATTTCTCTTTGGCGTCGGATTTGGAGGATTTGAGCATGACCACCCCGACGACGGTGATGAGGAAGGAGGCGATGACGGCGAGGGTTGCTTCCCAAACGAATTCGTGTTTCTCCCAGATGTTGTTCTTGAGGACCCAGTAGACGGAGATGACGATGGCTGCGATGATGAGTGTGAGGAGGAGACCGAGTCCTGTTCCAAGCCAGACCTAGATTACGCGGGGGAATGGAGAGAGTGTGAGTGGATGTGTTCAACAACGATGATCACCAACATCAACCTTCAACATCCCATCAACCGTCAACGAGATTATTAGAACTCGCGGAGCGAGGTTCCTCATCTCTCGGGCTCCCATCACAAATCAGAAAGCGTTTCGCTCTGGTCGACTTATCGGTCTCCCAGACCGAACCAACCCTGCACCTCGCTTCGCTCGTTGCAGTACCACACCCGCGCTCTCGAACCTCAAGCGTTCCTCGCTACGCTCGGTTCCCAATCCCACATCCCACTTCCCACTTGCGACTTTGCGAATCGCTTACCTGCTTCCTCAACCTCCTATAAGTGACCAGATCATCGGCAAACATCTGGTGACACCAAGAGAGCAGGACCCCAATCACGATAGCTGCCTCCGTTGTCTCCCTGAAGAGGACAAAGTAGGTGGGGATGGAGAATACTGAGCCCATTGTTGCGGGTGTGTCGTTGGTAACTTGTTACGTGGGGACGAGGGGGGGGGGGGGGAAGTTGAGGTAGTCTCTTATAACGGAGTGGGGAATTCCGTGGTGGGCGGGGGAGAGTGCGCGGGAAGCCGGAAGCCGGAAGACGGAAGTGACTGCAAGTATTTGCTTTTCTCCCGGGAGTGAGTGCGCCTGCGGAGTGGAGTGGGGTGGAGGTGGGGTGGATATGAAAGTTCGCTGCTGCCGGAAAGAGAGCACCCGCTTGGTTTGCTGCTTTTGTTGTTCTGCCCACGCCCGCCTTTCCGTTGTGCTTTCACATCTCACACCTCACACCCCGCCTGTTCCTGTTCCCATTCCCATTCCCATTCCCATTCCGGCGGGGCAGCGCGTTTCCTTCTTGCAAGTTGTTTGAGGGAGCTTCCTTTCCGGAGACGCGCGTCTCTCTTCTCTCTTCCGCGTCTCTCATTGGCTGCAATCTCCCGATGTTCCTAACCGCTTGCAACCACACACAACAGGGAAGGAAGAGAACCCCTGGATCATCCCGGATCACCTCTCCCGCCCAGCAACAACTTGCACCCACGCGACTGGCTGCGTGCTTCTAAATACTCTAAAACCTTCCCGCTTGGCGAGAGGGGGGGGGCGGGGGCATTCCGGCGGTTTTGCACAGGGGTTCCGGTTTGCGTGGGTTCATCGGAACCGGAATGGAAGGGAGCGTCACGTGAGACTCGGACGGTCGCAGCCAGTGGGGGGGCGAGGGATTCAATTTGCAGCGGAACTCTCTCACAATTGAGAATCGGACTCGGACGGAAGAGCGAGCGAGCGACACGGCGGGCGAAAGGAACACCCGGAAAGGGGACTGACTCTTAGGGGAGGCGTGGATGTGGACACCCACTGGCTCTCTGCACTCTGCACACGCACAAGTTGATTCCGCGACAACGCCCCCGCCGGTTCCGGTTCCTCAACCCCCACTCTTCTCACTCTTGCATAACGCCAAAAGCAGCGGGCGAAAAAAAGGTATATATCCCGTCCGACCGTCTCGCCATTCCCGCCCGCCCTGCCGACCCCCAGCACTCGCTCATTGCAAAACACTCCCACCCCTCAACCACCCCCAAAGACGCTGCGAGATGTCCCCAATAACGCAGCTCCTGGCAGCAGCCACCCTCGCCCTCGCCTCCCTCACACCCACCCTCGCCGCCGCAACTTACAACTTTGACATCAACTACCTCAACGACGTCAACCCCGACGGCCTCTACCCGCGCAGAGTCATCACAGTCAACAACAAGTGGCCTCCACCGCTCGTTCTCGCCAAAGTGAATGAGACTCTGAGCATTAATGTCAAGAATTCGTTGCCTGTTCCGACGTCTCTCCATTCCCATGGATTGTTTTTCAACAAGACGAATTGGTTGGATGGGGCACCCGGCGTCACGCAGTGTGGCATTCCAACGGGGAGCGAGTTCAAGTATGAGTATACGCCTGCTCAGCATGGGACGTTCTGGTACCATGCTCATAATAGAGGGCAGTATGTCGATGGTTTTAGAGGTGAGTACCGGCTCGATACGTGCGCGGTAGCGAACGGGGACTGCGGCGAACGCGAGCGGAGCGAGCCACACTTGCGCCAAAGGCGCAAGATTCCCCTAACCACGGCTCTTAGCGAGTACTGGCGAGCGTTGTCCCGAGCGGAGCGAGCAGGATGTCATTCATCCATACATCCAACCAACCGTCCATCGCTTCGCATCGCGGTCCGTCAACCAACCTCCCTTCATTCACACTCACTCACTCACTTCGTTCGTTCGCTCCGTTCGTAGGCCCCCTGATCATCCAAGCCGCGCAAGAAGCGTACAAATACGACCACGAGTACGTCGTCATCCTCCACGACTGGTACCACAAAGAGTACGAAGAAATCTACGTCGACTACGGCGGTGTGCGCAACCCCACCGGGGTCGAACCCCCACCGGACAACACCATCATCCTCGTCCACAATCTCTCCGACTACGTCGACAAGATCTCCTTCCTCCCGGGCAAAACCTACCGTCTCCGCTTCATCAACATGTCGGGCTTTGCCATGTTCCACGTCTCCCTAGGCGGACACTCCATGGACGTGATCGAGGTCGACGGCGTCGACACGGAGCGCAAGACCACGAACGGGTTCTGGGTCTCTGTCGCTTCCCGCTGGTCCGTATTGGTCGACACCAAGAACGCCACGGACGCGAACTACAACATGAACGTGATCGTCGACAACTCCATGTTTGTCATTGAGCCCCCATCGCTGAAACTCAACGTCACCCACCCGATCGAGTACTCCCCCACCGCCACCCTGAACGAGACCGTCCAACCCTACGAGGAGCTCAACGAGATGGAACTCTCCCCCCTCGTCCCCCTCGCCGCACCGGAACCCGACCAGGAACTCACGCTGGAGATCACCCTGGCCACCCTGGCCGACGGCGGGAACCATGGATTGTTCAATGGGATGACCTACACGCACCAGAAGGTGCCCACGATCTTGACGGCCATGACCACCGGCGCGAACGCGACGAACCCCACGGTGTATGGCGAGACGAACAGTTATTTGTTTGAGCGGAATAAGATGGTGCAGGTCGTCATCAACAACAACGATGGTGGGAGCCACCCGTTCCATTTACACGGGCATAATTTCGGTGAGTTTTGCCTTGGGGTTCGAGCGCGGGACGAAAGGGCGTAAAAACGCGTATTCCCCTCCCCCTCCCCCTGTCGTCTTGGCCCTCCCCCCAAACACCCAACTAACCCCTTCCATCTCCTCCCCAGCCATCGTCTACCGCTCCGCCCAAGACGCCGGCGTCTACGACCCCATCACGACCCCTCTGACCTCGATCCCCGCCAACCCGGTTCGCCGCGACATCATCCAAGTCCCCAAGTTTGGCCACGCAATCATCCGCTTCCGCGCCGACAACCCGGGCGTGTGGCTCTTCCACTGCCACATCCAATGGCACATGGACTCGGGCCTCGCCGCCACATTCGTCGTGGCGCCCGACGCCATGCAGGCCGAGCAGAACATCCCGCAGTTTGTCACCGACCAGTGCAAGACCCTCGGCTTGGGCGTCGAGGGCAACGCCGCGGGGAAGATGGGCGAGAGCGTGGGGGATCTGACCGGCGCGAATGTGGGCCCCGGGAATATCGATATGGGCTGGACGGCCAAGGGCAAGGGCGCGCTGGCCGGGTGCGTGATTGCCGCGCTGGTGGGGTTGGGGACCGTTGTGTGGTTTGCGAGGGAGTAAGGCGGTGACCGATGGGGTGGTTTTTTTTTTTTGTCGTACCGACCGACAACTAGGCGTAGAGGGCAAACGCACGGCAGGCTTCGTTCGTCGGCCCCTCTCTTGACGCGGACATGTGTCTGTTAGCCCCACCTCCTCTTTTCTTTTTATTTATGCAAAACTCCGGACCTAACGCATGTATATACTACAGTTACATTACACTCCCTGCTTCTCTTGATCGGATGGATCGAGAGTTTTACCTCCAAGCTCCCCGCGTGTGTTTTGCTTCTTGGATTTTACAGGAATCCCTCGGTATGCAAATGACTCGTTCGAATGTAGCTACATTAAGGACGTCTACGGTACATGGGGAATTCGGAGCAGAGGGGCAGAGCACGGCCGGTAGCAGGAAGTCCAAGGAGGATGTTCTACGTTGCCCAAACCCACACTTAACTGTACGGCAACCATCTACATAACACACGTTTCATCGAGAGCAAACGGTCCGAAACGGTAATCACCTAATCCATTCAAAGCCTCTTGACGCCCCGCTTCACGCCAAAACCTCCTTCAACTCCCCCGTCTCCACCATCTCCTTGACGATATCCAGGCCGCCCACCAACTCCCCATGGATGTACAGCTGCGGGTATGTCGGCCAATCCGAATACGTCTTAAAAACAAAAGCACCCCCAATGGGTCAGCATGTGTCACCCGTCATTTTCCATCCCCCCAAATCCACATATGAATCCGATTGTGATGAATCGGGGCACCCACCTTGAGCCCCTGCCGAACCTCCTCATCCTCCAAAATATCGAACGTGTCATACACCACCCCCTGTTCCTTCAACAGCGCCGTGATCTGGCGCGAGAAGCCGCATTTGGGTGTTGTTGGGTCGCCCTTCATGAATAACTGATAGGAGAGTGAGAGCGAGGACATGTGTTGATCAAACTGCTCACGAGATGGGGAAGGAATTCGGAGGAAAGGAAAGGGGAGACTTACCATCACTTTGCTTTTGTTGATGCTGTAGCGAAGAAAATGGTAAGGGGCGCCGACTCGATAAGCGGTGAGGGGGGGCAGAGGCGAGAGCAGAACTTACAGCTTCTTCAACCGGGTGTTGAGGTCTTCCTCTGCGGGGGCGAGTTTCTGGAATTCACCGGATTCGATCTGCGAAAACAAAGATATCAGACATCGGGTGTTATCATACCAATCCGACGCAACATGGGGCGGGAAATGCAGTGTATGAGGGCCATACTTCGACTTACCATCTCTTTAAGAATATCCAACCCCCCAATCAACTCCCCATTAACATAAACCTGCGGGTACGTCGGCCAGTTGCTAAACTCCTTCAATCCTACCAAAAATAAACACCCGCATTAGCCTTCACCCAACTATCACCCAACTATCACGCCCACCATGTCACATCCACACGGGCCGTAAAACGTCCCCCACACAGTTACCTTGCCGAACCTCCTCATCCGCCAAAATATCAAAACTCCCATACTTGACCTCCACTTTCCCCAACAGCTCCACCAACTGTCGCGAAAACCCGCAACGGGGCTGTTGGGGTGTTCCCTTTATAAACACCATCACCGGGTGCGCTTTGATCAATTCCTGTAATCTCGTTGTCAAATCCTTCCCCTTTGATGTAGTCGTTGGGGTGGGAGGAAATGACGTTGATGGCGTGGTGGAGGTGATGGATTTAGCGAATTTGGCGACGGCGGCGGCCAGGGCGGGTGCATTGGCGCCTTCGATCCGTTCGATGGGGGTGCCGGATTTGAGGAGGATGAAGGTGGGTACGGCGGCGATTTCGTAGTGTTCGGAGATATCTGGGAAAGACTCCGCTTCCAACTATCATATCATATCACAGGGGTTTAGCGGGGGTGACTCCGACTGGGAAATGACATGGAATGGGGAAGAGGGAAGCATACCTGAATGAAGTGCAGAGAAGGGTATTTCCTTGACAGCTCCTCGAAGACCTGGTTCATGTCTTTACATGGTTCTGCCCAGGATGCCCAGAAGTTGAGGACGGAGGCTGATCTGCCTTCGAGGAGCTGTTGGAAATGGGCGTCGGAGGTGACCTCTAAAGGAGTGTGGCAAAGAGTTAGGAGGCGGCTGGTGCGAGCAAGGGGGCGGGAGAGGGGCTGCTTACCGTTGACGTTGTGCTTTGACATTGGTGCGACTGTTTGTATGGGAGTATGTAGTGCTGGGTGTGGGTTGATGCTGTGCTGCTTCTGAGCTCAAGTCTGCGAAGGCCCGCAAGTGGACGGGGGTCTCGGGGTTAGCAGCAATATTATAACAGCAAGGGACCAACTGCCGGACGCTTCCGGAGATCACCGCCTGGGAAAACTTGCACAAGGCGCAATCTTCTCGCCATATAACCAACCACCTTAGATCTCAGACCTACCAACCTCCTCGCACTCCCGCTACTCTCCCTCTAAGACCGCAACAATGCTCGCCGGCTCAGCGCCAGGCGGCACAACCGCCAAAGAGCTCACAGACCACGACGTCAACACCCTCCTTACCGCTCTCCGTGCCAACAACGGCACCCACGGCCCCTTCAAACTCAGCCCCACCATCGACGCCAAGACTGCCACCGACGCCGCCATCTTCTCCGCCGTCGAACACAGCGTAAAGACAGGGATACCGCTAATCATAGAAAACTCGCTGGACGGGTGGAAACGTCTACGCGGCGACGCGGATAAGGAGGAGAAAGACGGCGCCGCCGGGGTTCCGGATGAGCAGCTGTTCAGCCTGGGGTGGTTGAAAAACCAACATGGACCGGAACACGTGCTGTTGAGGAACGTGCATACGAACGAAGATGTGGATTCGACCGTTGAGGGATATGTCGATTTCCTGAAAGATGGGCAGCCGACCGAGAAGAGCGTGGAGAACGGTGCAGATTCTATGGATGTGGTGCACCGCAAGACGGGGGATGGTGGGCAGGGGGTTCTGTATGGCAAGGATATCACGTGTCCGCCGGAGTGGACGCAGCGGACGATGGCGAGGATACCGGGGTTCTTGCGGTACAAGGGGGAGAATGACCTTGTGCGATTGCTTCCGGAGAGGCTGCAGAGTGAGAACTTGATGATCTATGTTGGTGAGTGTTTTAACTCATGTGTTAACGAGAACAGTGGACATTCACTAACGCGTATACTCTTCCCTTAGGAAATGAGGGAACGTTGACCCCTGGTCATACGGACCTGTGTGGATCTGTAGGCCATAATGTCATGGTAAGCCTGCCTCGTCCACCGTCCCGCAAACCGCTCGGACCTAATGCTAACACTCTTGCTATCCCACAGGTACACGCCGACGAAAACGCCCGCGCCATCTGGTTCATCGTCAAATCCTCCGACCTTGCTCGCGTCTCCGCCTTCTGGCAAGAACAATCCCACTCCCTCTATCAAGACAACTACTTTGCCCCCATCTCCATCCTCTCCAAAGCCCCTTTCGACATCTACGTCATCGAACAAAAACTCAACGACTTTATCATCGTACCCCCCGAATCAGCACACCAGGTCTACAACAAAGGCGGCGTCAACATCAAAGTCTCCTGGAACCGCCTGACAGTCGACTCCCTCTCCCGCTGCATTGACCACGTCTTGGAAGAGTACCGTACGCACATGCGACCAGAGACGTACCGCATTAAAACATTGTTGAACGAAACAGTGCTCCACTTCATTGACCGCGCAGCGCTCATCGACGACCCGACGGTGTTCCCCACCGCTGAAGAGAAACAGCGGTTTGTGGATGACTTTCATACAGCGGTGGAGGCGTTTGCGATTATGCTGAGCGACGAGTGGGTGGAGTCGGACGACGTGGACCCGCCGACGATTGGGATGCCCACACCCTGGCCGGATGTGGATAGGCCCCATGAGAGGGTGTGTGATTTTTGTCGAGCGGATATTTGGAATCGAGGGTTTCATTGTAGGAAGTGTGCGGCGAGGGGTCATAGTCATGCGGCGGCGACGGCAGGTGTCACTCAGTCCAATGGCGTTGCAGCCGAGACACTAACAAACGTCACGCAGGCGAACGGCACTGTTGGGTTGGCCAATGAGACTGTGGTTGAGACTCCCGTGGCTAGTCAGCCCGATGGCGATGTGAAACAGGCTTCGTCGGCGGTGTTCGAATCTAGCAACGGGGTTACCGATACTGTTGAGAAAACTGAAAATGGCCTCCTTCACCCGTCGACTCCCGCGATTATCAGCAATGGCGTGGTTAATGGCGCTGATGCGGCTATTGTTGCGACAGAGGCTGCAGCGCAGCTGTCAGCTCCCTTGGTCAGCAATGGCGAGGTCAACGGTGCAGAATCAGCTGTCCCCGTCACGGACTCTTCATCTCATGTGCCAGCCGATGGGCCTGCGAACGGCATTCAAGTCGTATTTAGACAAGCGCCAGCCGATAAGCAGGCAAATTCAATCCAAGTCGTAACCACCCAAGCGCCAGCCGCCGACATCAAACCAGCCGAACTTGTCAAGACCCCAGCATCCATCGAACCCACATCAATCCCCGCCCCAATCATCTCAACACTCAATCCCCCGTCCGCCGCACCCGACTCAACGACACCCACCCTCCCCTCCTCCACCGGCGAAGACGACTTCGACGTATGCCTCGACTGCTACTCCCAAGGCCGCAGCTGCCGCCACGAGCGCGACATGGAGTTCCACGAGTACATCCCCATGGGCGTCCTCAGCGCGCAGATCAGAAAAGCTGTCAAGACTTATAACGATCTCCTGTCGAGGAAGGGGTTGAAGGGGCCTGGGTTGACGAATGAGTTTTTGCATGGGTGGGTGGTCGTGAGAACGCCTTGAAGTTTTTGGATGGTGGGGATATACTGACTGTGGGTGATTTTTTAGGTTATTTGATGGACATACACCAGTTGTTCCGACTGCTAGTGTTGCGCATCAGTTGTTTGTTGCGCGGACCAAGGTTTGTGGGAATGTACAACACGACGATTCGGATCGGAGTCTTACCCACCTTTGTTACAGAAAGTCAGCCTGTTGTCCAAATGCTGTCATGCGTGCCGGTCGTCTACTGCGCCTGCTTGGTATGTTCGATTTTGGAGTGTGATGGGACTTGCGTGAGGTAGGAAGGACTGAATATTTGGGAATTCGGGCAGGTCATTTGTGTCGGATGCATGTGGAACGCCGTATTGCGCAAGATGTTTGTGGAATAGGTTTGGGGAGAGGCTTTCGGATGTTAAGAAGGTTTGTGGTTCGCTTCTGTGGTTTGTCTATGTGGCTTTGCGGTGTTCTGATCAATACACCTTCCGTCGTTTGCAGAATCGTGATTGGAAGTGTCCCAAATGTCGAGGTAGAGCTCTTCTTAGATGATGATACCACAAACCACTGTTGGATACGCAGCGGACTTATCATTCTGAATCCATATCTTCCCCACAGAGGAATGCAACTGCCTCAACTGCGTGCGCCGCTTTTACTCCAACAAACCCGTCCCCTTCCCCATTCCCAAAGGCGAAATCGTCTTCCTCGTCGAACAATCCCACTACGTTGAAGACCGGCATGGGAACGTCCTCGCTTCCGATCGGCAGTTTCCGACGGGACCGCTGTTCAAGGATGCGCGGTTTAAGGTTGAGCCTATGCCTGTAAGTGGCGGTTCATCGTAGCAGATGAAAATCGTGGTTTTTTCTCATCAACTGTGGTTTATTTGAACAGGATGCCTTCCGCCGCGAAGTCTACGGCCGCCACCGAGGAATCAAACGCGCGCTAGACGACGATCTCGCGCACAACACGCCAGCTCCCAAAAAGAGCAAAAAAGCCGCGCCGCGCCCACGATACGACGACGACGCGATGCTCATCGACTCGATCCTCCCCAACGGCGAAAGGCGGGCGAGCGCGAGAAAAGTCACAAAAACCAAATTGTTTGAGCCGGAAGTAGGGTTGGGATGGGGTGAAGAGAAGGTAATATTGTGGCCGCGCGGAAACCTTACATAGCAACTGCATATGCATGAGAAGACTTATTTTGGGTGTTATTTTTGGGGTTTGGTTAAGCCGAGAAAACCGAGTCGCCGGGTTTCGCTTACGACGCCTAAACCGGAACACCGCCACCAGCAATCGGATTCGGAATTTTATGATGATGATGAAGAGTATATGGATGATGGAACTTACGGCAGCCACAGCAGCGCGCCGTCCTCCTCGAAGAATGTGAAAAGAAGCAGCAGCGGTAGTCATCATAAACGCATCCCGATCGGAAGCAGCAGCGGAAACGCACGGCCCAATGCCGCGGGACTCGCTAAACTCGTATCCCCGTCGTCTGGTCATGCGCAGAACGGCGGGCGGAAGAAAGTGGTGATTCCACCGTCTTCACTCAGCTACTCCGCAAAGGACCCGGACGATCGTCGCATGTCCTCTTCATCCGCGGCCTCCCAATCTGCACCGCGCCGTCCCTCAACCACCACCAACAACGCCAGTACGTTCACACCCCTCCCCGCCTCCACCAGCACCACAACCTCCTCCCTCTCAACCCGCAGCAAACACAAAGCACCCCGTTTGAAACTCACCACAGAAGACGGCACGCAACGTTCATGCCGTGATCTGCTGGCGAAGATGGACGTCGACCACGCGTTCTTGAAGGAGTTTTTTGTGGAGTGTATGGGGGTTTGTCAGGAACGTGGGGGTGGGCTTTGGGCGGGTGTGCATGCTGAGGAGGTCTATAAGGGGATGTTGGGGAGGTTTGCTGACTGAGTACAAAGAGGAGGCGAGCGGATTGGAGCGAGATGAGAGCTTAGCGAGACGAGATCGGCGAAAGGGAGAGACGGAGAGTGCTGGTATGCGTGGGCAAGGGGAAACAGCAGGAAGTGTTGGGGGTTGTCATATTCTCGTCCCCCCTTCTCTCGCCGCAGAAATAGGTTGCTAGTTTGTAGGTCCTATTGCGGCTTCACGATTTGGGGAGAAAAATCCCCCTGGGTTGGCATATCTTGGTAGGCAAACTGTCTGCGCATATAGCTGGGTCATGTACTGTGCATAAGATCCATACACTGGGTTTGCCAGACTTGGGTGGTGTTGAGGGGGTGGTCTGTTTCGCAGTGGCTGTCTGATTGCTTCGCTGTGAACTGCAGGTGAACAACGAGGAAGTGAAAAAACGCGTAAGGAACGCGAAACTGACGCGTTATGTAAGCGAGCAGCATATACCAAGTCAACTAAGGCGTTGCACACGTCGGGCAAACACGGATGCATGTCAAGGGAAGTCAGCACAGCAGTAAACCATTTTCAGGATGTTTCTCCGTCAATAGCAAATGAATAAAAACAATCTGGATGTGGCGCTGCTGAGATGAATACCAGAAGCGGCGCAAAACGAACCAGGTCAAGACATAACGTTTAAAAAGGTCACGAATGGGCAGTCTTCAACGCGTCCAGGCAGCGAATCGGGATTGTTGGGCCAAGTGCCTTCCGTACGCCCAACGGTGAACCTGCTAACTCCCTTTTTTTCATGCACGAAAAACGCGAAACTGACGCGTCATGTAAGCAAGCAGCACTGCCGGGCATCGCGAAACTAACGCGTGCCCAACACCTAGCTGGTGATGAAACGCTTATGCCGAGCTTAGGAGGCGCAATGTTCCGTTCTGTCCTGTCAGCGAGGTCAGCTGCATGCAATATGTTCAATCCTCGAGGTGTCTCCAATATTTGGTACGGTGATTAAGAAAGCATGATAACTGCGGAGAGAGAACGCGTAACGGCGTAAGTGCGCAAGGCAATACGTTTATTAGAGACTCGAGAGTCGCCCGTTGTTGAGGGTTAACGGAAGTACACGAAGGAGGGGCTAGTGCGCCGGTGCATTCCTAACACTTGACACTCCCCTTTCTGAACGCGAAACTGGCGCGTCAAACGAAGTTTATGTAATCACAAGCGCGTAACCAAACGCGTTACATCTAGACACGAGCTGTACCACAAAATGAAGCTGTCGACCTCGTCCGTTTTTTTTTCGGTTGATGGTTGCTCCTTCGGGACAAGATCTTGGTGGAATCGGGTGCGAAGGAGGAAGTAGTCGAGCGAATTTTCATCGTTATCCATATCAGTCTACTGCTGAAATTGAGGAAGTTTGAAGGTCGAGGAGTTACCCAGAACCCCAAAAAAAAGTTCGATTGTGAGGTCGAATCAAGCGTTTTGCAGGGCGTGTCAAAAACAACTATCCAAACGCTTATGCGGAGCTTAAGGAAAGATCGACAGGCGCGTTGTTCTCTCCAAGCCTGCGATATTTTGAACTGCAAGAAATTTCAACCGTTTTTCTGATATTTGTAGATAGTATCAGGGTAGGGAAGAAAACACGAGAATGAGCGCAATTTCTTCCATGAGGAAAGATTACTTGCCGGTTGTTGAACGGCGATGGAAGCAGCGCTTCCTGAGCGTTGCTCCAATGTCACTGAAGGATGTTGCCTCCACGTTCCTGCGTCTGTCGCTTTGACTGATAAGCAAAATGACAGCATTCTGCATCCCGAAGCAACGGACACGCGAAACTCCCTTCGGACGCGTAGAAGCGGACGGACGGCATTTGAGCTACCTTTCGGTCATCGCTCGTTACTCTGTCGTCACATCAGGCAATGAACATCCTTTCCCTCACTTCGAGAGTGGTATGCATATAAAAGGCGGGGCGGCACGGATGTCCTGTCCCTCCCAGCTTTTTAGATGTCGTCCAATGTTAGACCGCCACATTCTTGTACATCATCCATCTTGCGTTCCGCTTCCTCAAATTCCCCTATCCTTTGTTTCCGCTGGAATACTCTCCTTAGAACACTCTCTGTCGTTTGCGGTCCAACGCATGCATTCCACAAATCCGGGACGGTTGCTGTTCTTTTGCTCGGACCCAATGAAACCAAAGCACAAATGTGCGATAGATGCTCCCAAGGCGCCGACAGCATCCCACACTTGTAACCTTTCACAGAGTAAACTGATACCCATTCTGCGTATTGCCAAGCCAAGAAACGATGCGAACTACGAGTTGCCTGTGTGGCATCCAATGCATCACAGCTCCTTGATCGTCTCGGGATACCAAGTCCGGGCCACCTCGGAATAGGCGAACAAGCTCTGTACGGTGAATTTCATGTACCGGTCACTCAATCGGCATCCGGGAGCATCTTCATACCGCCCTTTCGGCTATTCCTTATGCCAAGCCGACTCACTGCAAGCCACGGTCATTGTACACCTCTCATGCACTATCACCCAGGATGCTTGCCGTAAGGATACAAGCATCCAGTTCGATGGTGCAGAGAAGCAGTACAACGACACGCGCTGTCCTCGCTCAGGGTTAGTCAACCACATCCGTTGTGGGGGCATAAGGATGAACCTTTTTCATTCGATACGCGTCCACACCTGACCGGCAGCTTTTTTGACTACTTATCGACCCGAACGATGGGTCGGGTTACAAAGCTTTCTTGTGCATGACAGAGTTGGCATAGCACAAGAGCGAGCGCGAAACGAACGTTGATCCGCCCCAAAATCGGCTGGTCCGAGGAAGCGAGAGACGGAGAGAGATGCAGCTCGCGGTGGGCCAGAGAAGGCCTGTGCATTTCTTTGGTCCCTTGAAGAGGGCCATTTTGTCGAGGACAGTCACCTGCCATCTTGCTTGCGCTTCATTCGCGACGTCATACTGGACCAGTATTGCATTTGGAATGCTGGGTGAAGCGCCGCGTCCATCAATATCTTGGCTATCGACCAAGTGGTCCTCCAAAGATCGTGTTGATTGTTTCCGGGGACGGGACAACCGTGCCAGCGACCATCACCTCATCCACATTCACGCCCACACCCTATGCGCCTGAGGGTGATTTGCACGATAGAGCTTGAGCGCGTGGGTTGGGGTGTGCCCGTTCTCATTGAGGTCGCCTCGAAAGGCCACCAGCCTCCGTTCCGGGATAAAAAGCGGAAATGGTAGGGTATTTATCGGCGCCAATCTTCCCGGTCGCCACGCCACGGAGTAACAACAATTGGTCGCCTATCATTGAATCGAGAGTTTGAAGGGTCCCAATCATCTGGAACATGTCCCCATCCCTGAGGATCTTTGCCCGGCCTTTCCACATTTCGTGTTTGGTGATGCGTGTCTTGAATACTTCATCTGCTTGCCTTTCCGTGTTCCATATCTTGGATGTGAGAGTCAGGTGGTAGTTTTCGATGCATGTAAGTCGACCAGTGCAAGAAAAGCTGGTGGGCGCAGAGTCGTCGCTTCCAAGCATGATCCGAGTCATGGTACTTATGCGAAACGATGGCTTGGAGGCATCACGGAGCTCGGCGGTGAACGCATAACAGTTGTCTTTGACTGGGGCTTCTTTGACAAGCAATTGTTTTTCGTCGTGAAAGACTGAGGCTTCAGTGGCAACGGTGGTTTAATCGGAAGCGGGGAGCTCGATTTCAATGGTGTAAAGCCTCCCTGTTTTGCCAAGGATCGAATTGACGCCGCAAATTCCGGAGATGGCAATCATCTTGATCTCAATTTGTTCAGTGGCAGCGTGCTGGGCTGGCTGTGACTGGTGTGATTGCAGTGTTGCTGATGACGGGCGTGCTGATGCTGATGGTGGAACGAGCAGAGACTGAAGGAGGGTTGATGATGATTGGTGCGGCTTTGTGTTTTGCAACCAACAGATGTGTCCACTTGCACGCCCTTTTTGTAATTGATGGATCCTTTCTTTTGCATGCAAGCAGACTGCTCAATCACCTTCAGCTGCTCCACGTTGATATGAGAGATGGCCCTTTTTGGGTGTGTGCAGGCAACGCTTCGATACCAGTTTCGCATCTTATCCACGAATCGTCTGTGGTTACACTCTGAAATCGGTTTGACGCCATGTCCTCCGAGTTCCCAGTCAAGCTTTCAGAATGGTCCCGAAACTTGTCTTCCCGCTTCCGGCGTCCGCGAGCAAGGCCTTCCATTGTCATTGACCATTTTCGAGACCCTTCTTGAGCACCAATACAGTCTCTCAATCCCCTTTCTCTGATGGTCACCCGAGATGACGAGCGAGACATTGTCCACGATGTATCGGTGTTGTGTCAGGGGAAGGTCCCGACGGCTGGGCGAGGATGTGGTAACCCAACCGGCGATCTTGCTGTTCTTGATTTGTTGGCGTGTGCATTTGGCGTTTATGATCCTTGCTTTTGCCTGGACGCTTAACAATAGAGCTTGGTCCGGACCAAGCCGCATGGCGTGATACATCACTGCCCGGCGGCAACCTGCAACGGTCTGACATCGACCTCCGGTTGTTGTGAATTATCCCGGGTCACTTTAGAAGTCCCACTTCTGGAAACTCATCGAAAGATGGCTTCGCCCAATTGCCGCGGGCTCTTCGCTTCATGGAGGCTTTTGAAGGTGACGATAGGGCATTTGTGGTCGTTGCGGTACAGAGTGTAGAGCTTCACGTCTCCAATCTTGCAGCATTTACGTCGATTGTTTTCCTCCCACTCCTGGTCGACAGTGTCTCTTGTCGACGAAGCCTTCCAGGCCGCTTGGAACCTCTGCGTTTGATCTTTGCTGCGCCTATCGACGTTCGCCTGCCAATTGAGGGCCGTGGCGGCGGAAGGATCGTGATTGATGTAGTAACCGAGGGCTTTTAAGGGCGATCCCGCAACCTTGGTTCGGATCCAGAACGTAGCACCCCCTGAAATACTTCCAGAGGTGAAAGGAGGACCACGCTCGTCATTGTAGTTGGTGCGCATTCGATCAGTTTGCTCCTAGTCACCGATTCAATTCACATTGTGTTTCTCCAGTCGGATGTGTGTTCTTCAATCTAAGGGTCGGGCGTCAACGTTAGGCTGCCAGATGGCCCGGCGTGAGCCTCAAGTTGCCGTCGCAACTCCATGGTCGTCGCAATCGCTTCTCGAAGCTCTTCGTTCTTTTCCCGCATTTTGATTTGTGCATCGTTCAGTTTCAGGTCTCTTTCCTGTAGGCATCGTTCTAATACGGTTCTATGTGCCTTCCGGCTCTTCGCCCGCTCTAATGCCTCGTGCTCCGGTGTCTCAGCAGAGAAACCCCTCCGGCAGTTCCTACGTCGCTTGCGCAAGGTTGCGGTCTCTTTGATCAGCTCCAAGATTCGGATCCATCCCTTGCCCCGTTTCCTGCGAAGCCTCGGTGTCCCATGTCCCATCGGACTAGTAATGTGGTCCTCAACGGACTAGTAATGCCGCTAGTGGTGTGATCGGTTAAGCGAGAAAAAGGCACTGTCGTTGACTCGTGGGCATCTTTGCGGTAGACACGGAACGCAGATGGGCCAGGTCGATTTCGAACCAGCCCGCTGCGGTGAACGACCTGCCATGGAAAATCCACTTCGATCATGGCATACCCCTGGTCTCCAAAGACGATATCCAAGTCCCCTTTAATGTTGGTCCGATGTCGTACCCATATTTGGAAGCTTTCCTAAAGGGCTACCCTGGTCAATTTGTTCGGCCAGCGCCCAGTCTTCCCTTGATTCCGCTGCACGCCGCGGTATCACTCTCCTGCAATACCGCCCCGGCTGCATGCGCCACAAAGAACACAGACATCCAATTCGATATTGCAAAGGAGGTATGTAGCAAAGCGCACGTTCCTAGACTTCGCTCAGCTATCACGCTCGTCGGTATCTCAAGACACACCGCAAACACTGACCACAACAGCACCGTCTGAGCGGCTAGAGCCCCCACGAGCATCCCCACAGAACCGGTGCGGCAGCTCCCGCTGGTAGACCAATGACGGAGCTCTCCCACTCTTACACCCAAAGCAGTTCCTCCCACAGAGCTTGGTGTTCTCTTCCTGGCGGTCAAGGACACCAGAGTTCCTGTCCACCACGCCTACCAACTCTCCGACTGTTCTGTAGCTGATGGATGGTGTCGGCTGCGGCCAAAAGAGTCTCCGGAAAATGTTGTGTTGGGGCACAATACCGATGCTCCGCTGGCACGGGATTGGATCAAAGGGGCCTCTTTGATGGCGCTTTCCGAGACTGAGATACGGCCAAGTTGATGGACTTGGGCCATCAGCCCCACGCACTGCTGGCGCCTTCCAGCGAATGGCGCGTATGTGCAATTGTAGCCTTTTTTCAAAGTGTACAAGATGCGGCCCAACTGGCTACATTCCGGAGTGGAATGCTCCATCATTTCTTTCAAAGTGGCGAGATCATCTCGCCCGGTATAAACTCGGTGATGTGAATTTGAAGGCGTGTTGGAGCAGCCGAGGGCGGTTGTGTTCGCGAACGTATTGACGGAAGCTTTGTCTACGAAAACCGGTGGCATCGCTTTGCTCCTTGCCCGCGGTGAGGACGCATGAGTCATTGAGGGGGTGCCCACTCACGGCTCAAGAGCGGGCCATGCAATAAGTGGGTGGTGGTGGTCACCCACCATATTCTGACGGTGAAACCGGCGTTGCAGTCTAGCAACCAAGATACCCTTTGCTCTGGGCGGCGCGCTAGCATCGAGCCCCGCTTTACTTTCACGGTGCCGGGCCAGTTTCTCGCTCAAGGCGCTCAAGGCGATGAGACAGTGCTAGCTGTTTACTGGATGCGGAGTTTGCGCGTCTGCAAGTCGGCATCGAACGGAGACTCAAAAAACCAAGCGGTTGTCGTCGGTATCATCCTCTTTCCTCTGGCTCCATCTTTGGCCAATCCTTGGCATCCTCCACCTCCCACACCTGATCCCTGGGTTTCTGCCGCAACCAACCTCGGGTCCACCGGTCCATCTTGCACTGATCCCATGCCCGTCTCCCACGTGCCCGTTCTCTGCACGACAGTTGATCCTGCAGGAAGAGGGCGTAGACCCTGCTCGAAGGCAGATGTCACCAGTTTTCCGCTGTTCGCGGGGCCGACTGTATTTACAGGAGCAGCTATGGTGCACTCCCCCTGCCTCCCGGCCACCCGTTGGGGCAGCTGGGCAAAGGCGCTTTGGCACTTCCTTTATGTGCATTCTGCCCGTGTTGAGGCCTTCTCATCCAGCATGTGCTTCATGACGTTGACCCTGGATACATTCTCGACATCATCTGACCATACATGCATATCCGTCGGAAGCAAGCTTGTTGGTTGACTGGTGTTAGGGACTAACAAGGCAACCTGTGGCCATAGTAAAAGGAAGTGTGAAGTATGCTGTGTGCGTGGACATGCAGAAACAAATGGACTTACACCGGACGACACATCAAAAATGCTCTTCCCCATTCAGTTTCAGTTTTTGTGCTGGCCCGGCGCAGGATAGGGGTTCCCGTGCGAGCAGTGGCAACTGGGGCCGTTCCCGCAGCGGGAGTACTGGCTGCCGTAGTGGTGGGGCCGGCAGCACCTGCACTGGTAGGAACTGGTGTCGCAGTGACGGAAGCGGGAGTCGTCTCCGCAGCGGAAGTACCAGCTGTCGCAGTGGTGGGCAACCTTCCTTCGACTGTGACGCCCGCGATAGCTCGTCCATCGCCAACAAGCCCACCCAGCCACCGACAGCATGGCGATCGTTATTTCCGTCTGACATCTTGTGCTTTGCTGGAAGGCAACCTTCCTTCTCCTTCCTAGCCAGCTGGAGAAGCATTGCAAAGTGTGTTTGGAAAGTGCCAATCTTACGGAAATGAAGAATGGTGTTTGCTGTACCACGTCTCGAACCCGGCGCAGGCGCTCCAGTGGTGGGTGCCCTTGCAAGCGGATCGGCCGTTGTTGACGACGGTGTGCGGCGGATATAGAATTCTCCTCTGGCATGGCGACAATGCTCCATTCGTTTGCCGCCAGAATGCTTCCGTCAATAAGGCCTCGGACTGCCTCGGAAGACTGCCGATGACGTACCCCTCCTGCCCAACCTCAGTGTAATTCAGCCCTGGATTCAGCCTGCGTGTATGTACTGTACATAACATACCAGGTCTGGAAGAACGTGTTGAGCTCCAAGGTATCGTTGGTGATACTCGATATTTCCTTCGTCGGCCCCATGCAATTTGCCATTGCAAAATATCCCTGACTTCCACTAGGGGCAGTCGCGACAGGAAAAGCGGGCATGTAGCCTATTCAGGCCTATTCCGCAACGCCTCCTTCGCCTCCTTGCCCCGGCGCCTCATAAACCTGCGTAAGCTGAGTCGAGCCGTCTGTTCTGTCCGTTAGAAGCGCTTCACCCTTTCCCTCGCATCGAGTCTTCGCGACAAGATGAGAATTATCATGGAGGATATCGTTAGCTACATAGGCGCCATCAGTCAGCTCTAAAAGCAGAAGGGTTGAGAGCTTGTATCGCGGACGAAGACCGGTTGACATTCGAGATTCGGGGCCCGTATGCACTCATGGATAGAGTGTTGGATCGTTCCGTTGGAGCGAACATCGTTTCTTCAAGCAAACTTGCGCTTTTCGACTACCTTCGCCCATTGATTGACGAGAGCGTTCTGGACTTGTTTCGGGATCGAATACCAGAGGAAATGGTGGGCCGGAACACCAACTCCCAATGGGCGCTATTCATGATACGCTATAGCAGGAAGTGGGCCAAGGTCGTAGGAGGTTCCGCACTGGCGGCGGAAGTGTCGTCTCCGGGCCAGACCGGAACCTCCTTCAACCTTCACCATGCGGTATCAGCCAATGGATCACTCCTATCGCAAGTCCCCATAGACGACGCTGCGCGACGGTTCGCGGACTTGCAAGCGCGTTATGCTGACGACCACATCGTCGTCATGCACGCTACTAGATTGCGGTCTTTGGGGAGATTCTCGCATATCGGTGTGAGACTCCGAATGTGTCAACCAAGCAGCGAATTTTCCACCCTTGGGGCGTTTTATGCGACACCACATCCCGATTTTGCATTAAGCTGGGTGCGTCGGAATCTCGGAGGAGACTGCGCGCTGCTGGTCTTTGTATCTCCAGAGACGTTCTTTGCCGGATTGCGCATGCACGTATTCCCGGAACCCAACGAGAACTAAAAACAGTTCTGCCACGACAATTTCCACAACGACCCCCATCGAAATGATCCACCCCATTACTGATGCGAACAACGTCAGTTTCGGCCCCATTTGTCGCTTTCGAACGTCACCCGAAGATTCGGCCATCGCGCTCAGCTGCTGGGTCGCCGGCGCCTTGTCGATTTCGCCGCCGCCCGGGGGCCTTGCTTCCAGTATGCCTTCTTGAACGAGACCGCGACCGACCCGTTGCGTGCATTCTGGGCGGAGACATGGCAGTTGGATATTTAGGCTGCTAACCTTGATCTGGGGCAGCCCGCGCGTGTTGTGATGTTGTTCCCTGAATCAACATCTTGGTTCCTTGCTCAATAAGAACGAATCTCTCATTCAGAGCCTCTACAGCGGATGCGGGGGCAGTCCTATCATCTGCGTCGTGTCATCGGTGTCTGGCATTGGTTTGCGACCCTACCTCGGCCCAGGAGAATGCTTGCCTGTCTCTGTGAAAGGAAGGCAAGTTGATTTTGTCAGTGATGTTAGCCACAGTAGCCAATGACAGAGATTCCGAATCCATCAGACCCTCACCTCGGGTGTTGCCGTTGGTTGCCTGTCCCCAAAGAACGGAGGCGCTATACCTTACATGTCCTCAACCCGTTCACCTGAACCACTTGCGTAGTAAGCACATCAATGGGAATGCGTACGATGTTCCTGAGATGAGCAGCAAAATAAGTCATCCTGCTGTGCGGACTGCGAACGGCAGAACGTCTCATTCACGCAGGGAGACTCAGTGTCGTACCACACATCTCTCGGTGCAACGGTACAAACACGAGAGATGTGTGGGGTACGACACTGAGTCTCTGTGCGTGAATGTTTGAAAGCCGTTGGCGCCTAGTACGACAGGCCTGCGGAGATCAGGTTCGGCGAAAAGAAAACCGCCGCTGGCAAATGTGGCGCCGAGTTCCGCGTTCCTGAGAATCAGGCACCAACGAGTTTTGCAGCCTCTTCCAGCAACACAAAGGTACTCGTTGCAACGCGCATCTCGCGCATCAAAGTCTAGATTGGCAATAGTCTCCGGGTTGTTTCGAATAACCGTGCCAAAGACGTGAGCAAAATGTTGCTGAACGGGGGTAGTGAAGGTTGTTTGTGGGATGTCTTCATCTATTGCGACCATCATCTCCATATGAACCGCCACGTCAATCGGCTTCCGGTCCAGTGGGTTCGTTGCAAATTCACCGTCCGTCGCTCGGTAGCTGAGGATCGTGTCGACAGCGGCCTTCTTGACCTGCCTGCGCTCGTATCGCTCCAGAGCCGCAAAGCAGGGATTGTGCTTACCAAGGAGCATGATTGCCCTGGTTGTATAGACCACGACAGTGTTCCAGTGGTAGTGCCACGAGCCATCCCCGGACTTGGCATGGTACATCTGGGACACAAATCCCCCAAGGATTCGTCCGCTCAACCGTTCTTCCTTCGGCTGGACAAAGGTTTGGAGGCGGCATTCCACATTGTATGCCAATGTCAAGTATTGGGTGAAAATGGCTTCGGTCTCCTTGTGATTATGATGGGTCGCTGGGCTGTGCGATGCTCGGGATATCGCTGATTGCTGCTCTCTCGGGGATTTGAAGGAGGGCCGCAGAATCTGAGTGGCCGCCTGCAATGAGACCACCTTATCCGGTCCCCAGGTGGAAAACTCAATGCCTTTGACAGTGCATGCGTCTTTTGTCATTCCAGACTTCAAGACGGCCCACATTGTCGTGAACTGGAATGCCATCGTCGAAGCTGCCTTTGAAGCGGTAGAGATCGGTCTCCTCGACGCTAGCCAAAGTGAGGCAGGTACAGACTGGGACTTCAACTGTGCGGTTGGGTGATTGGGCGATTGGGCGCCAGCCAACAACGGTATCTGGTGTGGGTTGGAGAAGGTTGGCACGCGTGGGTCAGGAGTTCAACTCCCACTCCCAGTGCTGTGAATCTTCTTCGTTCGAGTGGTGAGGCTGCCTGCATTGGGGCGGCCTCCACGGGATCGTGCCCATCGAAACCACACTCATTTATGCCTGACTTGGGCGTTTGCTCCATTTTGTTATACTTTGCGTGAATTAATCTTACGTACCAGAACCTCGCGTGTCTCGGCACGAGACTGCGACGCGTCTCGGGCAAGATGGATTGTCACGGCTCTTGAGCTTTGACGGAGTTTGACCTGTCCAAAAAGTCCAGCAGTTCCCAACATCTTGCCACCCATCACCATCACCATCCACAATGTCATCCCAACCGCCTTCTCAGGAAGAACTTCAGCGCCTCATAGGCGCTCCACCTCTTCGTAGCCGAGCGTCTGGGCTCAGCCTGCGCTCCGTCAGCAAGCGCGTTTTTGACGCCATCTCACCCATCTCACCCTCCGACGCGGCTGCCGAAATCGACGCCGCTAGACAGGCCAGCATCCGCTACCGTTTTACCGAAGGAGAAGCTAGTGGTGAAGCCGCTGTTGCGCCAGCTGCGGAGTCGGTGACGGAACCACCTGCACAACCCGAGGCAGGGGCCAGTCAGCGAATTGGAAGACGTGCCAGCTTCGCCGAGTACGCCAACTTCCTTCGCACCCGCTATTCCCATCCGTTCACCCCAACGGTCCCTCCACCCAATCGCGCAGTTGAAGCACAGGCCGAGGCTTTCAAGAAGCTCGCTCAGAGTGTCATCGCCGACTTCAAGGCCGCACACATTGTCGTGGACTGGAATGCTGTCGTCGAAGCTGTCAGCCGCGTCTTGCCCATTGCAGCAATGTACCCAACAGCCGCGCAGATCCTCCTCGAAGGCATTGAGAACCATCAGAGCTGGTCGGCCTCAACGGAAGCATTGACTCCCCTTTTTGGACTTGTCGATACCAGTCTCACTTCCTACACTTTTCCTGAGAATGCTGTGGGATTCTACGTCCGAACCCGAGCCCTTACCGTCGGCGATTTGGAGCTTGTGATTGACCTCTTTGAGAAGAATTTCCATCACCGCGGCTTTGTGGACAAAATGAGGGAGCTTATTGCTGAAGCGCTGCAACAAGGCAAAGGCACCATCTACCTCCGCTACGTTGGGACCTGCCAGTCACCAACAACACCCAATACCAGATTGGAAGACGACGTTTCGACCGCTACCGCGCTCTTTGGGAAGATTCACGTGTGCATCGAGACCATTGCTGCAGAAGGGGAACTAGAAAGCACTGCCGGATGGTCCATTCACGAGTTTGTACCTGCGCGCCTCACCTCGACCAGCACAGACCCGCTCAACGACCTCTACACCGAGAGAGTCTTGATCTCGCTGTTTGGATACAGTAACCTCATCAATGTCCAGAGGGGGGGGTTCTATCCCTCATATCAACCGACAACGGCAGACCAGCATCTATTCCAATCGCTGGGAACCGGCGTCGGTCAGATATTGTCCCAGTCATCCCTCCTGAATGATGCCTGGTACAGTGTGACACTCTTGCGGAAGGACCCGCCGCAAACAACGTTCACTACCGCCATTCAGCAACATTTTGCCCACGTCTTTGACACGGTGATTCGAAACAACCCGGAGACGATTGCCAATCTAGACTTTGATGCGCGATGCAACGAGTACTTGCGCAAAAGCACTGTGCTTCAGGTATGTCAGTGGTTTGGCACCGGCTTGAGTCACGTCTATCGGTGCCAAAAGTAACAACATTCCTTATGTCCCGCAGGCAACTCCTTGGACTACTCCTGTGAGAGGAAATGGAACTCTCTGCGTGCTCGTTGGGAAAGACCTACCCTTTGAGGCCTCAACGCATCTGGGAGATGTGAGGTTTTTATTCGGCCCGTCAAGGGCTGGATCTCTCGCCAGATCTATGTTGCTGAATCTGCTCGAGTGGGAAGGGTTGGGCAGTGCCGCCGCCCAAAGAATCCTTGATTTGCTGCGGTTCGTGGACCTATGCCCCTGGCTTGTGCTGATACTAGCACTGAAAGCAGCCGATCTCCTCAGCCAATACCTCACCACAGTGTCCCCATGGGTCACTATCGCCTTCTCGTCCCTGGTATCCCGGACACTCATGAAAGGCTTTCAATTCTTTGGGGATCTTACCGGACAACGGGCAAAAACAACCTTGTTAGAAGTCGTTGGCACCATCCACGTTACTTCGTTCGACAATCAATGGCTAGAAGATCCCACGGCCAGCGAAGCCCCTGACTCCTCCTACACGGTAGTTATCTCACACTACCACCCAGGCCGCAACAAATACGGTGAACAGCATTCCACTCTTCGCCGTGTTCTTCTTCTCACTTGGATGGCTACGTTTGTGTTGCTGGAAGAGGCCGCAAAGCTCGTTGGTGCTGATTCTCAGGAAGGCGGAACTCGGCGCCAGATTTGCCAGCGGATCAAGGCAAATACCGATGTCAGATTGGCAGCTAGCGGGTTCACGGCAGCTTTTGCGACGGCAAAGAAGGAGTTTGCGCAACGCCTAGCAGAACACGCTGCTGCAACCGTTGGAAGAGTCACACCACTCACCGAAGATGCACGCGCTCTCCGCCGTGCACGCCGTGCCCTTAACCGAGCTCTCAGTCATTCATCATTTTTCGCTGTCGGAGCACCGGGGTCGCAGGCACGCCAACAGCAACTCGAGGCAATCTATGCCAAACGCCGTCCTGAATTCGGATTGTATGTCCCCTACATCCCGAAAGAGCAGTGGATGGCATGGATGAATGGGCGCGCGGCAGGGACATCCTACATCACCGCAACAATCGGAGCTGTAGCTGCGGCGCAAGCATCTACTGCTCCTATGGACATCTTCGTTCGTTCCCTTGGCTTGGACCCTTCCTCGGCAACCCCAGTCCAGATTACGGCGGAAATGGATAAGCGTCAGATCGCCCTTCAACAAGCACGTAGCGCGTCACCGAGGTTCCAGCGAGCCCAGCAAACGCGGATGCTCACCCGGCATGGGCGGGATGCAGAGGCCGTCTTAGCCGCCTCGGAATTGCCCCTCCAGGGCCAGCAGGTCTCCTTACATCCTCGCGCAATCAGCTTCTATGGCAAAGTCGACGGCGAGAAAAGCGTGCGAATGCAAATCAACGTCGGCCAAAGCATACTCACCCGCAACCCTCGCTTGGACTTTCGCCTTGGGGGCATTGGTCTTCTTGCCGAGGACGATGGTGCTGACCTCGGGATCGTTGCATCCGTTGAGAACATGCCGTTCATGCAAGGCCATGGTCACAATCTGCTGAAGGTCTGGCAGAAGGAGCTGGAGCGCATCCTTGGCCGTCCGCTGCGTCCACATGAGCTGCCCCACCTTTCGGAAGCTGGACAACAACTGGATCCACATCTTCCTACTTGGGCCGCTCGAAGGACAAAGTATCCCATCAAGCCCGTTCTGCAAACTACCGCAATCTGGCTTTTTCGGCAATGGCTAGACAGTGCTTTCCCCGATGACGTCAATCTCCTCTACTTCCACTGGAAGGATCAAAACTTGCCCTTCACGGCCGACTTCCCTGCCTGGATCGATCAGCAGTACCCGCTGCATCCTTGGGCGAACTGGTGGAAGAATTTCATGGCCCGCACAAAGTCAACCAATGTGGCCAAAGGATGCATCACCGCTTTGCGTGGGAAAATCAAAGCGGGCCTCCAGTACCGGGTTGATGCAGATACAATGGGCCGCATCTGGGAATTCGGGGCACCTCGCGTTGATGATTTGCTTGATTGAGTGATGGCGTATGCTTTGTGTTGTCGTACGTAGGTTAGTCTGTCGTACGTAGGTTAGTCTAGTCCCCGTAGGTAGTTCCTCCACTCCCTGCAACTTGTAGTCCTTCGTCGTGCTTGTTTGAAATGTCGTTTTATTATGTCGTTTTGTTTTTTGTTCACCGTGAGGAATTTAATTCGCGGCAATGGTCTAGTGGTATGATTCCTGCTTCGGGTGCAGGAGGTCCCGAGTTCAAACCTCGGTTGCCGCCGTACAATGTTTTGTCTTTTTGTATCCCACGCATCGATATGCGATAGGCTTTTGCACACCAGGGAGGGAGGGGAGCGGCGTTCCTTGGATTAAGGCAACGTTCACGTTCACGTCCATGTTCATCCGCTAAGCCACGCAGTTCCTGATCGGAGTTCTCCGGGGTCTGACGTCTCGGAATGGAACGGCACAGAGGGAAGCTCAAGCACATTGATTTTTTTTTCCATCACGGTCAAGACGGGCGAGGGGGCCAGGGGATGAAGCAAACTGGTAGAGGACTGCAAAGATGCGGTATTTCCTGTAAGTAATCGGGGGTAGATGCCAAATTATCTGTGAGGTCCTCGGTTGCCGCGTTCCTGCATATGCCCGACACTCGGAGCTTACCCAGGAGGATATGCGTTGGTCTTTTGCACCATCGTTCAGAAACGCTCCTCGAGCATGGCAGTGGCATCCCATGGGCTAAAACACGTACCTACTCAGGAAACGACAGTCTCCTGGCGACCACACTCGACGGTGGGCTGGAGGTGAACCCGCGTCCACAGCAATCGCATTAACCTGGAATTGTACTGATCCTTACTCTGCCGATAGCTTACTCTGACTGATAGCTTACTCTGCCGATCCTTTGCCCCAAAAGGCGCAACGCCATATCAAGGGCCTGGGCTGTCCCTCGATTATCCCGTGGTGTCGATATCCTATCAACAAACGTTCCTCCACGTTCTACCCTCCGACACTCTTTCATCAACGCCGCCTCTCAAAATGGTGCTGTCTTCTCCCTTCCCAAGTTCAACCAAAGAGGGGGCGCACATAAACGAGGAAACCGGTAAGCTCCGTCAGAAGATTTCTCCTTACGTTTAACCAATTCCCGAAACAAAAGCCATTCACCTCCACGACAACCATGCCAAAACAACAGCAACAAGCAAAAGACAAAAAAGCAGCAGCCGCCACAAGCCTGGTTGCGGTACAGTACATCCTCGTACTGGTCTCCGAAGCGGCCTTGCGGATGACCGTGCCAAAACAAGATTATGAAGTGATCGAATTTCCCATCGTCGTAGGGGAAAGTCCTCTCTTGCGACATCATAGATACCGTCCGATTCCTACGTCCATCCAACGCTTCACTTTCACATCAGCCCGTTCTGTGCCGGCTTGACGGGCACCACCCACGGCCGAGGAACTCGCAAGCAAAGATACGATGGGGTGAACGAGGGTGCATAGTGACCTGCGAAGATTGGGATTTGGAGACATTTGCTCACGACACAGGCGAAGCGGGAAGAGTTGACGATGAGAGAGGCTTCTTCTGGGTAATTCTAGGTTGTAAACATGATGAATGGGGTGGGATTGGAGATTGAAGGGAAAACAACATCACTCGGGATTGGATGATTCCAAGAACTGAGCTTCCCGCGTCTGCACCACACGTCCCATCTGAACGCCTCGCGCCTCAAGCACGTCTTCCTTAGCGGCAAATGTCACACCAAACGCTCGTTCTCCTCTTCGCAGGACGATCGATCATGGCGGTGTTGTCCGATGAAACTTGAATCTCGCCCTACATGTTGGTCCAGCTCTTCGTACCCCAGGAAACCGAGATTTCGCGAAAGTGGACTCCGCTTCGACAACGCCTCGTTGCAGAGCCCTTTTCGGACTCACACGCATACATACGCGAAAGAATACAAGCGCATACCCACATTACCGGCACCTCACACGCCGCCGCGGCCGTATGTTTCCAACCGACCATGTTCATATAGGATATGGGCGTCGGACCCCTTGTATGCCCATCCGTGAAAAATGTTGTCGGCATGTTAGTATTGTCCGAAATGTCCGAGACGCAAGACGTGTCCAATGACGCGTTCAAACACTGAACGCGTGTGCGCTCGGCGCGTTTGCCAATGTCTTCCTGCCTACCTGATACGTTTTTTTTTCTTCTGTAAGAGGTTTCAATTTCACAGCGAGCGAAGCGAGTGCTCCAGGCTAGTGGCTGTTTACATACGCACACAACGCAGCCGTGGGGACTCCTTCCACTACTCATTTGCCATGTGCTTATTTCGAGTCTGATAAAGCGTTTGCATAATCGTACCTGCTGTCCATCGCACTCGATGACACCCGTACAGACGCCGATGGGGGCCCACCTATCCAGACATCACAACAGAGTGCTGGAGGGCCCTACCTAGCGTTTGCATTCCACTGCACGAGCTTGGATCAAAATGAGATTAATAACCGTGAAGGAGATCCTTGCGACCTCATTGTGTAGTGGTGCTTTTGGGGGCATGCATGCGCACACATACGCGGACCGCAAGCACGTGCCTCCCATCAGCGCCCAAATCTCGCAGGGCACCCCGCCCGCCTCCTATATGCCAATCGAGCCCGCCCCCATGTTCTCAAAAGAACCTTCACAGGGCGCCAGAGTGAACGTTGTCCCACATATCCGGAATGTCCCAAATTCCCCTGTCCGATAACGCGTGAAGGTACCACGCGCGCGATCGAGACGTTTTCCACTTTTCTTTTGGGGGGCAGCAACGTTGTGTCCCGCAAGCGCATAACGCCACTGCATGGGGCTTCGTCGTCGGCCCACGCTGCGGCGGACTACTGCTACCACCCATGCGGCGCCTATGGGAGCGTGCCGACAGCCGGCAACTCACAGTCCATCGAGGTCCTTCGATGCTAACGTGGTTTCGGTGGAACTGGACCTCCGGCGTCTCTGATGCTACTGAAGGGGGAGCCTGATCCATTCGAGGGCAGGGACACGCAGGCTGATGAATATCGGCGCTTTTTGCAAGTTTCAACAAACGCCCGGCAATCGTGCCAGGTGCCTACAAGCGAAAAGCACCGCCCACGGACACCGTCTCCGCGAAAGATGAAAGATGTCCCCATTCCGGGATCCCAGAAGCGAGGCGGGTGTCGTTACGGCTCCTCCGTCTCTCCTCCGCCTGCACGACCGGGGTAGGTTTCGGTGGTTTGCCAGAGTGCTCAGATCCATCCCCTTCCCCTACCCCCGCCATGACGCGGTGGGTTTGCTTTGCTGTGGGGGCCTGTTTGGTGGACGCGGAACGGGTCGCGGGCTCCCTTTTATCGGGGGTGCGGTTTCCGAACACCCCTCCTTTTAAGGCAGGTCAAGAATAAGTACTGTATGCTTTCCTACCGGTCCGTGTATACACCGTTGCGAGGGATAAACGAAATTCCAGACTCGGTCCATTTCTGTTCGGGATGTTGAATCACCCCGTGGCAGTTTCGCGGTTCGCGTTCCGGGTGTGGATGCGATGCAGATGATTTACGGGCGGGGGGAGGGGGGCATGCTCATTGCTCTTGATGTTTTGTACTCAGGCCCAGCGAAACGTTGGGATTCCGTGCGCTGGGCATTTGTTGTTGTGGAATGATGAGGTCTGGCCAGGTTCGGAGGGTCCGACGATCCTGCAAGCTTTGACTCGTTCGACAACCACACGCACGCTGTCGAACTCGGCGGCGTCCACTCTCGTGCTTCTGAACACGTTTCCCCCTCGATTGGCTGCCGATGCCGGCAGTCCACGATAGCCACGACTCCCCAACCACACCTCCGTTGGTGCCCTTACCAGTTACCAGATCAACCCTGCAAGTTCATCATCCGCGGATGTAATAAGCCTACGGATGCACGCACAACGGCCAAAACCGGCCGCCTGTATCACCCACCTTCTGCCACTTTCATTTCCGCGACAAGCCCTGATGAGTGCGACGTTGGTGTCGTGTCGTGGTTGATGTCTCGTCTCTTGCCAGAATGACGGCAGAAGAAACAACTGTCGATTTCCTCGCGGTCGCACCGAGCTCCGGCGGTTCCCTCATACAACAGTTTGCGGCCTCCACTGCTTTTCGGGTCGTCTGGAGATATGAGCACATGTATCCAGGTGGTCCACAAACCTGGCCCAGAATTATGGCCACAAAGGAAAGGAGCGCAATCGCGTCGCGTCACGAGGGCGCTTTTTTGAACGTCGCACAAGCCGCTTTGATAACGTTCCTCGCCGATTGGGACGTCTGGAAGGCGGTAACGAGGGACCGAGCACCGGGTGAGAAGGAGGTGTGGGACTGCGTTTTGGGAGACTGCGAGCGTCTTTTCCCAGAGGCGAAAGAGAGTCGGGAGAGAGACAAGGCGTGTGCATACTGTATATGTATGTCGAGGCAGAAGAAGCATACCTTCCCTCCTTCACAAGTATGGCGGGCAAATATCCCTCGTATCCGCATGTCTGTGTTGGCTGTCATCATGCTCCTGTTCTGCGTTGGGGTTCCCGAGCCGTGTGCATCGGAAACGAACCTTGAGACACGGCGTTACCCATGTGGACACGTCTGTCGCCCCCTACGCGTTACTGATGCGTTCTGTACTGTACCTACTACTGACGAGTTTCGTACCGTTGTCCATGTGGTCCAAACCTCTACTCCGCGGGCATTGCTCTACTCTACATATCTATGACCGAAGCGATATTTCAGATTTCTGAGAGTGTGTCGGAGGTGGTAATTCTCGCACACCAAGTGACAGTAACGCTGCCCACTTTGGGAATTTCGGAGAGACGGAAGGGAGTTCCTGCCTCGCACAAAGTACATAGCGGTGGGCTCGGGAGACGAGCCAAGGCCCTTTACGACCGTCCGAAGTTGATGCAGCTCTCATTTCCGAATCAAGGCTGCTTGCCATTGTGTGAACAAGGTTCCGACCACCCACCAGTTTACTCGCGCGATCGACAATCAAATCAAAGAGTGGGCGCTACATCACATCACGCATACGACAGTACGGCAACACCCAGCCGGTAAAAGCAAGTCTGGACGTCAACGCCCCACGATCGCCAACCGGCAGAAGTGACGCCGGAGGATAGACACTCTGTGGTCGAGTCCCTTGCCCATTTGCAGGAGTAGTACACCTCCGGAAAGCCCGGCAAAAGTTCCAGACGAAAGGGATTTGCATCATCAGGCTCTCAATCCACGCAGTTCCGCCACGGCTTACGGCTCGTCGTTGAGCCTATCTATCGTGGTTTTTTTTTCACTCTGTTGCTGGGAGAGAGGAGAGACATATACGGCGGTCATCATCGCGTACGCAGCTGGGAGAGTATTCTTGTCTGAATACGTAGTAGGACGTAGTAGTAGTCTGTGTGTGTGTTATAGGACCCCACATCTTTTGCACTCTGAGAGAGAGCGAACCGACGGATTGGCGCGCCGCTCTCTTTGGCCCCTTGCGCTTCTTGCTCTTCTTGCTACAGACAGGCAGACAGAACAGACACAAGATAAAGGTGCCCAGGCTTCATCCCGCTCAACGACAACAACACCCACCACCCACCCACCTTGATCGAGGGCGCTGCACTCTTCCTTCTTTGCGCCGGTAGTGGTTCGCCACACTCTCCTTCCCTGTCTTGCTTGCGTCTTGTGGCTTTTTCCTCGCTTCTGTCGTCGTACAGCACTCGCACAGCACACTCTCACACCCCTCTCCTCCTCAACGCACACAACCACCACAACATCCCACTGGTACAAGGGGGGTACGAAGCCGCTCTTCGAAGTTTACGCCCGCCCGCCCCCAGTGTTCCGTTCCGGCCGCAAACTCAGCTGCAGTACCGGCGAAAGCGTGTAGGGCGAGCGAGAGAGAAAAGAGATAATAAGAAGCAACCATGGACTTGTCGGCGGCGGCGCTGCAGCACGCTTTTCACCAGCAGCAACTGCAATTGCACCACCACCACCACCACCACCACCAACAGCAACAGCAACAGCAGCAGCAACAGCAGCAACAATACCCGCCACCCCCGCCACACCTCCAGTCCCAGCATTCTCAGCAGCATTCTCAGCAACCGGAGCAACAGCAGCAGCAGCAGCCATTCCATCCCATGCTCGCCGAACACCCACACCCGCACACCCACCATCACCCCCAACCCCCCTACGCCGCAACCCCCACCGGGCGAATCGGCCCGGGCTCCCTCGGCAACCTACACATTCAACTCCCCTCCCAACAACAATCCTTCCAAACCCCGCACCACCTCGTCACGACCCCCACAACCCCGCTCACCTCGCCCCTCCCCTACCACTATGCCGCCGCCAGCGCAGGCGCAATCCCGCACCATGAGGACTTTGAATACTCCCTCGACATGCAGCCGCCACCGGCCAAACGCCGCTTCTCCGTCGACGTGTTGAGGGATCGGCGGCTGTCCACTTCCTCGACGGCGAGCAACTCGTCGTTGGTGGCGGGCGCGGCCGCGGCGATGGCGGCGGCGACGTTGAGCCCGTCCGTGCCGGGGATGAGTGCCGCGCAACAGGCGGCCGCGTATGGTTATTTTGGGATGAACCCGCATGGGATGGATATGGCGCAGCAGCAACAGACGCAAGCACAGCAACAGCAGCAGCAGCAGCAGCAGCAGCAGCAGCAGCAACAGCAACAGCAGTTTGCCTTTGGGCATTTTGCGAATACGTCGGCGTCGACGTTGGGGTTTTTGCCGGAGGAGGATGAGAATGAAGCCAATGCTGCTGCGCAGGGACTTGGTGGGTTGGGGGTGGGGCATCAGAGTCAAACGTAAGTACCGCCGCTGGCCTCAGTGTGAGAGTTTTAGAATCTACTCTTCGTACCGAATGTTTAAGCTCAATGCGCGCTCTCTCCATTTGCAATCTAGTGACCTGTCTATGACGATCGTTCCAGACGGTTTGGCCACACCTCCAGCAGGCGGGTTACCACCCACAAACTCGGACTCAGCCCGGCGAGGTTCCCAGGCTTCCATCACGGTAGCGACGCCACCAGCCACCGACAGCAACGCCTCAACGCCGGCCACGGCCCCACCAGCGAGCGGGGGCCCACGACCCGGCCACGTCTCCAAGAAGCGAGCCCGCGCTACCCCAGAACAACTGGCCATCCTCGAAGAAACTTTCAAAACCCATCCGTCGCCCAACGCCCACCTGCGCGAACTGCTCTCGCATAAAGTGCAAATGAGCGAGCGGTCCGTGCAGATCTGGTTCCAGAACCGGCGAGCGAAGGTAAAGTTGATGGCGAAGAAGAAGGCCGCGGACACGTCGGCGGACCCAAACAACATCGACATCGATACCTCGGTCTTGCCCTCCGCGGATAACATCAACATGCACCACCACTCATCGGTGTCCCCGGTCCACCCCAATGCGTCAAAGGCCTACACAATGGCACAGCAACACGCCCTGATGGCCAATTCGAATGGAGCCAACGCGTTCGTGTTTGGAGCCAAGCCCGGGTTGTTCAGGTCGCATAGTATCGACTATTCCGCCCTCCCGCATTCGGGCGCGCTCACACCCGATAATGGGTACAAGTCCACGAACGGGATGGACCTTACCGGGTTCAACGCTGCGGAACTCAATTTGAACGGCACCACAACCACCACCACTAACCTATTCGACACCCTCCTCCCCGACACCCAATCAGTAAACGGCCTAACAACCTCCCCAACCTCCTCCCTCCCCTCCTCCCCCTGGAAGCAACCGCAACCCCCCAGCGCAAAGCGCGCAACTACCCGCCTAACAGCCGACTCCCTCACAATCGGCACCTGGCGCCGCGTCCCCATCGCCTCGGACGACCTGATCGTCACCGTGCACCTCACACCCACCGACCCGAGCCTAGCAGGCATGCCCAACCTCCCCGTCAACGGCGCCCGCATGGTCGTGTACACCATTGCGGAGGGCGCGGCGCGGTTCAGGATTGTCGTCCCGCTCACGCACATCATGGCTGCGTGGTATGAGCAAGTGGATGCGAGCACGGCGCAGATGAATCTGGATCTGTTGATGCCCCCGACGTTCTATATGGTCTGTAATGCGCCGGGGCAGGCTGGGACTGCAACACCCGCTGCTGCGTCGAGTACTACGGATGCCCCAACGACGACGGAACCCAAATCGGAGGACGAGCCAGCGGATACACTGGCCGTGAAACCGGCCGCTGACTCGAGCAGAAGTGCGTCCGCGTCCCCCGTCGACCCCGCCGCAATCCCCTCCAACACCTCCTCCTCCACCCAACCCTCCCCTGTCTCCGCCCCTGCCCCCGCACCCCCAACAACAACATCCACAACCCCAACCCCCACCCCCACACCCCCCCAATGGACCCAATGCCGCGATTTCACCGAATCAACCCAAGCCACCCACATCCTCCGCCACGTCATCCGCGGCCCCTCAGCTTCACTCTTAGCTGAATGGGCAGCTATCCGCAACATGGACCCCCACATCAACGCCGTCACACGGTTCCCGACCACCAACAACAACACCGCGGCGATGACGCTTGTGGGAATGACGCTACCGGTCCACCCAACGGCACCGCTGAGGAACCGACGGCCGAGTTACAACCCTAACCGCCGACCATCATTCTATCGCGCGAATACGTACCACCCACATATGCAGCAGCAAACACAGCAGATGAGCAACGCGGCGGCGTCGGCGTACATGGCCTCGTCGGGACTGGGCGGCGGCGCGCGCAGCCCGGGGTATGAGCAGCCGATGGTGGGGAACGCGGGCGCGATGTTGATGATGAAGAACGCGGGGATGTACGCGGGTGCGGGTGCGGGCGGGGTCAACAACCCCCACGGCAATCATGTGGGCAACATGATGTTGAATATGAACTCGGCGAGGAGGCATTCGACACCGGCCCTGTCGCAGTACCCGCATCCTGCGGCGAGTCCGTACCAGGGGCAGCAGGCTGGGTTTGTCGGGCATGCTGAGATGTATGGGGGGTATGCGAATGGGGCTTATGGTGTCGGTGGAGTTGTGCAGCAGCAGCACCAGCAGCAGCAGCAGCAGCAGCAGCAGCAGCCGAGACACCCGTTGGCGCAGCAGACGTTCGAGAGTCCGGAGGAGGAGGGTGGGGAGCCGGGGAGGTTTGAGTTCACCAACAATGCTATGGGGGACGATCCGAACGCGGGTGGACAACAAGCACAAACGCAGGAAATGAATTTGAATGATTTCATCACCATGGACACCCACAACCTGAGTGGGTCCGCCACGAACATCCCTGGAACACGGGAGTATGCCGACGTCTTGGCGGAATTCACCAACGCGCATGACGGGACGAGTTTCAATGGGTTGGCGAACGATGGCAAGGCGATGATGGGGTTTGCGGCCCCCGGGATGCAGAGCATGGGCATGGACGCCCAGCAGTCGTTGCAGCAGACGACGACGATGGAGGATGCGTTTATCAGTGCTATTACGCATGTTGAGGAGGATTTGGCTATGTGAATGTGTTATTTTGCATTCATGGAGCCCGATGCGGGGTGTTGACGCCCCGCTTCCTACTTCATCGACCATATCAAGCTTTTTGGACCCCGACTTAATCAGCGTCGCCTTGAAATCCCCCCATCGCACATCGTCGACTTGATCAGCGTCGCCTCTCTCCGTTCGCACTCGCATTTCACCCGCCACTCGACTCGACGAGATGGGCACTCACTGGGGCTCCCCGATGGAGCCCTCGTTTTTTTGGGGTTTCTCTCCTTCATGCATGTCCCGCATTTCCCACACCACACCGTCACGCTGTCACCTTTTGCATTTGCATTTCCACGCCCCACGCTGTACAGCATATGTATCCACCCTTCACACGCACGCACAATTCATCTTTTCGACACTCCACCCCCTTTCACGCCATCACACACTTTCGATTCAACATTCATCTGTGTCTTATCAACCACCATCGACACACTCGCACACCTCCCCCCGAACCCCCTTTCAGTACCCCCACCGCCATTTCAGTAGTACCCTTGGTTCCGCCCCCACCCCCGGGACGTTTCTTTCGCCGATCCTTTCCCCACCCCTTTTCGGCTCCCCCTTATCCGCACCGCAACAAAACAAACGGTTTCGGGGCAATTCATGAGAACATCTGTTTAGTTTCCCCCCCATCTTTTTTTTTTTTCCATTCGCGCGGCGTCGACGCCTACCCTGTTCTTTTCATGCATTTGACTTGCAACACTTTTCTTTCTTTCGACGTTTTCTTTTTTTTTTTCTCTTTCTTAATTTTTCCCCCCTTTTGTCGCTTCCATGTACATCAATTACTCACAAGACGAATATTGAATATGAAAATAATCTGACCGAAGGTTTTGGGGATGCGCTGTTGTACTGTAGCACGGAGAAACAGGACTGACGACTGATACGCCTGGCCCGGTCCATGGTTCGCCGCTGTCCGGAGAGTGGATTCATGCATATGGACGCAAACGTGAGATGCGTTTTCCAAAGTGACAAAGCATTGACGGCATGGCATATACGGCAGATACGTTTTCCAAAGTGTTCGTTGCGCAAATCGGCACACACATATGCAGCAAAACGTTGTGACAGCAGGACTCGAGAAAAAGCGAAAAAAGAGTGACGAGAGTGGGATTTGAACCCACGCCTCCGGAGAGATCAGGGCCTTAACCTGACGCCTTAGACCAACTCGGCCATCTCGCCTTGATGAATGCAAGGTGTCTGGCAAGAAACACATATTATATAAGTAGCACTAAGATGACCCTCGCAATACCTGTCCCGGCTAATGCAATGGTTGTCGATGAGGTTGTGGTACCTGTTGCGATGGAGGAGGTCAGCGTTGGTGGTGGTTGCGAACACCGGGAGTGGCAGATGTGCGGGTTGCAGCCCGCAATACGCCGCTTGCTGTGGAGACGTACGTCCTTCTTCTACCACTGTTCACCGGTTAATAATCTACCACAAACTAACTTTTCTAGTTCCCTCTAATGTGAAACAGGTGGAACAGGCCCAGCAATGGCAGGAACAGCACAACCAGTATCAGGCACAGTTCCACCAGCAATAGCAGTGGCCTTCACAGCAACAGTAGGCGAGCGGGGAATGGGATTATGGATGGTTGCAACGCAAAATATCGACATCAGTACACGCAACACGACTGTGGCGATCTTCGCAACAACTATTGCGAAGACAGCAATGAGGGAGCTGGACGTTCGGATATGTTCTACTACGCTTGCGCTCCAGCAAATCTTTGTGCACGAGCGGTATGCGGAACCAATGAGGAGGGGAGTGACTGGAAGTAGGAATGGGACGCGCAATGGGGATGGGAATGGAAGTTTCAATGGGCATGGTGGGAATGGGGCCGACGGGAGGGGCAGGACGGCGGCCACCTTGCTATGCCGTGACATTGCAAAGGGAAGACAGATCCAAAAAACACGGCAGACTGGACCTGCGCCTGGCAAATTGTGTACCGTGGGAAGGGGATGTATGGGCAGTCACCGCCGTCGACCGCCTGACAACAGCACTACTACCGGCAACAGCAGTCGTATGGGCAGTCTGACATGCCGGCATCTGTATCCGAGAGAGCGTAAGAACGCAGCAACATTAACTGCAACATGCCCACATGTATACGCAGACGCAGACCCCGTACTTTTTCGCCTCCTCATCACCGCCTTCGCGCACTCCGCGACTCCAACATATGAAGGATGCGAAAATTCTCGTGAAACGGGTCCGGCTTGCGGTCGCAGGCGAACATCAAGTGACAGGAACGCTAGCAAGAACAACCCCGCCACGGCCCTACCGCTCCTCCTCCTACGAACCCGCCATTGTTGTTCCCGTACACTTACCCTCCCCATCCGTTCCCACACAATTCCATTTCGCACAACCACGCTTATCGAATGAGAGCGTCACCCGAAGACCCGTAGAAGGCATGTGCTCTTGTGGGAAGCAATCACAAACAACGAGCTGTGGCGACGACGGCTGATATCACCGGAAAAACCAGCTGTGCGAGCAAAGGCCTTGTTGGGGCTCTCGGGAGCATCGAGGCATTTGCTCGCACGGTCGGTAGGCGGCGTATCTGCGATTCAGCGCGGCGGGTGGGACGGTGTCCGGGCAGGCCGACAGGATGCCGTACAACACACGCGCATTGAAGTACACGCAATAAACGATCGGAGCTCTATGCGGAAGAAAAGTCTCGGCGACAGTCCGCAGACTTACCGTGGCTCATATTGTTACCATCCGGATGCAGGAGCGGATGGCTTGCGTCTAGACCTTCTGGATAGATTGGGCCCACAACCAGCCCGCGGTACACCCACCGTCGTATTGCACTTCACCATCAAGAGAATGATCCAGTTATGTTAGAGAACGGAGAGCTTTTGATCAATCAGCAAGTGTGGAGTGGGGTCGGAGTGTACACTGCCTCGGAGATTCTCTGTCGTGCAGGTAAGGGTCTTTTGTACTAGTCTTTCTGATGAAAGCTTATTGTCTTTGAAATAGGTATTGATCCGCACTATCCTGCCAAGCTTGTCTACAAGTCCGAAACATTATTGGACAGGCTTGTTGGGGCGTTCAAGGACCACGCATTGCAGCCACCTCTTCTACCTGCTCGTGGATACGGGGATAGCGGGCGTTCCTAGCCTTGACTGATGGACGCCACGCCACGTGCGTGGTCAGCGCGGACTCCTTGCGCATATTCGCCGTGCTCGTCGGCTGCATCTGTCCCAGCACCACCACGCCTTCCGTCATGAACTTACTAAGGCGGCGAATGGTGAGCGGCAAAGCGAGATCTTGGCCACCGCGGCACGAATGAGGAATTGTACAAGAGCATGCGGAACCGTCGTAACCCTGAACATTGCCGCGAGACGGTCGCGTCCGGATAACCGCAAACCTAGCAAGGCGCGGTGGGAACCACTCGGGGACGACTTCTGTGAGGAAACATATATGGCAGATTGGCCGCACCTTGCACTTCGTTTCTCCCGTACCGCTCTGCATACGAAACAAAGGGCCCGATCCGCATTTGCGAGCCATCATCCGCGTATTCCCTCGCGCGGACCCGGTTTCCGATGCGTCGAAATCCAAAGGCGGCGATATCGGCCCTGCAGCGTCTACCGATGGAGAGCCGAGACACCAAGTGCGAAGGCATCAGCGGTAAACGAGGATGATGTTCTCGAGATTAGGCTCGCCGGACTGAATCACGACCATTACCAGTGGAGTTCCAGCGGCACATCACTGTATGTCTCTCTCCGTTCACGAACCGTCGACAAGGACCTTAGGTGATCAATCGACTAGCGTGGGAGGGCTTAGACTCCGAAACGATCGAAACTCCCACGATGGCATGCGTCTGGAACGGAGGGACGTTGATGGTGTCCCTTGGGTGTTGAAAGAGAACATTCAGATCACCGGAAACTATACCCTTACTCGACTCCGCGACATCAAAGAACCGGGGCAGCGGAGTACCACCAGCGTTGCCGTAGCCTCCATATCCACCTATCGCGTTTCCCGGACGCGTCGGGTCCACCAGAGCGAAGGCCCCAGCTGCTGCTGTTGTTAGCCTAGCAAGTCCCCTGCGGCGGCGTGTGGTATTGTTGACTAGCGTCGCTGGCGGTTCCTGGCGATGCATGACCCCATGCATGACCCCACAGGGTCGGCATCGATGCCGCTGCTGCGATTGGAAGAGTGGTTTCCTTAGGCATTGACGGCATTCATTCACGTATCGTCATGAGGCCGACGAGGCCTCCGATCTGACAGGAAGCGTCACAGTCAACAGCGTACGAATGAAGATGGTAGTAATGCCCTCAGAACTATCATTACACGAATGAATCATCGGTGTCTTCGCATCATCGTTGGGGGGAAGGAGGGGGTTGTTGGACTGTTTTCGGCGTCGTCTCGTAGTCTCGTCGTCGTCGAGACAGAGCGTGGGTTGAGTGTGGGAAAAAACTGTAAGTACTGACGCCCTGTCGATTCTAGTTGATACGGCAGCTATTCGTGTCATTTATCGGTGATGCGGACATCCTTACCAAGACGCTCGAATGTTTCGTAGTCTTTTGCTGGTATTCAAACGGGAATCTGGCAAAACCTGGCAAAACCTGGCATAGGAGCAACTTTCTGGGGGTTCGTCGCGCGATACGACAAAACGGTCCTATGGCAGATGGCCCAAAACAAACTCTGTACGGGCGAGGATAGATTCGAACGGACATTCAATGCAGTCAGCCGCCTCTACGTGAGTGCGCACGAAGAAATCTCGAAATTGCTGAAGGAAGAATGGGAGAACATTGGATTGGAATCCTTGTTTTTCACCCAGGGCACTTTGTCCACTGTGGTGCCATTCGAGGTCGTGCGCTCGACTCTGTTCAAAACGTCTACGAGGATCGATGACGTCGAGCGAGTTTGGATGCAGATGGGGTCGATCAAGCTGAAAGACATTGCTAAGATCCGCGAATGTCTTGCGAAGAATCACCCGGAACCTACCCCGCCTGTTCGCACGCCCGCATTGCTGCCCGCATTGCTGCGGTTTTGCTCATTTTGTATCATTGCGAAAATGACCTTCAAATTTGAGAACGAATCCCAGAGGCATAAATATCGGTGGAAAGTAGAATGGGGGGATGCATAGAAGTCTTCAATTCACACGAGGGAGACGTAGCTATGTTTCCCGGGGCATTAATGTGTTTTTGGATAGATAGATTCGTTGAACGTTTCGGCTTTAAACAACGTGCAAGTGATCCGAATCCATTCGCAAAACTCCCCGATTCCGCCAAACCTGAGCTCTAAGCTGCAGAAAGAGGGGTTTGCAATTGCGGGCGGGTGGGGGGCCAACCTCGCATACCGATAATATTTAGCATCGCCGGTTATGCGGTGGCGCGAGCGATGACCGAGCCTTTTGTGTAAAAGAGTGGAAAACGCGTCAAGCACGCGTTGGCTGTTTGCACGCGTTTTTCGGACATTTCGGACGATAGCCAAAGACCATTCTTCGAGGATGGCGTACATATACGGTGGGTTCCCCATGCCCGATTTTCTTCGGAGGGAGGATCAGTTGGTTCGTATGCCGGCGTGGGGTGTACGTGCGTCGACGGAACTGTGAGCTTGCATACACGTGCGCGTCGGCAAGCGCTGTGGATTTACTGGACTCCTGCTCGGTGAAACCTCCGCCCACCCACCGTGATTGGACAGACCGGCCCCGGGAGAATGGGCTAGTATGGTGGGGCAGGATGTCTGAGGAGGATGTATTAGGAGAGATGTTGAGAGGTGTATCAACACAGCGGTTCCGTTTGTTTTGAGGCATGGTAGTGGACACGCCTGCCGTACCTCAAATACCTTTCACCCACCTTCCCCACCATCCATGCCTTCTACCTTCCACCACCGGCTACCCAACGCCCCCCACCGCCGCCACCGACTACCATATCCTCCATCGCTATCTCCCTCCTGCCTCCGCGTATTCCCTCACCCTCACTGCCGTTCGTTTGCGTTGGGTTTCGCGAAAAAGTAAGGCAAAGTGGCGCCCGTCGTCGCTCAGTCTGAAGAAGTCCGCCTGCCGCAGCGGCATGAACTGCTCCAATAGTCGGAGCGCCACGGTCAGCTTGAGATACGGATGGCTGATACCGCCTCTATGTATGATGACTTGAATGGGTACCTGGCGAGTCACAAGGCGGATGACTTCCAAGTTTTCCCACCACAACACTGGCCAGTTGCTCAACTTATTGACTTGCTTTACGACCAAAGCCATGCCTTTAGGTGGAACGGTTTCTCGAGCGGCAATGGCCATATGGTGCACGAGCGTCAGAAAGCTTGGCTGGAGGTAGCCATCGATCTTGTTCAGATATAGCTGGTTGAGCAGATCGTGGTGAGCCGCTGCGTAGCACTGATAAGCTTGTGGTGAAATCTCCTCCCGAGGTGCAGGTGCCCTTGAACCACCGGATGTAGGGATGGCAACAAGGGAAACCTGTTCCATGTGAGGAACCTAACATCATCCGTCCAGTAGTCCATGGGCCCATGGCCAACGCATCGTGTAGCTCTGGTTGTGTCCTCTTTCCAGGTGGACCTTTTCAATCAACCCTCGGCTTCTTCCGCGCGGGGATGGGATCAGTCGAATCAACGCCGGTATCGACTTGTCGGTTCCCTTTCTTGGTCAAGTAGCAGTTCCGCTCCGGGGAATCGTTGACCTCAGCGTTGACCAGTTCAGTCAGTCGCTTCCGTTTCTCCAATTCGTCCTCCTGAGAATAGATTATATTCACAACCAGGAGTTGCATTATCATCCAATTCCAGTTAGTATATTGGCTAGTATCTCCGCCTGTCACGCGGAAGAGCCGGGTTCGATTCCCGGACTGGAAGCACTTCTTTTTACCTTTCTTTTTTTGGTTTTCCTCAAACCTTTTTGGTTTCAACCAGATTCGCCTTTTTCACCAAAAGCTCTCAGGAACATTATGCGGACGACCGCAATACTTGGATTCGCAATGTCCTGGTCTTTACCGAGCAAATAGGTAGCTCTCCCAAGGTTGACACAGAGGGAGATACCCGTTTGCGACTTTTCTCTCTTTTATTGTTTCGCTTATGAGCAGTGGTAGCATAAATGTTTCAGCAATGGTGGATATGCATCGACGGCTCTTTACTTGACAGGGATGACTCTAGGTGGGAGGGGAACCTGTTTGAATGGTATCTGGTGGCGCTCCTCATGCTTGCATGCTATGTAGTGGCGCTCCCCATGAACATTCGAGCCTGTGCGAGCAGCTTGGACGGCGTTGAATGCCATTTGGCGGGATGGCATACCCAGCTGATCCCTGGTGTAAGTGCAACTGCCGCTCGACACTTCTCCAACCGTTTGAAGCATTCGCAAACCGTCCCCACCTCCAAAGTGAAAACAAAGTCACCCACAGTCGGCAATCGCGGTGATCCCAGCTTCACGAAACCCGCATAGTCAAGCTGCAATCACTGTGTCGATGTGTTTGGAAAGGGGATTGGGCGCGAGCGGGCACGCGCACCCGTCTGGGGTTCTCACACCTGGAAGCGCAGGAGGGGGCGCGCGTGGAGTTCCAAGTGGGGGTCCTGGCAGATACGCGAGTGAGGTGTTAGTGTCGGCTTCCCACATTTAGATGCATCCGTAATTTAGGCATCTGTGGCAATGTCGGATCTTCTCCCAGATTGTTCCTATATCCAATGTCGAACAGATCCGGGCTCTCAAGTTTTTATTCACATGCTCCGTTCTTTGTGCTCCTCGGGTCTCTTTGATGTCGGCCCGCAACTCCCGAATCTCTCATTCTGGATGCTCGTCTGCCACCCTCCGTTCCACGATGTAGACGGAACCACCGGCAGAGCTCCCCTCTCCACAAAAACGCAACGGACTTTTCCTGCCCCTCCTTCGCATCTTCGGACTGTCCTTACATCCCCCCGTATCCTCTGTTTCTGAACCCTCGCACTTGCGCTTGGGAGAATCGCTTGGCTTGAATGGACGACAGCTCTCGGGCTGCACGTGACCGGGCCTCTCAGATTAAAAACCAGTGGCTACAAGTCGAAGCACGTGGCTTGCAAAACAGTTGTTTGCGTGTTCTCATCGTGACCGTGTTTTAATCTCTCCGCTTGTCAAAACGCGCGATGAGTGACTCGTCCGATTGAATGCATACAGGGCTTGTCCGAGTGTGGGGTAGGAGAAGGAAAAGATCAGGCAACAAACGCGTCATCCCTGTCTGCCTTTTGTTTTAGCGATCCTAATCTGTCAGAGTCGCATCTCCCTCGTAAAATCCTAATCTTCGCCCATCAACGCTTTGAGATGGATCGACATGCCTCGTAACCCCCAATACGCAGCCATGACAGCGATCGTCCTGACAAGCCCTCATCAGAGTCATCACACTGTACTGTACAGTGAACGCAGGGCTTCGTCCCATATCGATGAGAAATGAAGACGCAGACGATGACAGAAATGTGATGTGCGTGTGCGTTATATGGACAGCGAGAGACGGGCCCAGACCGATGTCGATTTCACGCGCGCAGAGCGATCGGAACTCTCCAGTCTCCCAGTCGTATCCATACGAGGAGGGATCGGCAGCGGACTTTCTGATGTCTTCAAGATCTGGTTGTGTCTCTTTCTTTCTCCGAGGTTTCTAAACATTTCCAGTTGAGAATGTGGTGGGTGATCTGGTTAGACTGACTGTCGCCTTGTGGTTGGGGACGAACGTCAAACCGGTCTCAACGTGACCAGTGGCCCCCAGAGAGGATCCCGTCGGGGTCCCATAGATGGAAAACAGACGAGACGCTTGGGTTGAGTACATACAGTACATAGGAGAGCAAGTCCGATCGTCTCGCCCTCGCTGACCTTCGAAGGACATTCGAGCTTTGAAGTTTTGACAATTGACGCTCGGCTGCCTCGGTCGCCACAGCAACCAGAACTTTCGCTCTATCATATCATAAAAAAAGGTAAGAGAGAGAGAATGACAGCTGGGGAAAAACGTTGCGAGCGCCCAAATCCTCCGCGCGCCGCACCGGTAGCGGAGTGTCAGTCGGGTTTCCCCACTCTGGCCAAAAGAAGGGACGGAAGGGACGAGGGAGCACAAACCATGTGCGTTCATCGGAGTTGCCGATGAGACATCCGATATTGCTTTCTCCATCGACGACGAAGGGGACTCTGCATGCATGGGAAGGGCAGGGCATTCTACTCCACAAACCGTCTGTTCTGTTCCCGGGGCTCCCCGACCGCCAACGAGAGCCTCCTATTTTTAGACAGAGCCCCACCACTCCCCGTCTCGATCAACGCTCCGTTCAATAATCCCCGTATTGTTGCTGACAGGCGCCGTCCGTCGTTGTTCTGTTTTAAGCGCAGCCTAGTTACATCCACTGCTCGCACGCCGCGGAGGACGAAGGTCTCGTGCGCTGAACAGCCAGGGAAGGGAACAGGGAGACGACCGAGCGCTTCCAGAATAAGCAACTCCCAACCCCCAACCCACCACCACCATCGCTCAGAATCATTGCCCCCGTCCATCCCCGCCTTCCAACCTGTCCCAACAATACGAACACGCCCACCGTCCGGTTTCCCGGCCCAACGACACCCGCAGCGCCCATCACTTCGCAGTTACTTTTTTTACTCGCACCCTCGCAACGGGCAACATACCTGCATACCACACACACACCGACCACTGACAACAAAAACGTGCACCCACCCACCCTTGTTCCGCACTCCCGATACAGTATTACTCACAAGAGTCACAGCTCAGGAATCTCGTAAAAACTGTTTCACTCGACAGTTTTCCGACGACGTCACTGTCCACTTTATTGGGAATAACAAAGGAGCGGTGTTTGTGGGGTATATATCCTACCCACCACACTGTTTGCCGACCGACGGGCGGTGGAAAGAAAGACGTTCTTGCAATTCTGTTGACACTTCGAACGAAATTCGGCATCTGTTGACATTCCGGCTGCACTTCCCATACACTGAGAACGTTGACAGACGGCGATATCCGTATTCAACGACCTCCATCAAAGTTTCTATCGATTTTTCCACACCTCACTTACACTGAAATATGACCGTTGTTTCCATACACTCACCAAGTCTCCACCACTCGAGCTCCCGGTCGGCACTGGGGGAACGCAAGCAGATGCGCTACGGCCGCGGGTTGTCAGATCAGGGCCCAAGAGCCGCCGGCGGTGGTGCGCAACACAATCCACCTGCTGATGGGTACTTTGCGGCGGGGTATAGATCGGTGCATCGGTTTGGAGGGAACGAGCCGCCACATTGCTCGAGGATCGATTCGGGGTATTGCAGCGACGGTGGGAAGCGATGTGGTAGCCCCACGACGACAACGCCAACGAAGGCAACACCGTGTAGATGTGGGAATGCGGTGAATGTAGGGCCGAAGGGCAGCGGCGTAGACCCATACCGGATCAAAGTTGTCTCGTCACCCCTGGCGATTGAGACAGACCCTTCAACGCTCAACAAGATGCACTCTCAATCCGCGCCCGACTTCTCCTCCCCTCTCTCCTCAACCACACGTCTGCAAACCGTCAGCGAACGCGAGCTCTCCCAACACAAACTGCACCCACGCTTCCTCCTCAAATACCGCGTGACCGCCGAACTCGGCCAAGGCGCAACCGGCTTCGTCGTCGCCGCCCGCCGCATCGAGGACGGCCGCCAGGTCGCAGTCAAATTCATGTACAAGATCCGCATCCCCGTCACCCACTGGTTGCGCGATCGCCAGCTCGGCGGGACCGTGCCGCTGGAGATATACATCCTCCGCCGGATAAAGCACGAGCATATCGTCGAGTTCCTGGACTGCTTTGAGGACGAGCGGTTCTTCTACGTGGTTATGGACGGATCTTCCTTCACTGACCCGACCATCACCAGCCCGGCTGCGACCATCGCCACGAGCCCCGGCGGGCTCTTGCTCAACACCTCCACCGCGAACACCACGTTACGCCAACACACCACATCCCCCATCTACCGCCTCGTCAACCTCAACCAACCCTCCCCCCCACACAAAACCAGGACCCCGCGCCGCCACTCCCGCGACCTCTTTGAAACAATCCATCAAAACCCCACCCTCCCGGAACCCTCCATCCACCACATATTCACCCAGATATGCCACGCTGTCCAGTACCTCCACGCCCACAACATCGTCCACCGCGACATCAAAGACGAGAACATCGTCGTCACCGACCCGGTCTCACTATCCGTCAAACTGATCGATTTCGGCAACGCGGCGTATGTCCCCGAACGCGAACAGGAGTGGTTTGAATCGTTTCACGGCACGCTGTACTGCGCTGCCCCCGAGATTGTGCGGGGGGAGCGGTATAGGGGCCCCGAGCAGGACGTGTGGAGTCTGGGCGTGCTGCTGTTCACGTTGGGGTTTGGTGGGCGGCCGTTCGGGGATGCGAGGGAGGTGGAGGCGGGGAGGTGGAGGGGAAGAGCGAACGGAGAGGGGAGAAGTGAAGCGCTTATGGAAGTCCTTGACATGTGTCTCACCGTCGACGTTGCGAAACGCGCGACGATCGAGGAGGTGCTGAAGAGTCGGTGGGTTAGTGAGGGCCCAAGTGGGTGTGATAGGGTAGAGGTGCAGTCGCACCGGGAGGTTGAGGTTGCGGAGGGTGTGCAGCTGGTTGAGTAGGCGGATGGCGTGGTCGGACATTTTTTATAAGGCGTTTGCTCGCTTCTTTATTTTTTTGATGTTTTTTTTTTTTTGCATATATACAGTATACCCCCCTTTTCTACAACACATTGGAGCCTGCGCTGACGTTTCCCTTATCCGGTTTCTTTTCCCTGGTGCATTTGAATCCTCCCTGGATTTCCGCTAAACAATATATTCCCCGATACTGACCAGTCCGTTTCTGCTAAACTCCCGTTGATTTACCCGGAAGGAGGCGAGAGGTGGCCGATCCGTTCTTCTCCACACGCGATGATGATTCCCATGGGTACGGGCGAATATCGGATGTGACAGGGATAGGATGGAAACCATATGCAGAACACTGCGGGGGTGCGTCTAGTCTGTGCCTTCGCAAGGGGGGATGTCTTGGAAGTCCCAAAAAAAGACGCGTCGCCCCTCCTTCACGTCACAGCAATCGCACCCCCCAACTCTCATCACCCACACGCACGTACACGAATGGCAGACGCAGGCAGCACAGCCAACCTCCTCGCCGCGGGCGGGGACAAGAACGCTGCGGGCGCGGCTGCGGGCGGCGGGGAGGATAAGGATCCGAAGAAGAATTTCAATTACCCGCTTGTTAAGGTATGCATTTTGCCAGGCCGCAGGCAAGCGCGTGCGAACACACCCAGTCTCCCCGCAGCGGGGGAGAGACTCGTAGCATGCGGGAAACGGAGCTGATGGGGGCATGACGGGAAACCAGGGGGGCTTAAGAATGTGATTTTTTTGGGGGGGGATAGGTGTGCGATATGGCCGACGAACTCCGCACCGAAGCCGTGGATATGGTCGTCACGGCCGTCGAGAAGCATCCGGGGAATTTCGAGGTAAAGGAAACGAAAATCACCCTCTTTCGAATCCCATCTCCCCCGTTTTATGGGTATTCTCGTTTTTCGTTGATTCGTCCGACTGAACGTCGCACTGATAGGCAGCCGCACAAAACATCAAAGAACTGATGGACAAACGCTGCGGCAACTCCTGGCACGCCGTCGTGGGCGAGGGGTACGGGTTCGAGGTCACGCATGAGATGCGGAATTTGTTGTATGTTTATTTTGGGGGGAATCTGGTGAGTGCGACGTACTACGAACTGGTGCTTGCGTTCGGGGCGTTGGGGTGTTTGTGTAAGAGATGGTGCATATATCCTCGCGAGCGTGTGATGCCTACGATATACAACCAGCTAACATCCCTGTCTTTCTTCTCTGTAGGGCGTGCTGGTATGGAAGGCATCATGATCCAAATTTTGGACGATAAACGATATGATACGAGAACGAATACGATGCGATACCATATGACATTCTCTCGAGATGACCGATGTGTGGTTCAGTGCCACAATTGTAATCTAAAGGTTTTGGAAGGGAGGGTTTTTTTGGGTGGGTAATAGATCAGTGTGAAACGTGTATACGTGGATCCCAACAAATGAAGATTCGCCACTTTTGGTATATGTACAGTACCCGCCGACGCACGGGTGGCGGAGATGGGTGAAAAGGCAAGATACAGTTGGAAACTGGTCAAAGGTGGTGGTGGGGAGGAGTATGTGAGGAGAGGACATGTGACGTGCGATGCCTCTATTCGACGGGCGGCTGCCAATCCTCGTACAACAGATCCGCGGCGCGGAGTTGTCGGACGACGGCTTCATATTGGAGGTCGTAGGCGTCTGTTCATAACAAATGAAACGAAATGAATACCTGTGGTTGATGGATTGTGACAAAAGTTGGAGGTATAATACTGGGGAACTTACCTAGGACACCCAACCCCATCAGCTTGTCGACATACGACGTGAGTTGGGCGACTGATTTGGCGTTTTCGGCTGCCTTGGGGTCCTGTAAAACCAACCCACAAAATCGTCAGCACCCATTCGGTACCACATACCCCCACCCCGATCCCATCAACTCACCACTCCATCCCCGTTCCCCGTCCCCTCCCCACCCTTCTTGGCATTCTTCTTCCACCTCGCCTTCGCCGTCTTCGGCCCCGCGAGCCGTCTCAACGCCTTGGGTATATTCTCCCCCGGCTTCATCAAATGTATCGCTTTTAGCCATAGATGGTTCGGGTCGGTTATCGTGTCCAGTTCTGCGTCGTCGGAGGTGGTTGTGGATTGGGCGAGTTGTTTTTCTTGTGCTGCTTTTGCCTATCCGTTCGAAATATTGTAAGAAAAGGGGGGGGGGGGGGGGGGGGGCAATGCCAAAGCGATGTAAGAGATACACTCACCTTCTCGATCTGATCCTTCGTCACCCCCTGCAACCAATTATCATGCATCTGCAGCTCATCCTTCTTGCGGATATAATGCCCGCTCTCGTCGAAATCCCCTTCTTCGAGTTCTTCATCCATGTTGAAGGGTGTTATCTTCACTTTTGCTCCCACCTCCGCCCCATCGGCCCCATCACCCTCATCCTCATCCATATCTCCGTTAGTGTCGTCACCCCACTCTTGCCCTTCGATATGGTCGCGTTTGAGGAAGGTCGGCTCGTTCTTCTTTTTCTTTTTCTGCTGCGGCGTTTCGAACGTGCTGCCGAACATGTCGTCGTCTTCGCCGCCGGCGGCTGGGGCACCGCTGTCCGAGTCCGAGTCGGATTCGCTGTCGTAGCCGTCGAGGTTGACGGCTCCGCGACGGCCTTTTTCTATGAACAGGAGAAAAACACAGACGTGTTCAGTATCTGTTCGCCCAATTCCTCCCGTAATGCAACCCGTATCAACGCCAACATACTCGTCTCCAAATCCTCCTCCTGATCATCCTCCTCGTCGTCCCCCCCGAACCCAGCTGGGGGATACGCAGGAGCATCCTGGAACTCTGCCCCGCCGATCCGCACCCGTTTCTTGGTTGCCGGTTTGAGGCTCGATGAGGAGGACGAGCTGGCGAGCCCGATGATGGCGTCGTCGTCGTCCGTTGTGGGTTTGCGTTTGCGGGAGTGTGTTGCGGACATCATTTGCGCTTGTGTGTAGGATTGGGAATGGGAAAGTGTGAAATCGCTGTCCCAAACGCGTTGAACCTTTGAACACCTCCACGATCATGGCCGCGCAGACATCACCTATAAGGACATCACCCATAAGGACGTAGGACTCACTCTCACATATACTTTACTCTGCGACGCTACTGTGTCTGGAACCAATGGACACCTCAGCGCATATCCGGGCCCTCAAACGCGCCCTCCGCGGAGACGTCCGCGCTCGTCTTAACGCACTGGCTCCCGATGTCGTTAAGGACGAATGTGAGTTGGGGAGAATATGTGCCGGGGCTGGGCGTGATATTTTGAACGACGAGGGGGATGGGAAAAGGGGAATAATGGACAGAGAGTACTGTGGATTGGATGGTATGGAGGTCTTTGCGTCGGAGGGGTGAACAGAAAGGGTGGGTCCACAGAACGACCTCTGGGGCAGGTGGTGGAGATACGAGGCTGGGATGGCTTCCACAAGAGGATGTTTGCACATGGTCGACGAAGAGAAGGTCCCGGGACTCCAACGTCTCGCAGAATTCCATGACCGAACAACACCACGAGAAGGGGCGTTTACGTGCGCGCACTGAAACCCCCCGTCGCTTTCTTCCATGCACTTAGCACGCAAAGTCCTCACCCACCTCTTCAACCTGCGCGAGTACCGCCAGTCCGAAAGCGTCAGTGTCTACCTCACCATGACCGGCGGCGTGTCGGCTGAGATTGAGACGGAGGAGATTGTGACGGATTTGTTTAAGAGGGGTAGGTGTTTGAAAGGGGGAGGGGGTTTGCGAGCGGTTGGGGATGATGTGGGAAGATGGAGATGTCAATTGAAGGAGTGAATGAGCATAGACCGAAACGCCTTTGGTCGGTGGAGCTGGATCCGGAATCAACGCCGAGGAGTACCCCCTCAAAGCGCGGCATCCACCGTCTGATGCATGTGGATTGCGAGGTCATTGCGAGACCCTCATTGCGCTCCTGTCCTCCTCATAACTTCCTTCTCCTTCCATTCCCTAAAGGCAAGCAATGTTACATTCCACGCTGCGACGGAAACAACATGGTGCGTTGCATGCATTCCTGAAGGCGCCCCTCGCGGTCCTGTCTCCCGTTCTTCACGTCCCCATCACCTTCTTCTACGACGGCTGCATCCCTTTCCACCGCAGTAACCCATTGGTTTCCCGACGATAACACAGGACATGGTCCGCCTAACATCCCTAGAAGACTTCCGATCGCTACCGAAGAATAAATGGGGCATCGCTGAACCGCCGTTGGAGGAAGCTAGGGAGAATGGTAAGGAGTCGCGTCGCATTGAGGTGGAATGCAGAGTTTATTTGTCTCGATGTCTCAACGTCGCGCTTCGAATATGGTGACCCGTCCTGACGTTTCTGCCTCCGACGTTCGCAGCGCTCGAGAAAGACGGGCTCGATCTTATCATCGTGCCAGGTATGTGTCAACTAGCACTACTGATCGGGGTTGTCCCTACCCGCACCCCCTCCCCAGCCCTGCGCCGCGCCCAGCATGATGCACGCACATTGGCACGGCCTAGAACCTTCGAAAACGTCTCAATACATCCTATGGAAATCTATCGTTAATAATACGTTTTCCCCCTTAGGCTTGGCATTCGACCGGGAGGGATGGAGGTTGGGGCATGGAAAGGGGTGAGTTGGCGTTGCTGGCGATGCGGGATGGTTGTGCGTGCGGGGAGCGAGCAAATGGTGGTGGTCGCGGGCGGGCAAAGGCAAGGGCGGGGGTGGGAGGTGATCACCGCAGCGCTCGGCCGGAGGGGGAGATATGGAATACACTCGTTCCAACCGAGTTACTCCGAGACCGGAAAGATGATGTATCGCATACGTCTTGGAAGCCTGAGCGGAGGGCAACCAAAAAATGAAACGTTTTCGATAAAACTCACATTTTTGTTTGCCCTCCGTCGCGCTTTCTAGGTACTACGATCGCTACTTTGCGAAGGTGGCGGAATGGTCCGCATTGGCGGGCAGGCCGATTCCGAAGACAGGTGAGATGATGTGGGATGTATGAGCATCAGCTGTTCGTCAACTCTCATCAAACACACGCATCACCCAGTGGCGCTGGCGCTAGCCGAACAGATCGTCGACACACCTCTCCCGCGCGAAGATTTCGACCAGAAGCCCGAGGTTGTCATCACACCCGCTGGTCCACTCAGCTCTGCTTCTACATGAAGTAGGGGACCGAGAATGAGTTTCGGGATGCGGCTGCATGCGCGATGAAACGCAAGAGAAGTCCTTGAGAGACATGGCGGAGCGGGTGAAAACACATGCGACGTTGTGATGAGCATCATGATCACGGGGAAGGTTTGAGTTTAGGCATTTCGTAGAGCGATTGGAGGTCCTCACGAAGGGACGAAGGGAGCGCCGAGTGTGATTACCTACAGCTCCGGCGCTACGGCGAGCCTCATATACGGCGTAGGTTGAGTGGAGCGGAGAGAAGGAGTATGGGCTGTTGCTAACCATTCAATAGCATTTTCAATGCGTATTCGATTTAAATGTTTATTAAGCTCAATAGCTGCCACGAGAAACTGAAGTGAGGGATGCGAAGCGGTGGAGGGTGGAGGAGAAACCCCGGGATGCGAACGGAGGGTGGGTGTCAAGGAATAGTTATGAGCTAGGAGTCGTTGATTTGGGATTCGCAGCCTCTGTTTCACAACATGGTAGATTTTCGTCAATCTTTTCCCCATGGTTGATTCTTTCCCCCACGGCCGATTCTCGTCAATCGAATAATCCAAGTCCGTCATCGTCGTCGTTGGCTCACTGCAATAAAAGACTAGTCATATTCGGAAGGAAACAGCTGACGGCATCGATATCCTTTTACTTCATCCGTTGCTTCACCCGGCGTGGCATCAGGTATCACATCGCTAACTGCATACACTTTGCTGTCCTCTTCAACAAACATATGTCCGCGATGCCAACCATGGGGCCATTACGTCCAAACTCCTTGTCCCGGCCTCCCTCCGCCCTCGGAGAGTCCGGCGCAATCATGATCGACAACATCAGTGTCGATGATGAGTTCGTAGTTGAACTGTTTTGGCTCGCTTTCAGCCATCAGCGGATCGTAGGTAGAGTAGTCAACCCATTCGGGGTTGCTGTTGGCCTCCACATGCGGATGTGCTTTAATTTCGACACGGTAGGTGTCTGGCTTCGTTCGCATCATTTTGGTGTTTTCAGAGTTGTTGTGAGCTTTGCACAAGGGTACTATGTAATGAGGAGGCATGCAGGGGCTTGACGCCGTTCACCTCTTACTTCTCGCGAAATGATACTGCTATGTGATAAAGTCGCGCATCTGGTCCACCGTTGATTCGAATGAAGCCGAACAGCGGGGTATCCGGGTCCCAGTCCAAGCGCTTTTCGGCATACAGGGCGTGCGTCCCCTTCGCCAGCTTGATGCTCCTCAGAATATCCGGTGCGATATTTGCGGTGCCCACCCTGATGAATGGAACGATGCTCGTAGCTCAGCATCATTACAATGCGACCATATGAAGATGAAAACACGCGGCGATCAATCGCTGGCCAAATATCACGTCTGCTGGATGGTACGGATGGTGTTGAGGGGACGTCGAACACGGTTGTGGTCTGTCTGGGTCCATGACCTTGTTCGTAGGTTCCCTTTAGCATGAGAGAGCATTTGGGTACGTGCCCTGGGCGACTCACTTGAATCACCAGATTCAAAAATGGCAAGATTATATAACAACAAAAAGACCCCGAAATAAGAACGGGGAATTAGCTCAAATGGCAGAGCGCTCGCTTAGCATGCGAGAGGCAGGGGGATCGATACCCCCATTCTCCAATTCTATTTTGTATTCGGCTCTTGTCCTGTTGCATTTATGGTTGCTTTTTGCGTTTTGTGTGTTTGGTATACTACTTCGCGCCGCGTCTTTAGGGCCTTGCAACGCGCAAAATCGGTGAGGTTTTGGCGCTGTACCGACCATGGGCAAGACGGATTCTGGAATGCCATCGACTCATCACTTCCTGTTTCGGCAGTCGCTCCGTGCGAGATGGGGATGGAAGTCCTTCGTAGGTTCTTGTTTAGAGGGAGAGCGGACCGTCCAAACCGGAATTCGACAGCGCGTGAAAGTCGGTCATTTTTGATTCCTCCTTACAGCACGCAGATGGACCGACATAAAGCCGCTAGCCGCTACAAGTAATGGAAGTATATGCATCGAGAGTGAATCTGAAGTCGGGTTTGCCACTATATACGTAGAAAGGGTGAACGTCCGCACCCTACGCCGTGGAAGAGACTCCAGCGCGCCCTGATTCCGCCTCCAGAAAAGAGACTCTAGATCCGTGGGCTGTTATTGGCTGTAACTAACGCATGTAACCCTAAGTGTAAGTCATTTCGGCGGAATTGCGAGCAAAGCCTTGCCCGCGCCGAAGCTGTGATTGCATATAACCCTAAGCAATAGCAGGGTAGTCCGCTCTTGCTCTCTCTCCCCCTCATCCCCTAGGTGCATACGCCATATGCGCGAAAGGGCTGCTGACAGTGGTAGCATATGCCATTTGCACGAACCATCTGGGCAGGGTATAGATAACTCTCTCTCTCTCCCTCGTCCCCTGGATGCATGCGCCATATGCGCGAAACCATCTGAGGAGGGTACCTCATCTCCTCACCTCCCTGCTGCTCACTACCTCCCTGATTTGTGATGTGGTCGAGGTCAGATTGCCCACTCCAGCACAGCCGAAATCAGTACAGGTGTTGGAGTGCGGTGATTCCCGAGATAGCTGTGTGTCAAAAAACTCCCGTCAGTGCTGCGGTAGTGAAGCTTAGAGCGGTGAGGGATTGCGGTTGTTACCTGGTGGTGGTCGGCAAAAGGATGTACTGATGCGCTGAAGCTGAGAACGGTGAGGGATTGCGCTTGTTACCACTCCCTACCCCAAGATCCGACACTCAACAAGCCTGCCTCTGCACCCGTGTCCACCCGCTATTCCGAAAGCCTTTCTCTGTCTGATTGAGAAATGCCCGGAGGATGCAGACCCGGCCCCACTATCACGATACACCTGGGGGCGGACGCTTCTGGCTTCGACCCGCTCGACCACTCCGCCCGTTCCGAAATGGGCATGAAGAACCAAGTTGCTCGAAAATGAACACGTATCGGATGGCCGAGCACTTCGGTGGGTGGGTGCCTGAAATGCTTCTATGCTCGGTGGAATGATATGAGTAGAGTTAGTCGATTGATCTCCCTGCAACGAGTGCCGCGATGGATGCTTTCCCCCCGCTTCGTTTCTAGTCCGAGTCCGAGTGTAACAGCAACGTCAAGCGTTTTTCATCGCTCTCCCAGTGCACACGCACATCCCACCCAAATGTAAGCCTTCCGTCTTCTCAGTTCCAAACCAAAGCGCAACCCGTGTGGATGCCATTATATGATGATTGTGTGTATATATGTATGTATATGTGCCCCCAAAAAAAGAAGTGTTCCAAAAATCTAGCTCCCTCCCCCTTACACACTCCAAAAATGTGTTCCCAAAAATGTTCGTACCCCCTCCCCCCCCCCCAAACCCCCACCCCCACCCCAAAACAGGGAGACACAAGACGGCTTCTTCGCTGCTGTTTGTCCACCCCCCTTCATCCACTCTCGATGGGACGTTGTTCGATAAACGATCCGGGAAATGTGGGTGTTCGAAGCAGTCCAACCGAGAAACGAAGGGGCATACACATCCCACCGCCCGACTCCCTCCACCCGGCAGCGGATCACCCAATAACGGCTCGTTTTGTCGGGGAGCGCGATGGCGGTTGCGGCGGCAGCGGGGACGCGACGAGTCCTATTTCATTTGTGGCCAAGCCCGGGGCGTAAGTACCCCACAGCTTGCAACCCAAACACAATCACGTAAAAAGACAAAACACCTACCACAACCCTCCACACTCCTCCTCTTCACCTTAGGTCCCGCTTGGGCCCCAGCCCTCGATGTCCTTCCCCCAGCACTCTGGCCACTCTCGTCATCCCCCTCCCCAAACACCTCCCTCACCACGCCGCCCCGTCCCCCCGCCTTCTCCCACCTCTCCACACACCTCTCGGCTCCCACACAGCCCCTCAACGCCGCAACACATCTCCGCCCCTGCTCCCTAACCGCCTTCATCCCCTCCCTGCAGAACGCGGCGGCGACACCCACCAACCTCGGCCCCTCGCGATGGGTCAGTATGAATTTGCCGATTGCGGGCGCGGGGAGGGACGCGGTGAGCACGTGGGCCAGACACCGAGCGACACGCAGCCGCACATGAGCGTTCTTATGCGCGGTGAACGTCAGCAGATGCAGAAGGAGTTTGAGCGGGGCCGGGTGCGTGTGTGTGAACTGGTGCAGGCAGGCGTCGAGCGACGGGGTGAGGAAGGTCGACGCGGTGCCCTGTTCCGCCGTCTTCTTCAGCAGCGTGGTCAGGATCGCGGGCGTGTGCGGGTCGAGGTGTTTCAGCAGTGTCGTTGGACATGGGGGGCCTGAGAGGGAGGCGGGGATCGGCAGCGCCAGGGCGACGATGAGATCGGTGAGCGCTGCGATCCCGGCTTTGGCGACGCTGGAACGGAGGTTGTGGATCGCGGTCGTGATGGCGAGGACGAGTTCGCCCAGCGTCGGCACGCCCCCTCCGCCGCCGGTACCGACACTGGTGGCGACCACCAACGCCCTCGCCTTTGCATCCCACTGCTGGGCCGCGAATAGCTTCGCAAGACACTCCATCGCCTCGACTTTGACCTCCCAGTCCGGGTGCGAGCGCAGCTGCTGGACTGCAAACGCGTAGTCGTGCTCGGAGATGGTGGGGTGGGCCGGTGGGGCGCGGACGGGGGCCGAGTTGTGGACATGGGGTGTTGTCGCGGAACTATCGACGGACGTCTTTTTGAGAGGTGAGGATGCCGCCCTTGCTGTCCGGTCGGCGACGACAGCAGCCGCGAAACTGGCGTCGAAGGTGTCCACATCGTCCTGCTCGTCGGCGGCGACCTCACCCACATCACGGTCTTGCTTATCGCCCATCGCAAACACCACCTCGGCCGCAGGGCTCACCACCGCCGCCTCACCAGCGTCCTCCCCGTTCCGTCCCCGGCTCTTGACACTCCCCTCACTCCCCTTCCGCCGTGTTTCCATCCCCGCCCCCGCGGCCCGGCGTACAATCCCCACCGCTTCGTCCAGCTGGATCGTGCATACCGAATCTGCTCGGGCCGGAGTATCTGTCCGGGACGGCGTGCGCTGTACACGTGTGAAGTGGTCCCCGTCTCCCATATCGCCCCCCGCCTGCTGCTGCAGTAGCCGCCCCGGCGACCTCTGCTTAATGTACCTCAACGCCCCCGGCGGCGGGGTAGTAGTCGTCGTCACGCTATCCGCACTCCTCTGCATCTGCTGTTGTTGCAGTCGCACATCCTCCCCCGCGTCAACAGGCGTAAACCCCCTCCCCTTCCGCGGCGACATCTTCCTGCTCCCGCGCGGGGGTATCATCCCCTCGCTCGCCCACGACAACAGCGGGGAATGGATCTGGATCGCGTCCGGTGTCGGGGTCGGGGACTCCCTCATCCGGGGGTTATCCCGACCGTCCCGATCGTGAAGCACCGCTGCAGCTCCACCAGACTCGCTAAAACTCCTAACCCGCCCCCACGTATCGGGGTCCCCGTCCAGCACATGCATCACGCCGGCCCCGCTGCCGTGGTACGAGTTGCGCATATGCATCGACCTCGGTCTGTCCCATTCACGGACGGCGGTGGTGGGGGTGGTGGTGGTGGTCTGGTCTCTCTCCCCCCCGCGCCCGCACTCCCACGGCATGCGCCCGACACTCCCCGCCGAGCTCCTCACGACGCTGTTCCTGCTCGCCGTGCGGGTATTCGAGCCGGTATGGCTGTTGTCGGCGGCGGGGATGAGTTCCGATTGGGACGCGGCGGACAACGCGCGGTCGAGGTCCGGTTGTGCATCGCGATGTGTGGATGACCCCGAGACCCGTCGCGCGGCGGATGAGTGTGATACCGATGTGGACGGGACGGGCGTGACGGTGGCGCTGCGGCCCGTGCTGGAGCTGTACGCGTGCTCGACCCAGCCGTCGGGGCCGAGGCGGGGTAGATCCCACGCCTCCGATATCCCGGCGCGCAACACATCTCGGACCTCCCCAGGGATGTTCTCCAATGTCCCCAGCACGACATCAGGGGATGTGTAATACGAGACCAGGGCAAGACACTCCCCGACCGCCATCCGCACCTTCACCTTCCCGTCCGCGAGATACCGCCCAAGAGACGTGACCAGACCCGTCCAATCCCACTCTCCCCCACCCCGCGGCGGGAAATGCAGCAGCGCGGTCATGACGAGGTTCACGAGCTCCTCGCGCATCTTCGGGTTCGTCGTCGCCGCTTTCGAGGGGAGATGCGTATGTAGGATACCATCCACGGTTTCGCGGGCGACCGTACCGCTTGACGATGTGAGGAGGATCCGCACCCACACCCGCGCGACCTGGACCCTTACAGCGCCCTTGGAGTCGCCGGCGCGGGCGACGAGGAGGGATGTGATTGCGGTTGCCATGTCTGTGGTTTCGGTTGACGGGGTGGTGGTTGGTTGCGAGAAAGGGAAGATCACACCCCCGAAGGCAGCGACGACCTCGCCCACGGCCTGCAAGGCGACCATGACGATTTTGAAGTTGGTGTCGAGGCTGAGGGTTGCGAGGAAGGTTATGAAGGGTGGGAGATCGATGGTTGTAGTTGGTTGTTGTGATTGTTGATGGGCCGATAAAGTGGATGTGAGAGAGGCGAGGAGGGTGTCGGCGGCGTGCGAGCGGGTGCGCCAGTCGGCTGTTGGGGAGAGGAGGAGCGGGGGGAGGGTTGGCGGGAGGAAGCCGAATGCGAGTGGGGATGCTGTGGATGGGGTTGGGTTCTTTGCTGCGGGGGGGTGTTGAGTGGATGATGGGAGGGTGGGTTTAGCGGATTGGGGCGGGGAGGGGAGTGTGCGGGTCGGCGTTGAAGTATTGTTGATCGCCGTTCCGTTTGCATTTGCATCCACCTCCTTCGAAAATTTGCGTTCAATCGTGCCGACCGTCCAGTTCCCACCACTGACATCGCTCAACGACCTGCCACCCAGAATCCTGCTCTCAAATTTCCGAAACACGACTCGGGTCAACCCCGGGAGCATCATGACCGTGCGGGCCATCTCTTCCTCGCCACAGAGGGTGCAGATGTGTTTGAGGGCGGCGAGGGCGGCTTTAACGACGACTTCGACGCCGTCTTGGAGGCGGAGGGTGAGGGTTGCGACGAGAGGGAGGTATTTGATTTGTTTGCGTGTCCTCCTCTCATCGTGGGTATTCACATTCTCCCGGACAATCTCCACGTCCCCCGGTTTACGATCCCCCAACAGCACAACAAGCGCCGCAGCACTCTCCCTCCTCGTCCGCCACTCCTCGCTCTCCAACCCATGATGTATCAGCGCATCAAAGAACGGGGTCGGGTCCGACGCGTGCGTCTGATACAGCTGCAATACTTTGAGGGCCTGACGCCGGGCGGCGAGTTTTGTGTCGCCGAGGGTGGTGATGAGGGTCGGGAGGAGGGCGAGCTCGATGGTGTCTTCCTGCGCGGTGGGGAGGTGGGTGGGGAGGAAGGCAGCGAGGAAGCGGGCGGCTTGGAGGGCGACATGGGTGTCGCGGTCGGCGAGGGAGGTGGCGATGGGGGGAAGGAGGGTGTCGATGGTGCTGCGGTTGTGCCAGCGGGAGGGGGAGGAGGGATGCGGCGATGGGTTGGATGAATCTGATGCCGGAATCGTCGTTGCTGGGGGTGCTATTGGGAGCTCTGAGAACAGACTCTCCAGAGCGCTGAGTCGGACGAACGGGAGCTCGCTGATGAGCGATAGCGCGAGGTCGCCGGTATCCATGGCTGCAAAAGTAGCCGGTTATCCTCCTGTCAACGAAGGCCCCCACCCCGTATATCCTGGCCTATGCCCCTCTTCCGCTTCCTATCGCCCCGATTTCCTTCGGCGTTCGTCTCGCCCGTCAAATGACACCTGCCGCCACCCAAAGGCCCTTCACTCGCTTGGGTACCGTCGGCGGCTTTCCAACGGAGCAACTCAGATTCTCTGACACCTTTCAGCTGACGACCGGTGGGTTGGGCTGTTCCCACTGCCCAGTATGGATGGCAGGCGATGCGCGAATGCTTTAACCCCGAAGCACGCGTACAGTACTATGTATCCTGGGTACAGACGCTGGAGACACCAGATGACAACTACAGGGGTGGATGTGGATGTCACACCCACAGCAGCGGCAGCGTGTGGGGGGGCCAACGAGTGGTAGAGTCTCTTCCTCGACCGTCGTTTTGTGTTCCCGTGCCCGTCGGTCGCTGTTTTTCACACTCCCTATCTATTAGTGAGGGGTATCTGGACCGGGGGTTATGGATGTTGACGGATATGAAGTGGAAGTCGGGCGAATGAGTGGATGGATGAGAGAGAGACCGAGAGAGAGAGACAGAGAGAGAGAGAGGGGGGGCCAGGAGGGAGGAAGGGCCTTTCCTGTAGGGAGGGGATAACAAGAGCCGAAGGTGCGAATCGACCAGCGAGCGATGCCCCCCTTCCCTTCCGACGCGTCCTCCCTTCAACCGCTATGATAGTCGTCTCGGGCCTGCACCCAGTTGCTCCCGTCTCTCGGCCGCGACACAACAGACCTACCTAGACACCGACCGGAAAAAAGGTCTTGGACAGAGTACAGACTCAGGGGGGATACTTAGTCCGAAGGATAGTCCGATTCCCGCCAAGTATCCAGACAGCGCCGGTTGCCCAGTACGCCGAGAGGCCATGGATCCCTTTAAAGCCAGCGTGGCGGCCGCCCTGTCAGGTTGAACTCCATAATTTCTTCGGGTCCGCGAGCTTCTCCCGTGTACACACGGCCATTGGTGGTTGTACACGGCGCTTACCGTGGAGTTTCTTGCACTCGTCACAGTCAGGGTCATAGCCCCCCACGGAACTGGTTTAGGCCCGCATTCCGAACAGTCTAACCACATGCAGTGTCGGTCGCCGGTGTATGTACTGTGACCTGTTGCGGAAAGAAGAGTTTTACCATGGATCATTGACTGCAGCATTTTTGGATTCTTCGGCGATACTGCCGAGACGGGAAGCGCTACGCACGGGATACTGGAGTTTGATCTTGTCGTAATCTGACTGTTTTTTCCTTGTCGCCAATTGTGAGACTGCGGCCGCTACGGCATACTGCCATGGAAGGCGGAACTCTGTGTCTGATGTCGTGGGCTAATGCGGGTTTAATGTGGTTCAAACCCACCGACGATGCGGCTGTACATTGTTTGTAGATTTTCTTTTTGTACGTAATGGAAGACTTTACTAGATCATCCATTCTTCAGCCTTATCCGCTCGATATGTTCGTGGACAATGGAGGATGCGCTTGTCCATTTCACCAAGGATCAGGTTAACCGGATATGGTTCCGGAGGTGCGAATCGCGATCAATGCTGGCGCCTGACTCTGCTGGGGTGTGTGTGCCCGAGAGGGAACGAACGAAAGGGGAGGTTTGGATGATGCGTGACGGAGCAGAAGGGACGGAATAGAATAGAACATCGCGGTGGTGAGATTTGGGAGACGAACGACAAGGCCAAATGGAGTCTGTCAAGGCCCGGGCCCAGAATTTGCCGGTGAGGGCTTGTTGACCGGAGTGTTGGGAAGGTTGAACTTCCTTACAGCTGTGGCATTGCCGTCTTGGAGGTGGGATGTCTTTTGGCTTTTGTCCGGAGAGACCCACGATATGGGCGACATGGTATTATTGATTGAACCCGTGGGCAGTCGGGGATGTAACTGAAAAACACACCTGGGGGCCTGCGGATACCGGCGACAATGTACCCCGAAGGCCGGCGCTGAAGCCTAAGTTCGAGTTTGGGATTTGAAATCGTTGGCTTTGACCGTGAAGTTCTGGAGAACTATCGCCGTTTCATGCTGTTGGACTCTGGCTAATTCCTTCGGAGCCGCGGAGGCCCCCGGTGTCTCCCTTCCATTTGCCCAATTTTCTGCGACGGGAGACAGTCACATTTTCTCGAGCCCGCGCAACAGAACATCCAAATTGGATATTGAATCATCGTTGGAATGTCTCCGTTCCTCCGGACGGACCCTAACGATATCTGGTCGTTCTTGTATTTTTTCAGACGGAGCCGCATTGTTTCGAGCATGGCCCGTTAGAGCTGGCCAGTCACGGTGATGTGAGAGTGCAGCCGCTCTTCCACCATAAACACCCCCCAGTCCGCCCAAGGCCCGTAGTGGGCATCGGCTGTGCGATCCTGTATTACGCATAAGACTGCACAGGCTGTACGGTATATGACACGCGCCCACCGCAACCGTGACGGACACGGACGTCGTCGCATCATCATTGAATTGGATTCTGATAGGTGTGTGCGCGACGTAAAAGAAAGCTTGGAACATCCATGTCGGAGTGAAGCCGGAAGATCTGAAAAATTGGAGTGTGGGGCCACGGGGCCATATTGCCTGGGAGGACGACGGTCTTGCTGCTGTGTTGTTGCCGGCGCTCCACCGCCCGCGGGTCTGATGTGGCTACGTGGTAAACACCCTTCACCAACATCGAGAAGCTTCAGTCGCGGCGCCGTCCGACGGGCCATTCTCGTCGTTGGCAAACCGAGAGAGGCTGCCAAGGGTTCGCCGTATTTGAGATGCGCAGAGAGCATGAATACAGGAGTGAACCCCACACACAATGGCCCCGGCAAGTTTCAATTCTTTCGAACCTCACGCCCGTAGATGCAAAATACTGTAGGTATAGGTTGAAAAGGAAGGCAAAAACAAGGACTTCGACGCGTAAACGCCCTCCACCCGCCTGCGGACACCCCAATTCCCTCAATTCTCATGTCACAAACATCAACCATCCCAGCACATTCCGGCCCGGCTCGCGCCTTCTACACAGTGCGAACCAGCAGAATTCGCCCATCCATCCCCCATGTTCCTCATAATCCGCAAAGTTATCTCCCGTCTCTCCTCGTCCCATTTGAATCGTAATCAGCTCTGCAAAGTCCTCGCGCTTGAGCGCCTGGTAGAGTTCCTTGCCCCTCCGCTCACGCTCCTCGTCTACAAATAGCTCGTGTTTGTCTTGGTAGTCTGAGTCGAAGCTTGACTCTGAGCCTCGATCGTCCCAGCTGATGTCAGGGTCGTGGTAGCGAGAAAGGATGTGCCATATCCAGGTGACGCCCACTTCATCTGCTAGTGGGATACGTTGGATGTCATAGTATTCTCGAAGGTATTTCGGAACCCGCAGGCGAGAAAGAAGAGTTTTGAGAGAATGGCGTTGTTTTCAGTGGAGACCGGGAGCTCATCCATTTCGGGAACGGGCGAGATGATCAACGGTAGTGCATCAGCACCACTGTCTCTTGATTGCCATCCTCTCACGTCCGTTGGGCAATCCTGGTACGTGCAGATGAAATGGGGGCTCCTTGACAAGAAAGTCGAGGTCCGCAGTAAGTTTGAGCCACTGAGCCTCGTCCTTTGGTGCATGTTCGAAGGCCGGCTGAGGCACGTCCGAGCAGTCAAGACGACGTCGTTCCATTTCGCGAAGAAACCCAAACTCGGAAATCAAGAAGGCGATGCGTAGCTTGCGAAATGTCGTGTAGGCGTTGATATCCATCGGTTCGACGCTGCCCGTTATCCCTTCGTGAGACCGTTTCCATATACCTGTTTTCCTCCCCGTATCATGTCGTCGGCTATTTGGAAGTTGTACTTGACGAAAAGCAGGTCTCTCGCGCTGAATGCTGATCGGCTCCATAGCTTGCATAATAGACGGCAGTTGAGGAGGTCTTTCGGCGAGGTGACGGCAACGCTTAACAAGATGCGATGTAGCAGTTCGGGTGGCAGAGCTTTCCACGGCGGGAAGGATGAGGTCGTCATTGGGTCCGAAGGGGTGCTGACGGTAGTGACTGCAAAAGGTGAACTGCCGCGCGGGATGAGGCGCCCACTGGGGCCTTTTGCGAACGTTTCCGACATTCACACGACATTCACCTGAAGCGGTTCAGGAAGCGGTTGCCTCTTCAACGTCCTCCCACAGACAGCTTCCCGCAGTGGTTAAGGCCAGCATCCTTTCTGCCGGGGCCCACTCCCAACAGCATCGCACTCATACTACAACCAGCGGCCTTCCGCATAGGCCGGTGACACTTGCTTGCCACAAGTCAGCCTCAACAGACGGACATCACACACTTCCATTGCATCCCCTACGTCAGTCCACAGTCCACAATGCTACCCCGCATCCCCGGCGTCCTAGCCGCCAAACCACAGGCCGCACAGCTCCGCAACATCGTCGCTAACCTCATGGGCTCCCGCGGGACTGGGTAAGCCCCACAAAATCGTCACTTCCTATCATGCCATTCACAAACATATGCGAGCTTACACTATCATACGTTTCCCCCAGCTTCCCTGGCGCCCAACCCATCTCCTTCGCCCGCGACCACATCCACGAGCTGCAGCGCGAAAACTACTTTGTTTCCGAGAAGGCCGACGGGATACGATGTCTGATGTTCTCGACGACTGATTCGAATGGGCGGGGTGAGACTTACCTCGTACGTACCGTCATCATCATATCGGGGATTTGCTCTCGGATGGGGAGAGACGAGTGAATGACTTATTATGGTTGTGTGATTTCAGATTGACAGGCATAATGAGTACTATCGCCTAGACTTTGGGTTACCGATACCTGGCCGCCGTGGAGCGTTCCATTATGATACGATATTGGATGGAGAGCTGGTGTTGGATGTGTATCCGGATCAGAAGGTGCGGGGAGGGGATATGCGATGGGCGGTGGGACCGATGCGGGCGGGGACTAACGGAGGGAACTGATTGAATGCAGCAAGTTTTGTGGTTCTTATTGTTCGACTGCATGGCTGTGGATGGCAAGAGTTTGGTGGAGAGGGATTATATGAAGCGGTTGGGGGTGAGTGAGGAGCGGTGGGCATTGAGAGGGAATCGCAGCGGATGAGGAGAACTGATATCGCCTCGACAGTATCTGAAAGAGACCATACTGAAGCCGTACAAGGAGCTGATGAGCCAGGACAAGAACTATGCCGCTGTACAGCCGTTCAGGTACGGAAACAATTACGCCCTTACTCCTGGCGACGCCCCTGCTGAACATTTCCCACAAATAGAATGGACCTAAAACCCCTGCAACTCTCCTACCACCTCCAAAAAGTATTCGAAGACATCCCCAACCTGAAACACAAATCCGACGGGATCATCTTCACGTCGAGCGTGGCCAGGTATTACACGGGGACTTGTGAGAAGATGTGGGTAAGCCCGTGTCAATCATGTCGGAGTTCATGGGGTAGAGACTATACGTTCCAGAGAGGGCATGTCTCTGACAATGGACGAATCTTTGGTTTGTGCAGGCTTAAATGGAAACCGGCCAACGAAAACACAGTCGATTTCCGGATACGAGTCGTCGGCGACTTTAGTCAACCCGAGTACGCTCTCGAACTATGGGAGGGCCGTGACGAGTACTCTGAGTTTGGGATGTTGACGTTGGAGCCGGAGCTGGAACAATCGTACGTGTGACTGAAACTCCCCTTTCCTATTTCCATCCCAATCTCATCGATGCGGTATAATGTGCTTAGATGGGCCAGATCGCCACCCGAAAACCGCATCATCGAATGCCGCTACGACCCGTCCTGGCCCGGCCAATGGCGGTTCTCCCGCTGGCGCGACGATAAGCAGCATGCGAATCATAGGAGCACTTATCGGAAGATCATGGAGAGTATTCGGGATGGGGTTGATGAGCAGGAGGTGAGTAGGGGTGACAGAGTAATGGGGGAGAGGGGATGGGAATCTCATGAGTATTGGTGCAGTTGTTGAACTCGGCGCCGTTGATTCGTTCGAAGTGGAAGGATAGGGAGCGGGAGGCTGCTACTGGTCGGGTGTAGACCAATAGGGTCCCGAGGGGGTTGCATGGCTATCCGTTGATGGCTTTCGCAAGGAATGGCACTTTGCCCCTCCGCCACCGGATTTTCGACAAACCATATGCGTATGAATCAGGGAAGATTCGGCGTCGCCATCTCAAAGTCTAGTCGCACACTGACGACTTCATCATCCTCGGCTGTTCCATGTCTCTGGGGACCCAGAGGAGCCCTTGTATACTCTCTGATACGTGGATAGAACATTTTCCCCACTTGCACGCCCTTTTCGCATACATACATATATAGTTCAGATTACGGAGATCGATGTAGAGATTATTGGAGAGGTATTGAGCATTTGTGAATGGGGATGTGTGAGGGTTCTCGAATAGAATCTGTGGTTTTGCGTATAAGCCGTCTTTTCGTTGTGTGAGGGAGAGGGAGGAAGAGCGGCGGCGCGGGCGAGTGACAGCAACTTTCGGAGGAAGCCTTGAACAACACTCCCTCAAACCCAAACCAAATACCTAGAGCGGCACATTATCTTCATCCGACATGGACTGCCAGCAGCAGCAGCAGCAACCAACCCACTACGATGCTATTATCCTCGGCACAGGCCTCGCCGAGTCCATCGTAGCCGCGTATGTCCCCGGTTTCCATTTTACATCCCAATTGGACACTCTGACCAATCACTTTCCCCTGCGAAATTCAAATATAGATCACTAGCCCGCGCAGGCAAACAGGTCCTGCATATCGACCGCAACGCTTTTTACGGCGAGCATGGCGCGGCGTTTGATGTCAGGGGGTTGATGCGGGGGGTGGGATTAGCGGGGGATGAGAAGGAGGGTACGTTTGCGGGAGGGTGATGAGAAGTGAAGACGGGGAACAGTTCTCCGGGACTTATCGACTACTTTGTTGCAGGCGGACTCGGGGAATCGTATGATGCGGCAGAGGTGTGGTCAGGAGCGGGCGAGACGACGACGACAGCAGAGGACGATATCGCAGAAATCCAGGCTTTCCTATCCGCCAATCCAACTTCTACGGCACTTCTCACCACCATCCTTCCCCCGCCCCACACCGACATCACCACCTACCTCACCCACCCCACCGCCTCCCCGCGCACCCTCCACGCCCTCACAACGCTGACCCGCCTCCTCACAACCTCTCGCCAATACACGCTCGACCTCTCCCCGAAACTGCTCTACGCGCGCGGCCCGCTCGTCGAGCTGCTCATCACCTCCGGCGTCGGCAAATACCTCGAGTTCAAAGCGCTCGAGCAGATCTGGATGGGATGGGAGGGTGCGGTGGAGGTTGTGCCGGGGAGCAAGGAGGATGTGTTTGCGAATAAGACGGTCGGGCTGGTGGAGAAGAGGAGGTTGATGAAGGTTTTGGCGGGCGCGGCGGCGTGGACGGAGGGGGAGGGCCGTGAAGGTGAGCTTCTTGTGGACTGCAACGGGGGTTTGGCTTTTAACGGGTGGAGGTTGTGAACTGAATGACTTGGCCCTCACAGAATACAAAACAAAACCGTATATCGACTACCTCCGCGATCAAAAACTCAGCCCACGGCTCATCGCATTCGTTCTCAACGCCATAGCATTCATCCTCGAGACCGACCAGATCTCAAGCAGTAAGTTCTTTTCCCCCCTCCGCCCCGTAAGCCACTCCCCAATATCGGCGGTATGTCCTTACGATATGTCGTTTGTAGTAACGACAGAAGACGGCCTGAAAGCTACCCAGCGCCATTTGCAGAGTCTGGGCCGGTGGGGAAAAACCGCGTTTTTGTACACGCTGTATGGCGCGGGGAGCGAGCTTGCGCAGGCTTTTTGCAGGTATGGGGAAAAGAGGTCGTATTGGCTGCATACAACTTGCATCCACTGATTGGGGTCTTTCTGTGTTGTTAGAATGTGCGCAGTCTACGGCGGTGTATACATCCTGGACTATCCGCTATCACAAATCGAAATTCGCGAGAGTAAAGATACGCCCCTTTCTTCGGAGGAAAAACCAACACCCCGCGTCCGCGTCCACGGCGCCGACGGCACAGAATTCACAGCCGACTACCTCGTAGCCTCTTCAAGTTACCTCCCCCACCTCCTACCGCAGCACACCACACCCACAAGGTATGCTCACCATATCAGTACACTCACATTGGAGTCTCTGACCAGACACATCTTCATCTCGTAGATCAACATACCGCGCCATATCAATACTGGACAAGTCAATCCACGACGCGTCGGCGTTGAACCTGACTGCCGTACCCCCCGGCACGCTCGGGAATGGGCAGGGCGTGTGTGCGGTGCAGGGGAGTTGGGAGGTTTCTGCTTGTCCGAGGGATAAATGTACGTCTTTGTGAGAAGTTGGGTTGGGGTTGTGGTTGCAAGGGGGTGTTACGGGTGATGCTGATATGTGCTTTTCTCTTTGTAGATGTGTTGCATTTGACGAGTACCGGAAGTGGGGCGGGGAAGGAGGATTTGAAAGCGGTTTTGGAGAAGTTGATTGAGAGACGGGCGGACGTGGAGACGTCGACGGAGGTCACGGAAGCGGCACCGGATCCAGAGGCGACGACAGATGCCGACGATAGCACAGCCGCCACAGATCCATCAGGAACCACCGGCACCGCACCGCAACAACAACCGTGTCCACAACAACCGCCAAAACCCGAATCCGCCCCGTCACACTTCACGTTCCTCTTCCGCCAAACAACACCGGATGTTACCTCTCCCGTCTTCCTCCCACCTCCATCACCCTCATCAACAATGTCATCGCCAACAACAGCAACTCATGCGGTGATACTACCAACCATCGACGCATCGACCCTCGACATGGAGGGGGCTGTGGATGTTGCAAAGGGGGTGTTTGCGTGGATTGTTGGGGGGGAGGGGGAGTTTTTACCGGGGGTGGATGGGGGGGAGGGGGACGAATGAGTGTGAGGGGAGAGGGGGGCGGGGTTAGATCGTAGAATGTAGATGAGGTGTGTGAATCATTTGTCGTGCCAGGAAGGAGACTGATGGACCGGCGTAGATGGAGAACCAACATATTTGAGACAGAAGGCAAGCTTCCCGCGTATGCGTGTACATCTTTTTTGAGGGAAAGTCTGAAATTGTCGTATCACAAGTAGAAGAGGGTGCTAGGCGGAATCGCTTATTCGATTGGATTGTTTGAGCGAATCGGGAGGAAGAATCCAACACCCGATTTGGTAGCGCGCGGTACGTAAGCGTATTCGACACCGAGCGCAACTTGTGGCGGTCTACTCGTCCCCTGCGTTTCCCGAGGTCTGAGTTTTGAGTTTAGGTGTGTGCCTCGTGCGGATAGGATGCGCTGTCAGTTTTCTGATCGACCGTTGGGGGGGCATTTTAGCAAGTGGGATCTGTAGACAGTGAAAGCCGGTCAAGCGTAAACGAGGAGTGAACGACATTTTGCTGCATTTCCACGATCCATTGCCAGTTCATTATTCTTGTAGCTTGCGTTCTGGTATTATCCTTCACCGGGGATCCCCAAAGAAAACCCATTGCTAACCCCCCCACAGAAAGTCCAACAATGCGACCATCATCCATCCAAAAAACCAGCGCGCTAGACCCAGACCCCGCAGAGGCAAGCAGCGTATCCGTCACCCGTCGGCAAAGCGAGCGCCGCAAGCTCTCCGCAGACGCACCCCAGCCCCGCCCTTTAACCGCCAAGCGGAAATCCCGCAGCCTCGCCGACGCCAGGTCTCCATCCGTCCGCCACTCCTCCAGCTTCCACCTCTCCTCCTCCGACAGCCTCGACGTAACCGCCATCGACAACCGCCCGATGTGGGAACACATCAACTTCCAACTCCTCCTCGCCTTCCCGCTCTTCATATTCTCCCTCTGCGCCGTCTACAAAGGCATTCGGTCTCCGCATCTCGGCCTCTTCCACCTCCCGCCCACACAGATCGTCAACGGAATCTTCTACACCTACTTCTTCCTCATCGACGTGCTCATCTCGCACGCCCTCACGCAGTTAGCGGCCACCCTCGGCGCCGTGCTGTTGCTCAGCGAGCTGGGCGTGCAATTGAGTGTGTATATCGATGGGATTGGGGTGTCGAGACGGTTGATCAGGCATTTTGGGAGGAAGAGGTGGACGGAGGCGGGGTTGGCGGTGCTGATTGTGTGGGCGGCGGTCGGCGGACGGTTTGTGGCGGTTGTGTTGCCGTTTACGGTGCAGGTGGAGGTGGTGAGGACGTTGGCGGGGAAGTACTTCCATGTGGATCCGAATTGGGGCGCGGAGGTGCCTGGGGTGAAGGTACCGGATGCAGGGCTGCCGATGAATTCGGTGAGTTGGGCGTTGCGATGAGTTTTGGTGAAGACCAAAGGAGGACAGTTCTGCAGGTTCGGAATGCTTGGAAGGCTAATGGCAGCCGCGCAAAGGAAAGCTTGAGCCGGCGGGATGGAAACGCAAGGCTTCTACGGATGGCTTTTGTTTACTCATTAGAACGTTCCTAACGAGACGTATTATTCCCTAGGACTTTTATTTCTGGGCTCGCTTCTATACCCTCTCCGCCTCGCAGATCTGCATGGTACGAGTAACAGAAGACTCCTCCTCCAGCTCACCCAACGGCATCTCCTGGTCGCTCACAACGATGCGCGAGGGGAGCAACGCAGCACACATTGACGACGTCACGCAAGGGTCCTACCGAGCCAACCTCAACGCCGCGGCGTATGTTGCAAACACCACATGCACGCCAACGACCCCACATACGCTCTATAATATCTATGGGAATGAGACAGTGACAGATTTGATGCAGTGCCAGCTGCTGGATGGTGGCGAGCGCATCGCTTGCCATCTGCATTCCTCGTGGCTGGACCCCCCGGTTGCCGGCGTGGCAGATACGATGAACACCGGACCGCCGGCATTTGACTGTGTGATAGCGGTGCGCCGTGGGGTGGTGCAGGCAGAACTCAGCTACCATCTAGCGTCACACGGCTACTTTGGTGTCCGCGCAGCCGCAATCCTTAAGAAAATCCTTCTGGACCCTGTTCCTTACGCCTACCCCATCGACCTCGCCAACATCGCCCAGTCGATTGTCAACTCCGCGCCAGCCCCCGAAATTGTCGCGCTCGGGAAGTGGGAATGGTACTACTACAACGGCGTCTACATCGGCTCCCAAACGCAGACCGAAATCGCACTCTCCATGATCTTCCAATACATGGGCGCCGTCGGCGAAGCCCGCATCGGCGCGCCGCAAAAATCCTGGCCCATCTACGGCGACATCATCGGCGCGCGCGGCCAGCTCCCGCCGCGCGCCGGGTGGGGCATCGTCCTCGCCTGCGTGCTCTGTCCCTTCACCGTCATCATCTGCAAGCTGTACACCTGGCGACTCCACGGCGGCCGCAAAGCCGTGCAGATCCTCACCATCCGCGGCGAGTGTCTCCGCGCTATGAGCAAGCGGCTGCAGACGACAGTGTGGCCGCGGAGGGATGGCACGGGGGATACGATGGTGTATCCGGATTTTTCGGTGCGGTTGGGGAATGATCGGGAGGGGAGGGAAGGGTTGTGTGTGGGGGATGTCGAGAGGGTTGTGGGGATTGAGGAGGTGGTTGTGGCGAGCGAGCTGAGGAGTCGGAGGATTTGCACGACGCTGGATCGAGATACGGAGGCATGATCGAGAGCTTTACAGGCGGACGAGCACAGATTAGCCTGTACGAGCTTCTCGACCTGCATTTCAATCCGCTGTACACCGCATTCTGGACAAGAAGGCCTTGGGAAGTGTCGAGAGATGCCGAGCCGTTCCGAGTGGAGCACTCTCACGACCATTTGGGGCCCGACTCTATGCCTATGCATGTTAGACCCCCAGCTGCATTCACCTGCCTGCTGATGCTGCCTCGCGATCCTTCATGCTCTTCGCCAGTATGGCCTGCACAAAACTCGAACCTTTCATGCCTTCTACGCACATCAGGAATACCCCGAAGAAACGCAGAGAACGCCATCACATTATGTATCCCCTATCTAATTCTTAGACTGCTAGCTCCCAAAACAGTTTGGTTGCTTCGTAGCTACTATTTTCTCTCCGGCCCCGTATCAAGCGTAGTTCAGAGCTATAACGCTACATAGATCTATGCAGATGGTCGTGGAGGGAGTGATGTATGTCAATCTACACTTCTGAGAGCGATTTCCGTCCGCTTCAATCATAGTGCTGAAGAGTGGAACCACGGTGGTCGCCGACTGGCTCACCCGCGTGCTTGTCAGCGGGCGAGGGCCGCAGGGTGGTAGTCAATGTCAGGCTTGCCAGGTGACACGTAGATGGAATCAATAGGACGCCCCGAGAATTGCTTCGCAGCGGAAGAGTGTGCACGTCTGCTCCAGGGGAAGACTCCATACTCCAGGCAGTTTACAACCATGAATCCATATGTATGCTGGAGACAGCATGTTAAAAATTGGCTGTCTCCTTGGTTGCGTCCTTATTCCATGTGTCTAGTGCTATACTTGTCCCCCAAATGCGTGTCGGGGGCAGTGAAGAATACGTTCCTCTTCTTGACCTCGATTGTGAGCAAGAGCCCCTCGGGGACGCCAGCCTCCGCTCTTCCCAAATCCGGTAGATCAATGGTACTGGGGACATTGCCGAATTTTGTTTTTCGTTGTGCCGATTCTTTTGCAATCGACGGGCGAAATTGAAAACAAAAATTTGGACATGCGCTTCTTCGGTACACATAGTGGAGTCTTATCCCTGCGTGGAATCTTGGTCCCGTCGCCTCCGACAACATCACTGGCCTCCCGCGTGAGGTGAGTTGAGGGGCGAATCGGGGCGAACTTTGCTGCACGGCATCGCTAAACCGCAAGCTTACAGCAGACGGCATCTGTACATTTTTCTGAAGTCCACCAGAGTAGTGATGAGTACTGTTCCACCAGCCCGTGTGTTATCGCTGGTGGTCCCGATGGATGGCGGCCGTTTCCAGGGGCGTTCCGACATCGCCTACGCTGATTCTGGTGTCGGTTTCGTTATCCATGAAGGCGATTTCCGGCCCCAGCTCAAAACTCCTCCACGGCGCTGGTGATGAACTTCTTAACCCCAGCATCACTATCGCTATGGTGCCGACGACAACTCGGGACGTCCAGAATCCGCGCATCCATCGCTCCCTTTGATATCCGGTTCTGACATTAAAAAGCGTTAGCGCACCCCCATCTGTAAGGATTGGACTTTAAGGATTGGATTCCACACGATCTCATCATGACACTTGCGGCCCCGCTGAACCCCACGTTGACCGGGGCATTGTCGACATTCGCTGCCGAACAAGAAGTGCCGATCACGAGAGCACAATATCATCAAGAATGCTTTTTCCCTGGCTGCCGGACAAGGATGGGAGGGCGTGCAGGTAGACATCCTTACCTTACATCCGACGAACAGCCCGCGTGTAGATGACGGTGGATGTATGATGAGAATGATGACCTATACCCGTAACCGTGCGATGGGACGGTCCATCCACGCATCTGACCACCAACGAAACAAGTCATCAGCAAACAGATATCAGAAGCCAAAAAGATGTTCTTGATGAGTTGTCAAATGTATTCCCAAACATAATCATACCATACAACTCAAAGTCACATACTGCCCCCAAAATCGAATCAAGGCCAAAAGAAAATGTGCGCAATCCAAAAAACAAATGTCCCCCCCCCTCACCCCCGCAGATTCATAACAAGCATACAATGACAACTACATGATGATGTATCCGACGATACTAGGTCCTGCCGACGAAGGCGGCGGTCCTAATTGTGCCAACCGTTGGCAACAACACCGGGCTCGCCGTAGCCGTGGTTGTAGAGATTGGCATCCTTGGGGTTGTTATAACCAGCGTGGGGGTTGTTGGCACCGTCGCGACGACGAGTGCGGTGGTCAAAGCGGGGGAGGAGGTCGCGTTGAGGGACGGCCTCGTGGAAGAGGAAGAGGGCGACGCGGTACAAGGCGAAGAGGGAGGATGCGATCCAGAGGTACTGTGGGGGTGAAAGGAAGGAGATGGGGGGATGATGAGTTGAGATGAACGATGAACGATGAGATGAGGATGGGAGTGGTAGATGCTTACCCCGGTGAGTTTGACGAGGGCGGGCTCGTGGATAAACCAACCGAGGACTCCGAACAAGGCGCCGGTCGCGAGGGTGAAAAGGGTACCAGCCCACACAAGATCGCGGAACAGACTGATGTAAGAAGAAGAGAAAACGACGAACATTAATATACATGATCATCAGATGAGGGCGCCAACGAGTCAATGGAAAGATGACAAGATACTTACGCTGCAGCAGTTAAAACGTAGGTGATAGCGCTGAGGGGGACCATCCAGATGGCCCACGCATCGTTGTACTCGTAGCGTCCGTCAGCGAGCGCAGGATCCACTTGAGGGTGGATGAAGGCTAGGTAGAGCGAGATGGCGATCCAAAACGAGCCCCACATAGTATGGAACACGGTGGCAAGGGTATCACGAGCGCTGGATAGAAAGAGGAAAATGCATCAATCAGTACGGGAGTCAATGGGGCCAACGACGAAGATCGATGAGATGTAAGAATATGACAAGATACTTACTTAAACGACCACATCCCAGCTCCGAACTGGCCGAAGCCGCCAAAGCAGAGGATGAACGGCCACAGCATGAACGGAGTTGTATTGTCTCCATACCAGGCAGCGAGCCAAGTGCCGGTGACGAACACGGCGCTGGCGTAGGATGCCAGTCCGAGGGCAGAGGGAGGCGCGACCGGCTTGAGCGTAATGAAGGTTGCGGGGCCATTGCGGGATGTAGGGAAGTCGTATGCGTTGCCCGGTCCACCGACCATGGGCTCGTCGAGTGTAGCTACTGAAGGCATGTTGTCTTGATGGTTCTGTTTGGTAGGTGGTTGGGCGCTATGTGTATGGAGAGATGGACGCGGGGCAGGCGCGTCCGTGGACGTTATAGTAATACGGGTGTCGTTGGGTGCGGCGGTTACGGTGGATTGCGCAGGGACGGCAGGTCGCTGGGGACGCGGCATGTGGGGGTAGTTATCGTAATACTCGAGATGTCCGGATACGGAATCAGACTTTATAATCTGCCAGTAGTCCTCGGATTCGCTTGGTGCTGATGAAGATCGTCTGTGTCCGTCAGGTAGATTTAGAATAGCTGTCTTATGCGGGTAATGCAAAGTCATGAATGCTAGCTAATCAAGGAGGGGAACGAACGGGAAAGAGGAGCGGGTCCGGGTCGGGCTGCTCTTCTTTCATACTCGTCGCGCTACCTAAGCAAAGGAGGGGGTAATGGACGCGCTCGCTCATTCACTCCCCTCTCTCTCTCTCCTGCAGCGTCCCCTCTCTGTGCACTCCCAGGGCTGTGCATGAGCGCCCCCATCGGACTGTTTACAATCACCCAGTTTGTTTACCCCGCATTGTGCCGTGAGCAAAAACGACGTCAGCGCAATAGGAGCAGGCCTCGACACTCACAAGACCTGGCTACGTCAGGGACCGTGGCTTCCAACTGCTTCTGTACGTTATACTTGCGCCCGGATGACTCTGGGGGCGTAAACGTGCATGACCGAGGGCATGAGTAGGGCTTCCGTCATCCGTATAGAAGCGGCACAACAAGAAGGTGTATCGATTCCATCCTGAAAATGATTAGAGAAACCATGGTCCACCCATCTCCGTTTCCCGCGGAATGCCTTCAACGCCTCTAACTCAGGGCATCCGCGCCTTGCACACCTGCGGCGTCTCCCATTAGTAACAAAAGCTGTGCAAAGCATGACTGTGTCGCCAAGACCCCCGCGCGACGTCACGATGATTCAACGCAAAAAGAGGGCTTGCATTGCTATAGCCGATAGCAAGTTGCGGGTCTCGTGCACGCAATGCGCCTCAAAATGCGAGAGATGGAATCGAGATGTTATGTGAGTGAATGGGGGCAGGGTTTGTTTACGCTGAATTTACCTCTGGCCGAGCATTGCGACGGCGTGTGACTGACCCTTGGCAAAGGGAGGTTGAAGTGACGTCGACCCTGGAGTCCAAAGCTGTGGAGGATTAACCTACGACGCTGCATGCTTTTTGTGGTGGGTGAAGGTGACTTTGAGGCGAGCGGAGTGCGGGCGGGGCCTTGCTTACTAAGGCGCGTCTGTCACGTGGGAGATACAATATAGCGATGAGATTTATTTTGTTGCTGTCGCTTTTGGCCGTCACTGTCAATCCCTGGCGATGCTCGTTGCCCCACTTCAGGAATCGGATTGTCAGCAACTCATGATGTGTTCAGGAGAGGTCCGGCCACTAGCGGTATTCGTGTGGAGAGACATTTCTCGTCGCATTGGTGTGCCGTGAGGGTCGGTTTAGTGTTTTCAATAACAGCAGAGGTTACTGAGAAACCCCTCGTTTGCGTTCAGCATCCCGTGCAACGACCATCGCCACTGCAGGCAGTGGACACCAAACCACAGCACGGGGGACCACGGAGGCGGCTGTTGCGCACACCGCTGTGACAGAGTTTGGGGGTTCGGTGGTAGATTTTCCAAGGACGGTTCTATGTGGAGCAAGCCCCTGACGAAACGTCCGAACGCAAATCTCCCGGGTCTGCATACCATGGCAGCCTTCAGAGGGAGGGCGCCCATTGGCAGAAGCAACACCAGACCTCGTGACAGAACAAGAATGTCATATACCCCGCCAGTCATAGAAATGGGTTATGCTGTCCAAGAACGACTCTAACGCGGCCTCTTCATGAACGGGCTTTTAACGGCCGTACATCGGGCTCTGGATGGATGTTTTCAATTTTCTCCTCATTGCAAGCATCTTCCGTCCTCCGTCTAGTATATATGGCCATGCAGACATCCATCAGTGGCTGGCGTTAGATCATACAGTCCGTATAGACTCTCCAAGACTCCAAAGCGTCGATATTCCCTCGCCCCTCGCAGACGCGTTCTTTTTCTCGAGAGGACCGCCCGGCAACTGATCCGCAACCCATCCCCCCCAACCACAATCAGAGTTCGCAGTCGGACCTACACCTACATATACACACCCTTGCGGACACATAGAGCGAACACTACACATAGAGCGCTCTCCGACCCACTTGTCCCCCGCCCCCACCCCCCGCTTTCTCTATAAAGAAAATGTTCCAAAACACCCACCCACCACTAACACCGACCGAATCCGCCCTCGAATCCCGCCACTTCACCCGTGTCATCCGCGCCTTTCAATCCTACCGCGCGCACTCACTCGCCGCTATGGCCAAGCGAAGGCGGGACCTCGCTTCGTTGGGGGATGATCATCGCGCCATCTTAAGCGGGTTGGAGGAGAAGATTGGGGGGGCGGAGGAGGGGGTTAGGCGGAACGGTGTGGTTATGGAGGAGGTTGCGAGGGGGTATGGGTACGGCGCGGTAGAGGATGAGGATGAGGTGGCTGAGGTTGGGGAGAAGACACGTGGGGGCGAACACGATCAAAGTCATGAGCATTCGCATTCGTCCCACTCCACCGAACAAGACATGGACAAAGTGCGCTCGACAATCCGGCAATTCTACCGCGACTGGTCAACCGAAGGGGCTGAGGAGCGCCGGACGAGCTACGGGCCGATTCTTGAGGCTATTGAGGGGCGGTATAAGGGTTTACAGGTGGAAGAGAGGGGCGCCGTGAGGGTGCTTGTGCCGGGCGCGGGGTTGGGGAGGTTGGCGTATGAGGTTGTTCGGAGGGGGTTTACGTGTCAGGGGAATGAGTTTAGTTTTTACATGGTGGGTATGCTGCCCGAAACGACGGATTGTGTTTGAGGAGCGCATACAAAGGGACTTATCTTTGACACGCTTAGCTCCTCGGCTCACACTTCATCCTCAACCACACCACTCACACGCGCCAACACACCATCTACCCCTGGATCCACTCATTCTCGAACCACCTCACCTCCCATTCTCTCCTAACCCCCATCAGCATCCCCGACGTATTACCCGGCTCGATCCCGCCAACGGCCGATTTCAGCATGGTCGCGGGGGATTTCACAGAGGTGTATGGTGTCGGCGCCGAGGAGCAGCGGGGTGCGTGGGATGTAGTTGCGACGTGTTTCTTCCTGGATACCGCGAAGAATGTGGTGGAGTACGTGGATGCGGTCAGTTGGTGTTTGGGGGAGGGTGGGGTTTGGGTTAACTTAGGTATGTCTGCGTTTGGGGATGTTGGATTTTGTATCCACGCACGCGCCGGTTACTGAAGGGGCGCTGTTGGAAAATAGGACCCCTGTTGTTCCACTGGGAAGGCATGCCGAACGAAGTCTCGATCGAGCTCACCTGGGAGGAGCTCAAGGCCGTCATCCTGGCTCGGGGGTTCCGTATCACCGTAAGTCTTTCACTTTATACTGTCTCCCTCATCCAAAAACGGGAGTATCCATTCATTCTTTTGCTATTATCGGTTTTAGGAGGAACGAACCCTCCACACGACATACGCGAGCAACCCGACGGGGATGCTGACGTATAACTACGAGGTGGTGTTCTTTGTGGCGGAGAAGATGGCCAAGGAGTGAACATCAGCCGTATCGAAATCATTCCACGGTCCCTCTGGCTGGAATAGAATGTTGGGCGCGAGGTGTGGTTGATAAACCGCCGTACGTATCATGGGGGGATAGGCATCGGCCCCTTTGGGTTGCGATTAGCTCCCCTACCGGCTCACGCAAATCAAACGCGCCGCGCCCGACCACCGGTCGATTCCGCTCGCCAACCGAATCAACTCGCGAAAAATCCCCAGATTCATCACACACGCGCCATGAGACGTTTGCGGCGTAGGGTCGCAGAGCGATAGTAGACGGACAGAGCGATAGGGTCGGGAGAGGGCTTTGATGTACCGGCGTATGAGGCAGATGAACGATGGGAAGGGGGGAAGGGATTTTTCGGGTTCCCTTAGAAGGACGAGCGCGGTTGCATCTTTGTTTTCGCATAACATGGAAGTGTGGTATTTACAACTTTTTGGGGCGGGGGCGTAGAGTACGCAATTAAATGGGATGGTTGTTCACGTGCTTTGTTTTTTTGTCTGTTGAGATGACGTCACACCCCGCGTGACGTCAGCTGTCGTTTACATAAGCGCCCAAGACCCGCCCGGCCCCGCTCCTGCTCTCCACCATCTCATTTGGTACGTAGTGAGTGAGTGAGTGGGTCAAGGCTAGACGGAACGAAGGAAAGAAGGAGGGGCGCCCCCAATAACGGCTGGTCTATTGACAGTCATCCGAGGCTTTTTCCCCACCTTTCCCCCTTTCTCTTCTCGTGACCCCCCCAAAGTTAGGCGCATTGCCCCCCACGTTTTTATTCCTCCTCCAGGAAAAGTGTTCATAAAGAGGGGAAGGGCGTCCACGGATTGCCCTTTCTGGCACTTGATCTCGATCGAGGCGTAAAGACTCTCATTCATCCATCTGGTGAATTATTACATATCCAGATACGCAAGAACAGACTGGCGAGCTATCCACAACCAGCTCGCTTACAACTCGCACAACCCACCCAAAAAAATGCCCCTCGAAATCGACCCCCTCCCCCACTCCTCCACCGTCACTCAGACAGACACATACAACACAGACTACGATTACACCGACAACCCCACCGACGATGCAGGCGGCGGCGCGTATGATTATGAGCGCGGGTCCCCGAGGGCTATGCGGAGGCCCGGGGGGAGGGGGCCCGGCGGGTGGAGTGCCGGAGGTGCGGGAGGAGGGGAGGGGTGGGATAATTCTCGAGGTGGGTTGTTGAGTTCGAGGGGTGGTGGTGGCGTTGCGAGTGAACAGGGGGTGAAGATTGCGAGCGAAACGAGGTCCACGTCCAGGGTTGTTTCGACCTGTGAGCGCAACAGCGAGCGCGAAAGCTGTAGTGTTTCTTTCGTCATCATCGGTGGTTCTTGGTTGAAGGGCCGATGGGGTTGTTGATGAGATGATCGTTGAAGGGCACATTCTCATCACGCTCTCTTCTTTTTTCCAGACTCATTCGTAGACTCAACCAGCTACAACGACCTCCCCACCTCCTCTCCCGAATTCGCGCTCTCTCCTCCCCACCACCACGACACCTCCTCCATCCCCGTCCCGGACTCCACCCAACCCACCGATTCCCTCGCCCCGCCCCCCTCAACAACCCCGCGCCGCGCCTCCCTCATTCCCGAAAGCGCCGTCGAGGCCAACACCACTGAGTTGGAAGACTACGCGGACGCCAGTGGTGGAGGCGACAGGACCCCGAGGAGAGTCTCCGTAGCCGCCGGGTGGGCCGCCGCACTCCCCCACCCACAACCGCAACAAGCGCAAAGGAGCGAGAATCCGACCGTGAACCCAACCGCAGGCGTCGGGGTGACACCCAGACGCAAATCCATGGTGGACACCCTCACTTCCTCCGCCTCCTCGATCGCTCTCATCAGTGAGTCCGACATCCAGCGGCCCCACCGCCGGCATCACTCACACTCACACTCTCACCACCATGCCATCTCAGACTCCCCGAACCAGAGGGTGTCCCGCTCACCCTCCCCAACCACCTCCCACTCCGCCTCCCTCTCCGACTCGGACTCGGATGCGGACTCGGACTCGGACTCGGACTCTGGCGATGATGAGGATTACGCGCCGGGAACGATCGCGGCGAGGAGGGCGTCACGGGTGTTTGAGGAGGGGGCGCATCAGATGGGTGATTCGGGGGTGGATGTGGGGCGGAAAGGTGACGGGATGTTTGGGAGGGAGGACGGGGTGGTGTATGCGAGGGAAGGGGAGGGGGATCCCGAGGTGTTGGGGGAGATGATTGTTGGGGAGAGGGTTCGGGTGCGGGTTTGCTGATTAATGTGAGAGGGGCGTTTCGGATTGGGGTGAATTGGTTTGGGAAAGGGAAGAGGGTCATTTCTGACTCGGGGGATTTTTTTGGGTGCGGAGGGAGTTTTGGAGGCGGGGAAAAATAAGAGAGTTGTGGGAAGCGCTTTTCTGTTCCCATTCTTCCTATCCACCGGGCTAGTTCCCGATATTCCTTCTTATACTGCAATTTTATGTGTGATTTCTGAAGCCATTCCTTCGACACTCATGAATACCGGCAAGCAGTGAGGTTCGAAAGTCGTTCGGCGGACTGGACATTTGCATCATGTACTTTTCCTGCCCTATTGAGGCTTCCATCGCTCGAGTATGCACCGTCGTCCCTTCTCAAACGCCCGTCCAGAGTCTGGATCCTGGAGATGGGCACCGAAACCGCCTGATACTGTAATTCATTCAAAATCCACCAGCCCCGAAATGTAAACAGAGCGGGTGTTCGGGAATCTGGATTGCGTACGGATAATACGAGAGTGATTCGGAGGGTCAAGCCACGGAGCCGGAAGTGACGCCTCTGCCCACAAGTGAAGTTGAACGCCCAGAGACAGCCAGCCCGCAGACATGTGCATGTGTGTTCCCGCGGCCGTCGGTCGTCGTCGGACACCAACGGGACGCGCGGGAGACTTCGCACTCGCCGACGTCACACTTCCACCTTCCTCCCTGCTTTACACCCTGGCCACCCCCAAAGGGCATAAAAGGAAACGGACCCCCTGTCCCCACCCATCCGCCACTCATCTCAACACCAGTACGCAAAGCCCCTACCCGCAGCTTCACCCCACCCCCGCACTCGCAATCATGCAGAACCCCGCCAAAGACTTCATCCCCCTGATCCTCGATCCCATGCTCTCCACCGACCTCACCACACTCAACCGCACGGTCGACAACTATATCGCAGACGATATGGTGTTTCATCATCCCGCGTTTCATGTCGAGGGGAAGGAGGAGGTTAGGAAACTGTATACGACCTGGAGTTGGGCGAATAGACGGTTTGGGGAGTTGAGGATTAATGCGTTTTGTGAGTATTGCCCCTAATTTGCGGGTGGGAGCCCGGGCGAAGCAAGTGTCCGCGCCGCCAGGCGCAATAACTGGCATCGACTGCGAACGATCATGTTTATTTACTCGTTCAACCATCCGACCATCCCACCAATGCTTCCCATCTTACACATCACACTGACACTCGTTCACTTTCTCTCACTTAAGGGTACGATGAAGTGACGAACCGGGTCGTGACCGACATCGATTACCAACTCCAACCGACCTTCTTCCTCCCGACCGCCGAACCCCAACTCGCTCGCGTCATCACCATCTTCCACCTCCGCGCGGTCCCAACCTCAACCGGCGTCCTGCACTACCTAACCCGCCAAGAAGACTACTACCCAACCGACAGCATCGTCGCCGCCTGCACACCGCAACCCTTCTCCCGCTTCTCAAAATCTCTCGCAAACCTCATCCTCCGCCTCGACGGCCTGTTCATGATCTACATCCTCTCCCACGTGCTCTGGATCGTGTCGGCCGTGCATGAGGCGCTGGGGTGGAAGAAGAGCGAGTTGAGGGGCGTCAAGCAGATTGTGGGCGTGGATGGGAAGACGGAGAGTGTCCAGGAGAGGGAGAGGATGTTGAGGCTGCTTGGGAGTGCGCCGAAGGCGGCTGGGGATGGTGCGGCGCAGAGAAAGGCGAGGTTGGCGGTCGCTAATGGCGCTGCGAGGCCGAATGGGATTTAAGATCCCGTTGAAGAGTCAAACGGGCTTTCCCTGCTTTGATCAAAGATGTCCGTCTGATGTGTATGAAGGCTGGTGATGCCCTCGACATTTACGGTAGATTTTTACCGTCTTCAGCTCGTCCCCCCTTTTTCCCTTTGGCGTAGAACGTATGCCCGCTTTCACATATGTATCCAAAATACACAATACCTTTCGCACTTTTGGCTCCCAATCCATTCTCGTGCATGCAATTATAGCCTCGGTAAAACTGCCCTTCTGCTCTTTCTACATGTCTGTTTCAGAACGGAGTGACCTTGCAGCAAGCGCCTAGACGGAAATGCAATGAATCGAACTCGGAAAATGGTTCTACCGCCGACAGATAGGTTCCTTTGGCGCATGAGAGAAGCCACGTCCATAGAGCCAAGCGACGTTTCTTTTGCGAACTTTCGAGGCGATGGATGGTTAAGGGGCCTTTTGCTTTTACCGGTCGGATGGATTGTTCAATGCGCGGAAAAGGGACGCTTTCCTCCTCTCATCCAGGGTTGCCGGTGCTCATGGGGGTGCCCTTTGGGCGCGCGGTCAAAAAATACACCAGACGAAGAGTTCCGCGCTGTCGAAATTTATTCCGTCCTCCTGCGGTGTCTCTCCCCATGGAAGGACCTCGCCAATCAGCTATGGCTAGACGGTATCCCAAACTACAGCGCTCGTGATGGGTGGGCCGGGTGGGGGTGGAGGGAAAGGATGTGCGGACACAGCGCGGGCAGCAGCAGCTCGGACTGTGTGGTGGTGCTGGAGAGTGCACGGATCCTCAGCAATCTACCTCATGCCTTGTAATCTTTTTGTGTGTGCCTGCCTGAGTCAACGGGCCTGTGGATATGTGTTGGACCTGTCCAGCCACCGCGGCATGAGATGAGAGTAAACCAACGCACACGGAAGGGGGCCTACATACATACAGCAGGAGGGGAGCGCCTAGTGCTTTTGTGCCTTCATCTATCTGGTCTCTCTATTGACTTTCAGCCAGCGCTATTGATGGGACGAGGCCCGGAAACGCGGCTGCTGCCGAAGACCCGCCCGACCATAGTGCCGACGAGTCAGCCGGCGTTGGGCCGTAGAGATCATCCCAGATATGCCCCTCGATCAAATGCTGGGATGTGTCTCCCGAGCGCAGACAGTCTCATCTTACGCGCACTGTTGGCCAACCAGCGTATGACGACTTTCAGCCAACAGGATCTCTAGGGCTTCGGGCCGCAAAGCCACATTCTAAGCTCGCTCGGATCAGCAGGACCTCGTTCAGACCGCCGGAACATCATAGCCGAGTCCGTTTGTTGTACCCTGTCGACAACAGGTCGTGCAAATGATATCCTTCGGGGCTAAGAGTCCAACCTCTGCCTCATGGCTCATATAACCAGAGGAGTACGCGCTTCGCCCAGAACGCATTGGACGGAGTGTGCTCAAGAAGGAATAATAAGCACCGGAGCTTCCGCGACCATCTTGCTATGTGAGCTTATGAATGTCAACGCCTAAGCTATTCGAGTTAGCCGAGACGATGATACGGGTCCTCCCACAGGACGGTGTTAGGAGCCGGTCCGCCGCACCTAGTCACAAGTCGTTTGCCGTGCTCCCACACTGTGTCGGCGTCTGTCCTTGAACTGGAAGATTCCCGCCACCATCCTTGCAGATAACTACATGCATGCACAAGAATCACCGAGATACCACCAGATGCCATTTTGAAACAATGAACCACACCGAAAGCAATAGGTTTTTCGTTCGAGACCACGGGGTGTCGTCCAGTTTTGCATTCATCGTCCCAGGGCCAGACTGTCAAAATCAACGAAAACAATAGATTACGCGCTGTCGAATTCTTACTCATTCGAAATTCCGCGATTCCCCGGGGTAAACATGAACCCTTGCATTCATTCACATTACACCCGGTCCCTTTCAACGCTGCACCGAACACCCAGTATGCGTACCGACAAGGGTCGTAAGAATGGCTGACACCGTCAAGCAGACGGATATCGAAGACGGCGCCAAGCCTCTCCTCACCTCGCGGGAACCGAAGTTCCGTATTCCGCTGGCTGTCCTCTTGCTATGTAAACATTGAGTTTCTTCAGTTCCTTTCTCTGCTCTGTCTGCTCGTTGACACCATGCATTCACCTCTGCAGTGACAAGTCTGCTCGTAGCGGCGTCGATCACGATCCCCGTGGCGGTGTTGGCCTACAATGGCGCGGATGAGACGGTGGCGACAGGTGAGGCCATCGCTGGAATGCACACGAAGGCAGACGTGTCGGAATTTGCAGGGGGTTGTACGTGCATTCGCCGTTCTGGTACGCGCCGCACCATCTGTTACTGGGATTGGTGTCGAGTTGTAGACTGCCCTCGTTGTTGAGGGTGAGAAAGAATGGCGCGGTGAGCAGCGACAGGCGAGTACAAGTATTGCTCGAGGGACCGGGATGTCCTTGCTAAGGGGGGTGCCAGGGTGGTCTTCCCAGTACTTTTGCCGCATCTTGTCTTAGGTAGACCAATCCCCACCGTTGGATGCCGTATGTTTCGACCATTTTGACGAGCTTCTGTTGGTAGAGGAAGAGGTCGGGGTAGATGGAGGGGTACGCGTGGCCGTAGACTTGGGAGACGTTTCCCCAGGAAGTGATCCATTCGGCGCTGTTGGTGACGGGTTTCCGTGCTCCATGTTCTTCAATCTCCAAGGTCCTATCCTGTCCCGGCACGAGCTCGAACTTCCGCTGGCCGACGGCGAATCGGATAGAAGGATGGACCTTGTCGAGGTCCACGTATCGCAGGTGGACCACGTTATCGGGGACCACCTCTACAACCCCGCCACCCGTTCCGCCTACCAAGCCACACAGCACCCGCTTCCCCTAATCCAGATCCCCGCCTCAGCCATCAAACAGCAATACAAAACCTGGCAGTCCGTCCCCTCCTCCGTCTCCCAAACCTTCGACACGCCCAACGGCAAAGTGTGGTTCGAGCTCCGCGCGCTGCGGGCTGATCATTTACTGGATTGGTATGCCCTGGTGGCGATCCCGGAGGGGGATGTGATGGGCCCGATTGTGGCGAGTCGGAAGGGGGTGGTGGCTACTTGCTACTTCGTTGGGCGTTGCGGTCGCGATGTTGACGTTGGCCGCGGCGACGTCCGTGCTTGTTACTATGCCGATTCGGAGGCTTACGGTAAGGGGGTTGGCGTGCGAGCACGTTGCGTCTGCATATATCTGTCTGTATTCACATGCATCAACACTGGCATTTGGGATTGTCGCAGGCGATCATGGAACAAGCAACCTCAATGGACTTCTCCGCACTGAAAGGTGGATATCCCGAGGGTATGTTCACATTACGTACGCAAAATGAGCTTTCTGCTGCTAAAGTCTGGTATATCTCGTCTCTGTTGACTGCATCAATGCATCGACTGATGGGGTCGACGACGGAGAGGGCAAGTAAAGTGAAGTGATTGGAAGGACCTCTGCTTCAAAGATTTCAAAAGTGTTGGCTATTCTGTTGCGACGTACGGAAATATGATTTGTTAGTTGTCGTCCATTGTGGAGTTGTTCGAGGCTCTTTGTGGATCATCTGTGCGTTTCCTCTAAGCGAAGATCGTGCTGTGTCCAGATGGTCGGCCAAATCGGGCTTTCTGAATGAATCCACGGACATTATTGAAGCTGCTCATTCGGGGAGCATTGCACAGCGGTCGCACTTAGAATCTATCGACATATCATGTTCCTTTCCATGAGCTGCTCACTTGGTGAGATGGAGTACGGTTTTGATCGTAATGTGCATGTATTTGAGATGTTTGACAGCTTTGTGAATGCCCTATCTGTGAACCGATCATGACCCCTGTTTCTGTGCCGTCTCGGCCTTCCTTCAAATCTTCAAGCAGTGTCTTCGCCAACGAATATCCAAGGACAGCTGTGCACTGAGTATCGAATGTCCATGAGGAACAATGGCTCCTTCATGTGCGGCCAGAATCTCATGAGCGGTCAAGCCTTCGTAGCCTTGATTTGGTGTGCCTTCCTTGTGCATTCGTGTACCAGGCGTCGGACAGCACGTCGATCTTCGTTGTCGGGGTACATGAACTGCTTTTCGCCCAAGAGCATATGCCTCCACGTCATAAGTTCTAGTATTCGGAGGTGAGGAAAAGTCAGATGAACATGACCCGGATGGCTCTCCATATCCATGTTCATCTGACTTTGGTCTAATATTGGGAGCAAGTTGAGCTCCAGTCAATTGTGCAAAGCATAAACTGTCAATCCGCGCACTGTCAATACCTCCACACGGATTTCCTCGTCCCCGCACGGAGTCGCTTTCCTTGGTCTGATATCCAAGGAATTGGATTCGCAGCCTTCGCAGTCTCATGAACGTGAGATGTGGAGAGTTAGGCGTGTCGGCACTGAGCCTTCATCAACGCCGGCGAAAAAACGGCAACTCGAGAAATAATTCTGGCTCGGCCTAGCTCCGCTTGACCCGATTTCTTGCGTGGAGACTCCTAATTATGGGATCCCGCACAGAGCGAGAACAAAGGATTCCTCACATGTAGCTTCAATTACGATTTCGCATCGATCGTGGGCCCTATGCGGACGAATACACAAAGCGCTGATGCTAACAACCCTGGGACCAACCCTATACCCCACATGAGAGCTCCCCATAATACAATGACATATGAAGCTGCCCTGTGGAGCTCCGACGGGTGAAGGGACGTAGTCATGCATTACAGAGTGGAGAGGAGAAGAAAGGATGCCAGTACGCAGACATATATGCAGATGGCAACATGAGGCGTTGCCTGCTGGGTCAATGTCAAGAACGGAGGTGGGAACAGGGCATCTTAGGACACACAAGATTGGAGCTTTTCAGTGTCCCCTCTTCTGCTCTGTGCTGTTGTCATTCCAAGACAGAAACGAGCTGGCGCCGTAAGGGCACCGATACGGAAAAGCAAAGCAAACCCACATCGCCGCCAGACGAGGAAGCCGGCACCATCGCCGTACGGCAGCGATGCCCCGCTTAACATTCACCAAAACTGCCCTAATACTCCACGCCTTCTTTGGCCTCGTTATCCTCTGCACCTGCGGCCTACTGCTCTCCACCATCCCAGCCATCCACCCTCGTTTGCGGTATTCTACCAACCCGATCGCGCATGACAATGCCGCACCAACATCTCCTTCCACCCAAAATGCCGACGAGAATCACGATCAGAATCAAGTCGCAATTGCCGCGAGACTGGCAGCCAACGAATGCATACGCTCCACCACCGATGCAGAGCGAGGAAAGCGACCGACCTACCCACGCCGGTTCCTGGTGACGCTCACCGAAACAGCGCCGTCACATGACGAGCATTTCAGCGATCTGTTCCGCGTCGTCGGAAACCGGTGGAACTGGAACAACGCCGGCAGTTACAGCAGTGAAGGCGACGAAAACACCAACACCCCCGGCGTAACCGTCCGGCACGCCTGGCACATTGGCAATTTCCGCGGGTACAGCTTGGAATTCAAAGATGAGCCCAGATGTGTTGAGTTTTGGACGGCGGCGGCTGAGAGTGCCAGTGGGGCACATGAGGGGAATGATCGAGTTGGGGAGGGAGGGGTGGAAATGGCGCCGTGGCATCAGGCCGTGATGCATGTGGAGGTGGATTACCATGGCGCAGTGAATGCGGTGGCGACGCAGGAGAATCCGCCCTGGGTACGTACCTCAAGGGGTCTCCGGATGTGCTCCAGGAGAGGCGGGCTCTCGATGCGCTCCCTTGCCATCCTTCAACACTTCTCCTTCTCTCTCGCTTCTGCACAGGGCCTCGACCGCATCGACCAGAAAACCCTCCCATTGAACAATGAGTACACCTACCTTGACACCGCAGGTGACGGCGTCGACATTTACGTCGTCGATACGTACGTATGCACATATCTTCGCGCCTCGTGCTTTGCGCCTGCCCTCACTTCAGTTTTGTCGACAGCGGAATCAACATCAACCACACGGAATTCGAAGGCCGAGCTGTGTGGGGCGTCACGGTGCGCACGGATGGGGCGCCGGATTATGATGATAATGGTACGAAGATTGATTTGTCTCTTCATACACTTCTTCCGTTTCATCTTTCATCTGATTGTGTTGTGTTGTGCGTGCGTCATTTCCAGGTCACGGAAGCCACGTAGCAGGCATCGCAGGCGGCAAAACGTACGGGGCCGCCAAAGCCGTGAAACTGATTGCTGTCAAAGCGCTGGACGGGAATGGCGCGGGCCCGTTCAGTGAACTGATTGATGGGCTACAGTGGGTTGCACGGACGGCGCCGGGAACGGGAAGACCTTCGGTTGTCAAGTATGTTGGGTTTTCGTGATGAGTGTTCGCGATACCATATCACTTTGACTTTCCATACACACACATTAAACGCATCCCCCCCCCCCCCAGTCTCTCAATCCAAGGCGCGGTCTCGCAAGCCCTCAATCAAGCATGCACGGGCCTCATAACCCTGGGTATCCACGTTATCAGCGCCACAGGAAACTCGGGCGAAGACGCCTGCGGGTACTCGCCCGCCGTCATCGCCCCACAGACGGCTATCATTTCCGTGGGCGCAGTGGATGATACGGATGCGGTGCCGCCGTTTAGTAATTATGGGGCTTGTGTTAGTTTGTTGGGGCCGGTGAGTTCAGGATTGATGGGTCTCGGTGCGTGGGAGTGGATGTGCGCTAATGTGTTTTTGGTGGTGCAGGGGGTGAATATTCTTAGTGTCGATGGATGTAAGGGATGAACAGACAGAATTCCGTGCTGCCTCTGAGAAGGACTAGATTAGATTCACAAATAACACTTCACAGCAACAAACAACGGGACCCTCCTCATGTCAGGCACATCCATGGCCGCACCTTACGGTAACGACCTCCTCCTATCCCGCCACTCCTTCTTCCTCCCCTACCATTCAGCGCCATTCACACCTCCCCTTTCACAGTCTCAGGAACAGTCGCCGTCTTCCTCTCAAGCCCAAGCACCACGGTCCCGAAGGACCCCGCAGGCCTCAAGCAGCACCTGCTCTCCAACGCGGACGCAATCGCGGCGGGGAATGGCGGCGTTGCTGTTGGGGTGTTCAACAACCTTTAAGCGTGGGGTAGTAGGATTCTAATACGGCGTAGTTTGGCCGCGTAGATACATTCTTTGCGATCCTTTTTCTTCGTGTGCATGTTTGGTTTTTTTCTTCCTTTTGTCATGCCATAGCAGCACTCATAGCAATCACACCTTGGCAAACGCATTCCTCACCATGCTACTTACGACTTCTGTAATTGCCAATCATTCTGTTGGACATACGTGGCTTTTGACAGTGGCTGACTGACGGCATAGAGAGCGCGCTGTCGAATTGCTCTCGTTCATGGAAATTCCTCAGAATTCACGGCAATGTTAAGCCTCCCTCCGAGCACGCCGATTTTAGAGATGGAGCCTCCTTCAGTAGGTTTTCCTGCGCTTCTCAGTCGAGATTGGAGAGGTAGCTTGATTACTGTGAGATGTGATGCAGAGTTGTCCTGCATTCTTATCATCTGCGAACGGGAAGGATTGCGGGACTGCGGGAGGCGTCTTCCTTCAGCCGAGTTTGGCAACACCCTCGGCCACAAGAACTCCCAAGTCGGTCAACGACAGTTCATAAAACACGCAGGGCTTGCAAATACGTGACGCCGTAAACCCTGATCGAACTTTGCAAATCTATTCGAAGCCATGATCGAATCATGCGAATGCCTCTCCGAATTCGGGCCGTATAAAGGAAGCCGTCGTGGATCGAAACTTTCCCTTCCTCGTTTTTTTTGAACGACATCAGCAGACGCTCAGCAGAAGGGAGGAGCAGAAAGCAGAAGCCTCGAAAACCAACACCAAGAGTGAAAGACCAACGCTCACACAGCAGCAAAATGTCCAAGCAACCACCAGCATACACAGTCACAGAAGGGGATCACGACGAACCCCACCCAGCCTACACGCCTTACCCCACCCCACAAGCAGCTCCCGCGGGGACGCAAGTCAAGGCGCTATTGGGAGCCTCCCCGAGCACCCAACCCGTCGTCTCGCAACAACCGCAGCGAGAGACCCAGCCGAATTGGTCGCCCGCCGTCCCTTCGCAAATCACGACGACGAGTGCGTTTGCGGAGCAGAGAGACACGGAAAAGGAGCCTAAGCCGCGTGATGGGATGACTTCGGGTAAGCCGTGGTTTTGGGGGAGGTTTGCAGTGGGTCGGACGGGATCCTTACATAAGGACCGCGTTTTTAGGGAATTGGATGGGCGATGTGGTGGTGTGTTTAGGAGGGCTGATCCCGGCTATATGCTGCTGTATGGCGGCGGACGGATGTTGTTTGGATGGATGCTGTGACGGACATGATCATGGTATGTTTCAGAGTGAGGGTGCTGCATTATGTTGTAGCGCGGCAATCGGCTGTGATCTTGCAAAAAGGGACGGCGCCAACGACTGATCCCCGTCCCTCTTCAGAATGTTGCTGAGACTGGCCGGTCCACATTGTGCTCAACTTTCAAATCCTGCTCACCGGATTCACCGCCGACATGGCCGCGGCATCATCCATCGCACCCGCGTCGCAGTCTGTACAGCTGCGGGTTTGTATGAAGGCATATCCAGTGATTTTTTTCCCATCTTTTTGCGACATCCCGCCGGGTACATCATGGGGGTTAGAGCGTTTGTATGCCACCACTATTTAATCGAAGAATTTTTCATTTTGGGCGAGGAGTGTGAAGAATGAAATCGAGCGCTGAGTTTGATGTGGTCACTGCGACGGTGGCCTGGACGGTACATCGGCGGGAGAGAACGATGTAGAAGGCCGAACGGAGAGCGATGGCCGTTCTTCTGCGCTCATCAACCGGTCTTGAACTTCACCGATAAGTGTTCTCATCTGCACCCATGCATCTGATTGTAGCTGCACAGAATGTGAGTTATGCACGATTGGGCCAAAAGACAACGCATTTTTCTTTCGAGAGCCCCCAGAGACAACTCTGATGAAGCGTCGGTGATGGGTGATGAACCCGTCCCCGAAATTCTGGCCGAGACTCGAGAAATGGACACAAACAACCCACATCCCGACAAAATGGACCCCTCATTGTTCCAAACCAAAAGGTATTTCCCCCACCGGGAATCGAACCCGGGCCACGTCGGTGAGAGCGACGGATCCTAACCACTGGACCATGAAGGATTTGGTGACTTTCGGTGTGTTTTTGAGAGTTATATTCGGTTCACGTGAAGAGTAGATATGAGTTCTCCCCCCCCCCCCTGCATTTAAGTCAGCTAAGCCCTTCATCAGTGATGGGTGTTCGAAGCCATCCAGGCTATTGCATTCTACATACGAAGCAGGGAGAGCAGTCGACGTTAAGCAGTGCTGTCTGGGGAGAGCAAGAGCAAGAGGAAGAAGGTTCAGCACTACATATAGCCGTTCTCAAATTATCACTCGCCTCGCCCGCACACCTGGCGTCGGTGTAGGCGTCAAGGTGTACATGTATATACACTGCGCCGAAATGCCACCTAATAATCCCACGGGTGTTACGAAAACGTGCGGCTACACATGCCAGCTTTATTACGTCGGAGTCTCTACGTGTAGGATCTTTAAGTTGTCGGGACTTCATGAAGAACTGATTTCATCGATCTTGACCGACGCTTATCGTAGGATCCGCACATGGAAAAACGCTGGCGCAAGCGTCTTCAACACTAGCATGCTGCAGCCTCCAGCTGAGAGTCAGAGACGTCACTGATCAGAGTCGGTCAGGATCTTATGTCTTTGTGCGAGCCTCACCAGCGAGGCCTCTCCGAGCACTCCATCAGTGTAGTATAACTTCTCCGCATGCCAGAGCCCCGCCGTATCGGTCAGTGGCACTGCTGATCCCCGAGGCTCTTTTGCCAGCGCCGAAAAGGACGTGCAACTCTACTGTGCTGCCCGACGCCCGTAGGCTGATAGACTTTTGGGGATGTTGTGTACACCTCAACCACGGTTACAGCCGGCGAGCCTCTCACCCGTCATGTTGTACAACTCAGACCTCCACTTCGATCTCCGCAATGATTCAACTTGACCTCCCGGAAGGCCGTTCAAGACACATCGCAGTCGCAGATACCATAACCTCTATGACCTACACCCGCCCAAACCATCGCCTACTACTACCGTCAGCCGGCGGCCGGCCCTAGCACAGCCCAATATCCGGTGCTGTACAGTCGTCACCAGTGCACCTCCTTGAACTGTGATGAAGGAGAGGTAACCAGGATGACTGACGGCGCTCTTATGCACCGCCGTCGTCTTCGCCTTCCCCGCTCACTGTTCCCGCACTGATTCGCAGGGTGATGTGCAAGTGGTCAGAGTTGTAAAACGAGAGATGGATATCGGCAGTGTACCTTTATCACTGAAACCTGACGACGGCAAAGCCTGATCCTGCTTGCCACCCCCCTTTGCTTACTTTAGAGCGGTCAAGACCTCTCCCACCTTAACCGAAAGTGAGTCTGCATACATACATACAATGGCCGACTCGCCCTGCCCCTCCCCCTGTCCTTCGGACCCCTCGCCACCGTCAAGAACGAGCTCCATCGCCCCCGATCCGCCCTCACGAACAAGCTCAATCGCACCCATGTCCCCACCCGCATCCCCCGCTCCAGCTCCGGCCCCTACTTCGTCAGCGTCCTGCCGCAAAGGCATCGACGTTCAATACCTCGTCGACCAAACCCTCTGGGCGCCACTCCCGCCTCCCCGCTCCTCATCCCTGTTCAACGAAAAAGTGGACCTGCCATCTGACGAGCCGCCCCCGCCATACAGGTCTCTACCTCGCCATTGTGCCCTCCCGGTCTGTACAGAGGATCTTCTCCCATCGCCTACATCATTACCGTCTTCCACACGCACACCGACGCACCCACCACCCACACCGACACCCTCCCCATCCCACCCATCAACACCAGCGCCCCGCACCCATCAACAACAGCAAAAAGAAGTCCAAGCCAAAGCCAAAATCCATGCCATCGAGGATCAAACCCTCTGGGGCGGCACTCCACCCCCTCGCACCAAAAAACACACCGACAAACCGCATCGTCCGCCCGGCGCGCTCATCAAGGCGTTGAAGAAGTTGGATCTTGATCTTGAGGATCGACCAGCACCGGCACAGTTGGAACATGCGTACTACTGCTTTCATAATCACACGCAGTGTCCGCGTAACGGGCCGTGCTTGAATCCGCCGCCGTCGGTGGGGAGTCTTGGGAGGAGGAGGGAGGTGGTGGCGAGGGAGCGGAGGTAGATTGAGGCTGTCTGTCTGTCGGCGAGGCGACGAGGAACGATGCGAGCGGAAGTGCGTTCGAGGACGAGGGGATCGCCCGGATGGGAGGAAGGGGAGAAGGGATTGTGCCCAAGAGGACACGGGGAGGACGGCAGGTTGAACTGGACACATATACCCGTCGCACGGTCTGGATCACTTAGACCCGAACACCAGCGGCCCGCAACAGCCAAATGATCGGACGTTCCGCCACCGGATACCTGCCCTCCCACCCTTACAACGCGATGCGGTACATGAATCGTCAGCGACTTTCGCCGGGTATCGAGCCGCGTTGGTCGAATCCCTACCCCGGAAAAGCTGAACTTGCAACGATGGAGACATTATCCTCCAATTTCCGATCCCCGCTCTACCCCCGCCACGATCTCATGTCAAGAGTTCACTTTGATCAGCGATGTCATGTCAAGCATACATTCACGCTTCCCGATTGGCGGCATACCCCCACCTGCTGTTTCCCGCCTACCCCGTACTCGTTCGACATACCCATCCGCAAGCTTTCGCCCTCTGATCAGGGCATTTTGACGCTCTTTATTTCCACACACCTTTATGTTATTTTTATTTTTTTGGTCGGGGAGGGAGGGGGAAAGAGGGTTTGCATTGGAATCCCGCTTTTACCGTAGTAATATACTTTTGGGATCGTTGCGGCGTAGTATCTATCTTTGCTTTTCGCGCCGGCGGGACCGGGCCTGGGCTGGATCCGACGTGGCGCTCGTGCTTTCGCACCTTTTTGTTCATGAACGTATATACAATCATAACCGTCTTCCGCTTCATCGTCGTTTCACCATTTATCGAGCCAAGAAGAGAATCGTGGGAGCAATGGGCTTGTAGAACATCGTTGAGTTCCGGCCGTTCAGAGGTACTCCATGCTTGCAAGACCACCAACAGAACAGCCAACAGGTTTGCTGCAAATCCACATCAACCACCGCACCAGATTAGTCTGAGGAAAGCACTATGGCGGCCGTATTATTATTCAGACATATGTACCTTCATCATGCGTCACGGCATCAACCCTTGAGCAGGTTTCTCAGATCTATACATATAGGGGTAACGAAGCGGCCAATGATGTGTCCAAATGCCCCTCCAACAATCCCAGACATCGAACGGCCTTCAGCTCCCGATGGCCGGCAACCTCCGTCACAAAGCACGTCCCAGCGAGAAGATTCCCTCAGAGCCCGTCTAGCTGAGTCGCCGAGTCACTAGATCCACAGCTGACTCCCAGCCAATGTTTTCACAAGCGTCCCAACTTTGAAAGTGCACTATGATTTCTTCCCCTTCCAACTCCATTTGGCCGGTGACCTCCGTCACAGAGCACCTCCCAACGAGAGGAATCCCTCCGGAACCCGTCTCGTTGAGTCACTGAAGCCATGCGCTGACTCCCGGCGCATGTTCGGGGGGAGGGGTGCGGTACCTTCCGGGGTGTCGAGGAAGTGCATTAGAGACGGATCACAGCCTGCGAGTTTCGGATGCTGTAGTGCTCCTGCGCCCCGTAGATGCCGTCAGCATGTAGTGGCTGTTCTCTCCCTGAGGAGATCTAGATGGTAGACCCAAGTCATCCTTGAAGCGGGTTCACCTTTCCAAAATGAGAGAGGAAGAGAAGTTTGGACGCCTACAGCCATATATACAGTACATACATTCATGCGACAAGGAGAAGAGAGACACAGTCATGAAGAGGAGAAGACAGATACAGAAAGAGGGATATACAGATTTGGGTTTATAGGAGAAAGAAAGACATGTACAGAAAAGGAGTCTGGTGTGGTGAGACAGTAGTTCGTGGGATATATCACATCGTATGAATGGGTTGCGTTGAGACTTGTATATCTGAAGTCAGTGACATGTCTCACACCGACACGGTCGGCTGCGTCTGCTCGAACGTAAACGTCCTAAACGCTGGGAAGAGGGTGTCGCCGGGGATGGTCTCGATGGGCAAGGGGGCGCCGTCGGTGGGTGTGGGTGCGGCGGTGGGTTCTTCAGTGGGCACATCGGTAGGAACATCCGTGGGAACATCTGTAGGGGTATCCTCAGTAGGAGTCGGCACAACCGTCTCCACCGGCACATCTTCCGTCGACGTCGGTTCATCAATACTAGTAGGGTCGTCCTCCCCGCCCTTCTTCTTCCCATCCCGATGATGGTGGTGGTGATGGCGGTGGTGGTGATGACGGTGATGCTTCTTACATTTCTTCTTCTTCTTCTGTTCACCATCGACCGACGGCAGGTCCGTCGGAATCAACGGCGGACTCTCATAATCCGCCGTAGTGGTAACCACGCCATCAGCCGGTGGCAAATCAGTCGGAATCAGCGGCGGACTCTCGTAATCCGTCGTCGTAGTGACCACCCCATCAGCCGGTGGCAGATCCGTCGGAATCAGCGGCGGACTCTCGTAATCCGCCGTCGTAGTAACCACCCCATCAACCGGCGGCAAATCGGTCGGAATCAACGGCGGACTCTGGTAATCCGCGGTCGTCGTCGGGATCTCGATCCCCGTGCCGCCGGTCTCGAAGATGGGGAGGCGGGTGAATGTGTTGATGGCGGGGGCGTCGCTGAAGATGGGGAGGGTGGTTGTGGGGTGCTTTTTGGTGAGGTTCGGGGAGATGAGGCCGATCGGGGGACCGTCGGGGTTTTGCGGGGCGCGGCGGGCTAGGTCGTTGAGCTGGGGGAAAGGGGTGGCGTTAGAGAAACGGTTTTGCAACATTCTCCCCGACAGGGAACACTTACGGGAATAGCTGACGCTATGAGACCCGAGGAGGCGCTTAGGGCCGCGAACGCTAGGACCAGCTTCGTCCACGCCATGGTGGGATATGTGATGTGATTTGATGGGATATGGGGTGGGTTAAATACACTCAATCAAACGATGTAATGTAGGTCAATTGGATAGGAGGGGAGATGGGATTCCTTCGAGCAAAAGGTGTTGACGAAGCCGCTGCCCACTTCTCGCATCTTTATACAATGGTTCTATCGTTGGGCTGCAAACGCCAAGACTCTCTGATCACCGAATGATCCAGAACGAAGCCGCCCAAGCGGGGAAGCCTGGACATGAACGTTGCGTGGGGAAAAGCGAGTCGATCAGGTTTTGTCATCGCGTTGCACGGCGGACCGTGGCCGTGCGTTTGTGGTCGACGTGCGTGGACGACAAACACATGCACATGCACATGCACATGCAATCACCGTGACAGCTCGCTCGCAGAGGCTCGAACGGATGTCCGCGATAAACAAGCAAGCAATGTGAGATGAGCTTTTCGCCTTGCTTCCGGAGCCCTCGAAAGGATGAAAGCAGCTCTCGTCCTTCCGTGACATCACCGTGGTTCAACGTCGAGCGATGCTGGCGTGGGCATGATTGGAAATACTGGCAGCTTGGATCACTTCTCTGACTCCGAAGTTCCTCTCGCCGCGCACACCGCATGCACATGTATGTAAGACTCGAGTGCACGGCGACGGCCAGTCCCCGCTCCAAGCCTCACTGTGTCGTGAATCGTGATCTCGATCAGGAAAGAGTCCCGGTGCAGGCGCACAAAAGGCGACGCGCCGTCAGTCGCGCAATCTACTGTCATTTTCTTTCTTTTTTCCGACAAAGAATCGACCGACATTCAACGACATCAACTTGAAGGCCGGCGAGATGCAATGGCAGGAAACTATACGGAACGAATGTATTCGATCGATGACTAGACATCGCACGCACAACAGATTTCCGCTTGATAGTTCATACTTCCTAGTATCATATTCACGACAAACCTACGCTTTTCAAAACCATTGCCATGCACCTACGCCGTTAGACCTATCCGAATCCGGCCTACATCTGCTCAACATCATCGACTTTTTGCACCCAATGGCATGGTATTGCTGTGCGTGCCCCTTACAACGTCGCGAACGTCGCGCCGGCGTAGCCCACGTCCTGGAGTGAGGGAGTAGTCCAGAGGATTGGAATGCATGGGTTGAAGGGAGTTCGGGGAGGAAATTCGGTTAATGTCCACGAAGCCTAGCCGTGAGATCATCATACTCCAGCCGACAAACTCTCCTTCCCCGCGCGATCCAAATGTCGGGCCAGCGACCCCGAAGACGTGCGGCCCACTCATTCAACCAATTAACGGACGCACCTCAGCGTCGAAATGCGAGAAAAAGATGTAGTACCGATAGGCGGGCACTTTGAGGTGCTTCTCCAGGAGGGGTTGGATTTGGGCGCTGATTTCCTGTTTGGAATATGAGGTGGGTATTTCAGAGAATCTTGCGTTGCGAAGTTCCAGACATGCGCACACCTTGTTGTTCTCCTTTGTCAACCCACCGATCGACTTGACCTCAACGATGGCTGTCAAGCATGTAGTGGACGTACAATGACAGAATCAAGATGAGATCAGTGGCGGGCGTGGCATATGTGATGGTTCCCAACGCTAGTTTGGCATCCTCCTCCCTCCGCCGTCATGCAGAGGACAACTCACCAGCCGGTTCCTGACTGCCACCAAACGCGAGCGTAGCGTTCTCGTTGATGTTCACCACCATGTACTGATTTCCAAATACATCGATCAAGATTGACCAAGGAATGATTATGCCAGGAACTGCTTGTGCTATGGGAGATCTAGCGCCGCTGCATACCTTCTCGGGTTTGGACAGAAGCTTCACACCGAGGGCCGAGAGCGCCGAGACGAGCGCCTCCTGTGAGAAAGGAGGCAGAGATACAATGAGAGGGCGAGTCCTGGTATACCGTATGCCGAGCTCCGAGTTCCTCAGCGCATCCAAGACAGCGGCCGCCGTCGCGTAGCTCAAGATGGTGATGAGAACGACCATCACATGTCATCGCACACCTCCAAACCGGCGCGAATGTCGTTCTTTCATCCTCCCGCTTGCTCAACCGACTGCCTTCCCAGGTTCAACCCATTAACAGGTCCTTCCGAGTAGCCACCCCTTCGTCTTCCATGCTCTCTCTGCCTACCCCTCTATGCGCGTGTAGCTGCCCCAAGGTGGTGATGGAACGCTTTGACACTTACGCGGTCGGTTGCGGTTGTGTTTGTTTGGATGGTTAGGAAGGGCATTTCTGCTTGCTGATGACAACTTGGTTGGGGGAGGGTTGGGGGTTGGTTGCGGAGGGAGGAGAGGGAGGGTTGCCGTGTGGACAGAAGCTGCAAGTGTGAATTGAAGTGTGAAGTCGCCGCGTCCTTCTCGCTCCTCCTTCCTCCTGTTTGTCGAACCCTCTAAACCTACTGTACCTACCTCGGGCAGCAGCACTCGCAGAAGGGGACGGTCGCAGGCGAGCAGGCCATAGTAGACCTACATATCCACCCTCTGGTCTCCTTCAGGGCCACACCATGAGCAGCGGCAGCCCACAAACGGTCCACCGGCGAGGGGGAGGAGTAGGAGGAGGAGGCAGCGGCACCAAGCCGACCAAAGCATCACGCTCGCCAAAAGACAGTCCAGAACAGCACACACCGATCGTCGGACGTCTGAGCGAATACCTGCCAATTGTCGTATTTGCCACCTTCATCAAGCTCCTGCTCGTCCCATCATAGTGTGTGTCTGTCCTTCTGCCTCCCAGCCACAGTCCGCCCCGATGATCTTACACTCTCCACCCGTTCTTTCGTCGCAGCCGCTCAACAGACTTTGAGGTACACCGCAATTGGTTGGCCATCACGCACAGCTTACCCATACATCGATGGTACTATGAGGTATGTACCCCAGGAGCGGGGGCCTTCCTGCCTTGTCCATGTGGAAGGGTATCCATGCCCTTCTCCTGTCGTCGCGCGAATAACGAACTTTGACATAAGTAGGACACATCGGAATGGACTTTGGACTACCCGCCTTTCTTTGCATGGTTCGAGCATCTCCTCTCGCGTATGGCCGCGCTTGTCCACCCGGAGATGCTGGAGGTGAAGAATCTGGGATATGCGAGCTGGCAGACGGTGCTGTTCCAGCGATTGTCGGTCATTGTCACCGAGGGTGTGCTGGTATATGGGGCTGCCAGGTGTGTGCATGGGCAGGTTGTTGTCGGCGACCGAGTGGGAATGCCATGCGGCTCATCAACTACGCCAGGTGCTGACGTTGGTGCCCACGAGTAGAATCGCCAGCAGATTACACACCAAGACCCAACGGCAGATCCTATTCGGTATCATCTTCCTCAGCCCGGGGCTGCTGTTCGTGGATCATGTGCATTTCCAATACAACGGGTTCATGTACGGCTTGCAGCTGCTGTCCATCGCTGCCATGCTTGAGGTGGGTTGCACACCAGCGAAGAGGATCGAACATCTGGTGTTGGGGCTCATCAATGTCTCTCCTGATGCCAGGACCGACCCCTGCTCGGGGGAATTCTGTTCGCCGTCATCCTGAACTTCAAGCACATCTATCTGTATCAAGCGCCCGCATACTTTGTTTACCTGTTTCGGGTTTACTGCTTTAAAAACGGTAAGGATCATTGCATCACTGACGCCTCCCCAATCTGAAAACTGAAAAGAGGAAAACTGACGTAGAAATCTGTTAATGCCCGCAGGCACCTTCTCCCTCACGCGATTCACCACCCTCGGCCTCTCAGTCCTCACAGTCTTCGCCGCCTCCTTCAGCCCCTTCATCCACCACCTCCCACAGATCCTCTCCCGCCTCTTCCCTTTCAAAAGAGGACTCTGCCACGCCTACTGGGCGCCCAACTTTTGGGCCCTGTACGCCGGCGCCGATCGAGTGTTGGTGTTAGGTGCGCTTCGCCCCCATGCGTCTCTTCACTTCACCCATCCTGTATTCAGTCCATACCCACCTACAGCCGCAAAGCTCTTCCGCCATCCCCGCCCCCCCTCCCTCGCCTCACCCACACGGGGCCTCATCGGCGACACAACCTTCACCCTTCTCCCCGCCATCACGCCTCTGCACACCCTCCTCCTAACGATCGCGACACAGTTACCCGTCCTGTACGCTCTGTGGAAACGACCAAAAAAGGATGTGTTTGTTGACGCGGTTGTGATGTGTGGATTTGGGGCTTATTTGTTTGGGTGGCATGTGCATGAGAAGGCGATTTTGATTGTGCTGGTGCCGTTGAGGTATGCGTTGTCTTCTCTTAGGTATGGGTGGGTTGTGAGGAGAGGGTTATGCTAATACGCCACCTTCGCCGCTTAGCCTGACAGTAACCCGCTCACCCGCCCAAGCCCGCATCTTCTACATCCTGGCATGCACCGGATACTTCTCACTACACCCGTTGCTGTTCAAGGCCGCAGGTAACTGTGCCGCTGTACCCTTCCCCCTTCCCCCTTTCCCCTCACTCACAATTCATCCACTTCTCTCACAGAAACACCCCTAAAACTCCTAACAACCCTCGCCTTCGCCACCATCGCTCCACCTTTCTTGTCCGCTATCTCCTCTGGCAAATCACTGGGGTTGTACATCCACGAAAAGGCCTATCTTGCACTCTTCATACCCCTGTTTGTGTACACTGATGTTGTGCAGCCGTTTTGGACATGGAGACAAGAACTTCGTGGTGGTGGTGGAGAGGGAGGGGGAGATGGGGATGGGCTAGGGGAGGGTGGAGGCAAGTGGACGTTCTTGCCGCTGTTGGTGACGAGTGTGTATTGTGCGGTTGGGGTTGTGTATTGTTGGGGGGTTTTGGGGTGGAGGGTTGTGAGGGGGATGTAGGTGAAGGGGTGGGTGAGGGGAGAAGATGGTAGAGCTTTTTCATTTGTCACATATCACGTCACCTTCACGCTGGATCAATCGTATGTACGCAGATGAAGTATATATTGATAGCGGGCCTCAAACTTCCTCGCACGCATGGATAACAGACTGCTTGTACGTTGCAATCAACCGGTGGAGCCGCCGACTTTTGTTCCCCACTGTCCTGTGTACATATCTCTCCCCAAGTCCCCCCCAACCAACTCCGCCCACACACACGCACATCCCATCACCACCTCCCCACCAAATCATTCAAACAACATGCACAGCAACCCCACCCGCACCCTCATGCCCATGAGTCTGTCCCCCTGTCTGCTGCTGCTGCGGTTGCAACCCCCCACCGGCGCTCGTCCCCCCCGCCGTCGTCGGAGTCCCCGCGCCCACCGGGGGCTCCACCACCCTCGGCTTATTCGGGTTGTTATCCGTGAGCCATTGGCCCAGCCACACCTTTGAAAAGCAATCCACCATTAGCCACATCACGATTGACTCGTTGGGGGGGCGGGAAGGGGGATGGATGTTTTGTGGTCAACGTACGGTGGGATTCGCAGGCTTCTCCTTGCACAGCTGCGTCAGCCCCTGCAGCAGGGTCGGGTACACGGTCGTTTCGAGGATCTGTTTGGCGGTGTCCGATGTGGGGGGTGGGTTTACCGGTGCTGGGCGAAAAACATCCCACAAAACATCAGAACATGAACACGTAAACCATTTTGAATGACCAAAAAAACCATATGAGATGGTGGGAGGAAACGTATGAGCAAACGTACTGTCTGGGAAAAAGAAGCGGAGGTCGCGCTCGACGGTCTCGGGGGAGGTGGGGATGTAGAACCCGTCGTGCAGCGCGTCGTCGTCATCGGCCGCGGCGTCGGTGGGTGCCTGGGGATCTGTTGGGTCGTTGGATGTGGTTCCCGTGGTGGGGGATGTGCGCTTCGTGTGGCGGCTGGCGTACAGCGCGCTCAGACTACATAGATGTCGGAGAATGCGTTAGCGGGGTGACATACCAAGCCATATAAACGAACCCGATGACTATACGACTCACCTCTCACCAGCGGGTGGATGATCGCCCTCATCCGCCGCCCCACCGAAAACGACTCGTTTTAAAGCATTCACCCCGTCGTGTCGCAGAAGGGCGAGCGCGACGACGGGCCCGGAGGTCGTGTAGGCGAGCAGGGCGTCAAAGTCGGGGTCGGAGGACCAGTCGGAGAAGAATTCGGCCGATTGTGTGGGGGTTAGGCGGGTGCGGCGGCGCTGTGGGGGGGGGGGGGAAGAGGGGAGATAAATTAACGGAGCAGCAACAGGACGGGTTAGTTAAAGAAATGGACCACAGCTGTAACCCCACGTTCCGTTCTTCCCCGTCCACTTTGACCGCCCGCGTCCTCACAAATCGGATGTGCGTCCCTCATGACAAGCCAGGCGCCTCTCTATCCCTCCCATATCCCATGTCCATATCACATCCCATATCACGCCCCCCAACCTTTACCCCCCCGTGCCCCCTCTTCTCGCCCGCAACGAAACCCGGCCCAAAACCCCACACATACATTAAAGATCTTAAACCCCGCCTGCCCCAGCTTGTACACAATCTCCGGCTCGTGCGCGGCCGCGTCCGGTTTGAGGAGGAGGAATAGGCGGTCCATTGCTTCTGTCGAATTGGGCTGATATGTGTGTGTTTCCGTTTGGAACGATCGTGTTTTACGTTCCCTGTCGCTACCTCTGTTTCTCTGGCGGCGAGTGACAGTGATGGCGGCTTATGTCAGCTGATGACGCACGCGATGGCTTGCTTCGTGTGTTTACTGGCGCTGTCAGGGAGGTGCTGCATGTGCATAGCCATGTACGCATTGAACAGGAACCACTGTTCCGTTTTGCACCAGTTCCAAGCGTCATATCAGTCACACTCCTACTGCATGCGCCGGTCGGCTCTGCCTCGTTCTCTTTCCATAGCGCACGGACAATCAGGGTGGGGATTGGGGACTTGGCGTCGGAGAGGTTGGGGGTATAGCGGATGTGGGGGCGACAAACGGTTCATGAATGCCACGGACGCTGCGAGGAGAGTATCCAGCGGGGTCCCACCACTCTACGAACCCACCCTCCAGATCATCCCCCCTCTGTATCCCAACGACGCTTGCATCGCGAATATCTCACCCATCGCCCCAAAAGTCCCCGCATTGCATACCCTCGGATCCCACGCAAAGGGCCGTCAGACAACCACCAGCGATGTGGCTGCCGTCATCGCGTTCACGAAGTCTACCGCTGTCTACACATGACCTTCGCTGTCGCTGATGTCAAGGAGGAAGTCTTCGACGGGAGGTGGACCTGGCTGTGTCCGTCGAGATCGCTGTATAAGACGTGCGATGGCAGGATCAAGCTGCTGTAGCGCAACCGGGGTAGGCAGATCAGACGAGGACTGTACTCCTCAGACGACGCCCGGCCAAGGCGACGGAACCCCCGGGATCGAACCCAACCTTCGCCCTCACTATTACTATCATCGTACGTGAGGACCATCACCAAAGCGCAGGACCAGTGCAAGTGGTGTTTCTGCTGATATTTATCATCGCACGCATTGGTTACTGATAGGATGTGCATTGGCTAGTCAGTTCACACTACGTATGCATGACATATGTGGCATATGAGTAAGAGGCCAGAGGTGCATCGTGTATCTACATGAGGGCTTGCAAAAGAAAGGGAAAGGGCGGGGGGAGGCTACGCTATAAGGGCAGTTGTATTGGCTACGCTCGTAGGGAAGGGGTCTACGCCAAAGGATTGGGCGGGCCAGCCGACCTCGCAACCCACCATCTGCCTACACTAAACCTATGACTTCCCCACACACCTCTCCGGAAACACACCCTTAGCCCCCGTCCACACATTCCGTCCATAGACCCACCCATCGTCATACTTCGTCTCCACAACCACCACATCGCCCTTCGCCACACCCAACTCATCCTCGCTCCCCGGCGTATGGGATGCGACCGCGACTTCCTGCTGGGGTTCTGCGGGCGCGTGGTGGGCGATCGTCTCGTATTGGGGTGGCGCGGCGAGGGTGGGGTTGCGTTGGTACAGGGAGTGTTGGCGGGTGGGTGCGGAGGAGCCGTGGGAGTATACGCTGCCGTCCATGCTGAGAGCGGTGCCGACGCGGGAGGTGGAGGCGGCGCTCATGTGGGAGTCGGTGTGCACGGCGGTGCTGTGCACGGCGTCGGAGGGGGCGTAAGCATGATACCTCTCGGCGGGGATGACCGGCGCGACGGGCGGAACGGAGGGGGCTGCTTTGTAGGCGGGCTGGACGACGGACGGCAGGGTTGTGGATTTTGTGGTTTGCGCGCGGCTGCGACGGCGGTAGAAGAAGTACGCGAGGGCGAGGAGGCCGAGGAGAACGATTGGGGCGGCGACTGGAGAGGATGAAAGGGTGATGAATTTTAGCGGATAAGATCGGGGAAAAAAGATGAGTCGCTAGTACAAGAGAAGAAGAGCGGGAGATTATTTCGGGCGGACGCTTTACCTCCGACAGCGATTTTCCACGTGTTGCTACTAGCCGGGTCACCCTCTCGTCGGATATCTGCAGCATCGTCCCCGTCCGAAGTTCCAACAGACGAGGGTGTGGTTGACGGGGTCGCGAAAGGAATGGACGACGTGGATGGCGTCGATGTTGACACGGGCTGTGGTAACATCCCCAGCAAAGCGCCGCCATCGAGACAGCCCACGTCAAACTTATTGAAATGCCTCTCTCCACCGGTCAATGCACTGATCAAGTGCTGATCAATGCATCGGGAGTCACCCCGGACAGACGTGGCGTTCGGGGTTCTCAAGCAATCTTGGTCGGTGTATTGGGTGAAAGTGCCGGTAGTGCAGTTAGCGGTAAACCAGATAAAGCCGGAATAACTGGGGTGGCATTTTCCGTCGGCTAAGGTAGTGGAAGCAGATGAGAGGCTGCTTTCGGGCAGACCCACAGATCTTGGATCGGCGTACCGAGATAGTAATACACGGAGTCAATTACGCTGTCCTTCAAGCAAGCCGTACTAATGATAAGGAGCAGCAAGCAGCATTTGAGATCAGAATCGGGAAAGGGACTGGGGGCCTTGAGGCTACTTACTCGACGTATCTGGTCGCCCTCATGTACTGCTGATACCCATTGGTTGGCGGCTTTAGCAGGTCCCCCAAGTTCATCCCACAATCGCGAGTCAGATAGTTGAGACCGAATTTTGCGCACACTGAAGGGTTCGTGCAGGCGGCGGTGTTCGTGTTGGTCGCTAGCCTGACGGGCAAGTGGACTAGGAGGAAAACGGAAAAACAAAGAGCGCAGGTTCGACTTTCAGGTGTGCGAGAGCTGTGTGCCGAGAAAAGCATTCGCAAGTATACCTGCCGGATCGCAAGGCTGGGAGTCGTAATACGAAACCCTGTCGAAGGACAGTGGTGAGATGACGTGCCCGCACAGATTGTAAGTGCGCCTACGACGAGCCAGGCCGAAATACGAGTGAATTCCTTCCCCTTGTATACAGACCTAGTTGCAGTTGCAGCGGCACTCATGGCGGGCGGTTATTGTTCTTCCCTTTCAGTAGCAGATCGTCGTTCACGAAAGGACACTCGCCAGTTAGGGGAACGGAGACATAGCAAGAGGGTTCTATACTCATGTCGCCTCGGTCCCGCCCGGTGCGCACGCCTCCGTTCTCTGAACTTTGCGAGGGGAGCCTCCCGATACAGCGCCGCCTTCCCACGGTCCTCCTGCAGCTTTTCTCTGCGGAAGGGCCTGCAAGTTGTATACGGGCGCACATGTGTTACCCAGAGCGGGCCCTGACGGCTTTTGTCAGTGGGAGGCTTGGGATGGAGTTGCAACTTGGACGGGACAGCGACCTGCAGAGTGCGGCTGAACATGAACTTGCATGCTCATCATGGCTCATCGAGACGCCCCTGCCTGGAGAGGGATTTGGCGGCAGCCGAGTGCTCATCTCCAATCTCCTTATCCTCTTCCGCTGGGTCGGAAGTGCGGAACCAAGCCAGTGACGGCATGCCGCACCCAACGAGTGTCCCTCTTTTCAGGTGGCCTGCGCCCTTACATTCTCAATTACACAACCCGTACAGGTCACTCGACGGTGACTGTGTCAAGTTCACCTAGTAGAGAAACGTGGTAAGCTTCGATGCGCACGAAAAAACGAGGAAGCCGCGGACATGGCGCTGTCGAGAATCTGAACCGTATTGAGATACAAGTTGCCATCATCGGCGACGCCTCAGGCAGAGGTACAATGATGTGGATGGCAGATAACCACCACGGAAAATGGGATGGGGTGAAATCTAGACTACCTACGGTTACGGGAGAATGCGTCTGGTCTGCGGCCATTGCCAAACACCACCGAACGCACAATCGAGAGGAAATTCTTGGTGCTCAGGACGTCCCGATTGTGCACTTTCATCCGTAGTGGTTGTCTCCCAGGGATCTCAAATGGCGTCCAGTCTTGGTTGATACATTCGGGGTTGGGGCAACCCACCAATCCATGGACGTATTCCATTCTTCCCGTTCTAGCTTGCCACGGCCGAGGTGATAGCCGTCGTCGGATGTTTTTCTTCACACGACCGTGGCAGTCGGGGCACACGGACGACGTTCGATACTCATCTAGCAAGTAACATGGAATGCCGTTTCTCGCAAAGAGTGTGCGGAATCTGTTCCATGATGAGTTAGCATATTATAGTACATAAAAAACAATGATGGTCACTCACCCCTTGGTCTTCGATGACTCCTGAAAGCGCATCGTTTTCCCAGCATCGCTCCAATCACCCAAGATGACCGAAAAATGCTTTCCATACCGGCGTCGCATGTTCTTAATGAGCTTGCTCTCAGACTTTTGCCGCAGTGAGAACGCCTTGAATCTGCGAGCGATGTGAATCTCATCCCGGTAAAACTCATCCAGGGCGGGATCTGGGATATGGATGGATGTCAGCCCATGTATTACTAAATTTGAAGATCAAAATTGAAGTAGAACATCATACCCGCATGTACGTGATCCACAATGAATGCTGAGAACGCCTCGATGTTCATGCTCTTGTGCGACGGAATATGTGATTCCATGTCAGCGATGCCGGCATTGATCTTTCGCTCTCTCATGTCTCTTTGAAAGTACCGAGACTTTGTCTCGACCGCCCGTTGATTGGATGTGTATCTGATATGGGGTGGTGCATTGTGAGAACGCTGCAACGGAATGTCGCCGCAATGGGGATGGTGGGGATAGGGGCGGTGGGAGCGGCAGCGGAGACGGGGGGCTGGGGGGCGGAGACGGGGGGCTGGGGGGCGGAGACGGGGGGCTGGGGGGCGGAGACGGGGGGCTGGGGGGCGGAGACGGGGGGCTGGGGGGCGGAGACGGGGGGCTGGGGGGCGGAGACGGGGGGCTGGGGGGCGGAGACGGGGGACTGGGGGGCGGAGACGGGGGGGGGTAGCGGAGACAGCAGGGCAGTAGTAATCAACTGAAACGTATTGAAATGGCCGCTCCTTCTTGATGTCTCGACAGAACAAGAGGTCACGCTTGCCCGGATCAATGCTGACGATGTTTGGAGCCTCCCTTAGTTCGGCGATGTGGTGCTCAAAATACAGCTGTTTGACTTCTTCCTGCATTTGGGCTTTGCTGCGCTTCCGGGCCCGATGGCCGTACTTGAGCCCTGGCTTCTTGAAGTGGATGGTAGCGGAATACCCATTTGTGCTGATTGACCCGTCAAATTTGAGACCAAGCTTCTTTCGATCCTTGAAGACCTTGTCCTGCAATCCGTCATTCAGCGAGGTGATTGTGAGGTGATTGAAATAAGCGCAGAAGGATAGAGACTTACATTCACGTTGAGAACTGTCCCCACAGCTGCTGCTTGCGTTGATCGGTGAGTTTCCCCATGCGACGTTGGGGCAAGCCCAGGATATGAGTGGCTAGGATCTTCGTGTCGATCCGAACGGATGACTGGATTCAAGATTTGCAAGAAAACAGCCGCATTCCACGGCGCTCATAGAGGCGTGAGAGCTCACAATAGGCACCTGTGATGAGGCGAGGCAGGTGCGGACCATGATTAGACAAAAGCGGAACCCGCGGGGAGGGGGGGGACGGAAATATACTAACTCACCTAAATATGGCATTGCGTCCACCGCAAGGCTGTACGCAAGCGGCTCATCCTGGGGAGGAAACCGAGCCCATAACTCGTCGAGGACGGTCCGCTCAAGTCGTGTGAGGCGCACAAGCTCCTCTTCAGTTGGGTACTCTTCAAACGTCGCGTACTTTGTAAATTGACGGACCCGCTGATAATACTGTCTCCGCTGCGCTCGGCTGGTTCTGGCTCTACGGAGATGCAGTACGACTTGCTTCAAACCAAGCCTCTCATTGACGTAGCGCAGAAACATTTGCATGAAATGCTCTTGTACGTTAACTTTGAGGTTTGCAAGGATGCTCGTAGCCGTGTACGCTGCGGTCTGTTGGCAATTTCGCATGCGGATGGGGGCAAATCCGTGAACATTACAGTAGTCTTGAACCCATGGACGCAACTCTTGCGCAATGAGCGGATTGCCGTTGTAGTTTGGATTGTTGAGCAGCTCAAACATCACGCTGATGTGCTTGTCGGTGATGTCCGGGAAATTGTGTAGAGGATGATCAGCTGTGGTGGGCATTGCGGTCAGGACATTGTTTTATGGGAAATATACAGTATAGTGTACCTCAAAAACTCACCAAGGTAGTACTTGATAAAGAAGGTGGTGTGGCGTGCAAGGACGTGAACATCGGCGATGAACGTTGTCAGGCGCTCCCTTTGGACTTGATTGTGATTTTGGATTCGGTGAAGGGAAACCTTTGTGCTGGCGTGTGTCTGCGGGCGGGGTCGTTGAGCTGGTGGTGGTGGCGGGGGTTCAAGCACCAGGGATCCACCCGGTGTGCTGGGAAAACGGAAAGGGATGGGCGCGGGGAGGTTCGGTGGGCGCTGCAGACCCCTGTCCACGGGTGAAAGCCCTCGCTGCTGCTGGTGCTGTTGCCCGTCTTCATCGCCAGAGCTCTCGCTAACCATGTCTGCAATTGCTTGGGGCAAGTGGCGCTGGACAGAAGGTGGGAAATCGAATCGCGGGGGTTGCATTGGTGTCTGCACAGCGGTTGGCGGATTTATGGGCAGCCGCAGGGTAACCGGAGTAACCTTCCTCCTCTTCCGCCGTGGTGTTTGTCCCGTAAAGAAGCCACCCCACCGGTGCCCCTGGAGCGCCTGGTGTGATGACATGATGGCCGTGCTGTGCCTTAAGTTCAGCCGAGACAGGTGTTGCAGGTGATCGCCTTGATAGCTGTGTGTCAAAGAACTCAGTGCTGTGGTAATGAAGCTGAGAACAGTGAGGAATTGCGGTTGTTACCTGGTGGTGGTTGGCGAGTACACATCTGCTTGCAATTGCGCTGGGTTCCGGTAAGGCCGAGCGTGAAGGCTGTAAGCAGTGTACAGTAAGGAGCGTGAGGAGCGCGAAGAGTGAGGAAGAGCCAGAGTGGGGATCCCCACGTTCTTTTACACGCGTGTAAAGGATGTGGGTGTTGTGGAACCGACCTCGTCCACTTCCGCAAATCGTATCAAGGGTCGGAGAAGGGTTTGTATTGCGAAGCGACTTCCACACACTTAAAGATACAAGAAGCAGGGGGGTGGGTGGGTTTTGAACTGATCTACGATTTGCGGATAACGTTCGTGGGAAAAAAAGGGAACGGAGCAGAAGAAAGAAAGTAGAAAGAAGGAAGCCTGCACAGTTTGTCATCTGCAGTCCGCAGTCACGTGTCCTCGGTCGATTTATTCGCGGGGCAAAATGCAATCGTTACTTTATTCCCCTTTCACACACACCACTCGTTTTATAGACATTCAATCGGACGGTCTGCCCACACACACAACCAGCTCTCTATCTGCAGAGAAGAAAAAGGGGGGTATGGTAGCTATAAAAAGGAAGCTGTGGCTGAAACTGGCTGTTTACAACACTCCCTCTCAGACTGCGGATCAAATTCAGTCCGCAGTCGCCGTCGCAGTCGCTCTGCATGATCCCATAGAACGTTCCGCTCTCAACTTCCGCAATCGCTTGAGTCCAGATCGGAGTAGGAGCCGGACTCGAGATTCGCTCTTCAAGTCACGATCGCTTGAGTCCAGATCGGAGTAGGAGCCGGGGTCGCGATTCGTTACGCCCTGAACTTTACGCCATCAACTTCCGCCATCGCTTCCGCCATCGCTGATCTCGACCCTTCCAGTGCTGAGCACGACCGCCGCTTGCGGGAGGTCGACCGGCATGGGATGTGTTGTCGCTTCGCCGTCGTAGTCGTGAATGCCTCGGTAAAAACTCTCCCAGTCGCAAAAACCTCCGTGAGGAAAAATAGATCCTGGGAGTAGGAAAAGAGCGCATCGCTGTATCAGGCAACATTGGCCTTTCGGCGCAACCCTAGAGCGTGAACAAACTTCCAGTGTTTGTTTTCATCTAGGGATTTGGTAAATATATCCGCAACGTTGTCGTGCGTATTGATCTGAGTGATTTCTAGGGCAGCGGCGGCGGCGGCGGGGGCTTCTCTGGCGTTTGGCGTAGTAGCTGCGTTAACTGTGTTGGCTCTCGCTCTGATGAGTTTGATGTCTTCGTCCTTGAAGGCGAGAGGCATAGTGGTTTGAAGTTCATTCCATTCCATGAATGCTTTAATCTCATCTTTCCAGATTTGGTAGTTTTCGCCGTTGGCAGAAAGGACCTCTACATGGTTCAATTTGGAGGCGGCAACAGTGGCGTTAGTGGTGGATGACATGGTTAGATTTTTAGGGTAAGCGTCTTGTTTTGTTGTTTTAGAATGTGTAGATTTTTCGCCAGTGGGATTGGGGGATTTTTTTTTTTTTGTGTAGTAGCGTAGGCGGTCTGGCTCTAGCTCGTAGGTGGAATGGGTTTTGGCGTAGGTGGTCTTTCTCTAGAGTAGGACGCAGAGTAGAATGGTCTATGGTGCTGATAACGTGTTGTGGAACTCGTTACTTTATTCCCCTTTTACACACACCACTCGTTTTATAGACATTCGATCGGACGGTGTGCGCACACACACACACACACACAGAAAAGAAAAAGTGAGGGTACGGTAACTATAAAAGGCAGCTGTGGCTGGAACGGGTTGTTTATAACACTCCCTCTCAGACTGCAGATCGAATTCAGTCGCCGTCGCCGTCGTAGTCGCTCTGCATTCTGATCTCATGGAACGTTCGCGATTCGCTCTATGATGAGAGAGTGTGTCAGGAGCAGTGGAGATGGCGGAGACAGTTGTCTCAGAAACAATGATGAACTCACCCTCACGCAAATGCATAATCCTCCTCCTCCCACAACTCGGAGCCCGCTGTCTCGTCGCCACCAGATGTAGATCCGTATGACGACACGGACTCCGAGTGTGGGAGGCTCCACCGACGTATACTCCTCGTCGTCATCCTTGGCGTCGTCGGAGGCCGGGGTGAAGGCCCGCGCTTCCTCTGCCTTCTGCTTTGCTGCGGCCAGGTGCGCTCTGTGGGCGTCGTAGAGGGGTGTCGTGTGGGCCTTCATCGCCTGGCGTGTTGCTGATCCGCACGTCTCCCTCACTAGCTTTCCCAACGCCCTCCAGTGCCCCTCCTCCTCTTCAAGCGCGGCCAGCTCCTCCTGCGCCATCTCGTCATACCCCTCCTCCTCGTCACCGGTCGTCGGGGTGGGCGCTGCTGCTGCTGCTGCTGCGGCTGCGACCCCTGCTATGGCGGCAGCGCGGGTGGGGCGGGTGGGGATGGGGGCAGGGTTGAGAAGGGCGGAGATTGGGGCGGGGTTGAGGAGGCTGGTGATTGCAGGGGGGTTAGGGATAGGGGCGGTGGGAGCGGCAGCGGCGACGGGAGGCTGGGGGGCGGAGACGTGGGGAGCGGCGGCAGAGACGGGGGGTTGGGCGGTGGAGACGGGGGTTGGGATGGTGGAGACGGGGGGATGGTGGGCGGAGACGGGGGGCTGGCGGGTGAGGTGCGTGGTGGCTGGGGCGGGTGCGGGGAGGGTGGTTGAGGGGACGACGGGTTTGCCCGGGAGAGCGGCGATGGCATCCAGATATGCCTGCGCGCGCCCACACTTATTGCAGGCCGCCCTGGCTGTCTTGACGTTGTTCACAATGCCCGTTCGCCACGCGGCGAACGTCCGAGCCCCGCAAACAACGCGTACTCCTCCAGGAGCAAGGCAGGAGGAGTTTCGGTTGTCCCTACCCCTCCCTGCTCCAGCACCAGATTGAGTTTGGCGTGGGGGCGCTTTGGGCATGGTTGTTGTCGTTGTTGTCGTTGTTGTTGTGTTGTCGTTGTTGTTGTTGTGTTGTCGTTGTTGTTGTTGCTGTGTCGGGGTGTGGATCTCGGCGTGTGCTGAGGTTGGAAGAAGAGAGCGCGAGGAGGAGGTCTCAGAGACAGGGACCGCAAAAGTAGGTAGGTTTGACAGTATTTTGACAGTGTAGGCATATATATACAGTGTAGGCATATACGGTACAGGTGGCCAAAAGAGCGTCCGAGAGAGCGTTCCATCACGTGGGTTTCATCACGTGAGCGTTGCGCAGGCTTTAATAAGTCTGATACCCGTGGTGATTTGTTGAGCGGATGTGTCACTGTGCGGCGAGATAGCGTCAGAAACCCCCCCGTTCACGAGGACCGGAGTATACCTTTTACAATTCATCGCAGCCACGACCACTCGCCCAAGTGCATTCTATTCAAAAACAGTGCATTTTCCCACCCCCCCCATCATACGCCGCAATCCAATCCCAACCCAACCCCATTTTTCTCCCTGCCTCCCCAAAAAAACAAGCGCCCGAAGCCGTCATATCGCAAAATAGGTATCCCCCATCGTATACACCAGGCTCGCATTCACCAACTGTATTCCAAAGAAGTTCAAATCAACCAATCAGTCAGTCCCCACGACCGTCTCATCCCAAAGACCTCAGAGCAACAAACTCACATTGTCAACAGCGGCCCTAACATCCCCCTCACCCACGCCAAACACTTTCCCAAGCACTTCCAAATTCGCGCCGGTCTCCGCTGTTCGTAGATATTGTTCAATCCGCGTTTGTAGTGTCATTGTTGAAGAGTGGGCGGGAGGGCGTGATATAGTGATGGCGGCATCGTTGGCGGACGCGGCAGAGGCGGCATCGATGGCGCCCATGAGTTCTTCGAGGTCTTTGTCTTCGAGGAGGGAGTCCATTAGGTCGTCTATGTTTAGGTCTTCGGGTTTTACGTCGGTGGGGGGTGGTGGGGCGGTGTTGATGGGTGGGTCGGGGGCGGGTGGGGTTGTGGTTGCGTTGTGGTGTGGAGGGTCTGGGTGGACTGTTGAAGAATCCAAGCAGATGCGTTAGACGACGGCAATGGGGATGACCGATCAATGAAGCGCAACTTACGCTGCTCAGCATAACTGAACGCCAGCCGATCTTCCTCCCATCGACGTTTCGTTGGAATCGTTTTTGTCTGCCGTCCGTCAGCAGCGTTCGAGGTGTGTTGATTTTCGCCACCGTTTGATGTCTTGGGGAAGTAGTGGTCCCGGTATAGGCGCATGGCTTCTAGGGGACGGAGGATCTCGATCAGGACGTCTTGGCAGATGCTGAACCTGTGAAGAGAGAGGAAGCGATTGCACACACAACGCGATGAGTCCGACGACGATCAAAACGCTTTGTGGCTGATTTCCCTCGCGATGAGATGATGAGTCTCATCAAGGGATGTGCGGAAGCGTTCTTGCGCCCGCTGCACAATGCAGGGCTCGCTTTCCTCCCACTCGCCGAGCGCGGAGCCTTACCCATCCCTCTCGCCCCTCCCATTGTCGAGGAATCCCTCCAGCGGAAGTAAACGTACCCAGTGCACTCAACCCATCGCCGCTGCTCGCCCTGTTTCTCCCCCTGAAACACATATCCCTTCCTCAGCGTCCCCAGAACATCCACCATGGCACCCTTCACCAGCCGCTGAGCTCTCGCGGAATGCTCGAGGTGTGTTGGCAGCGAGAACGAAATCAATCCCGTCCCGTCATCTATCAATAGATCGCGTGGGTGTTATTCATCGGTTTTCAGGCTCCACACCTCGTTTTGTCCCACCCCAACTCTCACCCTTGACTAACCGAGAACAAACGAATGCGAAGGAAACATCATTTCCCGCAATCGTCTCGACTTGTCCTCCTCGCCCGGCTGAGCCCCGTACCGCCTTTCGGACGGTGGTTCCGGTGCGGCCATCACGATAGCGACGATTATACCCGACACGCGCACATTTTGGAATTCAAGCGGTGGGTTGCCTATTTGGAAGACGGGGGGTTGGGATGGGAGTGGCCGTTGCTTGTTGTTGGTGGTTGTTTTCTTGTTTCGGCGGGTGGTTGAGGATAGGGGTTGTTGGACGGGTGTTGCGGCGAGGAGGTCACGGATGAAGAGCACCCTGTGGACGGCGGGGTCAGTTCTGTTGAAGGAGGGAGTGCTCATGCTGCTGCTCTTTGTCGTTGGTTGAGGGAGGGAGCCCCTGGAGTGTGTGTTTGTGAGCCTTCTGGCCGGCTGTTTGTTGTGCGTCCCGGCTGCTCTCCTTGAGACTCCATCTGCTTCTTAGGGTTCCAGATGGGTTCCAGATGGGGTTCTGCATAGGGAGTCATCGGGCGCCGCGCGGAGGTGTCCCACTCAGCGTGTTCTTCAGTCCCGTCCGGGTGGGCTGCATGTCCTTCGTCTCCTTGCTTTTACGCCACCCCCCCCCCCCCCGGAGTCATCACGGAGACAAGCAGGTGGGGAGAGCCACATCCACCCCTCTCCCTCACCCACTCACCCACCCACTCGCACTCGCACTCGCACTCGCACTACCCCCACACTCGCCGTGAATGCCCGCCATCAACGCCATCCTGCGTTCCTCGCGTGACTCGGACGACCTCGGAAAGGGAACCGGAAAGGGAAAGGGAAAGGGACACCGAAACGGAGAGAGACCCGGAACGGGAAAAAGGAAGGATTTGACACGGGAACCACTTCGGGCGTTCGTCGCGTGAGCTTCAGTCATCTGGTCGGAACGTCTCGTCCTACCGCGTGTGTGGAAAAAAAAACCCCCCATTTCCATTCTCAGAGACACATGTACACCCTGGAAAATACCGGCGAGACCCCCGGTCGCAACATTCCCATGACTTTGCGGCAGGGCGGCGGAGTATCTGCATTTGTATCTCGAGTCGACTCGGAACCTTGGGCATCGGGCTCGGAGGAGGACTTTGGGAGCAGGCAGAGACTTTCGAGAAGGGTTGGGGCGGGTGAAGGTGGGGACGGGGAGAGCGTTGATGTGGATGGAGATGGGGAGGTGGATCGGGATCATGGGGATGATCATGAGGTGAGGATTTATGAGGTGGACGCGGCGAGGGTATGGGGGCGGAGACGCGAGCGAAGCGAGCGACATTGCGCCGCTTTTCCTGCCCACGGCTCTTAGCGAGCTTCAGTGAGCTACATTCCTACCTACCGCATTTTAACATCCTCGTTGCGAGGGGAGAGAGCAGGGGATCCTTTGTTGGTGGTTGATGGTCGGTGGTGGATGGTCGGTGGTGGATGGTCGGTGGTGGATGGGTATCATGCCATCATCGCTCACGGTGCCAAACATTTTCCAACCTCTGAACCCCATAGCATGCCCAAGTCCAAATCGACGAAACCCCAACATCCGCCCAATGCAAAACCTTCAACTGCAGGACATGCCAACGTCACGTCATGCACGTCGATCTTGGCACCCCCGAAACATTCACCGCCGGCTCACTCCGTTTCGTCACATCCACTCAATCAAAAGCCACCGCCCACGGGCAGCCCTCACGGACGCCGCGTCTCGGCAAAGAATGGGAATTCGCAGGCTGGGGAAAGACCCTAGTCACCGAGCTCCGCCCAGCCGTCGTCGACGCGCACGGTCAACTGGACTTCAAGCATCAGATGGACCAATATAGAGCGACGGCGATCGCCGCGGTGGCAGTGACTGGCGGCGCTTTCTACAGTATTGGCCAAATCGTCGTCGCGGCTGGCCAATACGCACCCATCTCGGCGGCCCTCGTCTGCATAGTCGTCTTCGCCTACCGGTCCATCTTCACAGAACTGGGCGTGATACCCCTCAACGGCGGCGTCTACAGCCTACTCCTCGTCGGCTCCACCAAGATGATTGCGGCCATGGCGGCATGTTGCGCTATCCTTGATTACGGAGGTTCGGCTGTTGTCAGCGCGTCCACTGCGAGCAATTATTTTCATGGCCAGTGGGGATTTGTGGACACATACCCGTTGACGATATGTGTTCTGGTCGTGTTTGCGTTTTTGGCGCTGGGCGGGGTCAAGGATTCGGCGAACTTTGGGCTGGGGATCTTGTAGGTGTTTTCAAACGATTTTCTCGCATGTCTACAACTCACTCTCACCACACCCCACTCCTAAATCAGCCTCATCCACCTCCTCACCCTCCTCATAATCATCTTCTCAAGCATCGTCTTCTGGGCCCGCAACGGGTCCGACACCTTGATAGCAAACTGGAACGCGCCATCGCCGTCCGGGAACGTCGCGTACGATCTCTTTGTTGGGTGGTGCATCGGGATGCTGTACGTGCGTATTTGGTTGTTTTTCGACTTTGGCAATGGAAGATCTTGGCGTGCTTACCATGAGATCGGATGCGCAGGGCGTTCACGGGGATTGAGACTTGTCGTATGTGTTATCTACATCAGGGCTGAAGGGAAAGGCGAGGGTGTCGGGGGATAGTGTACTGACCGAAATTCGGGGTTTATCTAGCGAATTACATTGAGGAACAACGGCCGGGCGTGTACCCAAAAACAATGCGGAATCTAGCTTATCGTAAGTCGCACTCCTCTCTCTACTCGCATACCAAAAAAAGCAGTAGCCCAACAATCGAACTCCCCCTCTAGTTGTAGCATTCTTTATGCCCGCCCTCACACTCAGCTGCCTCGTCGTCCTCCCGCGCGCCGACATCCAAACAAACGTCGACTTTGTACTCTCGTATCTGGGCCGCGTCGCAGTCGGGCGCGGGCTCGAGGTGCTGATATCCGTCGATGCGTGTATCGTGCTGTGTGGCGGGGTGCTTTCGTCGTTTGTCGGGATCAGTAAGTCCTTCACAACACCCCTTCCTATATACCACACCACAGAAAAGTTGACTATCTCTTTTTTTGGCACAGTGGGCCTAATGAAACACATGGCCTCCGACCACCTCCTTCCGCACTTCCTCCTCCACACCAACACCCTCACCCACACCAACCACTACATCATCGCCGCCTTCACCCTCCTCTGCCTCCTCCTCATCACCGTAACAGCAAACAACACAACCCTCCTCTCCCTCCTCTTCGCCATCGCGTTCCTGTGCCTGCTCATCCTGTTTGCTGTAACGAACCTCCTCCTGAAATATAAACGCGGGAGGTTGAAACGGGAGCGTACGGCGCGGTGGTATACGGTCCTCTTCGGGCTCCTGGCGGCGGCGGCGGCCGTGGTAGGGAACGGGATACTGTCTCCGAGCATGATTGTGGTGTTTGGGAGTTTCTTCGGGGTGTTGTTTGTGGGGATGCTGGTGAGTATCGGCAAAGTGAGGTTGCTGAGGATTGCGCTGTTTGCGGCGGACAAGTATGACGGGCTGGAAGGCGTTAAGGAGAGGTTGGTGGCCTGGGTGAGGAGGGCGAGGGGGCATCCTGTGTAAGTTGGGGGGGTTTTTTTGTGTTTGTGGGTTTTTTTTTCGACTCGCTGCACTGAGATATGTTACTGAAACCTTTTTTTTTTTGTAAAGCGCATTCTTCACAAACCACCCCGAAATCCACGTCCTCAACAAAGCCGTGCTGTACGTCGCGCACAACGAACCCACGTCGAATCTCAACATTGTCCATTTCTGCGACGACGATCATCGGGGCGTCGATGGAGATGCAGACCCTGCGAGCGGCGGTGTTGTAGCGGACCTGAAAGTGAACTGCCATGTGCTGGACCACGTCTATCCGAAGATCTCGATCAATCTGGTAAGTGGGCCGTGAGTTGACATGCCATGCCCCCCCTCAAACTTACAGTGATGAACATTTTGCCCGAGGGTAGATCATCGTCAAAGGCCGCTTCGGCCCCTCCGCCGTCGCGTGCATGGCCAAAGCGCTGAGTATCTCGCGGGTGCGTCGCGTCTTGCTCTTCCCCCCCCCCCCCCATCTCGCGCGACTAACATGTGACTCGTAGAATCAGTGCTATATCACATGTCCCGGCGAGAAGGTGGGGCAGATTGGGGAGTTTGGCGGCGTTAGGATTATTATGTTGTGAATGGGGTGGGGTGGATGGGAGAGGACCTGTCTTGTGAAGTTAACCTGAATGTGGAACTAAGATAGGTGTACGTTGGGGGTGCGGTGGAAACTGCGTCTTATGCAAAGGGTGGGGGGATCAGATGAGGTGATGTGCCGTGGAAAGTCCTGGCCATACACGCACATGCCGAACATCCCTATCGTCACTTTCGCGCATTCCTCCTAAATGAAACCGGATCAAACCAAACGATGTTGAACAGTGCTGTGAAAAGAGGAATTGTATTGACGACTTACTGTAAAATACAAAGAAGGAACTAAAATGAAAAAAAAACCCACATTGTCCACCCCCCATCCCGGAAACATCATCGGTCTGGTCAACACGACCCTGGGGGTAAAACGTGCGCGCGTAGTCTTTAGGGGCTAAAACATGTCCCCCCCTAGTCCCCCACATGTCCAGAATCTCGCCCAAAAGTCCCCGCGCTCGCTGATGGGTGCAGCGAGCGATCCATGGCTCGGCGAACCTCCGATGCGTTGCAACGGCTGAGAAATTTTCCCATCGGTGGGCGTCTTATTCCGACGATGTCTGTAGGATCCTACTTGCTTGCCGAGGCCGGGGCGGACGTCTATTGTCGTTACTGGTGCGGATGCTCCTTGAGGGCGGACATCCACCGACTCGGCGCAAAAATGACTATGGATTCGGTTCGTCTTCGCGTCGGTGGATGTAGGGCGGTTGGTCGCTGCTTTGGACGTCCGGATGGAAGCTGATGGGTGATGATGATTCGTCACTTCACCCGGAACGGCACTCCCCGAGCGGTGGTCGGAGTCGTCGTCCGAGATGGCCCCCGGTTTCTGGCCCCGTCTTCGGGGCCTCTCGGCAAAGAACTCCCCAGCAAGCCACCCGAACAGCGCTTGCGATGCCCGTTCGGTAGCGTTGCCGGAGACGAGGCGTTCGCGGGATCCGTTGATTGCGACACCGGACGCGTTGATGGGGCCATGTAGGGGTGGTGGGCAGTCGACACGGGTCATCGGTAGTTTGAGTTTGTGGACCGGGGGGTAGTATCTGGGGGCCCGTATTCCGCACTCCCAATCCCGTCGACACGAGTGGATGATTTGTCCCCCCGTGCGGCGTTCGTATTGTCTCCATTGGACGCCGTGGATACGCTGTGAACGGCCCGAACCCCTTCTGCAGGCCCATTTGTCGTCCCCAGTGCAGCAGTGGCTTGCTTGCGGTGACCGGTTTCGGCTGCTCGCCATTGACTGCCGGTGTGGCTTTCTGTCGAGCTATTGAAGGACCTTGACCTGAACACCCCCCGCCCCCAGGAGATATCCGCATTCAAGTTGGCCGTTCTGCCGCGAGCGAAACGGTATCAGGCAAAATGGGCGAGGGGTGCCATATTCCTAGCGGGGGCAGATCTGGACCCGCGCTGGCAAACGACTGTCCAAGCATCGCCATCGCAGAATGCCGGATTCGGCAACGTTGCTTCTGGCGAGAAACCGATCCGAGGAGGACCCCCGATGATAACACGGTCTCCCTGAACTGCGCTTGGGCCCACGCCATGAAAAAGCGCATGCATCAGGAGTTTAGCGGCATCTAGCAGCATCAGCAGCGGCCGTTTGGGCGTAGCACTTACGGGGGCCCTTCGAGTCCCTGCGGTGAATCATCGATGGAGTCCAGGCTTCCGAAATCCTCTTCCTGCGGCTTCGTGATTAGCGGCGGGTCAAAGCAGCGCCAGCGTCGTCCTTCGTCTTAGGTGACGACGGCATCACACCCCCTGTCGTTTGTCGAAGAGCGTGCAAAAGACCCCACCCAAGTCGCAAGTGGGGGGGTAGATGTTCCCTTGGTATGCTGAGATTTGCCGGACCGGTGTGCCAAAAGGGGCGCGCCTCGGTACCGTGGTCATGATCGGAAAGAGGAGGGTGACAGTCCCCTGCTGGTCGTCAACCCATCGAAACGTGCCCGAAAGGGACGTATCCTTGAGCGGACAGAGGGATTCCAGGCTTCCGAAATCCTTCCCGCGGCTTCTTGATGAGGGGCTGGAACGACATTGGGAAGGCGCGGTCGGCTGTCCAAGCTCTGTCAATCGGCTGAAGAGCTTTGCGCGCGGGTTCAACGCGGCGGCACCGGCGTCGGCCTTCTCCTTAGGTGACGGCGGGCAGCACGCCCCCTGTCGTTTGTAGCAACACCCGTTTTTCTCATTGTCGTTGAATTCCTCAGGAATGGTCGGAACTCATGGAAAGGCGTGCCGGGCCCCAAGTCGCGTGGGGAGGGGGGTGGAGGTTCCCTTGGTAGGTGAGGTTGCCGGACCGGGGGTGCCCAAAGAGGCGCGCCATCGGGGCACCGGCGTATAGAATGTCCACCGATCGGCACCGTGGATCGGAAAGGGGGAAGGTGACAGTCAACCGGTGGTCGTGGGGCCCCACGAGAACCGTCGGTCAGCGTGCCCGACGGATCCGTGAGCGAACTGAGGAGCGGTCTCTGGGGGGTCTTCGTGGGGAGTCGGATATCGCTTGATACAGGGCTCCTCGTCGCCGATATCCAACAAGCGAACTGAGGGATTTGTTTTGAGAGTCAGGACGGTTAGAAGGGATGGGACTTTTGTCTAGTGACGGCGGGCACCCCCGCGTTGGTCGTTTGTAGGCATGGTAGGTGAGGCAGCCGTGTGGGCAATTTGGAAGGCGATGGCGGGCTCGTCATGGAAAGGATGTGAGGTGTGTCAGTTTTGCGGTGCTGACGACCGCTGTGCTTCCGGAGCTAGGCGGTTCAGTACCATTCCCCCACAGCTCGTACGTTCGAAAGGGCGCTCCGGTTAACCACCAGGCCGGGCGTGGGGCAGTATAGACCTTTCGCTTTCGATGAGCGATTTCAAGCTGCGGAGCATCTTGGTTGATAGCTTGTGCGTGGGGATAGTGCGTCGGAAACGAAAGGAAGGAGGGGGGAAAGTGCCTCGCTCTCGTGCTGTCAATGTCGGAGAACGTGTCGAAAAAGGTTACGTAAGACCGCTCTTTGGCTGAGTCCACTTTAGGAAACGTTGAATTGTGTGCGTTGACATGCACATATTGCAACTCTGTGAGTCTGTTCGAGGCAAGCCGTCACCCTCTTCCGATGTACTGTAGGACAGGGGTTGAGGAGAAGCAAATATGTTGATGTACATTAAAACCATATTCGGTGTCTATGTATGTACAGGTATATGTATGTGTTAAGGGGAGCAGTAAACTACGAACCAATGAATACAAGAGAGGGGCAAAAGGTACTAGCCAAAAGCAGGCGAGAGAATAATCCAAAACGCCGGGGAGTGGAAACTTGTCCCAGCAAAATATCCACACACTTCTGGATCTAAACGGACGACCAGACGGCCCAGTTGGTCCCGCTCCCGACCGGCTTGTACGCACCGGCCGAACCGGGGCATGACGGCGTCCAGTCGGCGGGACCGAGCTTCACGGCGAGACTGCCGACGGTGCCGGCGATGTAGGCCGCGTAGACGTTGTTGGCGGCTTTGTCGATGCGGATGTGGGAGAGGGAGTTGACGCCGGCGGCTTTGCGGGCCTTGAGGAGGGGGTCGATGGCTGCTTTCATCTTTTGGTCAAAGTAGTGCGGCCAGTAGACAGAGGGGATGCCAGGGTGGGTCAGGATGTACGCGTATCCTTGCATTTCCGCGCCGACGGGGAACTGCCACAGCTTCTGGCCGCCGGTCCCGCCGGGCGACGCGCCCGTGTCGTGGTTGTCGACGAAGGTCACTGCGTAGCCCGGTGCTGTGCCGATGAGACCGACGGGTGCGTTGTTCTGGGCGAGGATGGCGTAGTTGTTGGATGCGACGGCTTGATTGAGCATGCCTGAATTGGGAGGAGGATATGATTAGGGAATGATGCCCCGAACTTTGCAAGACAAGACTATGACAACTAACCTTTTGTGGTGAAATCGAACGCGGCGCTGTTGCTGCCGGTGCCCTTCACCCAATCCAACAGCTGATTGCGGTGCGCGGACGGGTTGTTCACATCCAGATCGGCCCAAAGCTCTCCAACGGAGAAGACCGGCGATGTCTTTGCATTGAATTGCCCGACATAGGAAGGCGCATAGCCCCTTACAAAGTCGTACCTCCACCCGGTGAAACCGACGGCTTTCAGCGTGTTGGTCATCCACGCGGTGACGGTATCCTGCACGCTCGGGTTGGTGAAGTCCAGATCCCTCCCGGCAGTATATGGCAGACCGGTGTCGGGGTGACCCGTAGGCGTGCCGTACCCGGGTTGCTTCCAGACCTCGTCGTCGCTGGTTGTGGCAGCATTGTTGTCCGCGAATGCGGGTTCGGTGTAATCGTTCCACTTTGTCGAGCCAACACGGTGGTTGATGACGATATCTGCAACAGCCTGCAGTCCGTTGGCTTTGACGGCCTGCACGGCGGCTTTCAGTTGATCGGCCGTCCCGTATTTGGATGTCAGCACGTTCCAGCGACGGGGGAGGTAGCCTTCATTCGACCCGGCGTCCGACGGTGGCGGGAACCATGCGAGGGTGAAGAGACCTTTGAGCTGGGGAGCGTTGGTGGCGATGGTGTTGTACCACGGTGCCGTCTGCCACGAGTTCCAGTGGAAGGCCTGGATGAGGACGTCGGTGCGTGCGCCGTAGTTGTTGTCCCGACGGGCGAGGTGGTAGATGGGGGATGCGTCGGCGCTAGGCGCGGCGAGGACGGCGAAGGCCAGCGCGACGGCGGCCGAGGTGAATTTCATGGTAATGGATTTGTTGCTGCAATTGTGATGCAGCTCGATGGGACAAGGACGGGGAACAGGAACTGAACCCTTTTATAGATTGTAAGGAAAGCTCTGCTGATGATCATTTCCGACCACATCCTGCGTTCTACCGAGCGTTGCTAGCAAAGCCTCGCATGGAGGGTTCCTCATCACGCAAACCCCTCGCGCGATGCTCACGAGGATCCACTCGGTACAGTACATAGGCGACCTCCTCCGACGGATGTGCCGCGAGATCCATGTTGAGGCGATCAAAGATTCGTCAGTGACGTTCTTCCATCCAACCCCCTGCGCGTGGAAGGATGCCTGCCGTCCACAAACATCCTCGGGCGACACTTTCCTGTGGGGGTGTTGGCGTTGTATAAACGTTTTCCTAATATTTGTTTCTCGTGTGACTTTGCAAAAGCATGTAGTAGTAGTAGTAATACGTCACCGACTCACCCCATGGATCGTCGTCGTCGTTGCAACCTTGCAAGGCGCTTCGCTATTACACTCTTTGGGTCCCACTTTTCCCGTCATGAGCGAACGTCGCGCACACGAATCCTCCCGTGACTGCTACTACAGATACAAACACGCGGCCGCCTGACCTCCAAAAACGTTCGCACCAGGTATCCATAGTAGCAATCCAACGGATACGTGTGATCCGCCGGCCTTGAGATCCCCACTGAAGGCAGCCTTGAGATTCTTCTTGCATGGGAGCGGGAATTCGCATCGGGGACTCTCGGAAGAGGATCCCGCGTCTTCCCGCCGCACTGCAAGCCACGCCGCAAGCCACGCCGCAAGCCACTCGCCCTTCCCCTTCTCCCCCCTCATCCAACTAATGCTCTAGACACTCCTAACAACAACCGCGCGCGGAAAACAAGATGTCTACCCGATCGGCCGTCGGGGTCTTTGCGAGGGGGGCCGTTCTGACGACGAGGGCTGGAGTAGGGAGGAGACCATGTTTCGGTGGAGCTGCGGTCGCAAGTGGGAGAGTGTTGTCGCAGTTGCAGACGGTGACGAGGGTTTGCGATATGGTACGTATCTATTTACATTTTGGGAGGAGGGGTTGGGTGTGGGGATGTTAAAGGTGATGGACAGGGAGGGCGGAGGAGGTGAATGTTAGGAACGCAACGAGGGAATATGCTCGCTGGCGAGATGAGAGGAGTGCTTGAGGATGGCTTTCCCGCAGCTACCTTCAGGCGCCCACGATGCGCAAGTCCCCATCCCAACGGAAAACTGATCACCCTCGTCCCCCTCTCCTTTCAACAGACACCCTCCCGGCTCGCAACAACCCTCCAAGCTCCACCTCCACCTCCGCAATCTCCACCACCACCCCCCGGCTCCCAACCATCCCAATCGTCACCACCACCACCACCACCCCCGCCCCCAGGCTCCTCCCCAACCCGCCTCCCCCTAACTATCGTAACCCTCCTCGCAACCCCCATCCTCGGCACCCTCCTTTACCTCTACCTTACAGACACGCGCGCCTCCATCCACACCACCGTGACAATGCCCCTAATGCACCTCCTGATGGACCCGGAGGAGGCGCACGCGTTTAGTATCTGGTGTGCCAAGTGGGGAATTGTTCCGAGGGAACGTGGGGATATTGAGGAGGACGGGGGGAGGTTGGCGACTGAGGTGGGTTTTTCATGAGAGCGGGGCAGCGATGGGCGAGCGGAGCGAGCCCCTATTTTCACCTGTGAGCGCCAGCGAACAATCGTTCCATCTCTGAGCGCTAGCGAACAATTGTTTTTGTTATCGCACGCCAAGCGTAGTTGAAGATGGCTGCCGATTCGTTGATCTCCAATGATCACTCACCCCCCTCCCCCCACCCGCAGCTCTTCAACTACCCCCTCCCCTCCCCTCTCGGCCTCGCCGCCGGCTACGACAAGAACGCCGCTGCAATCGACGCCTTCTTCGCCCTCGGTTTCTCCACCGTCGAAATCGGCTCCGTCACACCCCTCCCTCAACCGGGAAACCCCCAACCACGAATGTTCCGCTTGAGTCAGGACAAAGCCGTGATCAACCGCTACGGGTTCAACTCGGAGGGCGTGGATGTCGTGGAGGCCCGTCTCGCGGCCCGGTATCGCAAACACCAACGTAAATACGGTCTCCCCGACAATGAAATGGCCTCTTTACCCAAATCACTGATACAAGGGAAGATGTTGGGAGTCAACCTGGGAAAGAATAAGACGAGCAAAGAGGGGGACAACTCCGATTATGTGGTGGGTGTCGAGAGGCTGGGACGGTGGGCGGATTATGTGGTGGTCAACGTGAGCTCGCCGAATACCCCGGGGTTGAGGAGGTTGCAGGGAAGGGAAATGGTGGGCGGGTTGTTGGGCGATGTGAGTACCCCGAGCCGAGTCCCGCTTTCCCATCTCCTATTCGGCGTATGCCCTGTCATGACATTGTTTTGGTTTGTTTTGTTTTAGGTGATAAAAGCACGAAACACCCTCCCCCACCACCCGCCGCTCTTGATCAAGATCGCGCCGGATCTGACGGACACGCAGATCCACGATATCGCGGATATGGTCGCCGAGACGGGCGTCGACGGCGTCATCATCAGCAACACCACCATCGCCCGGCCAATTGATCTCAAATCACGTACGTGCCCCCCCCCCCCCCCCCCGCATCCCAATTGTGTTGTCACCTCCGTTGACGTTTTTCCTCTTTTTTTTGTTTTGGATAGCCATGAACGTGACGACCGAAACAGGGGGTCTATCCGGCCCGCCGCTGCTCCCCCTCTCCCTGCGCGCCGTGCAGACGTTCAGCGCGTACGCGCAAGCGAAGGGGTACCGGATCCCGATCATCGCGTGCGGGGGCATCTCGACCGCGGACGACGTGATGAAGTACCGCGACGCGGGCGCCGTCGGCGTGCAGATGTACACCGGGTTGGCGTATCACGGCCCGGGGATCGTCGGCGAGATCAAGCGCGGGCTGAGGGAGGTGTTGGCGGAGCGGGGTGAGACCTGGGCGGGGAGGAAATTAGGTGTCGAGTGAAGCGGATGGGGAGGGGTCGGTCAGGGTGAGATGGGGAAATGAGAGATGGGAGACATGCGGGTGTGCGCAGAAGTAGTACTGTATATCTGTAGGGTGATTTGCGTCGGGTCTGACACCCACCGGGTGGGGGAATGTACAGTTCAATCCGGCTCCCGTGATACCCCATGTGCATATTCGAAAAAAAAAGGATCATACCCTATTTGGCGTGGCATATACGGAGGTACGGCCCCCCTTAACCAAACACCTACAGCCCTACACATACGGGCCTACATACCTGTATCTCACTACCTACGCATCTATCGAAACGCCATACCCGCCGATTCAAAGATAGAGATGTCCCTCGCCCGCGTGTCGTCCCTCCACTCGCGCGGCCGCCCGGTACGCCTTCGATCTCTCCTCGCGCGCCCCGGCCGAATCCTGCACCCCCAACATAACCCGTGCAACACGTTCAAAGGCCTGCAACGACGCCACGGACGGGGTGCTGTGCCCGTAGGTGCGTTCGGGGAGGGTGAGGTAGGTGTGGGTTGGGTGGGCGTGGGAAGTCAGCTGGTGGGGAGAGATGCGTTAGTTGATGGGAGGGGCAAGCGGACGGGGAGGGGGAGAGGCCGCACGTACGTAGGCGAGGAACCCGGCGACGGGGCCGGTGAGGATAGTTGGCGGGGAGAGGAGCGGGGTTTGAGTGGGCTGTTTGGGAGAATGGGGTTGGGTTTGAGTATCCCAAGAACACAACGCACTTTGTGAGAACACCATCCTTACATCCGGGCAAGCGGTCGCGGTGCTCAGCCGTCGCAGAACAGGCGGCACGGCGTCCCGAAGATCGGCCTCGAACCCGCTCGCATGCAACGTGCCCAGTAATATCGTCCTAGAATGCATGGGTCCCCGTTAAACATCCCTGAATGCGCACTCCGGATGGGACGACGCTGTGAATCTGAAACTTACTGCTCCGCCAGAACACCCTGGACAAGAACCCGCGCATACACACTGGCAACCGGATCCTGAATCTCCGTCTCGTGGACCGTCGCGACCACCACCACCCCCTCTGCGTCCGTCAATCTATACAACGTCACCACCTAAACGACCCGAAACTGTCAAGACCCCACCACGCCCGCATACGAACACGAAAACCCGAACGAACCTCGACATCCCCCCGCCGAATGGCGCCGATTTTCTTCGCGGTGGCGGCGCCGGTGGCGAGAGCAAAGAAAGCGTCGAGGAACATCCGCCCGGCCGCGAGGCCCACGACCAGCGTCTGCGCCGTGACATCCCCCCCGCCGTCTTCCCACTACCAAAAAACACACGAGATCAGACCACTCATGGCATCACGCCCCGGTGACAAGAGATGAATCCAGAAACGTACAGCGAGACTGATCTCGGGCGCCGCACCCGCGTCCTCGGGATGCTCGAGCTCGTCCAGCTCCTCGGCTTCGTAGTCGCGGGCGGTGTCCGGTTGGAAGGGGTAGAAATCCTGTGGGGAGGGGATGGGTGCGGGTTAGCGATGGAGACCGAGAATGAAAGTAAGGAGGATGGGACGGGGGGAAGGACTTGCCATTGGGTTTGGGTTTGGGTGGGAGTGATGGAAGGTGGTGGTGATGGGTGGGGTGTTATGCGAGGGGGGGTTTGGGGGGCCTTGGAAGCCACGCGTCGCTTCGTTCCCTTCCCTTCGTTCTCGCGCGCTCCTTTGCCCCCTACATATAGGTGCGAGTAGGCACAAATAGATGGGCATGGATACACACCCTATGAGTTCTTGGGCGAAAAGCCCATGTCACGAACGTTCAACATATTGGAATAGATACTCTATTGATGTATGCGACCTCGGTGCGTTGTGACGTGCTCAGAGTACATACAACGGGGACGATGCGAGGGAGAGGGGATAGGTGTGAGGAATGCGACCGTGAGGGTTGGGCGGCCGATACCTGCAACCAACCAGCGCAATAGACGGCCAGACCACAATAAACGCAGATAAGAGGGGAAAGTTCATCCCCCTCTCCCTCAACTCCCATCCACAAAAGGTTCCATCGCCTTATCTCCTGAATCTCCCCAACAAACCCCTCTGCACCCTAGTTACTGTCACTCCTCGCCAAACTCTCCGTACTACCCGCCAAACTCTCCCGACTCGCCGTCGCGCGCTTCTTCACCAACCGCGCGCTCTGCCTCTTGCTCTTCCCTTCCTGCTTCAAATGATGGTCAGGGATCCAGTCCATGTCCGGCTCGCCTGGCTTGACGTTGGACTCGCGGCGGATGATGGGGGCAGGCGTGGTTGTTGAGCCGCGCTTTTTGCCCGAAGTGGCCGGGGCGCCGAGGAAGGAGTTGTAGAAGGAGTAGCCGATGCCGCCGATGAGGGCCAGGAGGAGGGCGTAGATTGAGAGACTGGGGGAGGGGGGGGGGGATAACAAATGCGCTTGTTAGATTGAGCGGTTCAACAGAGAGACACTCCCTCGCTCTGACTTCCTCCCTACCTCTGGAGGTCAAAAAGAGAATCGTTGTCGGCGATGGTGACGAGTCCTTGGTACGCAAGGACGCGGTGCGCGACGCCCTCGTTGTCGATGGTGTTGGCAAAGACAACAAGGCCGTACTCGCCAGCTTCTGTCTCGACGATGAAGTTGTACGTCACTGGGATCGTCTGCTGCACGCGGACCGGCGTCTTGTATTTGCGCGTCGTCAACTATTGTATAAAAAGGGAGAGTGGGGTCAGTTGATGAGTGGATTGATTGAAGAAACAATGGTTGATGGCGATGGATGATGGTTGACGGTTGATGGTTGATGGTGAATATTTGATGGTTGCTGGATAAACCAATACCCTGCTCGCTCCGCACGCGCTTCGCCGTGGATCGCTCGTTGCAGACATCCACAATCGCTCGCTGCCGCTCGCCAAGTCACGCTTTCGCTTCTCACCCCAATCCCCTCCACTAGATGCACACCTCTCTTCGTCGTCGCAAAACTTACATTACGGAAAGGAATGGAAAGATTCCTAGGGTGGGCCAAGAACCCACCGAGGCCCACAAGAGTATGGTTCCATTCACCACCATTAGTGATGTTAAGAGCGATCGGGGTCGACTCGCCCGTGATAATGGCTGGGGAGAAAAGGAAGAGAGTTTAACAAATGCTCTACGAAAATACTACCACGTCCCTGAAATCGCACTCACTTTTGAAAGGGTTGTTGGGGAACGCATGCGTGAACGCTAAACCGGTCCTGGGGTCGACTTGCGGTTCGACATCCTTTTGGGCGGTAGCAGCGCCGAGAACTGGATGACAAGTTGAAGGGACATTAGTAAAGTGTGTGAGATGCGGAATAGGGCCGTGATCTTTCTGGAATCACAGCCGGTTGGGTGCGATTTGGAGGATCTCGGCACTCAAGGTGTCCAATCATCCCTCTGCGGAGCCAGACCACTGATTCCCGGATGCACCAGTCCGTCACGTCCCACCACCTTCACGCAAGTCCCGTCCACCCTTCGCCAGCAGTGATCCATCGTTCTCTTTCGCTCGTCGCCAGGTCGTAGCGGCCCGATTCGGCATCCCACTCCGCACGCGTGTTGATACACCTCGCTCGTTGACACTTACGGAAAGGCGAGAGAGCGACGAAAGCCAGAGCAAGGTAGCTCAGCAGGGAGCGAGGAGTAGCGAGTCTCATGGTTGTTTTTCCAGTGCCGAGGTCCTTTGGGTGAGGGAGTCTATTCCGTGAAGCAAGGACGGAAGGAAGGAAAGGGAGGCGAGAAAGAGGGCGCTGCCGCAGATGCGTTACTTAACGCGTTAATGTCAGTTACTTATCAGGAGCGGACACGGCGCGCTCTCATTGGCTGGATTCGACTCCCGCTGCCTGTCACTTGCTGTCAATGAGGTCCTAGGTTTAACGACACTTCAAACGCCTTGGCTCGAGTTCTCTGAGAAAAGATCGCCTATATGTATGTGCTCCCAGCTAGCCTTGCGTTAGAAGCTGTCAAACGAAACGCTCCTTCGTTCTCGACAACAAGTACATTGGCATACTCCGGTTGGGCTTTTTCCATCATGGAATTACGAGATAAAAATGCAAATGTCTGATACCTCTCTCTGCCCCTCATAACCCGACTTTCGACCCCTTCTCGAACATCTCAGGAATGAACATCTTGATTGCCCTCGTTAGTCACGGCCTCTTGCGCCGGTATTACTCACCAACCGCAGCATTACGTGCCGCTCCAGCTGTATCATTTCTCAGACCGAAACCGCCGCGGTCACTCGCCCCCGTATAGGATGGATGGCCCCCACAAGGCCGCATCCCAAGGTAACGTACGATTTTCTACATTCTTTTCTACATCTTTTCTAAACCAACCCCCATCATGAAGCCGACCCAGACGAGCCCATCAACATTCCCAACCCAGAGACTGCTCCAGTCAGCGGTGACCCCAGTGCCCCGCCAAATGGACAGAATTTAGATACCAGTGGCCAAACCGGGGAATATAGGGCCTGCTAGATAGATCACACGGCGTAAACACAAAGTTTCAATTACGCATATATCAGTTCCTCAACATCGAAAACCGGTAAAGTGCCAAAGTTCCCCATGCGCTACAATACCCTTTCTGCAAGTCCACTTCAATCTACCATGCTATCTGGGGTATACTACCGACTCCAGCGCCTATATATTTAGCACCATGTCCTTGCTCACATTGACTGGTTAGGAACGCAGGATGCCGACATGAAGAGAGAAAAAGCAACGAAAACCACACCAGGACCTCACGAATCGCTCGATTTCAGCGCCTCCATTTGCGGCCCACTCCTCGTATGCGCCCGCTTCATACACTCCACCGACCACAACAGGAACAAATTCTGACTCGGCGGCCCCAATATACTCAGCAACGAGTACGTGTATCCGCCCTCCCCGAGCGCCCCGACCAGGTAGCAAAACCCAAAAAACGCGTCCCCGCCCAAATTCGCAATGGCGGCGTACCGAACAAGTCTCACGAACTGGGCCACGTCAGCGGTTTGTTCAGTCCCGGTGGAAAGCACGTCGAATGCCCTCAACATGGCGACATTATGTGCGCAGATGGTCAGCATCGCAACACCGAGCCCGACGTCCACGAGGGCGACGACGAGATAGCCTGCGGCGTACGGGAGACCGAAGTGGAAGGGGACGCTGTCAATGCCGTGGGATGTGCCGATGAGGAAGATCGTAAGGGCGAGGATACCCAGTGTGGAAACGAGGGCGAGAAGACCCGCGATGAAGTAGGTGTCCCAGTGGCGCGGCCGATTGCTTGCGATGAGGATGAATTCGATGCGGAAGCCTTGGACGAAGGCAACAGAGAGGGCGCCGATGTACCAGAATGCTGGGATGGCAGAAGGGCGATGTTAGTCGGCATATCAAAGGGGGAGAAATGGGAGTGCGCGTATAACTGTACTTCTTCTGCTTACGTTTCGGGAGATGCGCCCAATCCGGATGCCCACCCCACTGATACCAATCGCTCACCGAATACAGCTCCAGAACATAGCCGAGCATGAAAGAGACGGGCCCGACAAGCATGAAGATGTTATACGTGGTCCAGCCGCGCCGTCTTCCGTTCCTCCATGCCAACGCAATGCACGCCGCTGTTATCAGCATGGCCAAAACAGCAACCATAACATTGGGGATGATGAGATTAATCCCCGTGCAAGCCATTGTGGCCGTCTCCCATGTGCCATAATGCCCGCTGTAGGTAATGAGGAGGGTGCCGTTCGGAAGTTGAGTCCAATGGCAGTAGGGGTCATCTACGCGGCCCATTTCTGGGGAAGCTATGTGGTGGTCTTTCTTTTGGCGGAAGGAAAGGTTGGATTCTACTAGTTATGCTGTACACTGGGTCGGTGGCCGCGGGTTCGGGACGGGATTAGCGCGAGCCTATTGAACTTAAAGAGTGTGCCGCAAACGAGGATCGTTCCCATTTCTTCCCAGTTGTTCAATAGAAAAGACTAGATCATCAACCTGTGTGCTCAACTGTTGTTGATCGAAAACACAAACTGATCAAGTGACTCGGCGCGAAAATGACAGTAACCGACAGCGCGCTAAATCCAGTAACAAGCCTCCCTTGCAGACACCCGGCTCAGCCTGCATCTACATACAATACGTCTCACGAATGGGAACAGGCAGTCGACAATCTTCGACCTCCTTCACCACGAGATTATAACGGCAGGGGAATATGCGTATATACCTCGAAACTATACAGCGTGGAAACTATGTCTCTCTATTCGTCATGCGTCTCCTGCTCCTCATACTCCGCATCGTCGCCGGCTCCCATCACATCAGTCACTGACCCGGACGCAACAGGGAGCAGGACGGCCTGCAAAGCCCATGCAGCGCACAGCATCGAGTTCAAGTCCGATCCAAACCTCTCGAAAGAGCCCGCAAAGTCGCCGCTGCATCCCCACATCTCCACAAACTGTGCTGCCCGCGCACTCAAGTCCAGGAATGCACCGAGTTTGTACATGCCCGCGAACGTGCCGTTGTTGTAATTGGACATCTGAAGCACGGAGAAACAGTGGCCGGGAGTTGGTGCGAGGTATGATAAAATCCCGATCTGTATGCGGGATCCCGAGCGCCCGAACATATCGGGGAACAGATGTTTAAGGAGTGGGGGCAGGACGACAAGGCACAGACAAACCTGTGGGATGAAATATCGAAATAAGAGTCTGAATAAACGGTTGAAAAAGAGGGACGGACACGGAACATGGTTCCCAGTAGGAAATATCAAGCGTACCGCGAACCTTCCATGGTGCCGCTCCATCGACGCGGTCGGATATCCTTTCCCGTCGATCAAGGCGAGCAGTTGTGATACTGAAGGAAAAGCTTCCACGTCTGCTGGTGCGCGGTCGGAAGGTAGCGTAAAGCGAAAGGGCAATCAAGCTGTAATACCAGGTGGAACATCAACCCGTTTTCGCCTTTGGTTCCGGTGATTTCACACGTCGTGGGTGGCGGAAACCACATGGCACCGTGCCAATCAAGAGCCTTGCCAGACAACTGGCCATCGCCGGCGCAACTGTCTTCATCATGCCTGAAATGGGCACTACGACACAATGCCATAATTCAATGGCAGGCTACGAGACCCTCGCCGGACAATTTCCAGAAGCCAATATCCATGCCACTAGGGCCCCTCGGCAACCCTATGCCACGTGCAAACATCGCCCCAAGTACTGGTATCGTCGACACCGGGAGGCTCCTGCCAGGCATGGACTAAGACGATGGTGCAATCGAGAGGCAGATGAAGCGGAACCGATATTGTTTTCAAGGTGCCCCGAGTCCCGCGACGAGATGGGCGAAAACTGGAGACTTCGAGAGTGCCCAACATGCCAGATACCTCGTGATATTCCGCCCATCTTTGACAGAGACATTCAAGCTGCCGCCAACTTTCGGTTCCTGATTCATCTATATTCACGCCACAACGGTCATCGACCTCGATGGAATCGTCCAGGCTGGTTAGCTGATGCACAGTTGTGGTGATGTTTTCTAGTCTCCTTAGATAGTTAGCATCACGTATGTAGCTATTCCTTCCCACCCGCGATGGCACACGGACCTGCGTGCATCGCAAGATATGCGACAATACTTCTTGTATGTTGTAAGCGGCCATGACAAAAGCTGGAATTCCCAACCCGCAGGATTAGTGAGATTCGTTAAAGCAGGTACTCACGACAAAAGCCGACCCAGCTCATAAGCATTTCTCAAGAGTGATACCCTTAACGTGGGAAGATCCACGGACAGAGAGGACATGAAAGCTTACGAGAGTCCTCTTCTTGTACTGGAAGAACAAGCAAGGCGGGTGAGTGTTCCGGTTTGCAAGGCGATTGCAAGATTGGCCGAGACGGTTTCGGGGAAACGGGGAAACCGGACGCGCTAGGGACTAACTGCATTACGCGGGACGGGAATCAAATGGAGCTAACGCAGCCACTAAGTATGTGCTGACTTGACATCGCTCTCTTCCGCATCTCTCACGAAGCAGGGGGAGCGTCAAAGCGCGGAGATTGGTTGTTGGTTGTCGTTCGTTTGACGCCATGCACGCGCTGTCGATTTTCCATGTGTTGCAAGAGGAAATTGTCGATTTGCCTTCACGCCAAGCTCTGAAGTCCAAACCCCTGACATTGTTCTTACGTCCCTCAAAATTCAAATTACATGCGCGAATAGGATAGAAAAACCAAGTATGATCAAAACTCGCAGTCTAGTTCTGCGGTGCGTAGTGCCGCCGTTGAACCTCTAGCTACAATCGAAGGTTGCCCAGTCGTTGCAAATGGGCTGGGTTGAGTTTGGTTTCGGGAAGACGCATTCGTTTCCATGACAGTTTCCATCATCCCTGCCGACATTGCGGAGTAAGAGGAGGCCGCAATCCAGGCAATGCAAACATCGTAGTAAAGGAAACTCCAGAACCCAACCCGGGACCCGAGGCCAAACCCACCGCTAAGCGCGAGTTGAAGGCCCATAAGAAACCACCTTGTTGGAGCAAACCCCTAACTGTTAGAAGGATATACCACGACAATTTCGGAAAGGATATCCGTACCCAAACACAACGGCGATCATCAAGTTCCGCACAGTCTCCGTCAGACCGGATCGCCTCGGTTTTGGTTGAGACGCCTTATTCGCCTCCCTCACGGCGGTCACGATGAATGATTTGGAAGTGGACTTGGACCCGACTTGCAAATTTCTCCCTTCGCTGAGCGTGGATGTCAGACGATACCCGGAGAAGAGGAATCCGAGCGCATGCGTGAACAGTGATATCGATTGAGATACAACCAATATGCTCCAGAGCTAGCGCAAACAGCGTCGTAAGAATAGATGGACGGACCACGAAGCTTGAGCGCAACGGCTTGAGCGCATTACCTTATAGAACAGCGTAAGCAATTCCAGACTGTTCAAAGCGGCTGCTCGCACAATCGCGACAACACATGCGGAGGTGATGACGGGGAACCATATCATTGTAATGAAGATGCAATACCTAAGGACCAAAAGTTCTCCGTCATCCAGCTCAAAGGGAGCGCTGTACCGCAAAGCGAGCCTTCTCTCACCGGTAAATTTGAACCACATTCTTCTCGCGTGGTGTCGAGTCCCCCCGGCTTGATGAGATCTGCCAAGAATGTCAATAAAAGATGCAAGGGAGAAACCCGGCATGCTCGCCTTCATTTGCTTACGCTAGAAAGCCGCTTACCGTCAACCACTTCAGTAGCATGAGGGATAAGGATTCATAACCGAACATGAATCCGTAACTAAAGAAACGATCGCGACTAATGAGCACGACCACGTCGCTGCAAGGACCACGCATCGTCCTGCAACGACCACCGCCGACAGTACTATTTTCCGTACCACATCAAGGAAATATGGACGGGCGTCCCATGCGTCGGGTGCTGATAAGAATTCGATCTGAAAGCCAGGGACAAGGCATGAAGAGCTGCCGTCACTGTGGGCAATGAACGATAAGACGGGGAAACGAGTAAATGCGCTCTCATACATCAAAACGATATTCCCTTTGAGGTCACCTACAGAGCGTCATTAGGAAAATGCCGATGAGAACTCCCCACTGTGCGCGGCGGCCCAAAAAAGTGTCAGTATGTGGGTGATAGATGCGGAGAACTGCAGGTTATACCTTCAAATTGAACCGGAATCCCTCATGCCTAGCCGTCAAGAGAATAATGCTGGAACCTTCGTCCGTCAGAGCTGTGCGGCGCGGTTTTTACGGGCTACAGAGAACGTGGCTCACACAGCTTCCACTAGCAGATAGATCAAACTGACAGCTTGCCGGGCAATCATAAAGATATCGAATCCTTTTGATCTCATGGTTTTGCTGTGCTTCTCCTGCGCGTCCTCTAGTGGGATAGTGATGAGCTTTCACGGGACTCTGCGGCCGCGTGCCACCCAAGACATGGAAACTCACCGGAGGTGACGTTGATATAAGCGATCATGCTGTGTTCGAAGAAATACATCGCATCTTCGATCGAAATGCCCGTCTGGGGAACGAGAGATTGAATCTCCTACCGCAACCAATAGGTCCCCGGTCAAATGTGCTCTCCACAGCTGTCAACCATTCGAGCCTCCGCACTACTCCGGGGAACATACTTCCATGTTGTACCCATATAAGGGCGAGGGCGATCCGAAAAGCGGATCTTGACAACACCACGGATCCACCGGGCCTAGCTGAACCCATAACGCTAGTTTCGGCCTAGTTGCTGTCGTTGAGCAAGGAAGCAAACCGGGTCTGCTAAGCATCTGAATCACATCCATCCCGTCGGCGCACTCTTCGTGCCACCCATTCGCCTGTGATGAAAATGCATCATTAAAACCTGCTCCTCGCGGGATTCCATCGCTTCTGATGGCATAAACGTACGTATGCCAAATACTGGTAGCGAGGACATCCAGCCCCGTAAGCGTCAGCAACGCTGATCAAAGCCAAGTTCGGATTGAGGAGCGTTGTTGGATTCAAAGCTTCGTACGCCGCGCTGAAATTTGCCAAGCGGCAAACGCCCATCGCGTTAGGGTCATGGAACGTTGCCCTATAGAACCGAAAAAACCATGTGTTGAGACGATGCACGCAGCTCATAAAACGATCATCGAAGCAGCGCGCTCGACCAAACCCGACTCGGACGTTTGTTGGGACTCACCGGTTGGGACTGCCCGCTAACGATGTGTATTCGGTCCGAAGGAGAGGAAAATCTACATTTCTCAGCGGGCGGACTCCAGTCGGAGGTAGGAAACTTTGATTGAGGAGTGCGTAAACGGTTGCGGAAACTCTACTTGCAAAGAGGATAACTGGGAGGAGTAGGAGAATATAGACCCTCATGGCTGTTTTGCTTTCTGTTATCCTGGAACGCAAATTGATGCGTGAAGGGTCTTGCGCAACGCAGAGCTCCCTGCGCGAACGGTCGTTATTGACCAGTGAGCGACCTACAGCACGCCCAGGAAACGGTAATGCTTCTGTGTGACAAGTTGCTCTATTGTTCGGACTTGATTAAGCATAACCGTCGCGGATTTTTGCACAGGCATGGGGAGATTTTTGAGACATACCACAGAAAGCAATAGGTTTCCAGCGCCATGAGTCCGGCGGTATTGTCAGATTGCGGAGTTCGGTCTGCTTAGCTTCCTAGGAAGCGTATTTTCGTGCGCTGTACACTCGGGCGGCTTCGGGAATCTCAGATTCGACGGAAGCTGTAGTTTGAGGCAATAGCTTTCATATGACTCGTTAGCCCCGTCTGGAACGGCAAATATGGGAGCCCTGTCGCTCTATAAGAAGCTTCCGCCGGTACTGCCCTGTCGGGTTGCAATGGACTGAGGCTTATTTGCCGCTGTCAGGCGCGCTGTCGATTTTTTGACCACACGCTCACGCTGCAGCCGAGGGTCTCTTCTGACACAAATGAGAATTTCGGAGCAGTGATCTCCTCAAAAGCAGCTACATACGGACATTCTGAGACACAAATCTGGTAAGAGTGCTGAAAGCTTGCAATCTAGTGGGCGATGGTATGCGATGGTAAGGACAACCTTCTCCTCATCCATTGAACTCATGAACTACGTTCCTCGTCCAGAGCAGATTCCAACGGCAGCTGCACACGCTCCTTGCACGCAGCACACAGACGGAAGCATCTCTTTCGCAATTCCGGAAGACCCATCTCCAGTTGTGAACCAAAGTTTGGCTTCTACATCCAACGTCACATCCAGATCCAAAGGTTCCAATACGTACACCTTACTACGTACGTAGTAGGGTTGGCATTACGGTGGGTTCAGCGGGCAAATAAACAGCCTTCCGCATCGAGTAATACGCCTTCTGTGCGCGAATAACAAGCCTTCCGCGCGAAATAACTGGGTACCTTCAAACCCAGCCCGACCGCCTTCAAACCCAGCGTGGACGAGCGGTCTTCCATCTCGCGACGATGCGCAATATGGGCTGCTAAGGCGACCTCTGGCCTTGGCCTGAAGCATCACCGGCTTTCCATCGACTCCGAACGACATGCATGCAGCAATTTTCTACCGCACTTCGCAACCTCAGCTGTTCCCCTGATGGTGTCTGCCGCTCCTCCTATTAACCTGCACAGCAGCGCTGACTCTCCATCACCGTCACCAGTAGTACGCACACAGACTTCTGCACGGGCAAGCGAGGTGGGCGTAAATACATACGTCGCATCCGCATCCACACTACCATATCCGGGCCAGGTCCATCAGGTGCAGAGAATTGAGCTTTGAAGAGTATTGGAAAAGATCGACGTTTTATTGAAACATTATATAGTACATGAGATCGCAACAAGAAGTGGGAGTAGAATGGGATGTCAAACGGTACGTACAAGAAAGTGGATCGCAACAAGACGTGGGAGTAGAATGGGATGTCAAACGGTACGTACAAGAAAGTGGATCGCAACAAGAAGTGGGAGTAGAATGGGATGTCAGACGGTACGTACAAGAAAGTGGATCGCTCTTAGTCGAGAACAACTGGCACCACGTGAAGGTGTCGATCCAAGCCAGTCATTCAAGATGGTCAAGCTCCCGTAGGAGGCCACCCGGACTTTCAACCGCTATGGAGCCACGAACGAGAGGATCGCACAAGCACTGAGAAGCCCCCAGACTCAGTGAAGTGTGTAGGGCAAGCCCCTCTCTCGCCGCGACACCGCCGTCATGACCAACTCACTCGGCCTGGGGCACCAAGTGTTTGCTACTTCGATTTCGCTCCACCGGACGAAGTCCATTGCCAACAAGGGTCCCAACCGACGACTCAGATGCGCTCGAGTCGTTTGCCGATGCGTCTCCAGGCGGGGAATGTCGGTGCCCGTGGTCTTCTTGGTGCTCGTTTCCTTGGGGGTGCCGGTCCATGTTTCTCTCCTGTGGTGTCGTCCTTGTCAGTGTTGATCGTTGCCGTGTCGTCCGTGTCCTTGGTGTTGATTGTTGCCGTGTCGTCCTTGTCCTTGGTGTTGATCGTTGCCGAGTCGTCCGTGTCCTTGGTGTTGTTGATCGTTGCCGCGTCGTCCGTGTCCACCGTCACCATTCCTCCAAGTCCGTCCAAGTCGGGAATCCAATCCGGCAATCCCTCGTCGTTCAATCCGTCGTTGTCGAAGCTGTCGTCCAAGTCTGGAATCCAATCCGGCAATCCCTCGTCGTCCAATCCGTCGTTGTCGAAGTCGTCCAAATCCGCTTCCAACTCCCTCATCCTCCTCGTCATGCTTACCAACTCTTCGTCATCCTCTGAAACTCCAAGCGTCCTCTTCTTGTCGATCCTCGAGTACAGCACCATCGCCTCCTCCTCCTTTGGCAACTCCAGCGTTGGACGTTGCATCAGCCACCACTCCATGTCGATGTTCTCCACAAGTCCCCGTGTCCACAGCTTCAAAACTTGGTCCGTGCGATTCGTCTCCCTTGGAATGTTCCGTTGTTGCTGGTCCTCAAGTTCGAAGTCCTCCAGTCCTGCCGTCAGCTTTACCGTCGTCACAAATCCAAAGCAAGCCGACCCCTCCACCTCCTCCCTCGAATACCCCGTCGCAATCCGCATCAACTTGTCGTCCGCTCCCATGTACCCGCTTACCAAAGGGCATGAGACGAAGAACACCGTAGCAGCTAGGAGGGACGGCCGGAATCGAAGCGAATCTTCCATGATGACGCAGGTAGCTAGAAGGCGGTTGGCGGTGTCCACGTTGGCGAGTCGTCGAAAGGTTGGCGTGATCCCAGTCCATGTAGCGAAGTTGATGATGTCGGCGTCCCGGATGTCGGATTTGACTTGGTTGGCGATGTGGAAAGCGTGGTTGAGAAATTCCTGAGGGCTTGTTTGGTATCCGTTGCAGTCCATGAGTATTTGCTGGTCCACGATGTGTCGTTTGACTTCCTTGAGTAGCACTTGGAGCTCGGTGTTGGACAGCGCAATCCCGGTACGAAAGGTCTCGACCCGCTTGATGAATTGTTGGAGGGAGGGATCCACTTCTGATTCCATGCTGAAGGCGACGGCGAACAGTGCGATGGCGATAGTCTTCTCCGAGTAGATCGTGTGTTGCCCAGGAGTCGGTGTCATTGCCCTGAAATACAAATCGAGGTAAGTGACGGCAAGGTGATAGACCAATTCAGGAGACAAATAGCACAGGGAAAACCCGGCGCTAAGGTCGTTGATTAGTGCTATCATCTTCGATCGGTTATCCTGCGTGAGTGCTCCATTTGTCCGGGAAGTCCATGTACGGTTGGCGTTTCGAATTTGGCGGTCCTCTCGTTCTACAATGGTCGTAAAGTGTCGCTTGAGATCTTCCAGTGTCCAGAGAAGGGCCTTGCTTCCAGTGTCGTCTTCAGGTTTCCGGGGTTGGGCGTTAAGGATGGCGTCCAGATCGAGAGTTTCTTCAAGGTCGTCCATGGTCGGGATCTAATATAGTAGAGGACGAGAAGGTATAGGATGAGTAAGCCAGTGTCCTACTATAGGTAGTAAGCGAGTATAGTGTGCATAGCGAGTGCCAGTAAGCGAGCACAAGGTCAACGACGACCGCCTATGGCAGTTATCCAGGGATGTGGCCTAGGCGATTGCGACGAATCTTGATATCGAGGGGAACGCGAGACGACCGCCTAAGGCAGTCGGGGGCACTTGGTGTTGATGACGCGTATTGACGAACGCCGACGCGTCTTGAGATCGATGTATGAGGACGACCGCCTATGGCAGTGTCGAGGAACCTTGATGTCGATGAAGCGCGGATCGAGACAACCGCCTAGGGCAGTGCAGGACACTTGGTGTTGATGACGCGCAAGAGACGAGCGCCGACGAATCTTGATATCGAAGGGAACGCGAGACGACCGCCTATGGCAGTGTCGAGGAACCTTGATGTCGATGAAGCGCGAACCGAATGAAGCACGAGACGACCGCCTAAGGCAGTGTCGGGAATCCTGGTATCGATGAAGCTGCGAGATCAGATCCGATGATCTTACCTTGGGAGCAAGTGTCGCGGGCTGGCGTTCAAGCTGGTCTTGGAGGATAGCGTCGTCGAGGAGATCGGCCCAGGGTTCTAAAAGGGAAGAAGTTTGGGGGGTAGTAGCATACGACATCATTTCGAGAGAGTTATTTTTTTGTGATTTATTAGTTTTACGAATGTTTTTTGGGTTTTGTACGCTTTCGTCTTTCTCTTCGCTTCTGAGGGCTTGGAGCAGAGCTTGTTGATCTCTTTCGCTTGTCATGGCTAGGAGTCGATGCGTTGTTCGGGCCAGTTAGCTTTCGCTTGAGTTCTCGTTCGCTTGTTACGGCTTGGAGGGGGAGCCAATGCAACAGTGTACAATTGGCAAGGAAAAACCGAGCGGGGGCATGCGGGACGCCGGCTCCTTAAATATTCGCGGCCGGGGGGGTGCGCAAACGGCCGGAAAAGTGGGCAGAGCCGGGCCATTCCATAGGTTTCCGAACTCCGAACGGCAACAAATGATTAAGGTGGGCATTAAAAAATCCCAGCGCAATGCCGCCGTTAATCAAGCGGACATTGAGCGAAGCTGCCAGTTCCCGAGCAGAGACGCCGCGGTGATCAAGCGGAGTTTCAGAAGCTTTCTGGATGGCCCGTCTAGGGACTGCGTGCAAGGCTGCTGGATTGCGCAATCGCGCCCATCTTGACCTCAACCATACAAACGTCAGAGAACGTGGTAGAATGATTGATGGCCGGCTCTTCGAGCGCGTGCAAAAACAAAGCGATGGAAGCTTTCTGGATGGCCCGTCCAGGGCTGCGTAAGCTGCGAAGTCGCGGCTGTCGCGCGGACTTTGCCTTGGGAACGCGCTTCGTAAGCACCCTCGCAATCGCGTCCATCTTGACCTCAACCATGCAAACGTCAGAGGACGGGGCAGAATGATTGATGGCCGCATGCAAAAGAAGGCGATGCCAAGACCGAATGGTGAATCAGAGGGAATGAATGGCCTTCGTTTCGAGGGATGTCGCACGTCAATCCGAACTCCGCTTACGTTGGCTCAGGACGTGCCAAATCGATTCTGAGGATTCCCGCGCGTCGGTTTTATTGCTTCACGTGAACTATTAAACAGCTAAGCGACACCATTTTCGACAGCGTATCTCTTCTGGGCAGCCCGACGCCCATGCTATTATATCATGAGAGACGTGTGGACGAGTAGTAACCAGTGCCATCCCGCATGAGGCGAGGCGGCGCGGCAGGCTTTCCTTTCGCGCTCACCGGGCAGGGATGGGTTAGGGTGAGTTTATTGGGGTTAGGTTGGGGTTAGGTATTCCCGATTAAAGCGACGCATTTCCCTACATCTCAGACAAATATTGTGCACTGTATGAAATGGAAGGAGCGAAAGTTTATGCGAAACTGCATGAAGGCCTTGGTTTCGGAGAAGCGCGTGGCGACAGGATGCCCATTGCGAAGATGGGGATGTCCCGCAACGGGAAGCTCTTCATGCGCAATCACCACCGATGTGTGTGAAGACACAAATAAATGGGCTAAAGGATGATGTCAAGAAGTTGTGATTGATCGAAAGCTTTTGCGATGGCCCCTTCCAAGACTCGCCGTGTCGTAGGCGGGCAGCGGCATTGAGTGGGGCATCTGTCGCGTTCGACTGCTGCTTTTCTCCCTCCAAGCCCTACGAGCAACGAGCTTCTCAGTCTGGACTTCATTACAAGCGCATGGGGAGATGAAGGATGCGGCAGCTTTAATGCGCGTAGAACGTAGAGCATTCCTTTGGATCTATACCTAGCACTCCTTTATAGGTCTCCCGTAGACCTTCCTGCGCATAGATATCAAACAAACGATCAGTCGCTATGGATGGGCCAGCTTACTTCCTTCCTCGATAATGGGCTGGAGATACGATGTATTGAGAAGTGAAGAAGACTAGTTACTTGATTACGTTCAAGAATCCCTGCCCACACTGCTTCCCCCCACCCCCCCCCCCCCCCCCTCACCCCACCCCCCCCCCCCCCTTTCCCCCCATTCCCCCCATAGACCGACCACTGCGTAAATCTAATCAATGCCCGTAGCGACGTCGAGGGCATCTCGACCGTGAGCTCATCGGCCGTAGCTCATCGGCCGAAGAGCTCGTCGACCCCCCCGCCCCCCCGCCCGGTTCTTTCCGCCGCGACACCTTGAGTTTGGCGTACGCATGGGTGACGACCCCGCACACCCGGCCCGTTGTTTCACACATGTTCTGCTTGGGGGTCGTCTTCGTCGTTGGGGGGGGGGGGGGGGGGGACTGATAACATTGTCAGTCAGGCTCTGCATGAACAGGATGTCCTGATAGACATCCTTATTCATCAATAATCGCCACACCTTGAGTTTGGCGTTTGCATGTGTCAGACATCCGTCCCGCTGTCTGACACGCCTTGGTCATGTTCTGCCCCGCTGGATAGTTGTGGTACATATCGGTGACGGCTTCGCGTCGAAACATCCGTGGCGAGGCGTCGTGCCGAGGAAGCAGGCGGAAGCAGTACCATCAAACGCCGCGAGGTGAGGTGAGGTGAGGTGAGGCGAGGTGAGGGAGGCCGCGAGCACCATCAAACGCCGCGAGCACCAACTCGATCATGACGCTGGGATGCTGCCGGGTATAGATGGCAGAGCATCTTCGATGCGGAAGCTGTTGGCTAGATGCTGGTCGAATCTGCTGCTTGGCGACTCGGCAAGTGGTTCCGTGATGAGGCATGCCGCAAAGTTGTCGAAGAGCAGGCAAGGTTGTATTGTCCGGTCGGAGCCGTACACGGTCGTGGACGCATCTGTCCTAGCGAGCGGGTCCGAGAAGTCCATCCTCGTCAGGTTGATACTCTCCCAACACATATTTTCAAACCCGGAGATGGGATGCGAAGAGTGTGCTAGACCGAGCTGAAGCCCAGTTCAATATCTATGCATGTGTAGCTTCTCCATATCGTTCGACGTTGAGGGGGAAACCCTTCACATAAACCGTGCGTGGCTGTGCAATCCGATACTGGTACGTCCTATGTAGTACTACGTACTACTGCAATCAGTGTGGTTTCCCCCACTTACGGGTGCCCTCGCGCGTGCTCACGCTTCCCCCAACCTCACCCTTGAATTGGACCCTCACATCCAAACCCAGGAACAACGACGAGCAACTGCATCCCTTCCAACAGACTACGTACGTGAACGACGTATGACCTGCGGTGGTCCTCTAGTGCCCTATGCTTGGAACGCAGAACAGACAACCGAAGCTCCTGTGCTGTTGTGGAGGAGGACCGCTCCTGCGCAACTCAAACTGATACGGAAACTGCTGGAGCGAGCTCCCGGACACAGCTTGGACGCTCATTGTCCTTCCCGCAACCCGCTTCCGCGATGTCTTTTGACGGAAGCTCCCGCAGCAGACCTCCACGCCGCCCTGGGAATTCGGTCCGACATATGAGATCCCGTCCGTATTTGATACCGCTCCTCTTGTAAGTGTCTGCGGAATTTAGTCCCACTTTTTTCTCACGCATAAGCAAGCATTCATTTCTAACTCTCGTGCATTCCCACCGGCCATCGGGTTCAATAGCGCCCCACGTACGGGCCCATCGACTTCTTCGACTTCATGGTCCCGCCGTCACTCGGTCCCTGCCCGTACAGCCCTCTCAAAAGCTCCATCGTATCATTCTCTGGCGAAGGAGGGAACCCCAGCCCTAACCTTGGAGGATGAGGATGCAATGGACTTACTTCGCCGTTACGTGATTTCGCCTCCTACCTCGCCTCTCGTTGAAAGGTAGATATGACACAACCCCCCTGCCCATACCACTTCTCAAGGTCGCTGTTGTAAAACAATACTTTCTAGAACTCGAGCTGGCGTCGGCTACGGTTGAGTAGCTGCCTCCTTCGCCAACTTCGGTGTCCCGATTTCAACGTCCTCCCGAGGAAGTCTCAAACGAGGAAGGGATGGCGCCAACGACATGCTTCTTGTCGCCATTGCCCATCCTTACCGTGATTGTTCCTCGCTGCTACGACCCCGTCAGTGCACGCCAAACCTTTCTCGGTATAGCAAAGGAATGCTCATTAGTTGGGGTGGGCGATGGACAGAGCAGTCTGAGGTCTTTGACTCACTTGACCCTAGGGTACGGTCACTACTGCCCGCTTTGAGCTCCAGGAACATCATGGAAGCGCAGTTCTAAGGCCTGGGCAGGAAGTTTAATGCGAAGAGTGACAGCGCGCCGTCGATCCTTCCGCAGTTCCACACAGGTCCGGCCCCTGTCATTGTGCTGAAAGCACTCGCAGCACATAAACAGCACATCGCAGGGCCCTGCAGGAGGTCGCCTCTTCACTTCCACAGGGAGGCAGCAAGGATGGCCAGGTACAGTTGCATTCGTACAATAGTCAGCAGACATCCCCCGCATCATCTCCTCGGCCCAACAAACAGGTGTACTACACACATTTCATAAAGGATATCATACCTGATTCCGAATTTCGACCGCATGTCGCTGCACGCACAAGAGGCTGGTCTGCCCCATGTTGCAACCGCCGGCGAAAGGGTATGTTTGTCGCTCGGTCGTCCATATATTCACATACGCTGCATCAACATCTTACACATTCTCACCAAATGTACTCTCGTTCAATACTAGGCCGCATCAATCATCCTCCTCCCAATCACAGTCTTTGGGTTACTGGCGAATAGCTTTGTCGCCTATCTGTTCTGGAGATATGAGACGCTACGCAGGCATCCCTCCAATTTGCTCATTCTGGGGCTTTGTGTTGGGGTAAGAGGAATAGGGTATGGTGATATCGTTGGAGGGGGGTGTGTGGGAGGTTAAATGGGGATTAGCTAGTCTCGAGCAACTTGGCGAGCAGTTCCACCAGCGGCGGCAAGAACCAATTGCGGCAAGCGAAGCGAAGCGCAGAGGTCCATGAGACCGTCCGAGCAACGCGAGGATATGCAAATTCCGAGAAACAAGAGCCCAGCATTGTCCATGAAGGCGAGAGCTCCGTGGTCGAGCAGGAGCAGCTCCAACGAGTGTCAGCGATCCTAGTTGCTGCGAGCGACGGGAGGCGCACGGATGCTCCTACCCTTCCTTCCCTCTATCTTTTCCGGCCGCCGAACGTTTGTCGCGAGCAGCGAAGGGGGATGGTGTCTGCGTTCACTCAGCCCAACATCTTTCCGCCGAACGGCACCTCGCGAGCGTCAGCCGCCCGTCTGCCGCGAGATGACTTCGGCAAGCAGAGTCCATCTGCCGCCAGCGAAGCAAGGCGCCGGAATGCTCAAGCCGATGGCATTGAGCGACAGACGTAGGGATGCGCTTGCCGATATCTATCGCATCCTTGGCGCGAGTGGAGCGACCAAGATGTCGTCTGCATCCATCATCCATCACACCTTTCATTCTACATCCATCTCACATCACCCTTCGCATCCCACAGGACGGCATCCTCATGTGCCTACCTCGAGTAATAGAAGCGCCCATCGCACTGGTCTACGACGGGTATCCCGCGTGGTATCACCCGTTCTGCCAACTATTCGGAGCGATGCCGCTGACGTCCGCTTACATCAGCGTGTTCACGTTGGGTGTTGTGAGCATGGAGCGGTATTTGGCGATTGTTAGGGGGGTTGTGTGGACTAGGAGGGAAGCTTGTCTTGTTGCTGCTGGTAGGTGTGCGAGGAGATGAGGTGGGGCATCATATTCGTGTACGGGAATTCCGCTCACTCGTTGGTTCACACAGGAATCTGGGCAGCAGCAGCGGTAATCGGAGTTCTACTCCCAGTTGTGACCGCGTTCGGTAAAGGTACCCCGCACTCGCCGTACCTGCTGCAGGCATCCGGGCTGTACTGTCTGATCAACTGGGGGGATAGCTCCATTGCTGTACGCATGTCTCTTTTGTCAGCGATGTGGGACGAGATGCGATGTTGATCCTTGATGGGTAGGGCCGAATTCAAGTCGTCATCGCGATGGTTGGCCTTCTTTTGGTCATCGGAACACTGGTCGGAGGGTACTTTATGATCTGGCTGCATGTTCGGACGGTATGCAGTCTCCCGGATTCCTCCATTTCCTTAATTTTCAGGCCAGTAATGTATGCCCCGCTCGCCCTTACTATAGATCGCAAGCACGGTAAGCGCCACCCCGCGCAACATTACTCTCACACCTTCGACCGCAACAACTTCCAGCGTCGCCGAGACGCCGCAGGCGCGCGGGATGGGTGCGACCATGACGAAGATGGAGAGGGATTTGATGTGGAAGGCGGTGAGCTTATCTTCTTCAGTTCCCTTCCCATCGGAATGATGCATGTGTGCTTTCTAACATTTGCTTGTAACTTGCTTTGTAGATCGTAATGTCCGCGATTTTCCTAACAAACTGGCTTCCATACTCCATCATGATCGCATACGAAGGGTTCACACTCACGCACGATATCAATAAGACGTTCGAGACGGTGTCTTATTTCGGAGTCGAGATCAATGGTACGCCTGCCTAACCCTAACCTTTCGAAACACAACTCGCCTGGAGGGACCACACATCACACTCCGTCACTCACCTCCAGATTTGTTTTATGTCTGTAGCGGCAACGAACCCCCTCCTCTTCATCCTCCTCGACACCCGCGTCCTCCTCTGCGCGCGACAGGCGTTAGGGCTCGCCCGTCCCGACGAAGATCTGAGCTCACAGCCGAGCAGTGCAGTAGGGAGTCACCGGAAGGAGAGCATTATAGCTGAGCCTAGTGGGGTGCGACAGGGGAAGTGTCTGCAAGAAGCCGGGCCGAGTGGATTGAGGGGAGGGAGGACAAGAGAGGGCGGTACGCTGGGAAGGGGGGTGGAGGTGGGGGTCAGGGGATTGAGGGTTAGAAGTATGTCGGCGGAGGAGATGGATGAGGATGATGGATTGGGGGAGGCGTAAATATTCCCTTTTTGCCCACGAAAGCTCAGTCATTTTGGAACGACGGCGATCCCAGTCTTAGACCCGTCACACAGCTCTGTGCCGCGCAAAATAGCTTACAGTAAGGGTTACATGGCGAGTAACAACCCTCCGCACCAAATAACGGCCTTCCGCGCGAAATAACACCCTTCCACGCGAAATAACTTTCACTTAGGGTTACATGCGCGAGTAAAAGCCAATAACAGCCTTCATGTCCAACCTTCCTGACTCCCCTCCGCTAGCTGCACTTCGTCCCATTTCCCGTCGAACGAAAGAGCTCTACCAACCTACTGACGACGATTCTGAAGATTTCATGTCCAACAATGTGTATCTCAACCCCGTTCCTGCGCAGAGCTCGTCCGCCGGCGCACGCGGGCAAATCCCCGTCGCGGTGTCAGCAAGTTCGGTGGATTGGGTGGCCTGTTCGGCTCGCTCACTGGAGCCAATCTTCAGGCTCAGTCCTTGAGAATTTCTGCCGGAGCGACTCCAAACCCTGGTGGCAGACGTCTGCCCTTTGCCACTGGCACTGATACCCGCAGCGCGATGGACGACTTTAAACCTGAAGGCCGCTTCGTTCCCACTGCACTCCGCTTTGGTCGTCGGACGCGCTCGCTCTCCCCGCTCCAGTCCCGCCGCGAGGACCGTCAGCCTGCGCCTGCTCGCCATGAAAGTCATTGCGGTGAGACGCCCAACGATCGCCGAACTGCTCGTGTGCTCGAAACTGCTGCCGCAGCTGAGCGCAACTTTGGACCCTCAATGCCGGTCAGCACTGCCACCTTACCGCTCGAGTAAATGTCATGGTGCTTATAAGAGCATACTCCCAAGGAGAACAGCTTCAACGCCCCATTGAATCTTGCTTGCATGCCACATCTATCATCGTGCAACGTAAGACGCGCTGTCATACGTTTGGCATATCAGAACTCCCAACTCCCATGAACATCACAAACATCGCCATGTGAACACGTGGAATAAAGGATCTAGTTGCCAGAGTGCGGCGGAATGAATGGATGGCAGCGCCCTTACGGAAAGGAATGACATGTCCCCCAGATGATTATGCCGCGTGCGCTGCGAGTTGGGTACACTAGAACCTACGCGAACCTGATGTGATTTAGTCAACTGGATTGGAGCGGAGATCGTCGAAGCATCGCATAGCAAAGTCTTTGACCGAGGCCTTCGCGGAGTTGTATAGCATATATCGTGACTGGGGACCTCACCGCTTTGCATTGATATTGCTGTCTGAATATTGTCAACTCACTGTGCGGCCTCAGATTATCAGCATGTCAATCAATTTGTAATTCTTTCTTTAGATCTTTGAAAAAGAGAAGAGATGGTGCACAACAAGTGCCGTGGCCATCACGAGCCACCGGGTAGAGCCCTTCCTGTGCCGCCAGTCGAGCGGCAGAGGTCTGCGGACTTTCCCTGCCCACTATCCGAGAAGAAAAGAAAGATAACCTTCGGGCTCCTCCCGGAAACGAGAGAAAATATGTCGTGGAGCCATGTCGCAATATGATCACGTCCATAATCTATTTTCCAGTCATAGTCGAGCTACCCTTAAGCATAAGGGTGAAGCAAATATAAGAAGTACTGTACGGGGCCTGGCAGACTTGTTTGTGTTTGGCGTGTTTGGCACCTGCCATTCTCATACATCCTATACTGTCATTGATATCCGATACAAAAAATACGAGCCAGCCCTGCACGTCTCTTACTGGAGTGGCCGCCATTGATATCATTGCCAAACAGCAAACATGCAAGCAACAGCCAGCACCGAGAGGGCAGTACGGGCTTCGCCCCTCTACCGCCCAAGTTATGAAAGCCTCGCCGCAACCAAAGCCGCAAGGACCATACTGGGCGCAAATCTCCAATCAGTGGGGATCTGAAAGCTTGCGAACCTACAACGCGCTGTCGAATACTGTTACATATCGGCGGACGGGAGGAATAACTACCCTGGCACTGGCGAGTCAAGCCCGGACAAAGTTTTCCAAACGATTATTACTCAACTGTAGAAGCATCCGGGGTGAACTGCTAGTATGGAGACCCAATCTCATTGGGAAAACTGTGCGCTTCAACGAGTTCCCTGTAGACCAAAGGGGAACGCTTGCAGAAGTTAATACACTCGGCACTTCTTGAGACATGCGTTTACACTCCTTAACACTCGGAAAGGATGTCTACGCATGCAAATTACAGGGGTCGATTTTTGCCCTCCGGCCATCTCACCGCTGCCCTTAAAAGAAGCTTGGGATAGTCGCCCTAGCCCGCATCTGACCTTGGCATCAAAGGTACGGAAGTTGCTACACAGATTGTGAATATTTTGACATGCATTTGACATTTGCTACATACGAAATAAACGTGCTTCCCATCTTTAAATGACAGTACAAATACAGACGTATGAGCTTTTCTATCTACTCTCTACAGGTCTAGGATCTCTTCTCAACGGTCGCTGCAGGGCTGTGGAGATCACAGACTCAGAAGGCGAGCTCGTTGTGGTCCAAAACTCCGTCGTGGTTGCGGTCGAGGAAGTCGAACATCATCGGCAACGACTTGCGCATCTCGCCCGACTCGTCCCCCTGTGAGGACAAACACCTGGCTGTCAGGCACATTGTCCTTTCCTCCTATACGCTCATGCACATACATAGGTTACCTTTTCCGACAGAACCTTGGTACGCTCGGCTATGAACGTTTCCTTGTTCAGCGGCTTTCCGGCCATCAAGCCCGCCTGGTTTTTGCGTTGCGCCTGTTGGGTGGCAGAGTTGAACAACATTGCAGCTAAAGTCCGAAGCCTCGCACGCCAAACAGCGGCCAACATACCTCCTTGTATTCGTCCTAAATATTAAATATCGATGAAACGAACGCCCAGTCAAAACAAGGCTCTACCAGTCCAAAAAGAAGACGAAAATGGCCAACTTACGTCCAAGGGAACAGGGTTCTCACCGTCCGTCTTAGGCAACCTCCAGCAGTTGTAGCACGCTGAGTAAAAAGTTGGTGTCCCCCCCCCAACTTCCACTTCTGACCAGACCATCTGGCCAAACCCTCCGCCGGTACACTCCTCGTGTGAAATGTACCGAATATCCGGTACCGAGCTTCTGGCCACCCCTGGCCAGACAATGATTGAGAAAGTGCCCGACACCAAACGTCCTGGCTGACTCGCATGTGGATGAAACACTCCACGGCGGCAAATGAACCAGATTCTTCTGACCAGGCCATCTGGCCCAGGCGAACTTAGAGCCTACCGCGGGCGGACCCCCCCGCAGCCTTCACCCTCGGCCTTGTGCTAGGTTCAGCGCCGTTTCAATAGTAGTTCCTTTGCCCGCGGCCCTGGGCATCTTTCGGTATGTCCATCCATCTGCCTTCTGGAACCGGGAGAGGTGTCATGGATGTAGATTGAGCGGCGAATGCGGCGCGAGGAGGAGGTGCTTAGTGCGGTGGGTAGTGAGGTGGGATACTAAGCAACCTCCTCCTCGTCTAGAGCACATAGTACGGTACCATCCGGTATGAGCCGCGGCTTCGGCGCTATCTATGCCTGGATCTTCGTAGCCATGGCAAATACCTCATCGATGGTCGATACGAAGTTGGATATTCAATACCTACCGACGAAGGAGATGATCGCCGATATTCAGACGAAGGCGCTCTCAAGCCCGCTTGTATCCACCTACGGTCTCATCCCCCTGAAAACGAAAATCCGTTTGTTTGCCGTGCACCCCACATCCTTTACACGTGTGTAAAAAACGTGGAGAGGAGAGCTGTCGATGGATTCAGGCTCTATCTACGTATGAACGCCAGGACGAAAAAGCGCCCATCTGAAGAAGATGACGACAAAGAAGACGGCTTGGATCTGACCGTATATAGAAAGGTCGTCTATACAGCGTTGTCTATATGTGAAAAGGTCACTTTCCCTGTCCCGGCTAGCCCGGCGGCCATGAAGCTTTCGAAAAGCGTCAACCCGCAAGATATTGGGCAACGGTCTCTCTGGGTTGTGGGGCACCGGTCTTTTCTACTCTATGGCCATACAGTGTATAACCTAACCTTAACCCGCACAACTATAGGAGCTCGCGTCTCTCGCACAACACATCCCGGCATCTTCCATCTCCGCACCTTCCACGCAAAAGTGGTATGTATTCCCCTTCCGTTGGCAAGACTCGCAAAACGAAACCGGGCATTTCTCGCACTTCGCATCCACCATATCCCCTAACCCATCGCCGCATATGCACACCGGAAACTGCAGATCTGCGGCCTCCATGTCCTTCATCATCTGAGCATATCGTTGCTTCCTGTATGAATAATGAGTAATGATACAATAGACGCATTATTTTACCCGGGCTCTTACCTGTGTGAGGTCGTGAAAGCGGACGGACTACAATCAAGGTCGAGGGGAGGAATCCAGCGGACAAGACCGGGGGTGGCACTGGCAGGTATTATTGTCCGGCTGATCTCCACCGATTCGTGTGTTGCATATTTCATGTACAGGAGGCTGCCCAATCCTCCGATCCAGGGCCGCTTGCGGGATCCAGCAGAGCTGAGTATCTCGCTCCTCAATGCATCACCGATTTTTGTCGCGTTTCCAACAAAGTCATGCTGTACGGCAATGTGCAAGACGGCGCGTAGCTGCAGTAGAGTCATGGTCTGGCAGAATAGGGTTGTTGTGCTCCTTCCACGAAAGAGAACACGGCTCGCGGCTTTGGCGGATAGTCGCCGAGTTGTCCTTCCCTGCAAATCCATTGCGATCCCGCTCGCGACAAGTGCTTTTCCGAAACGATAAGATCCGGGTGCCCGTGTTGAACATACTCTGGGCGCTGATGGGCAAATGGCGCACCGCACCGTATTGCTGTCATTGCTTCATCGACGCAGAGGAAGGAACCTCTTTGATGAGGCCTTGTCTTCTCTACTTCGCTTCCGCCCCAGTCGTCGAGATCATAACAGCGCACCGCTAATAGATGCGCTCAGTCATACAGCCCAGTCAAAAAACGACAGAAAAACATCAAGACGCTGGCGCTACCACCACCACCTTTCCAACTCCTGGTCTCGCATCTGACCGTCGCCAATGGCGGAGGACGGTCCATTCCGGTACTGGATCACCCGGCCAGTCAGACGGCTGAAGAACTTCATCAGGCCACTGGATGGCGAAAACGAGGCGAACGTAGTTCCTGCCGTCGAGGCTGTTTTCCGCGCAAGGTCAACATTCATCACTGATACCGTCTTCAGTGCCTGGCATCTCCTCGCTATCTACCTCAGAAGCGAGGCCGACAATTGGTTATCCACCCCCAATGATGATCCCCTTGTTCCTCCGACAGGAGACGCTGCCGGGAATCACAGGATGCGGAAAGGACTGCATCAGATGATGCAGGACACCTTGAGAATCATTGCCACGGATGGTGACCGGGGCAGTGTTGATCCGGTACTCCTGGAAACCTATACTACCAAACTCCAGCCAACCATGATGACCGGCTACCATTCCGACGAACAAGATGACCTCCCCAACAAACCTCCAAACAACGCGCAGTACCTCTTTACTCGGAAGATTCTTCGCACCGCAGCCAACACTCCCGCCGGGGAAGGGTGGACGGATTATCGGTCGCACTTCAAGCTTATTGCCAGGACACTGCAAGCGAACTTCAAGGAACACATAGCCAAGAATCTCAGCGACATCATGGCACAGATTCTCTCAGCTCAAGTCTAATCTGTTGACGGAATCCATGGGGCGGATGCAGAGGAAGTTGGTACGTTGAGCCTTGCATGCCACGCATTCCACGTTTCCGGTTAGGTTCTGGCCACATCAACTCACAAATGTTTCTCCTCCATGCAACAGTGAAACGGCTGCTGCGGTGGCTTGACCCAAGACTAGTCACCAGTCATGGTCGTTGGAACCTCTTTGAACAACAACAACAGGCCAGTGGACTGGGGGACGAGTTCCTGTTCGGCGGGCTGGATATCACCGACCAACAGCAGGACCACCTTACCACGATCGCATTGCAACATCGTCGAATTCTCGTCAATGCAATGGGACCCTTCACTATCCCGGGGTGGTGGCAGGATGAAGACTCGGTCTGTTCGTATAAGGATCCAATCACAACATACCAATGAGCCAGAGTCCTTCAGCGACTCCCTGGAACCGGTGTCGCGGGCCAGCAGAGCGATGAGAGGCGAATCATCCTGCGCATGACATACTACATGCAGTATCTTTCCAGAGAGGCCCGGAGGCTTGAATCGGAACTGGTCCGAAGAGAGGGGTGATGTTATGGACGACGCGCCCATACCATAAGCTTACCTACTGACAGCCGCCAATGTCAACCGCCAAATGTCAAACGCCAATGTCAATGTCAATGTCAGTGTCAATGTCAGTGTCAATGTCAATGTCAATGCCACTCTCCCTCTCTCCTCTCATTTTGCCAATCCTCCAGCAATATCGCCACTCCTCCTCTCTCCTCTCATTTCACCGATCCCCCCTCGGCTTCTCCACACCCCCCACTACTTCCCCATAGCCAGCAGCTGTAGCAATGCTCTCTACGCTCGCCACGCACGCTCTAGGAGCATAGCTGGCGCCCGCCCAGTCTTCTCCACACCCCCCACTACTTCCCCATAGCCAGCAGCTGTAGCAATGCTCTCTACGCTCGCCACGCACGCTCTAGGAGCATAGCTGGCGCCCCCCCAGTCCCCTCTTGTTGTTGTTGTTCTCTGATCTGCTGGGTTGCCTATCTATAAATAGCCGGCCTCTCTTCGTCCATTCCCTTCCTCCCCAGCAGATCAACACCAGTTCTTCTCATCTCCTGTTCTAGTCCTTGTTTCTTGTTTCGCCAATACAATCTCTTGTCGCCTATCACTCTCGCCTTGTCTTCTCTACTTCGCTTCTGCCTCAGTCGTCGAGATCATAACACAATGCCATAATTCAATGGCAGGCTACAAGACCCTTGCCAGACAATTTCCAGAAGCCAATATCCACGACACTAGGGCCCCTCGGCAACCCTATGCCATGTGCAAACATCCCCCCAAGTACTGGTATCATCGACACCGGGAGGCTCCTGCCAGGCATGGACCAAGACAATGGTGCGATCAAGAGGCAAATGAAGCGGAACCGATATTGTTTTCAAGGTGCCCTGAGTCCCGCAACGAGATGGGCGAAAACTGGAGACTTCGAGAGTGCCCGACATGCCAGATACCTCCTGATATTCCGCCCATCTTTGACAGAGACATTCAAGCTGCCGCCAACTTTCGGTTCCTGATTCATCAATATTCACGCCACAATGGTCATCGACCTTGATGGAATTGTCCGGGCTGGTTAGCTGATGCACAGTTGTGGTGAAGTTTTCTAGTCTCCAAGTCTCCTTAGATAGTTAGCATCACATATTTAGCTATTCCTTCCCACCCGCGATGGCACACGGGCCTGCGTGCATCGCAAGATATGCGACAATACTTCTTGTATGTTGTAAAAAGTTGGACGACATGCTCGTCAGCCAAAAGCTCATTTGTAAAAACCTAGAAATCTGGTCTTGGGACCTACCTCCGCCCTCGTCGTCCAGACTGTTGGGGAATGTATCCTTCACACAAAGGAAGCAAGAAAGCCAAGAGTACTTATCGTAATTGCCCTGTGCGTCTTGTCTCCTTGCAGCGTAGCAAAAGGCGCCACAGGCAACCATGTCGATTACACAGCTGGCGCTAAAACACGAAGACGGGGTAATTTGAGAAAGTACAAAACGAGATATCGCAATCAAATTACTCACAGTGTCCAACCATTACACCAGTCGACCTCACGCTGTGCCAGGCCAACTGAGCCGACGCAAGCGATGGACTTTTCGCCAACGGGAGCCGCAAGGTCGTGCGGAGCTGCAAGGGCGGTCGAAGCGAAGGCACTCAAAAGCGCCACGGCTGAGACAGTAGAAGACGCGAACTTCATTGTGAAAGCAGGCTTGGAAGGGAATGTTACTATGTTGCTGGAAGGAACTGCTTTGGACATCGTCTCATTGAATAGTGCTGCGAACTACGGACTGTGTTTGGGCACTTGGCTCGTCGCAAACCTTGTTGGCCTGATTATTGATAGCACATCGTTGTTTTGCCGCTCTCTTGAACCAGGTGCTTCTCATGAGCGATATAGTGTGCGCCCGCTGCTGGTGCAGGTTTAACATAATTGATGAACTGCCCTCTGTCTTTTTTTGGCCCTGCGAAGCATACATCAGCAGCGTACAGTACATCCGCGCACTGTACATGATGTGGCGAACGCCCGGTGTCTTCTCTCCGCAGATTCCCACAGGTCACCAGCCATTAGCCCCATCTGCTGCATGTGCGACATTGCCGCGATTTTGGCTGGGCGAAATTTGCGCTGAGATATGGATGGATTGTAGGATGCTAGAATGACTACCACCTGAACAGCGATGAAATTGATTGCCCATCCAAGTCATAGCGCCCATACCCACGTTGCCTTGCATTGCTCATGCAATAAACGCCGCGGGTCTGCTGGAAAGCTACAAATACGCTCGATCTACTCTTCAATGTAAGCATGTGGCCGTCGACAAGAGCAATTGCCGCCCTTCATAATGACCATCCGTCCCAGAGGTACCTCTGAGAAGCATATCCACCTAATGGATCCCGGCGCATGTTCGGATATGTCCATCGTCAAAACTTTTAAATAGCGGTGGATGGGCCCAAACCATCGTGGGGTAGCCAGATGGACATGTTCACATGCGTGGCAATGACCGGCATGCCTGCCTTATCCATTTCATAGCGGAGTGCAACCTACCGTGCAGCGGTGGTACGCACACCCTGGCACTATCCAGTATGTTTATACACATAGCACCCAATTTTTGATTCCCTACGCGCGACGCGTCAGCGAGTGTCTTTGCAGCGACAGCGAGTGTCGAAGGTTTTGTTCAATAGTTTTTGTAGATTCTGCTCGCGCACCCATGATTCTCGCATGGAAGACGCGAATTAATAAATATCTGCCAGCGCAAGTTCCAAAATATTTAATTCGGATCAGGCGTCGGGCCTGCGCGTCAGTCAACATCGGTGGAACACAGACAGGCTGGGTACCGGTACATTGCAAGGTCGGCAAGTTGTACAGACGTACAAGTTGTACTAGGCCAAAAAAGTATGAAACTTAAACAGGCGCGGATGAGATGGTTGAAGGAAAGTCAGCCCGGGATTTCCTTCTCAACCGGCCCTTTGCGGTCCACTCGCTAGAGATCAGGTGCTCAACGCAGATGCTGTATGCATACGCACACGTTTGGGCGCTAACTGCGTCGTAAGACTGTTTTTTTATCATAGGTTGCTTTCACATTCATGGATTGTGCCGCATTGCATTTGCCATCAGAGATGGCCGCCGCTTCCTGTCCATGGGTAGGCGCTGGGACGAGCAGATAGATGCCTTGCGCCTATAAAAGAGGAGGCCCCACCACTCTCTCGTCCTCTCCACATCAATCATCTGTTCAACAATCATCAGCCTCATCATGCACGCCATCCTCTCTGTTGTTGGAGTGGCCCTCGCGGCCTTCCCTCTCGTCGTCGCGGCTCCATCAGCTCCTGCTGCAAAACGTGAAGTTGAATGGGAGCGACGTTCTTTCCGTCTCGGACCTCAGCACACGAATTGTTGCATCGATGCCGGACCGACTTGGTACCCACCGGTGAGCTCCTTGATATCCCCCTTGTCGCGCTTTTCCACATACGACAGTTTATTATGTTCTCCATCCACCAAACTAATCTATACCAACGCGCCGAAAAAACACATAGCTTTTCTGCGACTGTAACGGGACCGACAACCAGTTTTTCGGCACTCCCGGCGCTGGCAACGAGGGTATGGTCATCCGCCTATTCAACAGGTCCGGCATGATGCTTTCATCAGGTCTCTGAAACGTCACTTCATTTTCTGGTCCAGGTCTCATCTCCAGCCTGAGGAGCGACCAATGCTTGGAAGCCGATAGCCGCAGTGCAGGCAAGATGCTCAGATTCCAAGAGTAAGTATCGTTCACTTGAGTTCGAATCTTTAGGAATCCCTTCTCGTTCCGATTCTGAAAAGCTTTCCCTCTCCCTCTTCCGTTGAACTACGTTATAGTTGCGACTCTACTACGTCGTCCTGGAAGTTCGGGGGCGGAGGTAACACCAAAATTCGCCTCATGGGTGCCACCGGGGGTACCGAGCTTTGCGTCTCATCGGGTGGAACAGACAAGCCCTTAATCCTTGCCGACTGCGGTGGGGCCTCCGTGTGGAATATGTAGAATGTAGTTTTGTACTCGGGGCAAGCGTCCAACCGCTCAAATCTAGAATCCGCTCAGAAGGATAGACTCGCCGGCACACAATATGCCGTAGCAGGAAGGAAAAAGAAGCTTCGCATCAGATTGTAGACTGTGATTATACATAGAAAATAGAAGGATGCGTACAGCAATAACAGTGACATTTGGCCGCAGTAGAAATCGGCACTCCGTCGAACAGAAAGTTTTTGATGGACAGATAACGGGTGTGCAAGTACGCAGATTAATAAACACGGCAGCTACTGACGTCCTGCATCGTCGCCTGGGCTGTTCGCCGTCATCCTGAATCAGTGGGGAGTCGCACCTGTCTTGCGGAAGTGTCGTGATCGAGCAACACAAGATCGTCTTGTTTGTTAATACCCGGATTCAACATTGAATGTGAATTGAGCACCTTCCGCGCTTTGAACTGTCAGCGTCCTGGCAGTTGCATTGTGGTTGAGGCAAGCGTTCATGACCCAGCGATATGATTTCACCCCGTAAAATACCAAACACTCTGCGGCTCCAGTTTGCGTGTTCTATAGTTTGTTTTTTGGAGTTGGGATCGGTGTTGAGTGTCCTTCGCTGTCGAGGCACCGACGCATGGCTGTTATGTTCAGGAAACTGGAAGCCCATCAGACCCTCGCCGGACGCCAATGCGCCAATGCGCTATCTTGTACTCAAAGTCCCCACGAATTGCATGGTCCGAAAAACATTCATAACCGTCACTTGCTCAACCTTTCCAGGGAAGACTATCAGTTCCCAGGCCTTGACCAGCGCTTGCCGTTCCTTGCGCAATTGTCCGAGGGGCGGGACTTGTGTGCACATTGTGCATCATCTGCACCCAATGTATGCCAGGCCTTCCTTCTGCATCGCGCTGGCATATGGGGCACAATGGCTGTTCGGCTGCACTCGTTGCAGGCCGGTGTCACGCCAGAAACAACTGCATACCGAGGAAGCTCCTAAGAAACCTCGTCGCGAGCCCGGAACCCCGGGATGCGCAAACAAACGCGTGTCCCAGCGGCCGGTACGCCCAAATCAGCAATTGCCACAAGCCTAACGTCTGCCTATCAATCAAAATATCAGGGTCGTTTTTAGCCCCGTCCATGTCAACTTTGCATTCTCCCAGTCTCCCATTTCAAGTGAAATTCTATGTCACACTCTGATTAACACAAAGCACGCACACCACAACCAACCCTCAGCCCTCAGGCTCGCCTCATCTACTTCTCGCTTCCTGTCCGCGCTTCACCCAGCAGGAATAGCTTTCTTCACAGGGAAGCAACCGCCCACCAGAGCGTGCTTCCCCACAAGCACATCAGCAGCTCGCCACCTTCCGCACACCTTCGGCAAATCAGTTCACACGTTGTGAGGTGGAAGGCGTGCTTGTAGCCGGCAGAGGTTCATCAGCTACTGTGCTCATCTCACAGGGGTTCAATGTTGCGGCCAGGCTTTACAATATGAAAGATGTACGCATTCCGCCCAGTACGCGCCGGATAACAGGGCAATCGTAATGGGTTTGAATTCAAGGCCGGCTTTTCTATTAGCTGTAAAGAGACATTTCTACAATCTTCCCACTTCGCTTTCTATGTTGTGTCAAGAGCTCTACGTAATGCCCCCTCCCCTCCCCCCCCCCCCCCCCCCAATCTTGGCCATGTGAGACGGAGTCGATGCATGCGAGCTTCACTTTTGCCTTCCATTTAACCCTGCCACTCCATCGCACCGGCGCATTCCACAAGGTTTACTGAGTGGGTGGTCTCCGAGGGGGTCCAGGCGCACATGCCTGTATCGCGGCCTTTCTTGTACAGCCTCACTTTCGCCCCGTCCATCTTCCATTTAGATACCTCATCATTGCATCTGGCCGACATTTAAATCAAAAAACAAAGGAGAAGAAAGAAAGGGGGCCATATTTGAGTATTTTGGGTTGGATTTTCCATCGGGTAAAAAATACACACAGCAGGAACTTACGGAGACAGATTGATCCTCGTCATGTGAGTCGCCTGAGAGGCATCCCAGCAGAGTCCCTGCTGCACGCTCCGCAATTGCGCTAATGATCGAAAAATTACGGTTGGAACCCAATCAGCGCTTAACGCGAAAAGAACCGTGTCTACCGCCACACTCACCGGCGCCAGTCCAATCCTGGTTGATGAAGTCGTAGAACTGATTGTTGGTCCCGTTGCAATCGGCCCACATCTATGACAAAGATACGTAGACAAGAGAAACGGTTAGGCAAGAAGTAATGCTACGTCTCAGGAGGGGGTGATCTCCCAGAAATCTGCGCTTTATGTTGTGCAAGAAGATGGCCCCGGCTTTACCTGGAGAGTGTATCGCGGACCCGCATCAATGCAGCTCTCAGTGTTAGGGATTCGGAAAGCCCTCTTGGCTTCGGCTCCTTGGAAAGCCAAAAGCGCCGCGATGCCGGCGGAAACAACGGAAAGCTTCATTTTGTTGTATGGCACACGTGTAGGAAGGCGCAGGGAAAGGAGGCAAGGTGGCTATGATGGTTGGCAGTGGGGAAATGGGGAGGGAACCCGGACGGTGCCCGCCCCTTTATATTGGCGATGAAGCCAGCAGCATCGCATTGGGACAGCGGCATCCTCTGCATCTCACGGACAAATGATTTGCTAGGTACACTTACAGCCCTTAATCGGCAGCAAAAGGCGCCGCAGGCAGCCATGTCGATTAGGCAGCCATGAGACATCTTCCTGCATGTAGCCCGATGTGCCCACTCTGTGTGTCTTCCGCCAGCTGTTTTCGGAGGTTGAAAATTTATCTGAGCGTTGAGCAATAGGGCGGCGAAGGCAAGCGACGCCCAACAAAGGCACCCACCTAATTTTCGCAGCCCAATATACGGTGAACATGTGTCCATTGGAGACCAACGACATAGGTGCTTTATGCTAAATTGGGCGGATCAAGTATCCCAAACGGGGCATGCGCACATGAATTTGGAGTGGGCGGCTGAATGGGGCCTGATGAGGGGATGGGCCCACGTGGTCGTCGTGGGTATGGCATAGCATGGGTCGATTTTGAGGAGTGGTGGCAAATGTGGGTACAGTGCGGCGGGGATAGTTGCGTTCGGGCGGCATGACTTGCATGTGAGCGAGAGGCTACAAAACCAAGAAAAAAGAAGAGAAAGCATGGGATACGGAATGGATAACATTGAAATTTTGAAGGGTTGGCATCTTTCACGACTGTTGGACGTCTTCCTCCTGTTCGTATGGAGCGGAGGAACGTGCGTACGAAGGTTGGCGCTGGAGGGACATAAGTGGATTATGATAATGAATGTGGGAGGGATATTTGGTAGAGGAATGGGATAACATACGATATCGCATGTCGGCCACATCAAAAGGCATCTGAAAAAGAGTGACGATTGCCCACTTCCTTTGAAGCCCGAAATGAGGCCCCATCCTTGAGATCGGTTGACGTCTTTTCCGACATTGCGGGTGTACAGCACATTCCATATAAGATAGGGCTTCAAACCTCATTCGACGAGATATGAACAGTGCTCGTGCGGTCGCCACGAATACATCGATACGTAAGTGTATACAGTACATGCCCGCCAGCTCAAGACACCCAACGCGTTAACGCGCACCATATGAGGGGAGCGCCTCGAATAGAGAACAAAAAAGTTGTACCTATGAATGCCTGGCTGCTGCGCCCTTTTTAAGTCTCGAATTGAATAAGCTCAATCACTTTATTAAGGTGGTTTACGACTTTAAGTGCGGCGGATCCCCAAAACCTTGATTCCTTAAAACTTTGACCCACTTAATGTTCGCTCCGTAATTTGACAAATTGCCTCCCCGCTGCGCGCCGTCAATTGGCGGAGTTTAGGTGTGTCCCACACCGATGCCCAATATTATCAACGTACGATATTACAGACACTCTGGATGGATCCCTTTTTGCGCGTTCTCAGGCATAGTGATATCGTTGCTGGACGCTCGCCGGAACGAAAATCCAACTCTCATTTCGCACACAATTCTTTCAGAGGTGGGTGGCCTCCGACGAAGGCAGAAGATTTTCGCGGCATGGAGTAGCGTGTGCGTACATACATACATGATGTCCATTACCCTCAATAATGTAGATCTAGAGTGATGGAGTGCAATAAGGCAGCATGACGGTGGTACTCACCGTTAACGGCTCAAATCTATAGATCTAGATGTCCTTAGGACCTACGAGGGTGGATGGATTGATGAGAGGGCCCAGCATGTACGGCGGTAACCACTGTAGGTACCCCTTACAGATGGTGTACAGCGACTCTCCAGTCCGCCCTCCTTGTCTGTGTAGGCTTATATCCGCTGAGAAACTCATCGTTAAGCTTTCCTCCTTTCATCAAACAAGCAGTCAAACTTGTCCCCTTCCCCTTCTTTCCTTGAACGATGCTTTCCCAGCTTTCTTTCCTGGTGGGCTATTGGTGCTTGGGGCTCGTCTCGGTGGTTGTCCATGCAAGTCCGTTGGCTTCAGTCACCACGGCTTGGGGGACCCGTGCACTCTACGATAAGGGCATAACCGACAGATTCGACGAGGGGTCGGACACCGTCTCGGTCCTGGTACAGATACGGGACGTGCTGAACCCTTCCGCGTTCGCAAAGTCCTCCGGGCAAGTCGTCGACAGTACTGCCTTTTACGAAGGACTCGGGCGACATTCAAAGGACTCTTCGCTTGGTGTTCAGGCCCTTCTTCGCGATCTCTCTGCAGAGTTCACTTACAGTCATCATTTCCGCTTGTCCAACACATACGTTATCGATGGTGAGTTGGGTGGATTTCCTTTTTTGAACGAGTGTCCAGCCGCAATTTCAGAGCTTTCTTCTCAAATCCGCGTCTCTCTTCGTCTCTCTCTCTCTGCAGCTTCCAGGCGTTTGGTCGAGGCCCTTGTGCAACTACCCGAGGTTTATTCTATCAGGCGCAACGCGGCATTTCGTGTCAATGACAAGGAGCGATCTACCGGCGCTGTTTCGAGTTTTTCGAACAAAGATGGTGGATCAGGCGTCTCTTGGAATGCCAACGCGATCGGAGCGGCCGAATCATGGGCGAAGGGTCTCAACGGAACGGGTCTCTTGTTCGCGTCTGCCGACAGCGGTGTCACTTGGGAGCATCCCGCCCTCAAGAGCAACTACCTCGGTAAGCAGATAAATGGCACCATCACACACGATTACGGTTCGTTCAGCGATCTTTCTTTTCAACGATCTTTTCGTCCATCTCGGCCACAGACTTGCTCTAAACCTCGATTTGTTTTCTTCCAAAGCCTGGTTCGATGGAGTGCGACGGGCGCTTCCAGGTGTTAATTCGACTTGCGGCGTGCAATCTCTGCAACCTTGCGATGACGTCGGCCATGGCACACATACGACGTCTATAGCTGTAGGCAGCAACGGCATCGGGATCGCCCCAGGCGCATCCTGGATGGCCTGCCGCAACATGTACAACGGTGTCGGACGACCGGAATACTACTTGGCGTGTTTGGAGTTCTTCCTTGCTCCGACAGACGTAAACGGAAAGAACCCCGATCCCGCACGTCGCCCGCATGTTATCAACAACTCTTACGGTTGTACGAGCGCCGAGTTCTGCGATCAGGTACAATGGCAACAACAAACTGTATCTCTGTCCTAAATTCTATAATTTGTGTTCGATTTTCTTTGACGCGTTTTCTCATTCTGCGCCAGTTCACGTTCAAGGCGGCGGTGGGCGCCCTCACAGCTGCAGGAGTCTTGATGGTCGCAAGCGCAGGCAACTCAGGTGGGAATAACATGACGACACACAAATCATTGCTGCAGAACCGAGGAAGGAAAAAGAGGCGCTTTACTGTGTCTTTCTAACATTTTTCCCGTTTCATCTCATCGTACTTTCCCACCTTTCCCCCATGAGCAGCATTGTCGTCTGCTGACACTTGCAAGTCGGTGGTCAACCCACCCGCGATTGACGCCCGCGTCATTTCCGTCGGATCGTTACGCCAGTCAGGCCTCATCTACGAAACCAGCTCTCGCGGCTCCGTGCCCGGCCGAGGCCCGACCCACCGAGGCGTAGACATCTCGGCGCCGGGGGTGATGATCCGAGGCGCGATCCCACCGGCGGCGTATGCGCAGCGCACCGGAACGAGCATGGCGGCGTCGCACATCGCTGCTTCTGCGTTGATTGTCCTGCAGGCGTGTCCGCACCTCTTGCGTCGCACCGTCGATGTCGGAGCGACGCTGCAACAGACCGCTTTTCCGCTGACGACCACGGACGGATGCAACGGCGACAAAAATGATACCATTCCCAATAGCACCTACGGGTATGGGAAAGTGAACGTCACCGCGGCTGTTTTGCGTTGCCAAGACTGACACCTTACACCCATCGTGAGTATCTCGGGTACCCTCCAAAGCATACTCATTGAATAGAAAGTAGATTACTCTGAGGTAGTATTTCAGGCAGATATATGTGCGTATATAAACTATGTCTACGTGTGGACAGTATGCAATGTAAATGTATATGTGTACGCACGTACGCCGTAGAGAAGTGCAATTTTTTTGCGTATGCTGAGGTACATAACGATGCTTTGCCCTATTACAGAGTGATGCCGCCATCACCAGTGGCGGCATCCTCCAAAGAACTTGCGGCAAGCTTTGATGAAGGTTCCTTTGACGGTGATATGCTTCCACGACCCCAGAAACATGTGCTGGAGGCGTGCATCGGGATCGGTAGCGGGCTTGGATCCCATATAGTCGTATCCCTCATCTCGACCAGGACTATACATATACACGAACGTGCAAACAGTGAATACCCCGTTCCATAAAGACTGAAGGGGGAACAAACCCACCTGAAACCCGTAATGGGCAGCACAAGTACGTCTTCGATGACTTTACTTTTCCCGCCATCGAATCTCCCCGTCAACTTGAACCACAGGTGGTCAGGGCCGTAGCGGTCGTCCATCCATTCCTTGACGGTGACGGTCCACCTGCCGGGACCGGTGAATCCCACGGCGTCCTGTTCGATCTTCATCTCCTTGTCCGACATGCGAGATGCCACTTTCAGGATGTTTCGGAGATGACGACTGAGCATGTGGTGTCCAGGCGCCGCGCCCAACGACCAGTACACGATCTGGATGGGATGCTGGAAGGCGAAGTAACGCCAATAGTCGTCTGAGGCGGGATCGGCATCGCATTCCAGCCCAATCAAAAGATGGATAGAGCGGCGGGACGATACGTCAGTGCTAGTGACTGAGGAGAACAGCGGCGGCTTTGATGACGTAGAAAGTGGGTCCGCGACCAACGTGAGGTCTTCCGCTGTGATCCACGTCGCTGGCGGCTTTCTAGGCTGCGTGTCCGCGTCGACGTACTGTAGGGTTGGGACGGATGTGAAAAGATGAACGGGTTTTTAAGTGCCCCTTCAACCCCAGTGAATCAGTGGAAGGGAGTTCTACCTTCCCTTTCCCACTCTTTCGCAGACCACAACGCCGCGAGAAAGCGAGAACGGATATGAAGAGAACTCACCACGCCACCAAATTCCCTGAGGACCACCGCGCGAAAGATATCGGAGCGCATGGTGTCCATGGGAACTCGCAGAAACTGGTCGTACCCTTCTGGCCACGCGGTCTGAACCAAAGATCGCATGCTTTCCTTATCCCACACGACGAGTGCGTGCCCGGAGTCGACGGCGGAGCGGGTCCATGCCGCGATGCAGTCGAATACTTTCGGGGTCCAGCTTTCTGGATCCGGCTGCGTCCAGAGCAAGTGCACGATCAGAGGGATGGAGCTGTGCGGAATCGTGTGGTTCCCATCAGCGGCAAGCGTCGATGCCCTTTTAGCTATCAAATATATAGGCCACGGACTCGATGATGGCGGCGGTAGCGCGCTGCTGTCGGCGGAGTTGAACCACGCCTCGGGAATATACCAGCCTGAAAAGTTTCGACGGCATAAGGACACTGCGCATGCGGGGCTTCTCCGAAACGGGAGCGGAGCAGAAACAAGAAAGGTGCGTCTGACTCTATGGCTTACCTCCGGCCTGTGACGGAGCATACCGCAATGTTTCTCGAACGAAGGCGGCAGTGTTCGCCCGCGAGTGGACGATAGGTGACTGGGACCTTTCCGCTCGTCGCAAGTCGACGTTGCTGCACTTGCCGTTACGGCAGAGACCAAGTGAGAGTAGCGATATGGACAGGGCGACCGTGACGACTAAAAAGAACACCGTTCGCCGTGTCAAAGCCGAAAATCGCACGCGTCGTGACCTGCCGCCGCCGCAGGAGGAACCCCGGACGGACATGGGTGTCAAGTACCTCTGCCAAGGCGGAATGGCCCCAGTAAATATACTTATTCACCCCTTTCGAGAGCTATATATATCGGGCCCCAGGTTGTGTACAGGACATGCAAGACAGTTTGGGCCCTGCAAAACCCCATAGCTGTATATAGTCGGTTTATACCGGTATGGGGGAGTGGAGGTGTGGAGAGCCTTGACGACTAGATGTAGAGCTACACCCTCTGATGTGGTGGGGCTTGGCCCAAAAGAACGACTTCAGACAACAGCCAAGAAAACGACCGGTTTTTCTCATGCGGTTTGCGGTTGTCGCCGTATACTCACGCCCGCGGTATCTGGCTACAGACATCAAGCGTGGCGTTTGCGTGGTCGTTGTTCCGATAACTTGTTCGATTAGGCTTTCTAGGTTTATGTGGCCCTTAGGGTAACCCACCTCTGGGACAGTGGGGCCTGCAGTATCCGCCAAGAAATCAACTGTCATGCGCTGGTGGTCGGCGTCGCGGTTGTCACACTAATAAAGGCAGAATAAAGGCTTTCTACAGTAAAATTGCAATACATACAGTACTACCTGGATCCCACACCGCGTACCGAGGTGTGCAAATAATGTGGGCAATACTGGAGGTCAATACAGTAACAGATGTACTGTATGGATGCCAGATGGATCTGCTCTTCGCCGGCTACTTCCACTGTATTTAACGACTCCTCCCTCGCACCCACCCTGTGCGCCGTTGCACTCTCAAGAGACTCAACAGAACCAATTCGCTGTTCTGTCATCATGTTTTCGGTAGAGTATATGCTCGTTTTCTTGACCTATACGGCTCGGACGCGGACCAAAAACCCCTTTTAACGCCAAGTATCGTATCCAGGCTCAGGACATCCTTGCGCTCATCGGACTTTATTCAGTGGTAAGTTGGAGTTGGTCGTGAACGGAAGCGCTAGCCACACTGGATATCCACATGCCATCCAAACCCATATCGCCGGTGGGCTTGCTGGTACTACAAGCCTTGTGGTCGGGAAGAGGTCCAAGGAGAGCTCGGGTCCTTACAAGCGTCTCAAGGGCACTCTTGATGTTCGGACGAAGCGATTCAAATAAATTCATTCCTGTTTTCCTTTCATATAGGCCACAAACTTCGAGTCGGTCACGCAACCGTATACCAAGTAAGGACGGGACAATGGTTGCAAACCTGCTTGTGGCTCTGCTTGGACAGCGACGTACGCGGATGTCTCAGCAATCTACTGACACGGCTTGATTTGCATCGAGAACAGCCTTCTCTGGGCAGCCTACCTTGGAATCGAGTTCACCTCGGCAATCACACTCTTCATCGTTTACCGGAAGATTGCTCTTAAGAATGGTTTGTTCCGACTGACGAAGTTTGCGGGCACACTCGTCATTTATTGCTTTATGGTTGACACTGATTCCACCACATTAAAGATCAAGCACCTGTGATGCTGAATGAGGGCGATACCACTTCGCAGCCAAAGTAAGTCTTTAGTGCTTTCTGATCCGAAGTGCATTCTCGATCCGAATACCACTCTGGTAGAGAGGTCATCCCGCTGACATTTTGCTGTTTCCCGGATTGGATTCTCTTTCACAGTGATGGAATCATAGTTCGTACAACCGACTACGACTCGAAGAACATCATGCAGCATCTCCGTTCTCTAGTCATTCGCGCGGCAACATTTGGCTTTTTCTACCTGAAGTTTGGGCATCTCAGCGTGCTGCTTTTGCAAGCCATCCTCGGCTTAAAAACCATCTACCACTCGCAGGTTGTTCAGGTCCACCTGTTGGGCAAACAGTCGGTCGGGAACCTAGCTAGACCTTGGTGAGCCGCTTTGCCTTTGGCAATCCGTGCCTACCGGAAAGGACCAAAGCCATGCAAAACGGAAGGAAAGCCGACCATCCTCCAGACTCTTCTTGGGCGTATCTTAGGTTCAAAGTTGTTTAGGAACTTTACTGATGTACTGTACTGTACTGTATGACACGGCGTACGCATGTACCTACAGTACTATGTATCATTACAAGTTGCCATCATCGGCGACGCCTCAGGCAGAGGTACAATGATGTGGATGGCAGATAACCACCACGGAAAATGGGATGGGGTGAAATCTAGACTACCGGTTACGGGAGAATGCGTCTGGTCTGCGGCCATTGCCAAACACCACCGAGCGCACAATCGAGAGGAAATTCTTGGTGCTTAGGACGTCCCGATTGTGCACTTTCATCCGTAGTGGTTGTCTCCCAGGAATCTCAAATGGCGTCCAGTCTTGGTTGATACATTCGGGGTTGGGGCAACCCACCAATCCATGGACGAATTCCATTCTTCCCTGTCTAGCTTGCCATGGCCGAGATGACAGCCGGCGTCGGACGTTTTTCTTCACACGGCCGTGGCAGTCGGGGCACACGGACGACGTTCGATACTCATCTAGCAAGTAGCATGGAATGCTGTTTCTTGCAAAGAGTGTGCGGAATCTGATTTCCATGATGAGTTGGCATATTGTAATACATATTACCAGTGATAGTCACCCACCCTTTGGTCTTTGATGACTCCTGAAAGCGCATGGTCTTTCCAGCGTCGCTCCAATCACCCAAGATGACCGCAAAATGCTTTCCATACAGGCGTCGCATGTTCTGATGAGCTTGCTCTCAGACTTTTCCCGCAGTGAGAACGCCTTGAATCTGCGAGCTACGCGAATCTCATCCTAGTAAAACTCGTCCAGGGCGAGATCTGGGATATGTATGTCAGCCCATGTATTACCAAAGTTGAAAATCAAAGTCGAAATAGAACATCATACCCGCATGTTCGTAATCCACGATGAACGCTGAGAACGCTTCGATGTTCATGCTCTTGTGTGACGGAATATGTGATTCCATCTCAGCGATGCCGGCATTGATCTTTCGCTCTGTCATGTCTCTTCGAAAGTACCGAGACCTTGTCTCGACGGCCCGTTGATTGGATGTGTATCTGATATGGGGTGGTGCATTGTGAGGACGCTGCAACGGAATGTCGAACAAAGGGGATGGTGGGGATGGTGACGGGGGGGGATGGTGGGGACGGGGACGGGGACAGGGTTGGGGAGGGCGTTGATGGGGATAGCGGGGATGGCGCGGATGGCAGAGGTACTGCAGATCGAATTCAGTCGCCGTCGCCATGCATTGCTCCGCATTCTGATCTCATTGAACGTTCCGCCAACTTCCGCGATCGCTTGAGTCCAGCTTGGAGTAGGAGCCGGGCTCGCGATTCGCTCTTCACGACTACGACGGCAAAGCAACAACACATCCAATGCCGGTCGACCTCCGCAAGCGGCGGTCGTGCTCAGCACCGGAAGCGTTGACATCAGCGATGGCGGAAGTTGATAGCATAAAGTTGATGGCGTAACCAATAGCGGCAACAGCGGGGACAGCGGGGACAGCGGGGACAGCGGGGACAGCGGGGACAGCGGGGACAGCGGGGACAGCGGGGACAGCGGGGACAGCGGGGAGGGACAGTGGGGACAGCAGGGCAGTGGTAATCAACTGAAACGTACCTAAATGGCCGCTCCTTCTTGATGTCTCGACAGAACAAGAGGTCACGCTTGCCCGGATCAATGCTGACGATGTTTGGAGCCTCCCGTAGTTCGGCGATGTGGTGCTCAAGATACAGCTGCTTGACTTCTTCCCGCATTTGGGCCTTGCTGCGCTTCCAGGCCCAATGCCCATACTTGAACCCTGGCTTCTTGAAGTGGATGGTAGCGGAATACCCGTTTGTGCTGATTGGTCCATCAAATTTAAGACCAAGCTTCTTTCGATGCTGAAGACTTTGTCCTGCAGTCCGTCATTCAGCGAGGTGATTGAAATAGGTGCAAAAGGATACAGACTTAACTTACATTCACATTGAGAAACTGCCCCCACAGCTCCCGCTTGCGTTCATCGGTGAATTTCCCCATGCGACGTTGGCTCAAACCCAGGAAATGAATGGCTAGGATCAGCGTGTTGATCCGAACAGATGACTGGATTTGAGATTTGTGCAGCGGGATAGCAGAAAACAGCCGCAGGGTTATTTATTCACTCGAGGAGAAAAATAGAGAAGCTTACTAAGCAACCTCCTCCTCGTCCATACACTCTAGAGGACTACGTTCCTCGTCCAGAGCAGAATGGACTCCGTTCGGAGGTTGCTTATTTGTCGATAAAGCCGTATTTGCCGCCATATCGCGTAGGAATTCGTCGTAGGTGCGCTCATTATCGGAGGAGGACGCCTCGGCGTAAATATCGTCGATGCCGATGGTGTAATGCGTTTGGAAAACCCTGGAATTGGGTACCCAACGCCCCTTCTTGATCGTTTCCTCGCTGAGTCCACTGCGAGTTTGCGCGGTCGTGACGGCGTGGGTGATGGATTTCGGGGTAAATTCGTCGTCGATGCCGGCGGCTCTGAGGACGGCGTTGACGAGGTGGCTGATGCTTCCGGCTGCCATTGGCGAGTTGTGCTGTCGGTTGATGAAAACCTCCTGGATGCCATCGCGGCGAGTACCCTGGATGGCGATGAGGGCGTCGTAGAGCTCAGCTACGTCGAGATTTGGCGTGTGTTTGATGCGGGGGTCGTTGATAACGCGGTAGTTGCCCTGTTCGAATAGTGTTGTCGTGTGCGTGATTTGGGCGCCATTCCTTGGGTCGGCAGGAGCGCAATTTGAGGGAATGTTCCGTGACGGTGGTGCGCGCATGGATGAGGGTCGCAAGGTGATTGGGGCGACACTTCATGGTGAGCATAATGACGACGGCGAGTTGCGAAGAAAGCCATTCGAGCGTGGCTAGTCGTGGTCGGCGGGCGATGTGTCTCCATAGCGTTGCTGGATCCCAAATGGTTTTGTACGCCTTTTCCGTGGGCTTGATCGAGCGTGCAAGGCCTTTGAAGAATCGTTGTATATCGGGCGCGGTGCTAATGAGCGCGTCGTCGCCGGTAATGTGTTGCAGTGTATTCGCGATCGCCGTGCGGTAACCTTGCAGTGTTCGGATGGCGAGCCGCTTCTCGGAATGAACGTCGGTGATGAAGTTTAGAACCATTGAATGGCCGGCGCGAACGGGATCAATGTCCCGTTGTGGGCACCAGCGTACGTAGGTCCGCCAGACCGAGTTGTGATTGACGTTGTTTGAGAGAGACCGGAGGGTGATGTTGATAGCCGCCTGCGATAGGCCTCGTTGTGCGCTGTAATACCGGATAACCGCCATGCGATTGTGAGGGTCCACGGTGGTTCGCGAAGGGGGAGGCCGCTCTGAGCTTGAAACACTTTCGGCTTGGACGGAATGGGGATCAGGTCGGCAATCGAGAGTCGCAAGAGGAGCGGGAATGCTGCGTGCAACGGCCAGAACGGTGTTATCAGGGTCAGGTCGTGGAATTCCTCGTCGATGATCTTGCGCGTGATGCCCGATATCAGCAGCCATGGGGGGTTGGCATAGCATACGTGATGAGACCAGGATATCTACAAAGCATCGACGGCGAATGCTTGGGGATCCCCCGAGTCCAGCGTGCAGTAGTGTGGAATGCGGGGATTGCGGTTTGTGCCCGTCGCAAACAGCTCCATTGTGTGATTCACCTTCCACCGGCCCTGAATCTGCCGGAGAATGCGCGGGTTGAGCTGGTAGTCGTTTCGATCGTTCTGCTGGCGGGAGTCCAGGTCCGCTATCACGTTCTCCTTCCCGGCAATGTGGAGGGCCTGCCATGTCTTGTTCTGATGCCGGTAGCGTAGGAGAAGGTGCTCGATCACCTGCGAGAGGTGATCTGCGCGTCCGCCACCTTTGTTGAAGTAGAACATTGTCGGCGTGTTGTCGGTCATGTGGATGACGTGCGCGTTGGAGAAGCCGAATCCATGACGCTTGCAGAGGAGGTCGACGGTGCGGACTTGAGCTATGGCCTCGAGAACGTTGTTGGAGACGAGACGGTCGAGCTTCTGACGCCGAATTGCCTGTTGAAGAACGGCGAATGGGAACTCGGGGAAGTACCGTTGAACCAGCTCCGGCGTCCACCGTTCCTGGACGCGAATCAGCTGGCCCGTCTGGGGATGTTGACAATTCCCGCCCCACCCGTGGTTGGGGGATGCGTCGGCGAATATGCGGTAGTCTGCGTCCTTGGTGAGTAGACTCTTCCCGTTCCATGCGGTGAGGTTGTTTGCAAATTTGCGAAGGAGGGTGCGGGTCGGTGTCGGAATCACGCAGAATGCGCGGTGTGGTGGTGGCCGGCAGAAGCGAGGGTCTGTCGAATACAGGTTTACGGTTGGGTGTCCGGAAAAATAAGCTGCCGGTCTCTCAATAGCACAAGAAGAGATCTCAAGCGAGAGCGTCGTCTTGCCACCTTAATATCCAGGTGCTTTGAAAGGAGTCCTTCTTGTAATACGGGGGTCGGGTCTTACGGGTACGGGTACGAGATACGAAATCGGGAATATCTGCGTGGTTGACTACAAAACAAAACAACGGGGTTATCCAACCTCACCCTCAGCTCTTCTTACAAGATTCCTGAGCTATCAAGTCCTCGGCGACGTCAGCAAAGTAAAAGTCGCGACACTCGGGGTCATCTTGTCTAAGCTCTCTGGGTCTATGACCGCGCCTTGAAAGTCTATCAGAAACGGGAAGAAGTCGTCGGGAGTAGAGAAGTAGAAAGCTCTGTTGTTGATCGGGATCTGTGTTCTGCGTGCACGGATCTGGGTTTTGCGTATCGTACAAAGGTCTGGGGAAAACAGACGGGTTTTTATATGGATTTTTCTAGGCTACGAGATTTTGTCGAAGTCCAAACTCTCTACTAGTCGTCTCTAGAGGATTTAGCTACGTCGGGGTCTTTTTCTCTTTTCCTGCGGCGGTCTACGTAGTTTTTCCTTTTTCCATTCGCAATTTTGGCGCTGATACAGCCTTATCGCTTTCTTTTCTCGGGGTTTTCTGCAACTTTCGGCGTGAGTTTCTTTTGTCCACTCCTACGAACGCGGGGAAATCTACTACATCTCCGTCCGCTCCGCTTACTCGGCGCGGCGAGCGCGTCGAGCGCGTTAAAGTCGGTACGCAAGTCGTCCGCGACAGTGCCGTACATACGGCATCAAACTGCGGGCCCAAGAAGTAACACGTTTTGTCTCGTCGGTGATGACAGAGGAGTTCCACGTTTTGTCTCGACGGTGATGACGCCAAAGCGTCCCGAACCTGCGATGCAGGATTCCGGCTCAGGACATGGCACTCATTTTCTCTTCAGATAGATATGACGCAAATCGCAAAGGCGGCGCCGAACCCCAACCATGCACTTTGAACCCATCCGATGTCCGCGGCCCCGCAGTCAGTTGGATATCATTGAAGAGCAGCGGGTGCACGGTGATCTGCTAGTGTACAGTACTGCTTTGGATCCTCGGGCCCGCGCTCAAGGGAGCGATCGTTTTAGGCTGTGAAAACAATCATCTTCGGCAAATGTTCATCTTCCAATGGTTTGCACGGTAGCAACACGGGCATGACACACCCACAGGAACCGCGCATCTGAAGATAAGCTTTCGCGAACTTTTCGAAGTGTTCTCTGGACTATTATTCATGCAACACCTTGCCGGACTAGCACGTGCATGGCGACTCGGCGGAGACCAGACTGGTGGATCATTCACTCATTTAACATCATGACCCCTGAATCCACGCAGAGATATGAATCCTGTCTTCCGACAGTTGGAATTGCGAAGCTTTGCTTTATCATTGATCAAGTTTGGACACTAGTATGTATGATGATTCTAGCGTGTCGCAGTACGTAACACCGGCGTCGGAGTCTCCGGGCATATTGTACGGTTTTGCAGGGGTAGCGCAGTCAGTGCACCAGCGCGTGTTGGATGGACACGGACTTGCTCGCAGGGACGATTTGCTGATACCAGGGTTCCTGACTGCGCGTGTTAAACCCTCGCAACTTCAAGTTCGCAACTCATCAGTGACCCGTAACTTTACGTGTCAGAACTGCGCTACGTTGATGATTAGCGAAAGTGGATCTGCTATAACGTCATTCGGGGGTGCACCTAGCTCTATGGTACTCGAGAAAAATTATTCTTAGACCTCCCGGCGAGTAATTAGAGAGACACCATAAGGTATGTACGAGTGACGATAAATATGGACGGTGCTGTGAAGGAGTCTTTGCTCAAGAAACTCACGGGTAGTAGGTGCACAGAAACGGGGCTTTGGAAAATGTTGGAACGAGAGTGGACCGGTTTATTTATGACGACTATGATATTTTGGTCAACAGTGGATTCCGAGTATGGCTGTGATCGGTGATCACCCCTGGAAGCAGATCTGCATGTCGTTTTCCCGGGAAAGACATTCCAAGATTCAATGAACTCCGACCAACTTTGACACGGAAACTGATGTCTTCACGCACGAGGGAATTTCACAACCGGCCGACGTTGAACTTTAAGGGCAATTACAGAATCCGAACCATGCAATTGTGATTGTAAACACGTGGAGAGACGGAGACGGATAGAGGAGCGCACCCCGTCCCCCAGGGCCGCAGATGTGTCTACCGCATATCCTTCCGTGTTACGGCGGGATGTGCTGTTCCCGCCCAAACTGTGTTCATCGATGTCTTCTATGGTATACTTCTGGATGCGTTCTCGGTGATTTCGAGTAAATGTGGAAAGATCTATCTCAATTTGGAACGTGAAATCCCGAAATGTAAATGCGATGCAGAATGCGGAGGTATAAATATCACCCTGGAGATAGACAACCGGCGTGGAGAAAAAGTAAGGACTGGCTTCCCTGGTGCCTCGGATCGCTGACCTTGGGACAAAGTCGTGAAAACTGAATTCGAGCGACGGCCATATCGATATTCGGGAAATTCTGAACTTCTCCGCTTGGTCCCTTCTGTCGGCGGCGTCACCTTCACATCAAGCGACCTTGATATTGCAAGTTGTCTCAAGGTATCGGACTTTCCTGTGACCATGAATTTCAAATCTGTTCTGCTGCCAACACTGCAGGCCAATGCGGTGATTGCCTTGACTACTCTGTCTGGGGTTGCCCTTGGTCGATTGGGATTTCTGACACCTCCCATTCAGAAGGTAGGTCCGAATCAGTGTGGAGTATCTTGACTACGGTTGTTTGTGGACATGTCTAACATGTTCTTACTTAAGAGCCTGGCCAAGATCAGCTACTGGCTTCTGACACCCGCGCTCATTTTCAGCAAGATCGCAAGTACGGTCGACGTCGATCAATTCGTCAGCTTATGGCCGATCCCAGCCCTCTTCCTTTTCAGCTCGGTTGTTTCGTACTTCCTTGCCATCATTGGTGTGCGTTTCCTCCGCGGAGACATACAGAGCAACCGATTCATGATCGCTGCAATTGTCTTCACCAACACGGTGACCATGCCCGTGCCGGTCATTATCGCGTTGACGCCGATGACACCAATTCTATTTCGGCACGCCGGGTCCGCAGGAGAGGCTGTTGCGAATGGTATCTCTATGGCCTTATTCTTCACGGTTTTCTCTCACATCTTTCGCTGGAGCATCGGATACAAGCTCTTGGACGCCCCCGCTATGAATGAGCTTACCAAGGAACAGGCCGGCAAAGGTTCCCTCACCGCTGATGGTCACGAATTAGATTCTTCCGCCGTCACCATCGAAATGCCTCCGTCCATCGTGAACGTCCGCAGTTCAAACGTCGCACGCACCACACAGCACGCCCCCGCTGTACCCGTCAAAGCCGAATGCAGACCGCCGGGGATCTACGCGGCGGTATCATCCCTTTCGTTGCAGGCCGTCGCTGCTCGTCGATTAGCATCGTTGCACTCATCGGGCGGGCTTCCCCGAGTCTACGATATGAAGGGAAATACGGTTCGTCGGGCTAGCATTGGAACGTATTTTCCTGAATACGTGGGAAAGGACCAACATGTGGAATTGAAACCTATGGCGCATGAACATCGACGAATTTTGCAAGGAGAGGAATGCGCTCCAAACCGGTGGAGCGATCGCTCAAGCAACGTAACGGCTGCAACGCCGGGCTCGGAATGCATTGCCTGTGACGATAGTGCCGCCGGAAAAGAACATACTTACTTCGACCGAGTTCGGAGTGTCATAACGAGTATCATCAATCCACCTTTCGCGTCAGCTCTAGTATCGCTCTGCATTGGGCTTATCCCGACCCTTTCTTCCGTCTTCTTCACGGGTCCTGTACGCTTTGTCGGAATCTCTCTCACGTCAATAGGGGATGCCTCCATCCCGTTCCAATTGATTCAGCTTGGTGGTCGGCTTCAGCGAGGTCCAACCCGCGACCACACGACAACCATGCCCGCCTGTGCAATAGCATATGTGGCCTTCTGCCGCCAAGTGATGGGTCCTTGCATAGGTCTCGCATTCTTGGCTCTGCTTAAGACCGCTGGGTACACCCCGAAGGATCCAATGCTAGCGTTTGTGCTGCTTCTTGAAGCCAGCACCCCGCCAGCTCTCAACCTAGGCGTGATTGCAGAGCTTCACGGCAAAGGTGAACGAGACATGGCCAATCTCCTTTTCTGGACATACATCGTGGCCATACCGGGCGCCGCGTTTTCGGTCGTCAGTTTCCTGCTTTTGCTTCCAAACTTTGTATCTCCGCGCTGATAACGTATCATATAGGGACGCTACATGCTTTTGTCTTATTGTATAAAACCGCGGGAGTTCGCTTTCGCCCCCATTTTGCTTCCACCACTTTGTATCTCCGCGCTGATGTATCATATAGGGACGCTACATGTTTGTCAATACATTTATCATTGTATAAAACCATGGGAGTTCGCTTTCGTCCCCCCCCCCCCCCCCCAATTTGACATTTTGGCATTATATAGATGCACTGGATAAATCTTGGCACGAAAATATGTATGAATGACGATGTTAAGAATAAAGTCGTAGTACGATACGTAGGTACAGTATGAAGTGTCCTGCCCGAAAGTCGGTCAATGTACTTGCCGTTACCAGCAGTAGCCTTGATGGCGCCTTGATGGCTGCGTCACGTCGAATCCCGTGTTAGGCTTAGGGTTTTGTTCCCGGGGTGGAATTGGCTCCGGATTGCACACGTAAGCTGTTTATTGCGCAAGGTTCCATACTTTGAATGTTCGTCTGTCCCGTGAGACCGGATCCCATGGGTTCGTCGTATTATGATCGTCGTTCCTACCACGTTTCTATATTACTCTCTACATGACGGGGACGCAACCCTGGAACGTTCTCTCGGCCCTCGGGGAACATTCGGTTTCGGACGCGTTTTGAGACAACGTTCCCGTCCTGAAACAATTTGGTTGGCGCTGTATCGGATGTATCCTGTTATCGAATGTTCCCGCTTTATATACGAGGCCGACACCCACGTTTCCCCCCCACTATAATACGTGGTCCACCGGGCAAGCGAATGGTTTCGAACAGCATCCTGCTACATGTGCGCCGTTTCACAAGGAACTGGACCTGGATCTCAATCAATGATGCTCGCTCCGAGTGGATTCCGGATCATGAGCTGGACGGCATCCAACGGTGTACATATTCCAAGATCCATCACGGAGGCTTGACAATTGATCTTGAGCTCATCAAGGATGCATCAAAGTACTGTGTATTAGTCGGTCAATGTGCGGTGGCTTCGGCTGCTTTGCCGTCCGCATCGCCCGGCGGTAAAATGGTCAGCATTGCGCCCGTCAGAATACATATGCATAACGAGGCTGTCCCGCCGGCCCCCGTCTTGGCCTATGTTCGCAAAACCGTTTTGCTTGCAGCTCCACAATCCCCACCGCATCAACTGAATCAAACATGAGAAGTGCTTCCCTGTACGCTGTGCTGACCACCAGCGTCATGTTGGTCGTCGCTGCTTCGACGGCAGACCAATCCGACACCGCCGTCCGCCAGATTGCCGCTGTGACCCATTCCTCTGTGACCAACGCAGCCCCCGGAACACCTTCCGGGACTACCCCAGTGCAAGAAACCGGAAAGAGCGCATCAGCCCAGGTCACGGCCGCGTCGTTGCCCGAGCCGCCAACACCGCAATTCGGAGTGCCGCAGGAGATTCTCGGCGGGATGAAACGGACCGATTTCGATTTCGCTGACGGACTTGCCATCGACTTGTTTTCTCCAACGCCGCGGACATTGACCGTAACGCAAAACCGATCGCCTTCCGCACCGGCCAACCTCGTTACGGGGGCTCCAGGAGGACCCTGGTTGGCGGCGCTTCCTTACTCGTACGTTTTGAAGCTCAACGAATCCAACGTGAATGACCTGGTTGCGAAGGTGGAGCTCCCGTATGATCCCGCGGTGTTGGCGGGCATGGGATTGACCGAGGACAATACCTACGTCGGAACGTACAGCCCGACGACCGGCGGATGGGTCATTGACCAAACGCAGCGCAACGTACACCGCACGGAAAACAAGACTCGCATCATTAACATGAATTCGTACGACGGAGAATATCTGGTAAGGGGTTTCAGATGCGATCCGAGCACACAAATGCCACCGGCTCAGTTTTCCTAAATTTCTTCATATCGAAACGTACTAGCTATTAGCGCGCAATACAACCGACACCGCCGACATTTTCCTGCAATACGGACAAGGCGCCTCGCGCGAGCTCGAGATCATCCGCGGCGGGGCCTTGCAGGAAGGTGTGTGGGTTGATGGATTCACCCTATCGGCCCGCGTCGACGGCAACCTCGCGGTGAAAGTGAACGCCGACTTTGGAACTTTTGACCAAGCTGCTCTCCCCGCCGGATTCCAAGCCGTCACAACCTACACTTACGTGACAAACTCCAGCGACCCTACGGGCAAAACGAGCCTGGACGTGAAGCTACCCTGTAAGTGTCTCCCCGGAACCTGAAAGAAATCTTCACCCACAGGTACCGGAATGACATCTCCCCTTCTTGTCCCACAGTCAAACCCGACTTCCTTGCAACAAGGAAGATCGACCCGGTCGATCTCCGCGTGGCGCGTATGGACACAGGTTCCAAGACGTTTGTGGTAGACGAAGCCAGCCAGAAGCTGGACGTGGAGCGCAAATTCGCCGTGTTGGAGAGGCAGAACAGTCTCGATGGGCAATGGCTGCTCGTCTTCAAAGCGCATGGCGATGTTAACGTCACCCCCACCGGAACGCCTAGGGATGCAGGTATTGAGGTAGTCAAAGCGACGGGCTCTGGAGGGGAAGCCGTTATCAGCGTGTCGTCTCCCCCCTTAAGCGGACGTTCGGCGGCTACAACCATTGGGGCGATAGGAGCGGTGGTGGCATGGTTCATGTAGTACACGGTCATTGTAATGGTCTTCTTTCATGGCATGGTTCATGAAATACATGGCAAATGTATAGTGGTCGTCTTTCCTGTCAATCAATACATTAGAGATGATGAGGAGTGCAAGGAGGATGACACACAGACACGGCAACTAATAGTGCGACCGGGGCCGGCTGGGCCGGGACCGCATGCGATCGCGCTAGATGGAACCGGGATGGGGCCCCTGCCGCACTCACTAAGCCTGTTGTCCGACGCACTGCCAACGGTTTGGAGCGTTAAGGGGAAGTCGAGCTTATCGGCCATGGCGTTGGAATGCGATGGCGAACGCAATGGTGTGGGGCGGGGTGCTGTGCGTCAAAGGAGAAGAAGCCGGGTGGGCCTTGACCAAGTTCGGACGGTGGGCAACGTGGCTTCAATGCTCCGGATGCCTCCAGTCGAGTTTGTTGCAATCACTCATTCAGAGAACGTTCTTGTATTTGCATGGGTCCACGACGGCGTGCTGCTTGGGCGTACTGTAAGCTGCTTACGGGAGTCGCGCGTTACTGCCCAAAAGTTCGAATCGAAGCGTCTCCTGGGCATTGGAAACATTATGCTACTCGACCCCATATACTGTGGAGACAAACACAAAAGGGTTCGCCGCTTCGTCATCCGATGTTCCTGGGTAGGCGGCTGACAATAGAATTCCGCGGGATGCACGGTCCATACATTTCTTTTCCATCGTTACACTGCCATAACAACGTATTTAAACCGCAGCAATGCGGCCTTTTCCTTCGCCATCCGTTCTTGTACATGAGCGTGCATTCGCATGTACCAATCGTAGTTGCACAACTTCCCCCAACAGTTGCGCATCCCCCGATCTTTGGCGGGATTCGATAACGCCGAAAGATGTGCCTGAACTCGCTGCGAACCGTTCCAGATCGACAACCTATTGACGCCGAAAGCAACCCCATGCTCACGACCATCGCCTTCCCTTCCTCTCTTTCGACGAGGAGCACAGAGGCTGACATCCCACCGTTCGTCGAGATACCGACTGCTCCTCAAAGTTTTGAAAGGCGACCGAATATCGCAAGGATTGGCTCCGGAGACGTCAGATCTATGCCACCAGCCGAATGTCACTTGAGTCGGTTAACCGAGCCTTTCCACTCGCAAATCGAAAATGGATTTATGGTCCGTAGGCAGAGCGGAGGACCAACGCGGCCGTACAGCTTGACAATGCTTGGAAATGTGAGACATCCCGGACGACCTTGGATGCGTTATCCTTCCGATGCTCCGGTAGTTGTCGGCGGAGTCAAGTGCAAAACCTGTTCCGGCCGAGTTGCAAGAGCACCGGGCTTTCGGAAGCTATTGCCCGAGGATGCCAAAGAGAATAGTCATTTGTGGATGTGGTCAGCGCGGATTCTGACTTGTTGCTGCTTGCCATTTTGTTTGAGAGCCATGGGCAACAGGGATCGGATTGTTCAGCAGGCCTGGCGCGAGAAGATTGCCCTCTGCCTCATTATTCTCATCTTATCTGTGGTGGTCGCTTTCTTTACCGTCAGTTTGCGGAGAGTGCTCTGCCCTAGTACCACTTTCGCAAATCTTTTGCCAATATTCGATGCCCAAAGTCACAACGACAATCACGGAGATTTAAACGGCATTCTGATCAGCGGCTATAGGTATAGCTTTGATGAGGTGCAGCGAGAGCTTGCTCAGCACAGTATCCACATGGGGGACGAATGGAGGGGCAAGGATATCACAAAGCTTTTTGCAAATGACCGGCAGAAGTGCGATGCATACGTTGTCGTCCCCTATACTGACGGTTGTGATTTTCCGGAGCTGGTCTCCATATCGCGTCCCCGGGGGAAATGTGGAACAAGGAGCTGGTTGAGAAGAATGAGTAGTCGAAGGGCCAGGCGATACATGGAATGGACAGACCTCGCTATTATTTCTCAACAATCACCAACACTGAGTTTCACGGTATTCAACGGAGGTGAGCACACTCATATTTCCGCACTGTACACGCATATTTTTGGTTTCTGGACTGTGAACTGAAACTCCTTTCTCTTTACAGCTGTCGTGAATGTCACCGAGTTCTTAAGCTCAGCACATCCTCACACGGAGGCCTATAGCTTCATCTTCAACGGCGTTGGGAAGGATGGGACACACCTTTACCTTCGCAACAGTAACGCGCATCGTGCGATCAAGTGTCTTCTCAAGCCTTACCATGTCGGATACATTGATGTGGAACCCATCGGTTGCATCGCTGGTCAAGTTCTTGAAACGTTGACGCTGGTGATCATTGGCGGGGTTATGAGCACCAAATTCTTCATGGCTCTTTGGTTCCATTGGTTCGGTTTGCCCAAACTGGAGCCGACCCAATTCGGACTTCCAAAGGGCAGCGGGAGTTGCGCTGTCGCTGTGAACGATGACAGCCCCATCGTTAGGTCTTGCATGTTTGACGAGAGCCATACCATGCATGCCATTATCTTGGTGACATGTTATTCGGAAGGCTACGATGGACTACGGACAACATTGGACTCGTTAGCTAGTACGGACTATCCAGACAGTAAGAAACTGCTGTTTGTGGTCGCAGATGGAATGGTAACTGGCCTGGGCGAGGAGAAATCTACGCCGGCAATCATCTTGGGAATGATGCAGTTCGACCCCGGCATGACCGAACCGGAGCCAAAAAGTTACGTCGCCGTCGGGCATGGCGGAACAGAGCACAATATGGCCAAAGTTGTAAGTCTTCCGAATGATTGTTCTAAATGGCAAATGAGTATTCATCTTACCTTTCTTCCTCTCTTTCATGTAGTATGCGGGTTACTACATTGTTGGAAACCATAAAGTTCCCATGATTACGGTCGTCAAATGCGGTCTCCCGTCGGAAGCAACCTCGGTTAAGCCTGGGAACCGTGGAAAACGTGACTCCCAGATGATAGTTCTGAACCTACTGAGTCGCATTTTGTTTGACGACCGGATGACGGCACTTGATTTTGAAGTCCTTACGGCTATGGACAATATTGCAAGCGCCGCGGACAAGTACGAAGTTATACTCATGGTGGACGCTGACACCAAAGTTGCTCCCGAATCCCTAAAGTACATGGTGAACGTGATGAGAACCGATCAGGCGGTAATGGGTCTCTGCGGGGAGACTCGTATCGCGAACAAAACGGCTAGTTTCACGTCGGCTATACAAGTTTTCGAATACTACATCTCTCACCATCTCGGGAAGGCCTTCGAGTCGGCGTTCGGCGGCGTCACTTGCCTTCCTGGATGCTTCTGCATGTACCGGCTAAAAGGGCTTGGGAGAGATAACGGAAGTATTGTGCCCATTCTTCTCAGTCCGGACGTTCTGGAAGAATACTCTGAGAGTGTTGTTGAGACGCTCCACAAAAAGAACCTGCTCCTCCTTGGGGAGGATCGGTTCTTAACCACTCTGATGTTGAAAAACTTCCCCAGGCGGAAGACGATCTTTGTGCCGCGGGCCGTTTGCTACACGATAGTGCCGGATCGGTTCAAAGTTCTGCTCAGTCAGAGGAGAAGGTGGATCAATAGCACATTGCACAATTTGCTCGAGCTGGTTTTGGTGAGGGATCTCTGTGGAACGTTTTGCTTCAGTATGCAGTTCGTCATATTGGTAAGTGAAAGTTTTTTTCACTCACGGGAGCGGCGGGATTTGCAACCGCTGATACCATTTCTACATTCACTATCGTGTAGCTCGAATTGATCGGAGCCGTAGCCTTGCCCACTTCTATGTTTTTGTCGATCTATCTGATCTTATCTGTTTCCATCAACAACAACGCCGAACTGATGCCTTTCCTCATACTGGCGGCCATGCTGGGTCTCCCTGGCCTCCTCATTATCGTCACCACTCGGAAAAGGGCTTACGTTCTATGGATGCTTCTGTATTTGTTTTCTCTACCCATCTGGAACTTTGTGTTTCCAATCTACGCCTACTGGCATTGTGAGTATCATCGCGCCCTTCTGAATTGGCTGGTATCATCGGCCATTTTTGCTATGTTACGATGCAAGACTGATTGTCTTCCTAATTTTCCTAATAGTCGACGACTTTTCATGGGGTAAGACGCGAAGAGTTGAGGAGAAGGTTCGGGAAAGAGCAGAAGGGGAAATGGAGAGTCAGACAAAGGCGCTCCCTGTGATCATGAAAAAGTATGTCTTGGTGCTATATTTTACAGGCTTCTATATTAAGCTCACATTCTCCACGTCATAAAGATGGATCGAATGGGTAGTGAGCAGCGAATGCGAGACCATCCGGGAATCTCCAGAACTAGGCGCTGTCTGGTAAGTTCCGCGGGAGATTGTCCCGTTCCGGCATACGGAAGTTCGCCGTTCGTCAGCATTATGTCGCGAATTGGAATCAAGGTACTGACCTAGTTCAAATTCACCTGCGCGCGCGCAGGCGGTCTACGGAAGTCACTGCTGAAACCAGCGCTCCCAGTCAGGGTGCGATTCCAAACCTTTCCATTGCAACATCGGACAAGGGAGTTTTGCACCCCAACGATGGCCACAGTAGCAGGAGTTGGGGTTGGAGGATGTCGGATGGTGGGACCTTGACTTGTTATGGTTGTCGTCGGCCGTCAATCCATCCGCATTCACCGAGCCCCATGACCCGCTTGACAAATCAATTGCCGATGCCAACCATACTCTCGGGCCGACGAAACGATCCTTGGCTTCCGCCATCACTTATGGTGGGCGGTATCGACATAGAAGCTTAGCGCGCCGGAACTATCATATCCTACCCCCAACGGGAGCTAAATCGCCGAACGAAGCGAGCGGGGAATTTGTAGCTCTGGAAATCAGTCAATCTTTGGCATTGGGAACGATCATTCCAACGCACCTTATACTTCGGGCGCTTCGTTTATCGTTTACGGCCGATCTTGATCAAGTCCGGCAGACCATTACGTGCGTAACTGAATAGGCAAAACCGTTTGCGGATCTCCTATTTTGGCTTTGTACATGCGTCCATGTTGTTATTGAGTTTCTATATACGTATAACCTGTGTCCATGTATATGTACATTTTTAAATATTGTGCTTGGACTTCTACATTCCCGATTTTCTAAGCTAAGCCGCCAGAGGATTTAAGCGACAAGTGGGTGGATTATGGCCAAAACATATGCACCGCTTGGATAGTGTGCGTTTACGGAAGGATGCACTCAAAGGTTGCAATTCTGGACTATGGGAGATGTACCGTACACCGTCTGTCCCGTACAATCACCTTCGTTACGCTCTAGCCAAACCCCGCCGCAATAGCACTGCGAAGAGCCCCAAGATGCCCGTACCAAAGGCATGAATATGCTTGTGGTGGCGTTGCGCTTATTCAGCAGAGAGCAAACCGGAATGGCAAATGGAACAACGTGCAAGGTGAAATTGACAGCAGCCGCGACAATGTTCCACATCAGGAATTGATGATGACAAGCCCAACTCCGCCCTGCGCCTCCCTGAGTGGCGCCACAACGGCGGTACGATGATACGATCGCACGCGTCGGGGGGGAGCCGAATCCACGGTAACCCAAACTCGGGGGATCGCTGCCTCCGGGCTATCGCGAACGCATCTTCAAACGGAAGGTTCTCCGCACGGAAATTTCTGCGAAATGATTTTTCTATGGTAACCCAGAGACGCTTTATTATGCATCTGTTACCCGTAGACCGCAAACGCGCGCGGTTTCATGAGGACCTCATCATTGTTCCAACTGTGCTTGAGAGGCCGAAAAAAGAACTCATTTGTCAAGCCACTGTGGGATCACTGTAAATATGAGCTGATGAATCGTACATGCTGTGCAGCAAAGAGACTTCCATGCTCCCTTGCTGCCGACCTTCTCTGGCGCTGTATATGATAAGTAGAACATTGAGATCAGGAATCGGACCCCGTCCCTTCTACGTCCATCATCTGGAGCTCGCCGTTTGGTCACAGTCAATATGCCCGCAAGCATTTTTGTCAACGTTCTTGTGCCAACGCTACAGGCCAACGCCGAGATCTTCATCACAACGCTCAGCGGGGCCCTGCTAGGAAGAATTGGAGTCTTGACATCCGACCTGCAAAAGGTAGATGCCGTCCGCTGGTCAGACTAAGGCTTTGAAAGCGGCCGTCGTGCAGAATTCCGGAGTTATGACTTATGCGAATTTTTTCTTTTCCCGAAGGGCCTGGCAAAAGTCAGCTTTTGGCTTCTCACCCCAGCTCTCATATTTTCTAAGATTGCCTCGACTGTAGACTCTCAGCGGTTTATCTCGTAAGTTCGTCTTCCCGCACTCGGACTACATGTTCATTCCTTCGTTCGGGTTAACTCATTGGGCATCCCCACATCAGACTATGGCCCATTCCCGCCCTCTTTGTCTTCAGCTCCCTCATTTCCTACGCACTGTCGTTGATCGGATGCCGATTTCTGCGCGTCAGTCTTCAGAACCAACGTTTCATCACGGCGGCAATCGTATTTACCAACACGTACGTAAGAACGGATCCGCATGGCGCAATTTGGCATGCCTTCGACACTCACTCGTTGTCACTTTCACCATTTCAGCGTTACAATCCCGGTGCCGATCATCACCGCCTTGACACCATTTACGCCGCTCCTTGTTCTCGCAGGCCAGACTCCGGCGGACGCCATCTCGAGCGGCGTCAGCATGGCCTTATTTTTCACACTCTTTTCCCACGTGTTTCGCTGGAGCATTGGCTATCGTTTACTGGATGCTCCCGCAGAGAAGGCCATGCAAAAGTTGAAGGACGATCCGGAGATGAATTCCACTCTCGAAGGTCAAGAACTCAAACCTCGAGGTGTCGATCGGAACGAAATCGAACTTTACAAGAAAGGGTTTGACGTTGTTCCGGAAGCTGACATACAGGCGACGAGCCAGCTCGCGCGTGCGAGCTTGACGGGGAGGTATCCCGAGAACCTCCCATTCCTCACCAACCACTCCGATGAGTCGCCTGCGTCTGTGCCCGGCGGCAACTCGCTGGGTCGCCCACTGCCCATTCATCCGCCGGTGGCACGGCGCATTTCGGACGCATGGACGGGGAGTCGTCGAGGGTCAGCTGATGACATCGAAAGCGTTGCGTTGATAAACAGGGAAGAGATGAAAAAAGCCGACGAACAAAGCAGCGCTCCGCCGGAGTCAACGGAACCGGCGGCCGCACCAGGACCGGGGTCCATATTCAAAAAGATTGTATTGAAATTCTGCGATTTCATGAACCCACCCTTCCTCTCGGCTCTTGTCGCATTGTTTATTGGATTCCACCCATCGGTAAGTATGCCACCTTCAAGTGTTTCCGTCACGGCTACTAATGTTTTCTACGCAATTCGTTTTCGCAGTTGCAAACTTTTTTCTTCAAGAAGGCAGGCTCTTCGATTGGTGCTAGCCTAACGTCCGTCGGTGAGACGTCCATCCCTTTCCAACTGATCCAGCTCGGCGGACGCCTGCAACGCGGCCCAACTAGAGATTCCACGACGACTATGCCGAACAGGGCGATCGCGTTTGTTGTATTCTGCCGCTTGGTTCTCGGCCCACTGATCGGACTCGCATTCGTTGGCCTGCTCACGATCGCCAAGATTGCGCCAAAAGACCCAATGCTCATTTTCGTCCTCCTCATGGAGTCTAGTACTCCACCCGCTTTGAACCTTGCCGTCATCGCCGAGCTCCACGGCATGGGAGAAAAAGATATTGCAAACCTCCTGTTCTGGAACTACGCTATCGCAATACCCGGCGCGGTGCTCACGGTGCTGCTTTATCTGGTCCTCATCCCATCGTTTGTACGATGAGATGACGGACGGGCCACATCAGTTTATTTTGACATTTTCGTTATAGTATGAAGTTTTCCATTGCCGAGCTTCGTTGTCATTTTTACAATTGATTTCAATGACGAAGGCGCTAATGTAGATATCGCTTAGGCCCTCTTCGGTCTTGTTATGTTTCGATCTTGTTCACTGAGTATGAATTGTACCGCAAGGTAGTCAGCTAAGAGACTATACAATTCCTCTGTGAACAAGGTTCTTACAACCCTAAATTCTATCGTATGGTTTGTGCTATGGTGTCTGCGCTCTTAAAGAAAGAGGTGCTTTCGTCTGAAGGATTATAGATCAAGACAGCATAGTTAGCGCAACCTGATGCGCACAGAAACGCCCGCAGGTTCACGCAGATTCACGCGACAATCGGTATGGGCCACGCCCAGTGAGTGGGGTGTGCACGCGAAACCAGGTGACCGACCCTGAATTTATATATTGGAAGAAAAGCACGTCTCGATACCTAGTCTTCTTTTTCTTCCTCTTTCAACTCCTCTTCTCATTACTCTCGTAGCGTACGTTGATTGAATCTCGTTATTGATTGCTCGCTTCCTGCAACGTCCGCTCGATGGAATCCGATCCCGAAGTTACCGCAGTCGTCACTGTCGCCGCTCCTACCTTCGTTTCGCACTTAACCGGCACCAGTCTTGACGTCGGAGATAAAGCGCTGAAGAAAGTCAGGGTCGTTAAGAAGGCCCCTGCTGGTCGAGCGGGTGTCCTGACCCGGGCGGCCGCGTCGTCGAGTACTGACCCCTCCGCACTTGATATCGACGAAGAAGAGGAGTCTTTGGGCTCGTCCTACAAGGTCGTTATCGCGTCCGAACCCGCCAAAAAGGCTCACCAAGTAAAGATCATTCTCACGAGGGGCAAGTCTACAACAAAAAGCTCTGCGCCAGCTGCAACGGTTGCCTCTGTTCCGGCCAAGGTCACTTCTCAAGCCGAGAATCACGCGCAAGACGTTGTTAAGAGTCCTCCCTTGCGGACCGTTCCCACGGCTGCGTCTGTGCTCACCTCGCGCCCAGCTTCGGCCGGGGCTCACCAGAATCTTCCATCCCACGTTCAGACCCACCATCCTTTATTGCACGGCGTTGCCCAAGACCAAATTTGACCTCCGTATTGGCTTCCGTATGGGTTTTCGCACGGGTACCATTTCGGTCCGCCGGCTCCTTATCTCAGTTCCCAAGGTCCATCCGCTTCCGGCGCTTCGCAATTCGGTCAAAGTTTGTTCGTCCCGCAACCTGGTCAAGATCCTTTGTTGTTTGGAAGCCACGATCCACGCTTCGTACAACATCCTGGTCCGCAGCCGCTAACGCCCAGAACTAGTCCTTACCTTTCCCAAGATTCCTAGGTCCCTCCTGCACCTTTCCATTACAAACCGCCGGGTAGTTCCCCACAACAACACGCTCAGCCTCAAGGCCATTTTCAACCTCCGGCTCCGCATCCGGCCGCTTTCCAGTATCTCGGGGAGTACACGCAAGGTCAACCCGCGGTCTCCCTGGCTGCTCCTGCCGCTGGACCATATGGTTACGGTGTGGCTCCGGGCGTTCTTCAACAACTCCAAGCTGCCGCGGTCATTTTCGGGGTTCAACCTATCTCGCTCCACTCCCCGTCGTCGCTTACATCTCACGATCCCATCATTGCTGATACCTTGCGAAGCCGTGCTGAATACTCCCAGAACCTCAAGACTACCCGAGAGATACTTATCGCTAACGGAGCCTCGTTTGACTCGGGCACGTTGGAAGCAGTCATACGGCTTCAATACGTTGATCTCGCCAAATTGCATCCATATCGACACGTCCAACCATCCGAAACAACGATTACCCTCGCTCCTTCCGAGACCTTAGGGTTAGGGTTAGGGTTAGGATTAGGGTTAGGGTTAGGGTTAGGGGTTAGGGTTAGGGGTTAGGGTTAGGGTTAGGGTTAGGTTAGGGTTAGGGGTTAGGGTTAGGGTTAGGGTTAGGGTTACAAGACCCCCTGGGTTGGGTTTTATTATTGGGTTGCCTGGAACCCTAGGGACTTAGAAATTTTCGAGTTTTTTGGCTTTTGGGTGTGTTCTACAGTTCGAATTTTTGACTCTGAGGGGTGTAGTGGCCGGGGGTGTTGCGCACCTAGGCAAGTCGGGGAGGACTAGGTGTGCAAGGGCAAGTGATGGGTCATATGGGCGGTGGTGCGGGTACGGGGGGGGCAGGGGTGCCAATAGGGGGGGGGGGGTTGATATAAAGGGGACATATATGTTATATATACGTTATAGGACTTGTGCAAATTGGGATTTTTTTAGTGCCGATCCGGAGTTGGCGTCCTAATTGAAAAGTTGGCCCCATATCATATTCTCTAATTGAAGTACTCTCGGATTGGCAATCCGTGCGGAAACGGCTTCAGAAACTTAGAAAAACGAAATTTTCACGCGACGGGGGGTAAAAAGTTGGAAAATGTGGTGATATCTCAACATCTGGCTGACTATCCAGTGTTGGGCACTTAATGAAAGTTGATTGTAGCCTATGGTTTGCATAGCTGATGTGGTAGCAAATCTTGTGTAACCTCGCTTTTGGCTGAAGAACAGGGCCCCTTTTCAATTCTCAAATCGTGACCCCCAAGACCTCCTAACGAAAGACGCGAGTACGTATGTGCAGGCAAAGGGGTTTGGCCGTGTTCTCCAGTAAACATTTTGTGATTCCGCTGTGCATCGTAGACTGTTTGTAGGACCCTTGCGGTATGTTATTTACCAAAACTGTTGAACATTTTCCGGTTAAAGCAGTGTTCTACAGTTTGTCCATGCAGGTTAGAGGCACGTGACCTGGGCCTGCTTGCAGGGTACGCAGAGTGAGAGGGTTGGGGTTAGAGATTTCCCAGATCACTTATTAAATTCAGCCAAACTGTCTCTGTCATGGAACATTTAAAATGGTGGAAAGTAGTATTGCATTTATTGATTTAGAGTACATTGGAAAAGCGCACATTCAGAAAAGGGTTTTGGTGTAAAGTTATCAACGACATTCAACAGTACTAAAGGACTTCCGCAAGCATGTCACGGACTTGGTTCTGTCCAAAAGTCGTACGGCACTCAGGGTACCTGGCGCAGCGGAGACGGAAACGATGCTGACCGCCAATGCTATGAAAAGCTGAGCCTCCACAGTTGGGACATTGAAGCTGATCACGATGCTGATGGAAGAGTTCACGGATATTGCCAATGGGAGCAGCATCAGGCACTTCCCCATCCCCATGACCCCACCAAGCACGAGCAGGATCAATGACGGGTGCAATGCCTTTGAACCATCCGGGATTGAAACCAAAAGAGTTGAGAACGTCTCGGAAGCGCTGACAGTCTGTCACAGTAGTCTGTCTATTGCGATCTCCTCTGAATAGAACTCTGGTGGCAGCGTCCATGATGCCATTGATGAGACTGTAGTACTCTTCCACCGGCACAAGCTTCAAGGAGTTTGCGCCCATGTGCTGGAAAATGGTCTCGATCTGGTCCAAATGGAGATTCAAAACCATCTGTTCCGCTGATTCCAACCTGGCGCACTGAACTCGCACTTCAACTCGCATGCCAGTAATGTGGAGCGGGTGACCGTTGAGCCATTGACGTAAACCTCTCAGTGTCTCACTGCGATCACCAAGGCTGGACTTGGTTTGGGGCATTCGCGAAGACAAAGTCAAAGAGTAGGCTTTGAGCGCATGAACAAGCTTTGGGTAGCAAGTAACCCGAACATTGGCGTGACCCGCAATGTCAAAGCGGGTGGACCCAAATCCCTCACCAAGGATGGTGAGCATGGGAAAGGTGGCTCCAACTCCACGTCCATTGTAGCAAACCAAAGGAATGACACCACGAGTGTTGAATGTCTGACCAATGTCCCATGTGTTGAGTGCAGCATCGGGATGGTTGCTCACTTCCTGGTCAAAGGAGTAGGCTGGCAAAGTCTGAATGCGTTGCTTCATTCCATACTGCACAATGCGTACAGAGGGTGACACAGCACCAATGATGTCCTGGAACCCAGACATCAACAGATTTTGCCGCCCAGCAATCAATCGTGAGTGATCCGTGCTTTCCCTCACGATGATCGAATGTTCATTGTGAAGTAACTCAAGAATCCTTGCCTTTGACTCTGGATTGAATGGAATGCTAATGACACAAGGTCTGCTAGCGATCCGCATCCAACCGGCGAAAGCTTCACTGTCCTTGATATGCTGCATCACTCCAGACAGTTCAACCAAGGTGAAGGCACCAAAGAGGGTGGTCAGCTTTGTGGTAGGGAGCGTAAAGGCCATCCAGTCCACATCAAAGTAGCCAGTACTGCGGAAGACCCCAAACTGCTCATCCTGAAGGGCAGGAGAGCGATGGTGTTCCTCATGTGAAGAGCTTGAGCGAGAAGTTGGCAACTCGATGTCCTCACGCCCCTCATCACTATGATGATGAGGGTTGGAGCTGTGTGAACCAGAAATGGACAACTCCACATCCAAACTGCCGATGCTGGATGAGGTCTGGGAGATTTCGACCTGAAGGCTGGTGTTCGACATGGATGAGGTAAGGCTCGACGGCGAAAGGGTGTTGTTGGTGAATGCGGTGAAAGGCATGGTGTTGGCCCTGGTGTTGGCGATGGTATTGGTGTCGGTATTGGCGTAGGTGCTGAAATGTGGTGGTGGTGCGTGCTTTTGGAGGGAGGGAATCTGAACAGCCCTCTCCTTTTATAAAAGTCTGGCCAAAGGCAACCTGGAGCTGTTCTTCAGTTTTTTTCTGCAACCCTACCTTTTTTTTTTCCTAACTTTTTTTTTCCCCTTTTTTGTTTTCACTACTCCTTTTTTTTCGCGACTTTTTTTTTTCACCAATCCTTTTTTTTTTTCGGACTTTTTTTTTTCCACTAATCCTTTTTTTTTCGACTTTTTTTTTTCACTAAACTTTTTTTTTTCCAACTTTTTTTTTTTTCACTTAGCCTTTTTTTTTTTCGACTTTTTTTTTTCCACTAATCCTTTTTCTTTTACTTTTTTTTTTCACTAAATTTTTTTTTTTCGACTTTTTTTTTTTTTCACTTACCCTTTTTTTTTTTCGACTTTTTTAGGGTTAGGGTTAGGGTTAGGGTTAGGGTTAGG